AGTAGCATTTTCGCTAAGGAATTCGTTCAGTTTTCGTTGTCGTTGGATATGCTGCTGTACGGACTCGCCGTATTCACGGCAGGCGTATTGAAGAGATGTATCACTTTTATAGAAAATCTCTGGAAAAAACTGTCATCTTATCCCGAAAAATCACAACCTTGGTACAGCTTTCACAAAATACTATTGCCGTTTAACTGCAATGAGAAAAGAACCATGTGTTTAGGAAGTGTAGGTGTCTTCTGGTTTTTCATTGACACCTGTCATGTAAATCTTGATAAAATCCGGAAAGTTTAAGGGGCCTAAAGTGTCGAAAGGCCCAGTGACAGTGTAACTATCCAAAGCGTTGACCTTCACGTCGTACAAGGGCGTAGATTGATTCCACGTGAGATCGTGATTACTGTGATGAAGTTTGCTCATTAAGGTTGGTATAGTGAATTTGTCCATAATAACCCTACATTGATCACGGAAATTCTATCATTAAGAACAAGCAAATGGGTAGTGGAATTCCAATGTTACAATGTAATGTATACAAGGCCTAGGGTGGGAGAGAAGCAGTGTTGTTATTAGTGTCAAGAGAACATTCGTTGTAGAATATCTTACTTCTGATCTTTACTACTTATGTAAGTTACGAGTAATTGTGTCGAGGTTCACTCTCCCTGATATAGAGAACTCTCGTATATGTATAGCGAGTCCAATTTACCGTCCAAATAGAGCAAAGTGTTTGTATAAACAGGTTCAGTTGACCCGTTAGAGCGAACCATACGTTTGAGTTATGAACTCTCAACTCCGTATTCTGAAATATCTTACACTCTGATCTTCTCGGTGGCATAAAACGTCGTTTTTAGGATAAGAATCAGTATACTTACCTGGGTCAGATTTGACGTAGCGCGTGTGACTACACAGTGGTTTTGGATACTATACTAAAAACATAAAACAAATTTACATTTCATTGTAATACCCTAGCTACGACGCATGTTGTGGTGTTACAACCTGAAGTGATGCGTGATACTAACCCAGAATTAAGGCTTTCAGCATCTATACTTAGTCTAGCGTATACCTATTCACATGCTTTTGCAAATCTTTTGTATTTGATAAGTCAAAATTTCAAAATTGGTTTCCGATATGATTGATGTGGCGATTTCCCAAGGTTCCATCCTACCAGAGACGTATATATCACGTCTCTGATTCTACGTCCTTTATTATACCTTCACAACGAAGTTTCAGTGATAGGAATACCCCCTCCACGTGCGCTCGTACGTGAAAAAAAGACGGTGTCTACAGGCAGTGTTTCTCATCCAAATGTCATGAAACTCCACACACATGATGGCAAACATCAGTTCTTGAACGACTTTCTGACCTCCAACCTTGTGTTGTCAAAAACAAGGTCGTTATAAAAAAAACGATAGAGAGAAATCAATAAAAAATTTCACGTCACCGCTCTACAGGCTGCAATTCTAAACTGATAAGTACAAAACTCCATACATATAACCACAAACACAAGTTCTTACGCCAGTTTAATTTGCAACCTTTTGCAGTCAAAAACTAGGTCGCTGATACTAAAAATAAAAATCAATAGAAATTTACACGTCACGGTTCTAATAGCTGCATTTCTGAATTGATTGGTAGGAAACTCCACGCGCATAATCACAAACACAAGTTCTTACACCAGTTTGACAGGCAACCTTGTGCAGTCAAATACTAGGTCACTGTTACCATAAATACAACTGTCACGCCATTGCTGCAAAATTTCCATTGTTTCTCAAATTTGTACCAAACTTTATGCGGCATTAAAACAAAAGATACACAGTTTAATTTCTACATTTGTACTACAGATGGCACAGATGCGAACTCTTACAAGAGATGATGTTTGTGAACACGTATAGAGTTTCCGTTTACTCTATATTAGGTACACATATGAAAAGTATCTACAAATATCATAATATAAACTTTAATGATTTAGTAACACGTTAAAATTACTTAATTTGATTTACTTAAGGCTACTGAAGTACAGAAAAATGCGTCACGCAGCCTTAATCATCGGTAAGAAACACGTTTAAACGCGTTGCTTCATTCAATTTTTACACCATGTAGAGCTTTGTGTAATATCAGGAATGTATTTGTTCTGTCTTTCCGACTTTTAAATATTGTGTATAGCAAGTGGTTTGATAAAACTGTTTCGCATGATTTCACGAATCAACTTGTCTTCAACATCGGCGACATTTATAGATCATGTGACTAAAATTTGGATAGACCAATCAGTATTATGGATTTTGATCACATGGTCGGCAACCACCACAGTTTACAACATGTCCGACGGAAGGTTATCTGCACTGGCCTGTGAGTCGTTTGAATAGGCTTGAAAACATGCTTTCTTAAACGGAAGTAGAAGATAATGAATCGTGAAAGAGTACAATCTATTCCACAAACCTAAGTATGAAATATCGTTTAGTTCTTGCTTGAAATAGTTAAAATATCACATTTTATAGTGAAGTTTCAGACGCTGTCAGTGTCACTTGTCAAAAGCGTGATCAAGTTGTTTACTTGAAATTAACAATGGTCTTTGTTCTTTTCACGACGTGCCACTTTTCTTAACTTAAGTATACGTTTTAGCTAATTTTTTAGTAGCATTACAATAATACTATGAGTGTGTTTAAGAGTGTGTTTTAATAATGTTTGCTGATGATCATCCCTCGAATCAATTACCACATGGTGTAAACATTCGATTCATTGTCAGGTACACTGAAGTAGGTTTACTATACTAAGATGTATGTAGGTAGTTATTGGGTATGTGTGTTCATCACATGTCGTTTTAAAGTCAAATGCCATGCATTAAAAATGCCATCTTATACATATGATACAGTACGTGATTTTTGCTAGGCTTGAAGATGTCCATTCTGTTGTAAAGATGAATTTGATCATCTTATTGCCTTCCCTTTTCTTTATTCTGACTAAGTCAAGCTTTTGACATGTTTGAGAATATTGTCAGTAGGTGGAAGTAAAACTGTTAAAGGAATGGGTCTCTTAACTTTGGCCAGTATGCATGCCTGTACATTTTCCATAGTATAAAGTATAAAGTATCTCATTCACTGGATGGAGCATTGCATCTAAAGGTAATGTTACGGATTATCATGCCGGAGACCCAGGTTTGATTCAAGTAATGGTGCTTAGCAAGAACTTCTTGTTCTTTTTATAGAAGAAAAATTCACTCACAAGGAAGTTAATGAAGTGAAAATAAGAAAAATATGAAGGGTTTTTATGAAAAAAGTTAAAATCTACTGTATACCAAAGTGATGAATGTATTTTCTATAAGAATCGAATGTTCTATATGTGAAATATAGACATAATACTGTGTTACATAAATAGAAAGAATTATGTATATTCTTTTTTCAAATATGATTTCTCCTATTTCAGTACTATAACAATTGTATTTCACATATAGCATGTCTGATTCATGTGATTTTACATATTGTTAAAATTGTCAATACATGCATATTTATATACATTTCATATATATTACTTCTTATTTTAAAATGAACTGTAAATGAATGTAAAAATAAAATGAATTGAATTTGCTTAACATAGATAGACCATGAAGTAATATGTGCTTATGTATGAATTTTAAACTTGATCTATAGGTAATGAACTTCTTATATTGTAATATTATATTCTCTCAAAAAACCTTTAATGCAGAACATTCTTCATTGAATAGAATGTCTGACTCCTGTTGTTTTTACGTATCATTAATTTTGTCAATACATGTATACTTATATACAATTTATACATATTACTTCATTTTAACTTTTAATTTTAAATTAAATTGAACTGGAAAGAAAGAAAAAAATGAATAATTGCATTGGCTTAACATAGGCAGTCCATGCTCTAATATGTGTTTATGTATAAGCTGAAACTGGCTCCATAAGTAATAAATTTACTTCTACTGTAATATATTCTCTCAAAAAATGTACTTTGCAAATGTTTCTTCCTCAAAAATGATCTTGCAGCAAAATACAAGAATTATGTAAATATAGCAATTTTGAAAAGTATTTCTACTTTCCGATCGTATTTGAAATGCAGGACTATGACATCAATGGTCTCCATTAGTTGTATAGAAACACTTATAGTTAATTGGCAGGATTAATGTAAGCATTACTGACTCTCTTAACAACTAGGGTCAAAGTAAATTGGATATACATGTTAAATAAAATCTAAGCAGTCAAAAATAATTGACCTGGTCTTAGTTTCATTGATAATCAACTAAAGTTTGTCATTAATTCCAACCCTGGAATTTATACTCGTATTTGAGACAATATCTTACAAGTAGATACAGATATATATATATACTAAAAAATCATTATTGAAGTTAGAAGGTAAAAAGACTGATTTTGTGAAACTTTCATCTGGAAAAATGAAAGAATGAAACATTAGCATAGCTTACTTTAAAACAGAAAATATATTATACTTATTTTCAACCCTGTGTAGAGTTTATAATTAAAATTAATAAAAAGTAACATAAGTCAGGAAGTAAAGTAGTGATTTAAGCTGCTGACAACTACAATGCTCAGAACATTGTAGATATTGAATCTATTTTTTGGGGGTCCAACTTAATTGATTGAGAAGAATCTTGGTGATCATGAGGGACTGTGGGTTGTTATAACATTGCTGGCAATATGCACACGGAAAAGCTATTGATTGAAATCATGAGCTATTTCCAGTAAAATGCCTGGAGGGAACACAAAGTCTGGCAAATTATAAGAAATTCTGATTGAATTGTACTAATGCATGAACAGTGATGGACTGATGGTTATGTCAAATATATAACCATGTAGCATTCAGAACATGCTTGCAAATGATGATAGAGTGAAAGGCTTATATTCTAGATTTAAAACAAACATTTTTTCTTTTCACAAAATTTTACAAAAATAGAACATAAAGTTAAGACAACCAATGTATGGGATTGATTTATTTTAAAATTTCAGAATGGTGAGCATAGGGAGTGATTGATATGCAGGATGTCGGAGTTCAGAATAGGAGGGCTTTTCTTCACCTCCAAGTTTGACTCTGGCAATCTTTCTCGGGTAGAGAAGGTGTACAGGGATGATGAAGAAGAAGGCGGTGGTGGTAAGTAAATTTGTGCTTTCTACACAGTAAACAGTAATATTATTTTGAAAGGATTACCATCACACAATAAACAGTATTATCACTTTTCTATGATGTAAAATAGATCACAGATTGAAAACACACAGATTGCTGTTAAAATGGGATTTACAAGAGTCATTAATATTAAATTGTTTAATTTTGTATAAATGTTCAATTTTGATTTGACAGTGTAGTAAATGAAATGGACAACAGTCTGTTTTTGCCAGGAGTTAATTAATTACTACATACACCATAGCAATAGTGTTAGAATTCTCCGTCAAATGTAAATTTGTTATGGTGATACAATTAGGAACTGTAGTCAAATCTTTGAAGATTTGTTAAATAGATGAAACACCAAGCATTGAATGACACCAAAGATTTGCTAAATCACTATGATAGTACATGGGTTAATCTAGAATTTGGGTGAATTTTTAGCCTATTTTGAGAAATGGAGATATTTCTGACAGCCCTTTCGGTCTTAATTCAAAAGAGGGATATGATTAAAGTAAATGGCATACATGCAGATTACATGATAGGACAATGTTGAGGTTAGAATGATTTTCCCTTTTCATAATGGCATGATTTGAAACAGAAAATGTTTAAGCAGAAATACACAAATTATCTCTGTTTTGGGGGAAATTTCCCGTTGTTTTCAGTACATTTTCTTGATTGGGAATTAGTTTATATTCCGAGGGGAAAACATACCACTAGGAGAATTCTACCCTTTTCCGGTAGAGAAATATGACTGGATTAATTCCTGTAGGATGCCTGCTCTAAGTAGATTGATTTAACATTTCAGGTGGGTTTTATAGTGAGCCCAAACCGGACTATGAATACAATGTATGGACCAAGCCAGATTGTGCAGAAACTGAGTTTGAAAATGGCAACAGGTGACAAATACAAATTCTATATTGTTATGATAAAATTTCAACAGATTTTTAATGTGCAATATTATATCATTTATGCAGAGTATTTCCTTTAGAAATGTCAAAATGAAAATGTTGAAATTTGTGTTCAACCTTTTTGTCTTCTGTGAAATGTTTGAAACTGATAAGGATAAGTGAAAAAAAAAGCCCACCATCCAAAATTAAATCTGTAATTCTTTTCTGCTCAGGTCTTGGTTTTACTTCGGGATCAGAGGTTGGAATCCTAACAGGCTAATCAAGATCAACATCATGAATTTGAACCGACAGGGCAAGTTGTACAGCCAAGGCCATGCCCCATTCACAAGGACTCTCCCTGGGAAACCTCGCTGGGACCGGATCAGGGACAAGCCTACATATGAAGTACACATATATTTATTGGTGGTGATTTTATCAGTGATATTTAAATGAACAACATTAACACATATTATGAACCAGTACATTTGCAATATATTTAATTCCTGCATAAAAAGTAAGAGGTGACATCTGAATAAATCTGGTTTTTACCAACATTTGTTCAGTTCCAAATGGCATTTTGATTAATCAGCCACCTCTCTGATCGTCTTTCCAGTCATTAAACATTATCAAATGTACTAATGCTGTTACATTTTTTATACTGTGATATCTTTCAGACAATAGACGGTCAGTTTAACCATACCTTTTACTGTGATATTTTTTCATACATTAGATGGTCAGTTTATCCTTACCTTTACTTTGATACTGTGATATTTTTTTCAGACAATAGACGGTCAGTTTATCCTGACCTTTACATACCGATTCCCTGACCTCAAGGGAGCTATGACCTACTTTGCCTTCTGTTTCCCTTGGTCTTATACCGAGACCCAAGAACAATTGAATCAACTAGATGTGAAATTTGCCGATGCCAAAAATCTTACCTCAAAAAGGTACGTGTCTCAGACATTGTCTCATTGCGTGATTTGTTATGTGGTGACAGGAACACTTACACCGCCACTGTGTGAACTGAAGGGCAAGCATCTCATGTTTTTGTCCTGATCAGAGTGCTATCATAAATATAGAAAGCTACTTTGTGAGGTGAAAGCTTTCATCAATGCACCTGTTGTTATCATTACTGACAGATTTTAATGAATAATCACAATATAAGTGATCACTCAAGGTGCCTATTCCTAAAATAGAATTTTACCATGTTTTCAGTAGAGAGGGAAATATTTTCGAAAGAAAATTAAAATGGTTTTTGACATTGACTTTTCAGTAACCCAGACAGCATTTATTACCATAGAGAACTTCTGTGTAAGTCCTTAGACAATCTACGCATTGAGTTAGTCACCATATCATCTTGCCATGGTATTGTTGATGAAGAAGAGCCTCGTTTTGACAGTAATCTCTTCCCAGAAAAAGACGTACCAAGACCAAAGAAATTCAGAGGGAAGCGGGTAAGAATGGAAATGTCTTTGTGTCTTCACTTAAAAATCATCATAGGGATTTCTTTAATCTGGAGATTGACTACTCATGATCACTTGTTAAATGGTATGCTGACTAGTGTTAACATATTTTTTGTAAAAATGCAGGCACAGTTTTTCATATATCTGAGTATATATCCATTTTGAACTTTCATTGAATAGTGTATTTATTTGGATGTATCTATTTTGTCTCTGTACAGGTGTACCTGTTGAGTAGTAGAGTCCATCCTGGTGAAACACCTGCTAGTTATGTCTTTAATGGTTTCCTTGATTTGATCTTAAGAGAAAATGATCCACGTGCCAAAGCTCTTCGGAAGCAATTTGTTTTTAAAATGATTCCATTGTTGAATCCTGATGGAGTTCAGAGGGGACATTACAGGACAGATCAACGAGGTGTGAACCTGAATAGGTTATACCTTGACCCCGATATCAATCTCCACCCATCAATTTATGCATCAAAAAGTATTCTAGTGTATCATCACATTAAAAACCGTGTTGTAAAAGAAGGTGATAAAATAGATATAAAAGTTACCTTTCCAGGGTCTAATGTTGTGTCTTCTAGTCCAGATATTCCTAAATATTTACCCCAGTCTGCCAAAAACTCTAAACTCCCTCCAAAACCGGAAGACAATAAAGGGGAAATGCAGGCAACTGCTGGTGCTAACTCAATGGGAGATCACAATACTAACAACAATCACAGTTTTATGAATGGAGGACATGTAAGTGTGGAAAATTCTCTTCAGACCAAAGAAAATTCTTGGGTGACTGAAAATCATGACAGTGGCTTGTTGCCTCCTAAAATGAAAGTAGAAAAGTTAAATCTGGCTGGCCTAGATGGGACTGATACATCACTGTATGGAGACAACAATATGACTGTAGAAAATTCCATGGATGATCAAGGACGTTTGTCATCTTCCTGTAGCAGTATACTCAGTAATGCCACAATACAAGACCGGAGAACTGTTGACAGTGAGTTAAGGCTCCGACTCTCGGAGTTAAACATGTCGGACGATAACTGTCGGGGGAAGTTATCACACATGAGTATGTTGACTATGAGTGTAGGATTAAATGATTCTGACAACGAAGATCCCAATACAGAACATTTGGGTAATGAAGGTTCAGAGGATGAAGGGGATTTTACACCGTCCATGATCACTCGTACAAACTCTCCTCATCTATCCTCTCCATGTTTACGAGAAATTCCTCCTCAGGAAAGTGGGATTGCTTTTTATGTTGACTTGCACGGACATGCCTCCAAAAGAGGATGCTTTATCTACGGAAATTATTTTGAAAATGAGGATACTCAGGTAAGTAGTTTGATAAGTACAAATGAAATCACAATAAGGTGTTATAAGTTTACTGGTCTAAAAGAACTGAGTTGAATATGTCCCAATTTTTCATATGGCTTCACCTTATAATAGATAGCAAATCTTTTTATAAATCGAATTGCATATGCTATTTGTTCAGTTGGAACTTTGGATGAGTTGCTATTAAGTTAATGCATGATAATGTAATGCTGACAAGGAATGTACGTCATTCAAATAACAAATGAGATGCACAGTTTAGGTCAAAGATAAAATGTAATATATTGGGTGAAATGTTTTATCGGACAGAAGCTTACTTCATTCCTTTACGATAACTCCATGACCCAGAGTAGTAATACTATATGCTTCCTTGGAAGGAAAAACTTCAAGTTTCTTGAGCTATTTTTAATAGTATGGTATGAAAAAACTTTGTTTAGATAAAATATTAAATCACTGAATTATTAAAGTTAGCTATTAATTAATTCCATTGCTGGCCCTGAATATGGAAAGTTGAATATTGTGTAAATGTGGAATTTAAATCCTCTTGTTGGTTTCAGGTGGAGAATATGCTATTTCCAAAGCTGATTTCCATGAACACGGCCCATTTTGATTTCACAGGCTGTAACTTCAGTGAGCGTAATATGTACACAAAGGATAAACGTGATGGGATGTCTAAGGAGGGCAGTGGACGAGTGGCCATATACAAAGCCCTAGGCATTATACACAGGTGTTTATAGATTCTAGTGGCCTTTATTAACAACAGTGTATAGTAATTTGTAGACCTATGAGAATTGTTGCTGACTGATTAAATTTTTATTCAGTTTTAATGATAAAAATGATATTAGGGTTTTCAGACCTGTTGGGGCAATCATGAATTTATCTTGTAGTCTTGTATTTCAACATTTTATGTTTATATGTTTCAAGTTATACATTGGAGTGTAATTACAACACTGGAAGGATGGTGAACCCTGTTCCTCCAGCCTATGGGGACGATGGCCGGGCGACACCCCCTCCAATGGCAGCATTTCCTCCCAGATACACACAAGCTCACTTTGAAGAGGTTTGTTAAAGAACAAAGAAGTGATAGTTTGACTAATATAACAGCAATGATGTGAATTTAGCTGGTTACTGTTTTATGTGCTATGTATATCAACTATGATATTTGTTTCAAGATCTGACAGTAAATTTAACGCTTGTAACTGCTTCAGTATTATTGACCTTAAATAATATTACCAATAACAATTTCCTGTTTAGATATTGATAGGTCTTAACATAGATTGATAAAATGTCTTTATTTAGGTTGGCTTAGCCGTGTATATGATATTTTCCTTTTTATGTTGGCCAAGCTCAGTAAACAATACACTTCCTTTTAGATTATCCAGGTTCTGTGTTTTTGATTGGCCAAGCTCTGTCTATTACAATTTTACTGTTTAGGTTTCCTAAACTCTGTCGCATTAACTTTCTGCATTGATTGGCCAAGCTCTGTCTATTACAATTTTACTGTTTAGGTTTCCTAAGCTCTGTCTCATTAACTTTCTGTTTCAATTTGTCAAGCTCTATTACAATTTTACTGTTTAGGTTTGCTGAGCTCTGTCTCATTAACTTTCTGTTTCGATTGGCCGAGCTCTGTCTATTACTATTTTCTGTTTAGGTTGGTCGAGCTCTGTCTATTACTATTTTCTGTTTAGGTTGGTCGAGCTCTGTCTATTACTATTTTCTGTTTAGGTTGGTCGAGCTCTGTCTATTACTATTTTCTGTTTAGGTTGGCCGAGCTCTGTCTATTACTATTTTCTGTTTAGGTTGGTCGAGCTCTGTCTATTACTATTTTCTGTTTAGGTTGGTCGAGCTCTGTCTATTACTATTTTCTGTTTCGATTGGCCGAGCTCTGTCTATTACTATTTTCTGTTTAGGTTGGTCGAGCTCTGTCTATTACTATTTTCTGTTTAGGTTGGCCAAGCTCTGTCTATTACTATTTTCTGTTTAGGTTGGCCAAGCTCTGTCTATTACTATTTTCTGTTTAGGTTGGTCGAGCATTATCTATTGCTGCTCTGGATTACACTGACACAAACCCCTGGTCTAGACTGACTTTGTCAGAGATGAACAGCATACATGGAGTGCGGGAGAGTGTTAAACGGTACCTCAGAAGTATGAGAGGAGGGCCAAGAATTCCTAGAAATCCTTCTAAATCCTTTGTTAAAAACAGGTGTGTATCACTAGGAAAGTTTGAGTACATTGCCTCTTCCATTGTATGGGAGGCTGGATGGAGAATAGAAAACTTGTAGATCAGAACATGAGAAATATTTTAAAGTATTATGTTTGAAGAGCTGAGTATCTGTACTTAAATTAGACACAATAGGTAAACCATCCAATGAAAATGACATAGGGACTGTTTTCATGTCAGAGAATTGAGAATTGTTGTCCCCTCACATGTCAGGCATTTAATAACTAAACCATGATTTGAGAATTAGATGTTGATGTGAAATAGTTTATTTGCAGTTTAGTGACATCAATTAAATAGCATATGAAATGTAAGAAATGCTGATAACAAGCTCATCAATCCAAACAAATGTTTTATAAATAAATGTATGGAATTTAGTGGTATTATTTTGGATGTATATTATATATGATTTTAGAAACCCACCTATAAAGTGAAATTTTACTTCATTTTTTTTCCTGCAGCATTACAACTAACCAGAACAATAACCGATTAAATCGTACCAACAACGATCCAGGACCTGGAGGCCGCCAACTTCCTGCTCGCATGAACTCTGTGGAATCCACCGCTAGTAGTAGCAATTCTGCCTCACGCTTCAGTCGTCGTGATATGCAGACCACACAGAACCAGAAGAGGGAGCTTGGACCAGTCAGGGAAAGTAGGTATCACTTATGTCATTATGATAGTTTTGGAGATGTGGAACATAACTCCAAGAGGCTGTACAGAACCAAATACACATCTTAACCTTATAGAATAGGTCCATCTATCTAGATTGTGTAAATATTTTGATAATAAAAAAACTCATTTTGGTGTAAGTACAATGTAGTAACTCACTAGTTTAAATGGTAGTGGTAGGAACTCAGTGTAGTATGATTAACACAATAAGTGACTCCAATATAACTTGTAGAGTGCCTATAACTGTAACACTCATTTCAGTGAAGTTTGAATAGTGACTTACTCATATGAAATTGGCAGCAAAGACACACTTTTGTAGAAGTTATACAGTGACTTTCTCAAGTGCAATTAGTGTATTGTAAGATTGTTGTGACTCAGTCATGCGTTACTATCACAGAGACTCACTGTAATGTGACACTATCATATTTTGTATACCTTACCAACTAAAATAATTCATATTCTTATTTCTTTGTTTACATTAGAATCATTTGTCATTTTTGAAGAATATGGTGCAACAATATTTTATAAAGTCTTTAGTACAAAAACATGTGAAGCATTGTCACTGTAGTGGTTTTACAGCCTCATCAGACTTGACTTGATTTATCAGTAGCTACTTTTATTTTTCTACAGCTACCAGGCCTACCATTGCACCGCAACAAAGGCGACGTGGACCTAATGCACCTAACTTTGGGTCGACGACCTCCCGGTCTTTGGGTCAGCCAAGCAGTTCAGGCAGTGGGTCAGCTCCAGTCACACTCACACTGACCAACAGTCAGAACAATGAGGTGAAAGTGATGCGACAACTGTCGGCTGATGCGACAACTCGTAGTCCTGATGATGAGAAGTTACAGCCCTTACGTCATGTGAACTTGGTAAACCCAAATTTGTTATTTCTAGAATATAATTCATCAGTATTGTTTTAAAATTCACTGTATGTTATGAAAGGACAACATATATTTTTAGTTAAAAGTGGATCTTGTAGGAAACGAGCAATTTTTTAAAGTCAATATTTGATAATCAGTTTTACTTTTTCAGTTAGCTATAGCAAAGAAATCGGGTCCACCTAGTCGGATTCCGCTACCCACTGGAAATCAGGGTGTTAAAATGGATGTTCAGACTCCACAGGATTTACCACCCCCTAGGGTGCCAAGTGGACGCTGCGGTTCTCGCTATGGTCAGAGATCAAACATGCAGGCATACCCATTGAAGAAAGCTAATGCTGAACAGTTACCATCAGAAACTCCACGTCATTCCATTGCAGATGGACTCCTGGCTAGTCCATCATCTGTAGGACCAAACGCCACTGGTAACTTATACAGTCTCAATAACATCCGTCAAAGTGCTGCCTCAAACATGGTACACAGTGCACGTAGCATGCACAGCCTTGGACCATCTTCTTCCCTTGGAGGTCAGGTGTCCTCCCCCAGCATCTCTGGGGCAAATCACTCAGCATCAGGACCTAATCTTGGCCAGCCTGATATGGATTTGTCTGGGCCCCTACCACAGCCCCCATCCTCAGCAGCTGAGAATCTTACAGTCACTGAACCTAACAAGTGGGTATCACAAGAAATATTTCTGTATCAGATTTTTCAATACATCAGTTTGCTATAATATCAAGTGTACGATTTATTTTGATAATAACTTAATGTAAACTCATGAACATCTTCAAATAAGAAATGAGATAAGTACACAACATATTAATAGAAGACTTTCTCCTTCAAGATACTTCATTCATATATTTACTGCATTCAGGAGGTTTTTGTTTATCACACAGCTATGCTGTTATAAACATTGTGTAGAAAAAAAGATTATTATTGCCATACTTGTAATATGACCTAGTAGAACTGTAATTGGATGAAGTTTCCCATTGTTCTTATTACAACATCACAACATCATGACATCATCAACACTGTGACATGACATAAGGAAGAGATACAGAGTGAGAGTATTTCCAATTCAAATTTCGTATCAGGAAGTTTTCACAAATGTTTGCAAAAGTATCTAAGTTTTATGATAAAGAAAATCATTTCAATTCTGATGAGATTTATGAAATTTGTCACAAATTTTTTCACTTTGTCTTTGTCAAAGACTGGTTTAAATGAAATAAAAATTGAAAAATCTTCTTTCATAAATATCATGAATTGAAATACCTGTAATATCTTCTATATATACTTACATAATGATAGTGTTAGCGGTATAGGTACATCAGCGGTTCACATCTATCTCTTGTTGGGAAACTGCAAATGACTGTCCATTAGAGAAAATAAAAGTTTCTGTCCATAGCTCAAGATAATGATTTCAGGTGTGTAAGCTATGAACTTTATCCATAGGAATACTTGAAGATGATTGCTCCTGCTTTTGAAAATTATCAAAAGAAAATCTTTTTTAAGTAAATTACCTTTAACAGAAATGTTAGAAAATAGTGACAATGTTAAATGCTTTAGATTTCAACTTACACTTATACCTGCTTTGACAAAAGTTTTATAAATGGCCTTCTGCAACAGTGAATCTCCAAAACGCCGTCGCCGATACATGTACTTGAAGAGGAGAAACCCAAGTCCTAAGATGGGAAGTGCAGGGAACAAGGGACAGCACAGACAGCCGGGTATGGCTGACACTTCCAGTAGTGAAGCTAGGTCTGGTAGGCGTAGACGCCGCAAATCTATGAGGAAGGTCAATCAGTCGCCATCATCAGATGAGACTGGAGGCCAAGGTAATGACTGTTCGCATGATGTGATGTATGGTGTATCAGTTTGGAGTGGATGAGGGAAGTAGGTACAGATGGTGAATGGTGTTGGTTTTTTGTAGATGGAGGGGTAGTCATTGTCTGTAGTTACAAATGATGCAGGGTGTGTTTTGTGTAGGTGTTTGGAATGAAGGATGGGATTCTTTGTTTGTAGGTACAGGCACTGAGGAGTGTGGGTTTTGTGGTGAAGGGGGAAAGTCATTGTTTACAGATGATGAAGGGATGGAAAGCATAACATAAATGGGGTATAGATTATTTGTGTCTGTAATGATTTTTGAAAATTTTTCCTTGTATAGATGTTAGGGATGATCACAGGAAACGCATGTAGGATATTGTTTAAACTGCAGGTAATATGGTACAGTCAAACTTGCAGGAGAGGAGACCTGTTTACAGTGGACACCTTACTGTGGACAATTTTGGTCATCCAAATTAATTTTATTATAAATATTTTATATAGCAGGCACTGCTTTACTGGGGACATAGTTTTGCAGTTTAAAAATTATGTATGTCTTGATACAGAGAAATTCCACCATTGAGTAATTCATCTATTCAATATAAATTATCTCCCTTTTCTAGTTCCTATTCTTGAAACAGTCCATTCTGGGTTATCTATCATAACAGCAATATGAGCTGGGGAATGTGGTAAATAGAATGTGGAACAGTTCAGATACAGGTTATGGGTTTGATTACTGTTGGGAAGGGGCTGCTTTTGAATGTGTTTGATTATAGAGTGAGATTTTCATACATTTAAGGTTGGGCCATAGTAATACTAATCCTTTAATCTGGGAGGATTGTGTGTGCATTAAGTAGTCTGCTTCCATTGTGCTTGCTAGATGTAAAAATTAATAGATTTGTTGTAACCTGCATGTTAAACTGTTGATGAAATGGCTGCATGTTGTTTTCTCTGATTTGTGTATTATAAGCTGTCCCACAGCTAGAAAATGAACCTAAATGTTTATGTTTCTTTCTGAAATCAACATTTTAATTTACCATACTTATTTTAACACGGCTATGAAATTGTCAAATTTGTGACATATAAGAATATATATGAGCTTATGTCTTTGTTCCCCCTTCAATACATTTTCTAAGAAAAGGATATCAATAGAATCCTTGTGACACTGGTTCTGAATTACGGTTATACTCTACCATTATGGAAATCCTGACATATTTTGTTCACAGTAACCAGTCTTCTACTCTAATGTTAAATATGCATGTTTGTTTCAATTTAGCTAAATATATGTTGTAATTCAATAGAGATGTTTGTGACCACCTAAGTTTGAATATAAGCTTTATCAGGTAATCTTTTCACCTGTATGATAACATCACATAATGTATGATATATATATGATATGTAATTTGAATTGTGAATAAATAATATTTTTATGAATTTCAGATTTTTTGTATTGGAGACAGCAGTTTGCTCCATGAACATGTCTTTACAATACCTAAATGATCTGTTATAGATCAGTATTTCTCCTTGGTTATTTAAAAACCTGAAAAGAGCAGATACATATCTGTATGTAGACAAGAAGAAATATTGCTTTTTGGTGATTCATTAGTTTAAGTGAAATGTGCAGATGGTGTATTGCTACACAATATAGACTAGCTCTTGTTTCATAATTTTTCAAACCAAATGGTTTCCTTTCAGTAATGTTAGGCCTTGCAGCAGGCAAGTACTGTCCACACCGCTATTAGTGCCTTAGCTCTGTACATAACAGATGTTAACACTGAGGGCTGCTTGGCTTACTAAAACTTGAATAGTCCTACAACAGTTTACTGTAGTGTAGCAGGAATATCTGTAATAGATATTAACATTATGTGTGACTTCACAATAATGAGATAATGTTACCTTTTGTTTTTTATGGTAAATCTCCCTTCATTTTTTTTTTTTTTTTTTCGCTTTAAAGAATATCATATTTGTAAACAGAATACATCATATGAAAGGAGTCAAAAAACAATTATTATTAATTCAAATGTGTAACAATGCTGAGATTTTTAAGTTGTGTACTTAGGATAATATTTTACAGTCCATATTTTATGTTGTATCCTTATTCTCTGTGTGCTGCTTTTTCACATTTACAATTTATCATTATTAAATAGGTAAATATGTTGTAGATAGATTTTGTATTAGACCAACAACACTAATATCAATATATCACTGCAAATGTACATGGCACACACATTTTAAGGGAGAACATTACTATTATTAAACCAGATACCAGTGTATAACACAGCTAGGCTAGTTTTTTCTGTGCAATGCATATATTTAGATTAGATACTAATGCATCAACTTGCTCATGTTTAGACAGCAGGAAAATAACAACCAACTTTGTATATAAATTTTGAAGTTGTGTGCTCCTTGTGTGATCATCTACCAGGGGTGTGTAGTCCATGTTATCACAGGAATAGCCATTGTTTTGCTGTACTGTCAGTGCATTATAAAGTTTGGAGTAATTTTTTTTTAATTGATTTTTTTGATTGATGATTTTGCTTTTGTTTTCATTAAAAAAAGATTAATGTTTTGTCTGCATCATCATAATTGGTTCCTTGGTATATTTTTTTCCTGGAGTGTTTGTGGTGTGTACAGTTTGATGGATTTTTGTTGATATGAAAGAGCTATGCTAGATTTGACTGATTATTTCATTGCTAAAATTTTTCACTTTTTGGTTGGAATTTTGACAGCACTCTCACTTGTTATAGATTTTCTCACTAAAGGGTGAATTATATCCTGGATATTAATGAGTAGCAGTGAACATATCAATGTAGTTAGATACTATTTTGGTTCAAGAATAACATTTTATTGACTGCTAATTAAATTTAAGCAGCATTTGAAATTGGGTAATTATATATCTATGTGCCAGAGTTTTTTGAAAATCTTTAAATAAAGAGAAACGTAGAGACAAAAAGTGACTAAAGGAAATTCCACTGACTCCTGTTGGACAGCAATGTATCATGACATATTTTAAACACTTTATTAATAAATTGATTGGTATAAAAATAAAGATAAAGGATATTCTGTTGATTTTAATAGAACTATGGAGGGGAGACTTACTTATTGATAAAGAGATAGTAGTGAAAACCTCATCAAACCCATCTAAAGAAAATGTCAGCTGCAGTAATAGAATCCATCTGTAAAATGTCCTGAATCTGAATAATACCTACCATCAAAGAAATGAATATGTGGCCGTTATCACCCAACCCAACCCTCCTAGGACTTAGTTTTCATAAAAAAAACCCCTTGAAATCCTTGATATGTTTGTAAATTAGAAGGATCTGTCTCCCATCATTGATAATGATTATACTGCCTTTCATCATATTCAAGTGCAGACATGTGATCGTAATCTTAATAAGTTGCATCTTTTTGCACATACAGTGGACTTTGGTTTAAGTAGTGCTGCTGGTGGAAACGGCAACACACTGGACGCCGCCAACATGAAAGTGTCACCAAGGTAACGCCCTCTACTGCCCAACTTTTGCTGTGTTTTTATTGGACACAGCTCCTCTTCCCAAGTTACCTCCCCTTTGTTTATTTGTTAATTGCTTTTGAGCTTATGTATGACAGCTATTTCAAGAAATACAATAGAGATTAATAAATGATATATCAGTATTATGTTTCAAATCATATGTTAGATTTAAGACAAAATTGGTTTTTATCTAAACAATAAAGAGAACAATGTCTAACACAAAGTTAATGTGTACATGATCAGGATAATGATGATACGATGTTAACATTTCAATCTACCTACAAAAGGGAGATAACTTTCTTGTATCCAGCATCCTTAGATTATATACCTAGGAATATATGCTGGTTTTAATGTACTCGGAAGCTTGAAATAAAACAATATAAACTACATAGCTAGTTTAGAAATCACATTGATTAGGCATGATTGATTAGGAATAGATCTTGGCTAAATAACAGAAATTTAAAGGCTTTAAATTAGTCCCCTAGTTACTTGGTCACGCCAGCTATTAATAGGCTGTATCTTGTGTAGAGAGATATGTTAAAATCTTATTTTGTACCTCGGTCTTCTAGAGGTTCTTCACAGACATATAAATCACTCTGTTGGCTGTTCACAGTTGTGGTTTGACTGTAAACCTGTTCTGTCTTGTTGTTTGGTGCAAAATTCACTTTTATCAAAAAATGATGCTGTATCACATCTGATCATTTCAAATTAATTTTATTCACAAGTTTTTCATCTTGTTTGTTTGGTTTTTATTGCTGTGTACTCCATGTGAGCAAGTATGAGGTTTTCTCACTATTTGTAAAACAAGGAGCGTGTTGATGTTCAAGGTTACTTATAGAAGTACATGTACCAAGCTTAAAACAGGCTACTGGTCAAGTATCAAAATGAATTAACGGCCAGTATCAGACTCATTATCAAGGTAAACCTTCAGCAGGCTACTGGCTTACTGTCACTGTAAGCTACTAGCCTGTTGTTACAGTAAACCATTTTTGCAGGCTTCTGGTCTGTTATCACCGTAAACCTTCAGTAGATTAATGGCCTTTTGTCACTTTCAACCAACAGCTGGCTATTGGCCTGTTGTCACTGTTAACCAACAGAATAGGCTACTGGCCTGTTGTCACTGTTAACCTACAGAATAGGCTATTGGCCTGTTGTCACTGTTTCAACAGAATAGGCTACTGGCCTGTTGTCAATATTAACCTACAGAATAGGCTACTGGCCTGTTGTCACTGTTAACCTACAGAATAGGCTACTGGCCTGTTGACACTGTTAACCTACAGAATAGGCTATTGGCCTGTTGTCACTGTTAACCTACAGAATAGGCTATTGGCCTGTTGTCACTGTTTCAACAGAATAGGCTACTGGCCTGTTGTCAATATTAACCTACAGAATAGGCTACTGGCCTGTTGTCACTGTTAACCTACAGAATAGGCTACTGGCCTGTTGACACTGTTAACCTACAGAATAGGCTACTGGCCTGTTGTCACTGTTAACCTACAGAATAGGCTACTGGCCTGTTGTCACTGTTCACCTACAGAATAGGCTACTGGCCTGTTGTCACTGTTAACCTACAGAAAAGGCTACTGGCCTGTTGTCACTGTTAACCTACAGAATAGGCTATTGGCCTGTTGTCATTGTTAACCTACAAAATAGGCTACTGGCCTGTTGTCACTGTTAACCTACAGAATAGGCTACTGATCTGTTGATACTGTAAGCCTTTACAGTGGGTGACTAGCCTATATCTGCTGGATACTTACATTAGGCTACGGGCATAATATTACGGTATACATACAGCATGCTACTGGCCTTTTGTCACTGTAAATCTACAGTAAGCTACTGGCTGCCTGTTGTTATTGTATTAAAACCTACAACAGGGTACTGATCTATAATAAGAAAATCTGTGTAACTTTGCGTCTCTAATAACATTTACTATATTAGTTTCTTTTCTGGTATTAGTAGACTGACCCGTGTTCGTCACCCTCAACAAAGATAATATGAAGTACATATTTATGTTATTAGATACCTTTTTACCCTGACATCTCAATAGGATATGTCTTTGTATAGAACCTACAGAACCCTTGTAACATCATGTTATCTATTGTCTTGGAACAGGATCATATCCCTGACTATGGTAGGTACTCTGGGCTGTAGTCACCTGGCTTAATCTGTACAACCCTTTTTATTTCATGATGGACAGAATTAACATTTTAGTCAGAGTAAGAATGGATCACTTCACATGAATATGTTTGTAAAGCTGAAATTGTAGTCATCTTGAAATTAAAGTGTTGTACAGTGAAATTTTGCATGGTGTATACCTTGATTTATTGGACCTGTATTGCACATGTACAGGGACTGTGTGATACTATATGCATGATGCACTTATTTTTTTACTTTTTCATAATGATGTGGCAAGATTTTTTTCTCTCACAGAAATGGTGTTTATCTTACTGGAATTGTGTACAACAGAGCTTACTCTCTTGTTTCATTTTGTGCTGATATGTAAAAATTCTTGAATTATAATTCTAGCTGTTATGGTTTTTTTATTTTCTTAATTTTAACACCGACTTTGATATTGATGACATGGAGTGAGATACTGGTAGCTTATAACATCCTCAATGATGATATATTTAAGCTCTTTTATGATTCACCCCCTTTGTGTATTGTTTATTGATTTGAACTTTAATTGATTTAGAGTGATTTATGTACTCCACTAATTGTAACTTTTGTTTGTGATATAATTCTTATAAAGTAAAATTTCTCTGTGATATATATTTAAGATGAAAATGTATTTGTTTTATTAGAGCCTTCCACCTATTGTGAAAAGATCTGTTGTAAGAAATATCTTTTCTTTCTGTTTTTGATTAGGTATCATGTATTAAGCACATAAAGCATGGGTTGTTTTAAATTGTATCTATTAGAAAGATCACATGTATCCTTGTAGTTCAATCTTTGAAATAATCTTTTTTTTTAACAACTTTTATGTTCAAATGGAAAATGGCCGTACTGACATTATGTGTGTGTTTATATATATGGATGTATGAATAGATTACTTCTTAACATATCCCAATAGTGTAACTTCAGATTTTCTGCTTTATCTTTAGTAGCTTGCTGTTTTAGAAAGAGAGAGGATTGAGGAAATCTTAATAGAAAACTTCATATCAATTTAGTTAATAATGTAGCCTAGCCAATAACAAGTGATGATTTCCTCTCCAGGGAAATCTTGTGATATTGTAAGGAATGTTGTCCCTTTATAGGGAAACCTCGTGTAACGGTAGGGAATGATGCTGTCTCTTTATACGGAAACCATGTGTAACTGTAGGGAATGATGCTGTCTCTTTATACGGAAACCGTGTGTAACTGTAGGGAATGATGCTGCCCTCTCTAGGGAAACCTTGTGTAGCTGTAGGAGTGATGCTGTCCTCTCTAGGGAAACCTTGTGTAACTGTAGAAGTGATGTTGTCCTCTCTAGGGAAACCTTGTGTAACTGTAGGAGTGATGCTGTCCTCTCAAGGGAAACCTTGTGTAGCTGTAGGAGTGATGCTGTCCTCTCTAGGGAAACCTTGTGTAACTGTAGGAGTGATGCTGTCCTCTCTAGGGAAACCTTGTGTAACTGTAGGAGTGATGTTGTCCTCTCTAGGGAAACCTTGTGTAACCATAGGGAATGATGCTGTCCTCTCTAGGGAAACCTTGTGTAACTATAGGGAATGATGCTGTCCTCTCTAGGGAAACCTTGTGTAACTGTAGGGAATGATGCTGTCCTCTCTAGGGAAACCTTGTGTAACCATAGGGAATGATGATGTCCTCTCTAGGGAAACCTTGTGTACCCATAGGGAATGATGCTGTCCTCTCGAGGGAAACCTTGTGTAACTGTAGGAGTGATGCTGTCCTCTCTAGGGAAACCTTGTGTAACTGTAGGAGTGATGCTGTCCTCTCAAGGGAAACCTTGTGTAACTGTAGGGAATGATGCTGTCCTCTCTAGGGAAACCTTGTGTAGGGAATGACTGTAGGGAAAGGTGTAACTGTCCTCTCTAGGGAAACCTTGTGTAACTGTAGGGAATGATGCTGTCCTCTCTAGGGAAACCTTGTGTAACTGTAGGGAATGATGCTGTCCTCTCTAGGGAAACCTTGTGTAACTGTAGGGAATGATGCTGTCCTCTGTAGGGAAACCTTTTGTAACCATAGGGAATGATGCTGTCCTCTCTAGGGAAACCATGTGTAACTGTAGGAGTGATGCTGTCCTCTCTAGGGAAACCTTGTGTAACTGTAGGAGTGATGCTGTCCTCTCTAGGGAAACCTTGTGTAACAAGGGAAACCTTGTGTAATTGTAGGGAATGATGCTGTCCTCTCTAGGGAAACCTTTTGTAACCATAGGGAATGATGATGTCCTCTCTAGGGAAACCTTGTGTAACTGTAGGGAATGATGCTGTCCTCTCTAGGGAAACCTTGTGTAACCTTAGGGAATGATGCTGTCCTCTCTAGGGAAACCTTTTGTAACCATAGGGAATGATGATGTCCTCTCTAGGGAAACCTTGTGTAACTTTAGGGAATGATGCTGTCCTCTCTAGGGAAACCTTGTGTAACTGTAGGGAATGATGCTGTCCTCTCTAGGGAAACCTTGTGTAACTGTAGGGAATGATGCTGTCCTCTCTAGGGAAACCTTGTGTAACTGTAGGGAATGATGCTGTCCTCTCTAGGGAAACCTTGTGTAACTGTAGGAGTGATGCTGTCCTCTCTAGGGAAACCTTGTGTAACTGTAGGAGTGATGCTGTCCTCTCTAGGGAAACCTTGTGTAACTGTAGGGAATGATGCTGTCCTCTCTAGGGAAACCTTGTGTAACTGTAGGGAATGATGCTGTCCTCTCTAGGGAAACCTTGTGTAACTGTAGGGAATGATGATGTTGTCCTCTCTAGGGAAACCTTGTGTAACTGTAGGAGTGATGCTGTCCTCTCTAGGGAAACCTTGTGTAACTGTAGGAGTGATGTTGTCCTCTCTAGGGAAACCTTGTGTAACTGTAGGGAATGATGCTGTCCTCTCTAGGGAAACCTTGTGTAACTGTAGGGAATGATGCTGTCCTCTCCATGGAAACCTTGTGTAACTGTAGGGAATGATGTTGTCCTCTCTAGGGAAACCTTGTGTAACTGCAGGAATTGAAGCTGTCCTCTCTAGGGAAACCTTGTGTAACTGTAGGGAATGATGATGTCCTCTCTAGGGAAACCTTGTGTAACTGTAGGGAATGATGCTGTCCTCTCTAGGGAAACCTTGTGTAACTGTAGGAGTGATGTTGTCTTCTCTAGGGAAACCCTGGTGTAACTGCAGGAATTGAAGCTGTCCTCTCTAGGGAAACCTTGTGTAACTGTAGGAGTGATGCTGTCCTCTCTAGGGAAACCTTGTGTAACTGTAGGAGTGATGCTGTCCTCTCAAGGGAAACCTTGTTGTAGGGAAACCTTGTGTATGTAGGAGTGATGTTGTCCTCTCTAGGGAAACCTTGTGTAACTGTAGGAGTGATGTTGTCCTCTCTAGGGAAACCTTGTGTAACTGTAGGAGTGATGTTGTCCTCTCTAGGGAAACCTTGTGTAACTGTAGGAGTGATGTTGTCCTCTCTAGGGAAACCTTGTGTAACTGTAGAAGTGATGTTGTCCTCTCTAGGGAAACCTTGTGTAATTGTAGGAGTGATGTTGTCCTCTCTAGGGAAACCTTGTGTAACTTTAGTGTGTGCTGATGCTATTTCTGATTCAGTCTGTAGTGCCATTCCCGCCTTAAAGCTTAAGCTTTGCTTGTACCAGAAAAATACAGCATTGCTGCCAAATCTTGAACACATACTAGTCTTATAATACCATATATTTATTTACAACAGCACTTCTATAAGTTCTGTTATCACTTTTGAATACCAATCAAACCCACAAGATGTTATGATACAGGTATCGCTTAAACAGAAAGGTTTCAGTCATGTTAATGTTACCTCCAGTTAAACTCGTAGATCCTTCTATCCCAAATCTGGCTCGATTTCTGGTTATAAAATGGGGTGATATCAAGAAAGTTTTTTGTGTTGAACAGAATGCACAGTCAGGTAGCCCGAAGCCATTGCGAGTGGCTTCCTCCCAGCAGAATGCTGCTTCACGATGTCTGGGAGTATTTGAAGTACGTGGGGATGAGAAAAAGACTGCTATTCTTATGAAACAATTTTCAAAAGGACCGCCTCAAAAGTCCAGTGTAAGATTTCTGCTGCCATTACTTAATTCATTTAACAGGCCTGTATGGCTTCAAATGAAGTGCTGAACTTGGATGTGTGCATGACTTTATCATTTACCTCTAATGCCAGACAGACCACAATGAGTCATGAAAAAGCATGACATTCCATCCCATTGCTAATAATAATTCCAATCAGTCGAAGATGACTGGGAAAGGTCACCTTAACCTCATTTATCAGAAAGTGTTGCTGTGGTTTGTATGCATGTTGACTGTGAGGGGTGAATACCGATCATGTGTGCTGATTGTGTGTGGTTCGTCATCACCAAAGTTATAAATTCCTTCTGGTAAAAAGGGCTGTAAATCTAAATCAAGCTGCTGTTTGTTGCCCAGACTTTCCTTTTAAAATTTTTTTTATTCTAGAACAGCTAAAGTTTTTATTATCTTGGCAAAGAGTCAGGGAATGTAATGTTGGTCTAGGTTTGATGCATGGCATCCAAATAAAAAGTGATTTTAAATGAAAATATGGGCAATCACATTTTCATATAATATGGCATGGATGATGCTTAAGGCGAGATTATTTCAATTTTGTAGGTCAATATTATGATGCCACCTCACCTAATGTATAGAGTGGTTTGTTCACAAAGGGAAGTATGTATTTCAGTTTCTATTTTTAAGATATCTGTTTAGGTACAAAAGAAAGGATAGATGAATTAATAACTGACTTCCGCTAAAGAAATAAACTGACCATAGTGGACATCAGCTACAACAGACCTCGTTATCAACTGTGCAAATTGTTTTTATATGCCAAGTGTCTACTGTTCCAGGCTGTCCTTTTATGTGTTCTGTTACTTAAATTGTTATTTTCACCCGATTTTTATGCTTGAAATACATTCCTTAACACAGCTTGTTTACCATGTGTTAATTGTTTGGGTCAGTATAATTATTGGAAGAGAAGCATTTAATTTTCATGTCTAGTTCAGATAACAAGATAGGATCATTGTGATGCATGTTAATCTAACATATCACAATAGATACCCGAGCTTACATATTGATGTTGATTCTCTCCCTCTCTAGTTATGAATACTTCCTGTAATTCAACTTTTACACAATACATGGGTTGTGGGATCCTGGGAATTTGAAGACAAAATGACTGTTTGTGATGCAGATGATTGTGTTAAAAATTGTGAAACATTTCATGAGGTATTCTCAGTTTATCGTATGTGTAATTTCTAACATATTATCAGTTTTATTTATTTCAGGAAATTTTAAATTTCTCTATATCCACACTTACTGAATATTTGTATATTTTCAGAATGTTTTCTGCACATATAGCACTATCTTTTGACATTTATTATACTGTATATTGTACATAGTAGTGGTTGTGATGAATCTGGTGTCTGATATTTTTACTGATGCTTCTAACGAACTCAAATCAATTTCTGTTACACACTGTAAATCTTTATGGTTGTAAACAATTTAATAAATAGTTGCTGTCTTGCATAGCAACAATTTGAAATATGTTTTAACATCATTATGTATCAATATTTTATTTTCAGACATTGTCAGATGAAATTCACTATGTACTCCATTCAACAGTGGCTATGTTCAAATACAGACAGTAACTGAGTACTGTTATCCTATACCAGCCAATATTAAACAATTTTACTGTAACCAGAAGCTTAAGTCCTATTTGTACTTATGGTATACCAGGCTTTGGTCTTAATAACCTTTGTGCGGTGATATTTTTGCCAGAAAGACATCCTCTAAATTCTTTGTTTTGTCACTTACAGCAGACACAGCAGCAGTTTACTCGACAACACAGACATTCCGATCACCCTTAGGGACCTACCCGGCAATGACAGAAGTCGCTTCAACTCCGCGAGAGTAAGTGTCGAGCGATTCCCCACCCCCCTAAATACCATATGATTAAAAAAGTACACAAGACCTTAATGTGCTGGAGATTTTTATTGAGATTCTGTAGTATTGTTTTAAAGACATTGAGCTCTGATAATCAGCATTTAGATTTCACATGAATCATATGAGAATTATGAATATTAATTGAAATAGTTTCTACCAAATTTTCATGTCAAGGTAGGTCCACATAATCCTGTGAACTCTCGAGAATGTAGGACTGTAGACTAGTTCTGGTGATTCATCTCTACCCACTTCTGAGGTCACAGGATTCAAATGTACATATTTTGGCCTAGAAAGCTGACAGCAGTATTGAACTTATAATCTTGACTCTGTAGGGGGTCATTTTAAGACAACTGCAACTTTATAAAAATTAATTAGACATTCATTTTCATGCATTTAAGTCAGCTCTGTAAAAGTATAAAGTAAAGTAAGGATACCACCATCCCTGTCCAGAAATTTATCTTGGTAATACATGGATATTTATTTTTTTTCACAGGCTACACCTAGTCCAATGACATATGATTACAAAAGGCTGACACAGTCCTCAAAGACACAAAGACATCACCAGGCTCCGAGTAAACTCACTGTCTTCTGGATAGACTGATCAAGGGTGGTCTACCGCTGACTTTGTGTCCCTGATTGACCGACCTTGTCTTTGACCAGAAGTCCAGGAATGACCTGTTTCTTAGTTGATTGTCCATGATTTCCTATGTATGAAATAGATAACTTGTTCATCTTGAGCACCCCTTTGTAAACAGTTTTCTGGAGACTTGTCTGTAATTATGAAACATCTTCTAGAAAACAACAAAAAAGTTTATGAATCACATTGTGTTAAAATGTAGATATATATATATATCACTGATATTTCAATATGTGTATAGCAATGGCAGGTAGTTAAAATGTTGGTAGTGGAAAACGAAATTTGAATTTGAATAATTGTAAATTTCATTCATATTACTTGTTGGCGGAGTATATATGGAAAACAAAGAATGACATGTTAAATGGCTGAGTAATTTATTCATAGAATATTAAGTCAGCATTGTTTTTACAGGCCTAAAGGGCATTTAGTCTTTTTCCCAGAAAAAAGGTAGTGATGGGCATATTAATTGGAATACAATAGTAATTTATAGTTGCTTTTGGCTAGAAGTTTTATACTTTTTAAAAGTTGAAAGTCTAAATTTTTTACTTACTGAGACTGTATTTTGCAGATATTTTATATGAAGGCTGACCTAGATTAATGGTTAGAATGATGAGTATACATTTGAAATTAAAATATTTCTACATATTGTTTTAATCCTCTAGCTATGGGTAAAGCTAGTTCCTGAATCTCGTATTTTTATTCATGTGCATGTTCAAAAATACCACATTTCATGTCTTGAAAAATACTGTGATGTTAATTTCCCAAGGAGTTAAAAGATTTTTATATACTGTCTGTTTAAATGTTATAAACATGGAGCTCTGACAAAGAAAGGACTTAATCAGTAACCAACAGAAAGTTTGCAGTCAATGTTTGTCTAAAGATAGGTTTCCAAGCACAGGTACAATACTTGCGGATTTTTAATTTCATCAATGTGTTTTTGGTTGTTTGTGTTGACCTCATTAGTGCACATAACCTGAATATCATCAGAATATGTAAATGACCTCTTCTTTTGAACTTTCCCTTGGCAACAACAATTGGGAGATTACATTAATTCTAAGGTTTGTCAAATCAGGTATGTGATATACATAGAGTACACCATGTCAAGTGATTGGTATATAGATATTGGTTCATCTGTAAGGACAGGACAAATTTAACAATCAAGTCAGTTTTCAATGATGGAAATTTGATGACTTTGTTACATCACTCATAACAAATTGTCTATTAGGCAGGACATGTATGCCCTTCAGTTAACCTTGATTATTTTTTAAACATATCGTATGATGCTTTCATTCCCAATTTGAGAAGTGGGTAATATTTCTTCCAAATGTAAACATGTCTTAGAACTGAATATAAAGTCCAAAAGAATTTAACATACTTACAGGTGATTTTTAATATCAGTTTTTGTGTTCGAGCAAAAAGTCATCACAAAAATGGTACGACGTGATGTAATAGCTAGTTAGAATTTTATCAATGCTAGAAAAAGACACATTTCCTAACATTTTCATGGATGTGTGCCATGCATGGGAACCCATCTTTAGAGTGAACTGTGAAGTCTGGATCTTTCACCTGATAAAAGTTTATTTTAATGCTTCTTTACATCATGGTTTAAAGATGGCAGTTCGTATATCAACTAAATGTTGCTGATAACACTACAGACTTAGATATATCTAGACAGGGATAACATTATTAATATATCTATACAAAGTCTGTAATAAAATTATTCATATGCGCTGTATCTGTATGTAGATATATCTTAGTCTGTCTTTAGATATATTATAATATCACAGTTTGTATATCTGATTTAGATATCCAATTCCTTGGTAACATTACCCATATATCTGTATTCAGATACATCTTTTCAAGACTGTGGTTACACAATTTATATATCTGTATTTCTGTGATCAAGATTTAACGATACCTTTATCAGCATTTGTCCATAGTGGAATGAAATATATGTACCTGTATGTTGTATTGTTCATATAAACGACTGTGAATGACCTGTCTGGTTAACCTCTGTGTGGGAGTCCATCTAAATCAGAGAAATCTGTAAAAACACTCATGGCTTTATATTGCAGTGTATCATGATTATTTTGGTGTAAATCCAAGGTTTCCATTTCAAATTTGTTAATGGTTAATTTAATATACAATTCTTTTAATATCATACAACTTGGATTTTAATGTAACAATTGCTTTGTTAGTAAATTCAGGTGAAATTGGATATCTTTTGTCTTTAGAGATGACTTGAATTTGAAGAATTGCATAGTAGCTGCAAGAGATCCAATTTAAATTAAACACCTCCCAAGGCGTGCCTACAGACACACCATAAAAATAAACATAGCAGCACACAAATAGAAATCCTGGTTTCCTCGGGTGTATATTTCACATTAAGTTAATGTGACAGGTCATTTTGGGTTGACTATATGCCTGTATTATGCACCAATATTACCTTTTATGTATAATGTCTAGCAATGGCTTGGAGACACCGAACTTTTATTGTCTGACGTACCTAGTTTGGCGTCTTAGATTTTAGTGTGATACAACATAGACTGTGATATTCAACGTCCCTCTACTTTGTATTTATTGTAGTATTTATTCTAATGTTTTAGTGCTGCGAAACAAATTTTAGAAGTTAATGTCAATTATTGTATTTTTACAATAAGGAATATGATGCAAGCTTTTCTGAAGGCTTTGTGTTAAAGACAAAATCGTCTATGATTTTTGAAGCTGCATTAAAAAAACAATTTGTAATATTTAAATGTGGAAGTTTAATTTGTAGGAAAAAGACCCATTATTTAAGATAGGGTACCTTATTTTTTTAGTTTATATAAGGAAAAGACTAGTAACTGTACAATATGCTAGATATTTCATATTCCGTCCTCAAAGTGTCAAGTCATAATAATGTTATGATATAGAACATGGTAACATGGCAGATTTTTCATCAATCAAAAATACCCAATTAAATTTTACCAGTATGTTGATGCATTGTACAATCCATTGGACTTAAATATAAAATTTGGTATTAGCTCGATGCTTTTATCAGTAAAAACACTATCAGTACAAACATTACACAGGTGCTGTATAGATCATATATATTATAAAATCTAGAAGTCTACATTTAGATCTTCCTAACATGTAACTGTTTACACTTGCCAGCTATGTAATTTATAGTTTGACTATTTAAATTTAGAGTTAAGGCATTAGGACAAGAGTACTAAGCCAAGAGCTGTGGTAGTAATCCTTGCTGTTTTTGGATGGGGCAGGATTTTCATTTTGTTACTAGTTTCAATACAAATTTGAGCTTATCTGTAGTCCTATATTGAAATGCATTATCAATATTCAGGGACGTTTAGTCAAGAAATATCTGGTGTTCTATAGAATCAATCATTTTAATATACATTTATTATTGCAAGTTTTGGGCATTTTGTGGGAAAATGTGAAGGAGTGGTAGAGTATTGTCAACTTCTAATATGTATAGAACATTAAGTTTGTGGAAACTACAATTCATTAGTGTAAGGAAGCCAAAGATGTATTTACATATAGAATTTCATAGATGGGACTTCTGATATTGACTAGAGCACTTGTACATTTCGTCTGGTGTAAGAAGTGCAATTATTGTGCCATAGATTTCTAGAATGTCAACATCTATTGCAAGGTTATTAGGTGAAAATTTTAGGATTAAGAAAACAAATAAATGTCCAATATTTAGAAGATACTTTCCAAATGATGTTTGCACAATATATTCAATATGCACTACAAGTATTGATTACTGGGTTTATTTTTAATTGCGGGCTTGAAACAAGCTATGAAGCAAGCTTTTGGTAAATTTTAAGTTCTAGATCTGGTGTAACATTAAACTGATGTTTATTCAACATTGACTGTTTATATTGTGTGTGATGGTAAGATTTATCACCGACAGGTGGTAAGGATATGTTTAATAAATTTGTACCATAACCTGATCTTGCTGTTCATCTTTTTGATGTACCACGCAGTACTAAACATACATAGTCTGACTTCAAATTTAACAATTTATCCACTACAGGACCTCATTGTAAACAAGATGCAATTCATTATGGTATTCACCCAGTTTCCATGTACTAGCTTTTGTTATTCCAGCAACCTTAATGTTAATCGCTGTTGGGCATTTTACAATACAAAGATCAGATGACTTCAAAGTTATTTCACGAGTCAATTGCTAAAATCTGGTGCCCCAGTATATCAGTTTGGTAAATCCTCATTTTTACATCAATTCAATGGATCTTATTTCTCCTTGGCCTACAGTACATCGAAATCAAACGAACTGACCTGACCAGAATTGTTTGAAACAGAAAAATTTCAGGTTCCTTTGAAATCAAATGTTATAAAAATCTTGCTCCCCCATAGTGACTATGGAGTATTCCTATTCATTTCTTCCTCCAAAGGAAGCAAAGTATATTGGTAAAGGTAGTGATGGCAGTGTTCCATTTCTGTAATCCATTAATTATTATTAAAAAATTATTTACCTGTTTTCAAGTGAATAAAAGAATTTAACCTAAGGTGACATTACTTTATTTCACCAGATTCTTCAAAACAAAATGCAGCAGAGGTTATACTGAAATGTTATATTCACCTGTGAGAAGTTACAGTCATCTTGTGTACACTAATTCTGCCAGTTTTGGTGTAACAATGCAATACACAAGATGTATTTTACCTATGAGGTGATTGGAAAAATTGTAATCTGGAAAAAAATCACACTAGTTACAAGGTGGGCCCCTGGACCAATTTCTTGGTGGCAGAGTTAGTGTAAGGCTAATTGTAGATTTGTTATCTCTATTTCTTCGGTCCCTAGAATTGCCTTTTCAATTCCGATAGAAATCACACAATAGCCACCAAGTGGCAATCTTTGATTTTGACAAGGACAGTTTGTTAACACAACATCCAAGTTCAGGACAGTTTATTCTCAAACTTCATACATAGGTTAACCCATTTTGGGTCATATGCAAGACAATTAGACAAATTCTGTCCTGCATTGAATGTGAAATTCTTGAATCTTGAAAACAGAATGTCTGACAGGTCCACCACATTCAATTAGGAATAAACTTGGGTGTTAAAGCATCCAATGACAACATGTATTCCAAGCAATTCATTATCTAACTGCATTTGATGGCATCAATGTAAATTAGTAGACATCATAAGTTCAAACCAATAATTGATATAACCGATTCCAAAGAGGAAATAGCATTAACTTGAATGAGTGATTTCATCCATTCCTAATTTAGGTCCAACATTAATTCGAAACAAAGTGACCTACTTTTGATATATACAGTGTACCCCGTCACCTGGACGTTTGGACAGACAGACACAATGCAAAGCTATAACCCTTCCCCCACCCAATACCTGGAAGAAGACTTCATTAAGAACTAAACAAAATACCACTTTCAATCTTTCTAACAGTTGAACAGTACTGGCTATTAATACTGTTTAAGGGGTCATTAATGCGACAGCACCAAATGCAAGCCAAATGCAGTACAGAAAACAAACGTTATGATTCATTTCAACATTTTATCCTTCAGCACATTAATTTGTATGCATATCAATGTGGCTATAAATAAACTGTACTTTGTAAATGCCAAATGATAGGTCAAACATTTTAGCTTCCACATAAAGTATTTGTACATTCACCCTCTCTGGTAGATCTTAGGGAATCGCACGGTCAGAAATTCCAGAGAATTTGCAGCAGTGATCAGGTGCAAACATAAATAACTAAACATGATGTGTTCAATGAAACAGCAGGTTTGTGTAAAATGTACAAAATGTATAAACCTGCTGAAGTAAATATGAAATATGCCATGAGGAAAAAAACCCAATAGGATCCATGCTTTACATCGCGGTCCCAAGTGTACAAACACTTCACTGAAAGTGACACTGACATGTATAGTGTCAAACATACACCAGTGAGGTTTAGATCACAACACTTCTCTCATTCACACAGCTGAATGTTAGTCCCGTTGGAGCTTTATGCCCCAGTACACATCCTTTATAGTATGAAAACTGTTCCTGTGGTCAATTCCAGAAAGACTAAGATTGATCCCAAGAGGAACTGTTCAAGAGGCCACTGCTTCTGTTGGTTTAGGTGCCTCACTATCTGCCTTTTTATCATCCACATCCTGAAAAGAAATGATACCTTTATTACAAGGGCATAGAAAAACCTCACAGGTGGAGACATGTAGACAAGAACAAAGTACAACATACATTATCACTAATGCCAACAGGACATTGACATCTGATGGAGAGACTGAACTTTGATCATGTTGTGTAGACAAGAAACAAGCACTTAAGAATCACAACATCCGATGAGACAGAGCCTTGCATTAGATGATGTCAGGTAGACTATAAACAAGTACAATAACATACAACAATCACAAAGTGTCTTTCAGTGTCATGTAAATTCAGGATCAACAAAAGACTATATTTTCCACAATGTTCTGACTTATCACCAGAAGTCTAACAGAATTTTTTGCTGTCATTAACCAAAACATCACAGCTATGATGTAAACTTTACATTCATTATTATGTTAATGGGATCATTTCTGGTTTTTCAGTAATCCCTTACCATACTTTCTTTGTCGCCATTAACTCCATTCACCTTTGGTGGGGCGTCACCTGATCCATTCTCCTGGCGGGATTTTTTGGGTTCAACTGGCTCTTCCTCCTCATCTGGCTTTCTCTGTAAAATACATAATCATGATAATGTGAATATCACATCCCTGGTCTCTTAGAGGTTGGCGAAAATAACCTTGTTTACAAGTTTAAATTCATGCTTAGTGTCATATCCAACAAATGTTAATGGTTTTATACTTTTAATTCTATATGTAAAGTAAACAAGATTACAAGCAGATCATCAGCAAAGCAGTACACAACAAACTGCGAGTTATGAATAGGACAGCCTGTTTTAATACATCATCACCTGACAGGTAATTCAGAATCTGAGTCGAGTAAACTTAATACCAGCAACACTTGCCTTCCCTACAACATTACTTCACAGGTACTTCTGTGTCAGGTAAACTTCAAACACCAAATCCCTACCTGCCCTATACCATATCCAACTAAACACCAGTGATCCTTACCTTCCCTATACCATATCCAACTAAACACCAGTGATCCCTACCTTCCCTATACCATATCCAACTAAACACCAGTGATCCCTACCTTCCCTATACCATATCCAACTAAACACCAGTGATCCTTACCTTTCTGCGAATCAAATGACTGATGTCAGAAACAGGCTTTTTTGGTTCCTGTGAAAACGAAAGTATATTGAAAGTAAGCTGGTCAGATCATTTTACATTTCATTCACAACATTAAAAAAAAATTAAACATTTGTCCATATAAACTGTCAATAGATGTGAACTGAAATACTTTAAAACTTTCCTGTCCGAACTTCAAATCTTGGACTGTTTTAAGCAAATCCATTTCCTGTATTAACTGTAGTGTTCTTTGAATGTTTGCTCAGTAGCTTTAATATAAAAATGAGACTGAATTTCACTTTGGTTACAAATGTTTCCTTGAATCACATTGGTGACCAAAACTTATAACATCATTACACTGATGTAAATATCTTTATCAGGTGTTTCAACTCAATTTCTATCTAGGGATATTTTAACCTCAAGTTTTGAAACTTGAGTTCTGTTCCTTTTTTTTTTTTAAATTTTAAGTAGGCAATGAATAATGATAAGTTTTTCCATGTGTTTGTGTCAATAAAACAAATCTACATTGAAGGACAGCTGCAGAAAATAATTTGCAACATTTTACTGATAACCTGAACATTATTTGACATAAAAACCCAAAGTACCTAACCATGTTTTATCATCTACTGCATTATTTTTCTTTTAAGTGTAACAGGACAGTATCAATACATGCTACAGATAGAGGGAGAGTCTGATAAATTTCTTTGCCTCCTGAAGTCACATTGGGCCGAGACTGCTTTATTTTTTGAGTGTAGGGGTTTTGGGTTGTGGATCATTCATTAACTAGCCTCCATGGTACTACGACTTTAGATTACTGCAAACACCAGGACCAGTTAGAGGTAACTTTAAAAAAATCATGTAGAGTTGTTTGTTACGATGTTGAAGTGTTCCATGTCAAGCAAATGGAAGGCGATTCTGGGTTGTCTTTAGATATCATCTATGTGACTGAAGTATTCACAAGCATTTAAATTATGTTAAGAGGTTTATGAGAGAAACTGACAAAACCTTCACTTGAATTATTCAAAATGAGCAAATTGTGCAAGTTTTCTTCATAAATAAGAACACTTTTTATAATATTAAACAAATAGATACAAATAAGCTTATTGTCCCAGATCATTCTGTAAATGTCTACTCTCAGTACTTACATCTTTAGACTTTTCTTCTGGTTTTTGAAGACCAAGACTTTCGGTGATCTGCTCAAACAAAATTCATATGATACTGATTACCTCAACAAATTACTGAAATGTTCAGACCAAGAACTAAAAAAAAGCTTGTTAAAAATTTATGAATTACTGTGTGTACAAATTTTTCTGGTATATTTGGTATAGTAATAAGTTTTGAATTCCTCAGTTCTAGTCAATCGTACAAGGCTAAACTTAATCCTTCACCAATGTGTATAAAATTATCTGATTTAAACATGGCCGTTACTGTAAGAGTATCACCCGATAGCATATTTTGTCACTGCTTGAAGTAAATCTAGCCGACTTCATAAGACCAATGGAACAGATTTTATGTTTCTGAATGTCAATGAACCAATAATTATGAAAACCAATCATATGACCGATATGATCCTTCAGTAAACTATTGTATCTGATATAGCGAGCAGTCCTTTTCTATAGATAATGATATACCTACCACAGACATGCCCTCTTTGGCCATCTTCTTCAACTCTTCAATTTGTCTTCGTTCCTCGATAACTTCCTCTACCTGTAAAGAAAAATCTACACTTAGTTGTCTTTCACACTGAAATTTGTTGAGTTTGAACACGTAATATTTGTGGGTAGTGGTTAAGACATCTGAAGTGTAGATCCAGTGGGGAACGCTTATTGCTATTGCTTATTATGTTGTAATGAATCTAATTAAAATTCTACGAGATGTCTAATTTGACTTTTCACCTGGTGGAAGTCAATTGATTTCTTGATTGATGCCATTTAAATTTGTATAATGTCATGAAAAATGTTTAACAGATTAGATCTTTACTCATTATTGAACGACTAAATTTTGGTCAGCTGACTAGGATTCCAACCATTATTTTCAATGTCACAAATCTTATTTTGACCTGTGTTTTCCAAGATGATGGCTGATGTTGGGCCTATGAACAATTATAATCTCAAAACAGTCAGCCGAGTTCTATAAAAGCTTTCATTTTTGTTGCAACACATTATAGAAATAATCTTGATAACAAAGTGAGGTTTATAACTTAACTATATTGTTCATAAATTGTGAATAACATTAACTGCCATCCCATGTCATGGATTCCAACCATATTTGACTTATTTCCATCAGAAATTAAACAAATCATGCTTAAAAATACAATATTCTTATATAACTTTAGTAATTTTTACCCTCTCTAATCTTGTTTATGATAACAGTCACTTGTCATCACACATGCTATTCTGGATTTAGGTCTTCCTTTTTTATGTAATTACCTGGGCAGGTGAGCAAACAATAGGCCCAATGGACCTGTATCACTCCTCTGTTCTGCAGCTCAAGTATGAAGCAAAGATTTTATTGAAATAGTTGATTCATGCCACTTCATGTATATTTTTAGCTGAATAACCTTTCAATGTGTGTTACTGGTGAAATAACACAACCCTGGGTATCTTGATTTAAATACATTAGACACCAGACCTTTGAAGTGAGTCAAGGTCATTTATTTCAATAAAATTAATATCCCTAGTCTTAAAAGTGGGTCAAGGTTGCCTCAACCAAGCATGATATTTGCCCAAAAGAATGACCTAAGTCTCTTGATCAATCAATGCGACATTAATTTTCACATATTTTATACATCTGGCTGGAAATGGGTCAAATTCATTCATTTAAACTGACTTGATAATCTTCATCTCAAAACCCTTTGGTATTTTTCAGTTATTCAAAAGTAATCCCAACATTTAAATTTTTGTGTGATTTGGGGTTACTCAAGGTCACAAATTTGAAGACTATTGGCCTAATATATATCTCCATTCTAGGTTAATGAGAGGCTGATTTCTAAAAAAAAAAGTGTACATTTGAATGATGGATAATGCACATGCTGAGCTTAATAACTGAAATTAAATCAAGTTTTGAACTAGCTTACATTACCTTGCCTCTAATATCTGGTAATATTTCTTTCAAGTCATTTATTTCTTGTTCTGCAAGCTTCTTTGGGTCATCAAAGCTTCCTTCTGCAGTTACAAAAACAAAGCGATTACTACACAGTACTGTGTACAGGATATACATCTTACTTTTTCTAAATATTTCAATGTTTCTGAATTTTTTTGCAGTGTACTACGCAGGATTTTGAGGGATTAAAGAACATTCTGCCATACAAAATATCCTTATTCATAACTCAAGTTCAGAATTATTTTTCAAAAGACGTAGTAGTTTGTGGAAACTCAGTGATCAGAACCAGATATTTAAAATCTCCCAACAATATATTTAGCTCACCTTTTGGTGGTGGGAACTTGTCATCGTCTAATCGCTTCTGTAGTGAATCTGTCAAAGAAAAAAACAATCTAAAATAAAAAGATATGTTTTGGACTTCACCATTAGCCTGGAAGTAAAACCTGTTTCTAAGTGAAAACAAAATGGCAGTCACAAGGTATGATCTACAATTCATATCAATCGATTTTTAAAAACATATCAGAATTTTTTTTTTATTACTGAATAAAGCTGGACATGGAGATAAAAAAAGTCACTGGTTTCAAACAGGACAAAGTAAACTTCAGATAAATCTTGCAGACTGAGAATTTGAAAGAGATAAACATTATTTTCAATACAACGAAAGACCCATTACAGCTTTTACTAACTCAATCTCTGAACTTAAAAGGGAGATTTTGTTATACAAATATGCAATTGCATTGTTACTGTTCTTAATAAAGCTAGATATATTACATTCTTTAACAAATCTACAGGTCAAGCTGGACTCTCAATCACCATATACAGTTAACAGGAATAGACGTCGGAGAGCGATGCCAATTTAAGGAGGGGAAAAGTTCGCCGATTCTAGGCGAGCATTGACCACCTTTATTGATGGTATTCAGCAATTTTTAACCAATCACAATTCATTTTATCATTCCATGCCTGAATTTAATTTTCAGATCAAGAACTGTTCTCCTTACCTATCTTACTTTCCATCACCTTTACTGCTGCCCTGAAACTGTCTATAGATTCATCATATTCCTTGTTGAAACTGTATGCAAGTCCAAGCTGATAATAACTGTATGAAATCAAGGAGTGTATAACTACTGGTTTATCTCTTCACATTAATAACAAACTAACGGATACAACAGAGGACTACTGACTAAAATATACCATTCTTAAGATAAAGTTCGCATAGCTTGCATCACCCAACCCATTGTTAGCTTGGTCATTGTTAGTTTGTTCTCTCAACAGCCCGAGATGTTGGGGAGTCAATATCTTCTTGAAGTGGCTGGTGGCTACATCACTTGTTCTAATTTAATTGCTCAAGGCTAAGTAGATCAATCATTAATATTGATATATAGCACTTAGCAGACATTTTATCATAAGATAGGTCACTCATTTGTCTATGGTCGACTGAAAAACGAAGATTTGTGAAATTCAACCGATATTAGTTAGTTGCAACATCTAAAGCTCTGTCACCCAGATTCATTATATTTAACCAATTTCTTTTGTTAGACCTAAATAAAGGAAAGTATTTGAACAAGACTAGTCCTTCATTCCAAGTAATTACTCCTTTTTAGGAAATAGGAATTTATATAAGATAACAACTAAACCTGAAATCTTTTCTATACAATGTCAAATTGAAGATGTCTTGCATGATGTATCGAAATAAAAGAATAAAGCAAGTGATTATATGACTATAATTCTATGAAACAATCTATCCTCCAACATGAAATTACCAGTTAAGGGCATTTTCTATAAATTACAAGAGTCATCATGACACCATAAACTTGCATTTATGACAAATTTCGGCGAGACTTACATCTCAAAAAGTGACCTTTAACTTAAACCTACAATGCATTTGCTTGTCTAAAGAAGATAGGTTTAAATGAACAAACACAAGTAATTAAAATGTTGAAACATTAGTTGATTTAAGCCATCACAAAAGGGTTCAAGTTGAAAAAGTTCAGAGATGGTTGATGTGTTATGCTAATGCCAAGTGGGCTACACAATAGATTCTAGAGAGGTATTTGCAACAACTTTTAAAAGAAAAAAATTTAATTATTAATTTTGGTTCTCATTCGACAAAGCAACTAAAAATGTGGCAATGACTGTTTTTGATTTTGATATAGCTGGAAATGTTCATGATATCAAAATAAAAAACAGTCATTGCCACATTTTTGGCTGTTGGTTAAACACCACCAGTGTTGTGTCGGACTGCAACATCTAGCTTGATTTTGTTCAAAATACCAAAAAAATTGAAGAACGCAAAACTTGTCGTGTACAGCAGGGTCAACTGTGCAGTCATTGGTTGAATTCAGATTACCATTGCTTTGCTCGAGATCTTTTCTCAACAGAGGTAGAAAAGTACCCACATCCTGTACTTATCATGCGCATAATGAGTGGACAAGTTAGTTGCTATGTTGAATGCGAAACGAAATTAAAGCAAGTGTTCCAGCACTGTTCCCATTCGAGCACTCATCACATTAGTTTAATTCAGTACCGCAACTCAATACAGGACAGAAAAAAAAAAATAATAAAAATGGAGAAGAAAAGCATTAATGGAGAGGTCCAGCAAAAACTTATGAAGTTAAAAGCAGTTAAGCATTGAAATTAATTTAATTTTTTTCCAAGTAGCCTCCCCTTGTCCATAATTACGTGAAAACTCAAATTTCTTGCATATGTCCAGAAGTATAGTAATATGTACTGGAAATATTCTGAAACACTTGTTGCTAAAAGACATTTCATGGTTGATTATACACTTTCTCTTTTATTCATTTATCTTGTTATAATGTTGCCAACCATAAGACAGCATGAAATATATTGTGGTATAATGTTAAAACACATTTATGTCACTCATTTACATAGACAGAAGATGATGCATGTGGTTTTTTTTTTTTTGTTTTTGTAGGGAAAAGTCAGATTTGACTTGTTAGTCTTCCCTATAGATACTGGTTCCCAGCACCTAATAAAAGGTTTGTCAATTCATATATCACAAGCTAAACAGGAACACTGGATGGCTCTGTCACTGCAAACCATATATAATGAATGTCTGATCACTTTACCTGGGCATTACTAGAATCCAGCTTAATGTCATCTATCTACACAAACTATGTAGTTATTCATCCAAGTACAGCATAATTTCAATAATACTAGTGATATATATTTCCATAAAGCCTTTAAAGGTCTAAAAATTTACAGACAGTAATATATTTGACATTGACATCCTTGAAAGGTCATGGCAATTCATTTTAACACGGTTAATAACTTGCTAGCATGCTAAAGGCCAATTTTCATGTTTTATGTCTCCTTACAGTGTAAACAAATACTCTCTCAAGAGAAAATTTTCACAAATTTTGTTCAAATCAAATTTAATAGAGCCATTTGATAAGGACAGACAGAACAGCTAAAATGATTTAATGCCAATCAAGGATTTGGAATCTTGTAGCAATACTGTAGAAAGGGAAACATGCGACTGAAAAAGTGTATAGAGGAGATCTTGTAAATATAAGTATAAACACAGCAAAGGTGTTGAAATATTGAAAAGGATACGTTTCTGCCAGTGACCGATCATCTGGATCAAGAACAGATTTCTGAATATTTAGGCACTCTGTGAAATCCGATATTGATTGTGCATATTGCTCTGAAAAACAAAAACACACAAACGATTAGCAACAAGTATAGATTTCCTCCAAGTAGCAAACTACTTCCTACTTGGACCATTGGAACCATTGATACATTAAATATGCTAAGAACCAGATATCTATCAGTCGATAAGAATGGATATGTAATATGAAGATTGTCAATGAAGTCACCACACATGCTACTCTACCTGTCTCTAGACTGACTTCTCCCAGTTTTAGGTATGCATCTGATGCCTTCAACTTGGCCTCTTTGTCTTCATCTCTAAAAGGTTGTAAAATTACATCATACATGTACACCAAGAGCTAGATGATCATGAAATAGATCTACATATGTGAAGGGTCTTGTCTGATACAACATGAGCTTATAACTTTTACTAACATCAAATGGCTGATGGCACAGGATCACAACCAAAATATTGCTTCCTACTTCATATAATAAGTCCTAAAAGATTCACAAGTTTTCATTAGTGTCTCTGGAGAATATACAAAATGCCTATTGGTAACATGCATTCAAAATGAAGATACTGTCTTAAATTGTCCCAAGCCAAGCATGTTCTTTTTTGGAAATAGTTCAAAAATAATAATTCACAAATCAAAATACCAAAAAAGGTTTTTGAAAATTCTTATCTCTTTATGCATTGTTAAAACAAATGATATTACATTCCTCCATCCATCTGATGTATTTTGTAAACCAAAACTTACTTCAAATATATAACTTTGGCCAGCTCCAACATTTCCCAAGCCAGCTGTAGATTTGATACGTCATCAGCATTTTCCTTTAAATAAAAATTTTTTTGTTACAGATAATTGTAAACCTTTACTCCACATTTACCTAAAATAAATTCCTTTATCTTTATAAATGTTTATGAATCATAAGTACTGACTAAAAGAAGAAAAACTAAGAGAACTAGATCTAAGTAGCAACGCTTACCTCCCCTTCTTTCTCTCCTTGTGATCCTTCTTCCTGAGAGTTATCACCTTCCTCTGCTGTATCAACTGCCTCACTTTCATCCTCATCTTCCTCTGTGCCCTCCTCTTCTGTGCCCTCTTCTTCCTCATCCTCTGTACTGTTTTTTGTCGAACTAGATTCACCTTTAACCAGAATATATTGGGTATTGTCACTTCTTAGATTCTGACCAATTACCGTTAAAAATTCTTCCATACCACTGTTAAGACCAATTCTACAAAGTGATCAATTGTTAAAAAAAAAAAAAAAAAAAGTACTGATATCTTGCTCCTTAAAAACTTCACACATTTTTTATCCTCCAACAGGCCCAAATGTTAACAATGAATAAATATGTAAAACCAAGCAATTTCAAACATAACTTAATTCTATCATACATTTAACCCATTAACCCTGACCAATGAACATCTAATATTAATGAGGTAAATTTTCCATGATAGAAAAGAAGTTTCTATGATGTTTGCAACAATGAATACATCTCGAAAGAGAGGTGCATAATTCACTCAATATTCTCGTATATGATGCATATTCATCAATACAATTTTCATTGGTTTCATTGCTCATTCACATAAGATAAATAATGATGAAAAGTACATCTACTTTGTAATAAATACTATGCCCTTCTTGATTTTACAATAATCAACTAAGAATAACGTTGTTAGTAGAAAATGAAAGTAGAAAAGTGATGCATGCATTGATGAGAGAGGCTGTATCCTGTTAAGAACAAAATGCCATGTAGTGGTAAAGATTGCCAGCTTCTAACAAAACATTGTCATGCAGTGGTGGACTTTCAGCTCCTCAAAATTTACTGCCATGCAGTTGAAAAAGAGACTCTGCTATAAAAAATACTGCCATGCATTGGTGAGGTACACTGCCAACTCTATCAAAATAATGCCAGCAGTGGTGAGTGAGGCTGTCAGCTCCTAACATGATATTGCCCTGCTCAATGAGGGAGACTGTCAGCTCCAAACAAGATACTGTCAGCAGTGATGAGGGAGACTGTCAGTTCCAAACACGATACTGTCAGCAGTGATGAGGGAGACTGCCAGCTCCAAACACAATACTGTCAGCAGTGATGAGTGAGACTGCTAGCTCCAAACACAATACTGTCAGCAGTGAGATGAGGGAGGCTGTCAGCTCCAAACAAGATACTGTCAGCAGTGATGAGGGAGACTGCCAGCTCAAAACATGATACTGTCAGCAGTGATGAGGGAGACTGTCAGTTCCAAACATGATACTGTCAGCAGTGATGAGGGAGACTGTCAGTTCCAAACACGATACTGTCAGCAGTGATGAGGGAGACTGCCAGCTCCAAACACAATACTGTCAGCAGTGATGAGTGAGACTGCTAGCTCCAAACACAATACTTTCAGCAGTGATGAGGGAGACTGCCAGCTCCAAACAAGATACTGTCAGCAGTGATGAGGGAGACTGCCAGCTCCAAACAAGATACTGTCAGCAGTGATGAGGGAGGCTGTCAGCTCCAAACATGATACTGTCAGCAGTGATGAGGGAGACTGTCAGTTCCAAACATGATACTGTCAGCAGTGATGAGGGAGACTGTCAGTTCCAAACACGATACTGTCAGCAGTGATGAGGGAGACTGCCAGCTCCAAACACAATACTGTCAGCAGTGATGAGTGAGACTGCTAGCTCCAAACACAATACTGTCAGCAGTGATGAGGGAGGCTGTCAGCTCCAAACAAGATACTGTCAGCAGTGATGAGGGAGACTGCCAGCTCCAAACAAGATACTGTCAGCAGTGATGAGGGAGGCTGTCAGCTCAATGAGGGAGACTGTCAGCTCCAAACAAGATACTGTCAGCAGTGATGAGGGAGGCTGTCAGCTCCAAACATGATACTGTCAGCAGTGATGAGGGAGACTGTCAGTTCCAAACACGATACTGTCAGCAGTGATGAGGGAGACTGTCAGTTCCAAACACGATACTGTCAGCAGTGATGAGGGAGACTGCCAGCTCCAAACACAATACTGTCAGCAGTGATGAGTGAGACTGCTAGCTCCAAACACAATACTGTCAGCAGTGATGAGGGAGGCTGTCAGCTCCAAACAAGATACTGTCAGCAGTGATGAGGGAGACTGCCTGCTCCAAACAAGATACTGTCAGCAGTGATGAGGGAGGCTGTCAGCTCCAAACAAGATACTGTCAGCAGTGATGAGGGAGACTGCCAGCTCCAAACAAGATACTGTCAGCAGTGATGAGGGAGACTGCCAGCTCCAAACATGTTACTGTTAGCAGTGATGAGGGAGACTGCCAGCTCCAAACAAGATATTGTCAGCAGTGATGAGGGAGACTGCCAGCTCAAAACACGATACTGTCAGCAGTGATGAGGGAGACTGCCAGCTCCAAACACAATACTGTCAGCAGTGATGAGTGAGACTGCTAGCTCCAAACAAGATACTGTCAGCAGTGATGAGGGAGACTGCCAGCTCAAAACATGATACTGTCAGCAGTGATGAGGGAGACTGTCAGTTCCAAACATGATACTGTCAGCAGTGATAGGGGAGACTGTCAGTTCCAAACACGATACTGTCAGCAGTGATGAGGGAGACTGCCAGTTCCAAACACAATACTGTCAGCAGTGATGAGTGAGACTGCTAGCTCCAAACATAATACTGTCAGCAGTGATGAGGGAGGCTGTCAGCTCCAAACAAGATACTGTCAGCAGTGATGAGGGAGACTGCCAGCTCAAAACATGTTACTGTCAGCAGTGATGAGGGAGACTGCCAGCTCCAAACAAGATACTGTCAGCAGTTATGAGGGAGACTGTCAGCTCCAAACATGTTACTGTTAGCAGTGATGAGGGAGACTGCCAGCTCCAAACATGTTACTGTCAGCAGTGATGAGGGAGACTGCCAGCTCCAAACATGTTACTGTTAGCAGTGATGAGGTAGAACAAAATGAAGCCATGCAGTGGTGAAGGAGAACAAAATACTGCACAACAGTGGTGAGGGAAACTCGGCTCTCAACATATACCAAACTTTAACCTTCAGGTTTTTTTTCTTTTGTCTCTTGGTCTTCATCTTTCAGTTTGCGGTCTTCATCCATCTTTTCCTCTTTCTTGTCTATTTCGGTTTCATCTTTCTCTTTGTTTTCTTTCTTTTCATTCAGCTTAGTTTCATCTTTTGCATCATTTTGCTTATCCTCAACAGACAACACCTCTTTTGTTTCATTAACGACAACGTCTGTGTCCATTGATTCTTCGTCTTTGTCCTTTTCTTCATCTATTTTCTTACATTCCTCCTCATCTTTTTCATTCTTTTTTTCATCCTTGAGTTCTTTATCTTTCTCTTCATCCTTTACTTTATCTTTCGTTTCATCCTTTACTTCTTTATCTTTCGTTTCATCCTTTACTTCTTTATCTTTCGTTTCATCCTTTACTTCTTTATCTTTCGTTTCATCCTTTACTTCTTTATCTTTCGTTTCATCCTTTACTTCTTTATCTTTCTCCTCATTCTTTTTCTCATCTTTCTGTTCATCCTTTAATTCATCTTTCTCTTTGTTCTTTTCCACTTCTTTTTCAACATTCGATTCATCTTTCTTTTCCCCGTCCTTCTCTTTATCCTTTTGTTCTTTCTCTTTTTCAGCAGAAGCAAGTTCTTTTTCAGACATAGCATCAACAACTTCTGCTCGAAGTCGGTAACGGTCTTCAACTATAAGAGATGCGTAAATGAGATTTCAAATCATTACCAGTACCTATAATATTGGACTTTATCACTACTTCACTATTTGTATAAAGTTCCATGTTTGACTTTCATCAAACTACCTTCCTAATGATTAAGACCATGCAGAACATGCAAACACATTACCTTGCACATATATCTTCATTTCAAATGAGGCGGATATTTCAGTTTTGGTTGTCCTTCATATAGTTTTCCATGTGCTTTCAAGAAGTTTATTTAAAATTATGTATTTTTTAAAATGATGCTAAAACTGATTTCATTATATCACCTAGAGTGAAAGTATTAATTCGATGAGTTGCAAAAATGCTGCAATATATCAAATTTAATCAATGGTCAGTGTCGGTGTCATTTCCTCCATTTTGGTAAACTGGCAACAGTTGGTTTTTGGGAAAATTTCGTTCAGGGAAAAACTGAATACTGGGGAAAAATACTGAACGTGAACTGCTAGTTCATTGTTCTAATGAAAACACTTTGACTTAAAGATTGCAGAAACTTTAAAGGGTTCTTCAACATGCATAATTGGGAATGGTTCCTGAATACGGACCAAATACATCAACCGATAATACACTTCTGGACTAGTACCATGATAATAAATAACTTTAGTATGATAGACATGATCTAAAACCAATATCTGGAATCCTGCTTCGCAATAACTCTTTAACTGCTTATTTGTAAAGCTCCAATTTTTCAACAACTTGTAGTTGTTTAAATTACCAGTAATGGCACATAACAGGTACACATAGCATATTGGCCAAGTCTCAACATACTCAGCATTTGAGCATGTCCAATCATGGCACCATTCTAAAGTACCCTCTTAGTAAACTCGTCCTTCATGCAATTTTGTCTGAACATTCTTTCAACTACATGTGCCATGGCCAATATTAAAATTCTCCTTGCTTGTCCAAACCAGTCTAAAAACTCTTAAGAATATTTACGTGTTGAAATTCTACCAGGTGATATTTGAGAGAAAAAAAAAAAAAAAAAAAGCAAAAAAAAAACTAAGCTTTATTCTCAACCAGAAAAAGTTGCTCTGTTGAAAACTTAGATATTGAAGGAGAATTAAAAAGCTAAAAATTAAGAATTGAAAATAACTCATTTCTTTTCAAAGCAAAATACCATGCACAAAAACTGCATCTCATTGTAACAAAGCCTTCAGAGTTTCAAAGTTTCAAAAACAGATGATTGTGGGACAATATGAAAATGACAAGGATGGACAATAACTCTTTCAAAAAATACTGAATCGATATACTGTTCATTAATATACAACATCATGCTTCCTGAAACAGCTAGTGAAAGTCCTGCACAGAACCTTGTTACACTCGATGGCCAGCAAAAGCAGACTAAAAATATCAAGCAACTTCTAAGTACTAACTAGCTGGATAAATAAATTCATCACCACATTTACTACTACATGCAGACAACTAAGTCAATACATTGATGCATCAAGTCCAAGCTTAATGTCTTGCAGTATATATATCTAAACAGATGTAACATTTTTCATAAAGTACATTAAAGACAGCTCAACTGTATATATACTACCTTCCATGTCTCCCTTTTCAAATTGTTCATCAGCACTTTTCTCTCCGTCTTCTTCCTCTGGTACTGTAATAATTATTCTGCACATATATACATGAAACAGAGGCATACATTACAAAGAGGATACTAGCCAATCCACATACGGTAAAATCCACTACTTTCATCCTTGCTTAAATCTAGCGTAACTGACTCTTCGAATGTTTTTATTGTTAAAAACTTAAGCATGTGTATCTAAAACACTAACTTATGGTACTACGAAAACATTTCAATCTTGTGTAGGTTTACATAAGTGAGAAACATGCTACCGAGTCCAATTCTATAAAGTACTGAATTGAGCGAGACATTAGAAATTAAAAACATTCTGGCCCCTAGCTGTTATCATCATTTTGATGGGTGTGGTTTACCTCCTTGTAGAGCATTGCCAAGTACTCCTGTTTCCATCCTGGCCAAGTCCAAAAGAGCTCGCCCATACTGGTAATAGGCTTCTGCACACTCTTTGGCAGTTTCTCCATAGGATTTAGAACTGTAACAAATATAGAACTAGTTTCAATATTATGACTTGTTTGGAGATTAGATGGTTATACATGATCTTATGGTATACACATGAAATCATATTGAGGAAAAAAAATTAAAAATGCATAAAGCCTTTAATTTTCCCAGTTTATGAAACTACTGGCCATTTGATCAAACATACAGAACAAATTCTGTAAATTTCTGTGAAAATGTTCAAGCCAAATATCTTTAAATGAAAAGTGAATTTGACTTAAGACTGACAGCAAAGCAAACCTTATCCTTTTTCTTAAGTAAAAAATGGTTGACCTCTGACAATTTATATGCAGGGTATACATAAGTTGACATCTATATTACATTTTTTATTCCACATATATGTCGGCATTAATTCATTAGATGAGGATGATACATAGCGACAACAATGATCAAAACTGATGCAAACTATCACTTATTAAAGAACGTCTGCTTGGTAAGAGGATAACTAATCTGATGGAACAGCCCTACAGAAAATAAAGTATTCCTACCAGAGGAATGAGAAATTATGTCATCTGTCTGATGGGTTTGACCATTTTCTATCATGTGCTTAATAGTTTTATGATTCACACTTACAGAACTTTACAGGCTTCTTGGAACTGGTTCACTGCTGTTGGAATCTCGCCACAAACCATGTTACGTTTCCCCTGTGCAATCATATTAAGGGCAGACATGGCAGCTTCCATCCTAAAATTTGAAAAAAAAAAAAATTAGCGAAAACAAGAATTTCACAGCAGTAGAAGTGTCACCTGCCCAGCAAGGTTTCTGGATATGAATTTTCTAAAACAATAGCCAAAGATATTCATTGTATTTATTCCATTCACATAATTTATCCATTTTGTGATGTGTAAAATTGCAGGTTAGATATATTGTGTCAAAAGGAACCAAATCCCCATTCATTGATGCTTAGTTCATCGTTTGGTTTATTTCATCATTACTGAATCAATTTTGATGATTTTTATTGTCCTATCACAGACACACAATTCAGTCGTGCATGTGCCCTAGCTTTAGTCACTGCTCTTACTCTCCTTAACATCAACTCCATTGAGGTGTTGGTCCTTGGAGGGAAATTATTCCACTCCTGAATAAGGGCCTACACGAGTTGAGTAGCATTATATGGGACACAGACACACTTCCAAACTCTCCTGTCCAGCTTGTCCCACAAATGCTCGATTGGGGACCAATCTGGATTGTATGGTGGCCAATCAAGATCTGGAATGTTGTTTTGAGCCAAAATGTCATGACAAACCCTAGCAATGGGCCTTGTTTTGTCGTGTTGCAACATAAGGTTACATTTGTTAATGAGTAAAAGGACATACTTTTAGAGACCCTTCCAAGAATCTGTCGTTTTCCGTTATGAGAATCAGAATACACCTCACCATGACCCCAAAGGACATGTCGTCCATCTGACCTGTAAAGTGTGAAGCAAGATTTGTCTGTCAACAACCTGGTTTTACAAAACCAATTAGGTGCATATGCAAGCAGCCACTGCATTAGACGTTGTCACTTCTGCATAATTGGTGGACCAACCTAGGGATGCTGTGGCTTTAAATGAACTTCCCACAACTAATTACTAACCATTCTTGAACACACTGGCTAACCACGAGTGGCAAAAACTTTATATGCTGTCTCCATCTGAAATCAGTTATGGAGGTATGAGAAACGTATGCCTCTATCTCGATATTGTGAAGTTGTGCTGGTGTCCACTTCTGGGACGGTCATCCAATCTCCATGTGGCTCCAAGATGATCAACTAAACAGGATTTTGTTGTTTCATCATTCATGTACATCATATTGCTGGACTACATAACATTGCGAATGCTCCTGCATTATCCTATTCACTGAACTCAATGGTGGCACTTTGCTCTACAATTGCTTTGTTGTTTAGTGGACCTGTACTGTTCCAATGTTCAATTTGTAAGGCTATACCAGTACATATGGTGCAGAAATACTCTGGATGCACACTTTCTTGTAAAATCGGCTGAAAGTATGCAGTGTCGAGCTGGGTCATATATGGCTGAATTTTAACTGAAAAAATTTTCACAGTGCACAAAGTTAGCTCTGTCAAAATTAAATTTTCGTCCATGTGTCTAAATGTTATATTAAGAAAACTGAACTTGTGGTTTCCCCCGTAATATATTTCCCTTCTTTCACATTTCCTAAACTACAGAACATGAATTGCATAAAGAATTTTTTTTACCATTTTGATGCCTTATAACTTCATTATAGTGATCCGACAATTCTTAACTTATATACTCCATAACATGCCCATTGTGTGTGAATCAGTTAAAGATGGCTCAGCAATTCAGTTACACCAAATTTTTTAAAGGACATCTAAAAAGAACGGATGTAAAATACCTCCAGACTGGCTATTGGACCTGGCTCTCTGCCCCCAGGGTGGTTAGACCAACCATATATACAAAACAGAATCCCCTTCCATCAAGAATGTATCAGATCAAAATCAGACAAAACGGTGTCTTTCTTTAAGATTCTAAAGAATTTGTTCAATTTCTCCTCCATCAGGTCCCATGGTTTTAGACCCAACATTTATACAAAATTTGTTCCGATTCCCTCCAAATACTTCTGACCAAAATAAGTTTAAATCTGCTGTCACCTTGCGACTAGTGGCCATTTTTAGAAAAAAGCTGACATAGGAGTGTGCCATACTATGACATACATAAGCTAACCGGTAGTTTGGACCGGGGGAGCTAAAAAAATGTTTAGTATTTTCCTTTGCTAATACATTAAATTCTTTCAAAAATTTTGCTGTTGCCAGCAGAAGTGACTTTTGGGTTGGTCATTTGTGCATTATCTATATCCGAGCACATGGCAGTAGTGCTCGCTTTGATAAAAACATTATTCAAGACTGTGTGGTGCTTATGATATTGGTATGTTGACATTTGCTGTAATCCCTTCATAGGAAATGAGTGGAAACGTTATTGAATATCTTTCTGGAAATCCAATCATCCAATAAAATGATGGTAAGAACTACTGTACAAGTGCTCACTGTCACTTCTGTGCAATGCAATTGATCACTTCTTCATAACCATTTTTCATTGCATGCAATAGTTAAACATTCCTGTGTTATTTTGACAAACTTAATTATGTATGTTTATAGTTTTTCATGGTTTATATGTGTTTTTCTTATTATCAATGCGTCCAAATGCAAAAGTAGAATCAGAGTCCATTTCATTTTCGGTGTAAACAACCCCGCATAATCCAGCTGATTTCAGAGTATTTGATAGTTTAAATAAATTATGTTAGACATAAAGATTATCATGATTCTTTGATATTTATATCTGCTTCATAAACAATTTGTCAACCAATTCCTGCATCAATCATGCCCAAGTGAAAAGGCAACATAATTGCTTTATGATGTCTTAAGATGTTACACGGGAAAGGCATGTGAACTGCAACGTCTCAAGATGTTGTGGAGGATACAGAGCACATTGGTGATCTTTCCAGATGTCACGAGAATGCAGAGTTCATAGGTCAAGAAAAAAATATTGTATGTACTATGTGTATTATATGCAAACTGGCTTAACATGGCAATTTGGATATAAATCTTATAATTGAACAAGAGATCCCAGAGGAATCTTGGCACCCACTATTGTTTGATCTTTATTTGTTCCTTGAGGGCTGGATCTTTTCCCCTATTTCCTCTAAAGTTTTTGCTCTTAATGATGAGAACTTTCCAGAAATAGCTGGTTGCCTTAAAGCCATTGTTTTTTCATATCGGTCCTATAATCCAACTGGCACAACTAGGGACAGAGGGGAACCCACATATGAAATCCGAGAGATCCATTCAGTACTTCTTAAGAATCAGCGATAACTTTACTAAGTGAAATCCAAGATGGCCATCTGTCGGCACTTTTGTTTTTCTGATCAGACCCAAAATCAAACAGACACAAATAAGGACAATGGGGAAACCTACATAGGAAATTTGAAAGTACTTCTCAAGACTTAGCAATAATGAGCTTTACCCTGCCAAATACATGGTGGCTGCCTGTCTGCCATTTTGTTTTTCAGATCAGTCCAAAACAGGCACAACGAAGGACCAAAAGGAACAAACATAAAATTTCAGAGAGATCCATCCATTACTTCAACAATAGCCATAACAAACTCCATTGAAAAAAATCCAAGATGGCTGCCTGTCAGCCATAACTATTTGCACATGGAAAAGTACCTATGGCCTTTATGACGTTACAATAGTTAATGTATTAATTAATGTATATGCCAGTATTGCATATTAAATAAATGTGTTTTTTTCTACCCGTTTCAATGGTGGTACAAATAAAATTAACTTTTTTGTAACATAAACCCTATCTTTGTCGCAAACATTTAAAAAATTTCTGTTTCTCTTTTCAAACAATCCTGTGTTTGAATATTAAATTTATTTCTAAAAGCAGCAACATATACAGATGGTGTACTATCACCCATTCTGACTTATGTAACTTAGGGGACAGGATGTTTGACACAGAAACTAGGTATGTTTTACGTGTCTTTCTACATGAAGCCCCATAACACAGCTTACATTGTTTTTTAGCTCTGAATTACACTGGAAAAGTTAACAGACCAAGCTTCAATATTTGTCCATGTTTGCAAAAATGGGAGGTAAACTGTACTGAATATTCCAATATCAATTCACCATTCAAACGTGTGAGAAACAAATTATTTATTTGCAAATGTTTCATTTCATCTTTAAAGTGAGATATGAAAATTCTGCAACCAGAGGTACAGCCACGGATCAAAAGTCATTCCCAAAAATTATCAACATTTCTATAACAAAATAGACTTTGGAATTTAAAACCGTGCCAATATATCAAGAGATGTATAACATTCAATAAATGGGAAGTCTGGAAAATTTGAGGCAAAGTGGCAGGCCTAAAAAAACTACTGCCAAGGATGGGTGGAAGATACTTTAAATAAATCGTCAATTTAATGTGCACACATCTGTTAAAATTTCAAAATCAACTGACCAACGACATTTCCATTTCCATGGTTTTAAAAGATGAATCATCAGAAAAAAATTATGATTTTGGTTGAAATGACGTTTGAAATATTTTTTTCTGACCAATTTAAGTGGTGTTGGGTACCAACATTAAAATTTGCATCTGGTGAACAGGCAACGAAAACTGGCTTCCTCAATGTTTAGCTCACCAGGTAAAGCTGCCATGGTGTTTTGGGGTTTGTGGCAATATCAATTCTCAAAAGTAAACAGAAATCCTGTAACAAAATTTATGGCAGTTTTAGCTAATAATTTCCCAAACTCGCCTTTGATTTTCCAAGATGCCAACAAGTCATTTCACTGATCTCTGTGCACAATTCAAATAATATTCCGTTATTGTTATGGCCAGCATAAAGCCCAGGTTTTAATATCACAGAAAATACATGGCTTCTACTTAAGATCAAGTTGAGAAGGCAAGCAGCAACCATTGAGTATAAGGATAACCTTATCAGAGTTGTCCAGGACATTTGGGCTTCCTTCTCTCAGATATATACCAGATCACTTTCCTTTTGTCAAACATCTTTTAATCAAAGTACTGAAAGTACTGAAAGGCTAAACGTATTGAAAAATATTCACAAATAACCGCAAAGCTATATTACTTTCCCCACACTCCTACACTTTGGAATGCAAAAATTACTAAAATAAGAGAACCAGAGGCTATTTTTCTTAATTTTAAGCGATTTTATATCTTCTTTAATTCTTATTTCAAATTTGACGACAATAATGTGAACAAATCAAAATAGGTAAAGAAAATTAAAAAAAATACACACAACCAACCATACATTTATCGCCAACAAGCCAAATGATAAAAAGCTCTATGATGAAGTTGACTAAATGAAACCTTTGAAATACCCAAGATTTTGCAATTACTATCCTATCAATATGAGGATTTAGACAAATCGAAAGGATTTTATACTTACTTCTTTATTTTGAATGTATTGCAAAGTAATAGTCCTTACTTATTATAATTTCATTTGTAGTTGAGGAAAGTAGATAAGGTGTACACAGCATTTCAGATAGATTAAAGTGTAAGTAATTACATTAAATGTATTTACATGCCTATCTTCCTTGAAGTATCATGGTTAGACTTTTCTTCCAGTAATTATGTCTATAAAGACATAGTTCTTCGAGATTAAACCAGACTTCTAAATATATACAAAATTTACAATATTTTCACTATAGCTACTACTATTTCTGATCTGCAATGCATTAGATAATGTCACCATGACACGCTAAATGAATAAATATGTTATGGAAATATTTCGTTTGAGTTAATTGATAATTATAAACATGAATATTTTGGGGTTTTTTATACGCATTTTGTTTGAAGGAATATTTTCATTTCAAGGAACTTTGATACACATTAACAAACCTTGAGAAATCAGCACAATCAAGCTTCATCAAATAAAACTAAAAGACAAAAAATATAAGTTATAACAGAGTCAACATCATGATCAGTACAGCATTAAAAATATATTATAAATCATGAGCACCAAATGTACCTTGCCTACGAAGCGCAAACTTTTTATCTTCAATAACTTGAAAAAAAGTGTCATGGCGGTGGGTGTGAAAAACCTGAAAAAGTGTCATATTGGCGGGTGTGCACGTGGGACGAACAGTCCAATTCGGTGACGTCTAATGAGGTTAAGTGATGTTATATATTAAGACGATCTTGCCACGACAAGGATTAAAACAAAATTGATGTTCTATTTGTAAGTTTTGTTTGTTTATAAGTGCTGTTAGTTGATAATTCAAACCAAGCCCCCTGACTAGCTTCTGATCAACTCGCACGTACAGTGTTCTGTACGCTTACGTCATGTCGAGAAATATGTTGTTCAAAATTTATCAATAGTTCAACCACACTGTGCTTCTTTTTTTAAATATATAGTAATCGTATTGATATTAAAAAAATAAACTAATTTTGGATGCTTTTAAAATAGCGATTTGAAAGATTGCAGCATTATTTACGCAGAAAATTGCCGCTAGAGGGCTCTAACTCTTTTCGATATTTCAGCCAATGAGAAGGCCAGGATCGGTAAATTTTGTCTGAAAGGCCGTTGCAATAGGCTATGAGTACTGAGTATGTTTAACCTAAAAAGCAAATGGATCAATCATAAAATAATGAAAATTTCAGGCAAAATCTACACTATTTATCATTAATACTAAGTTTGTGAAGTGCCTTTGTTAACATTTGACCGTGGCCATTTTTGGGAATGACTTGACCCTTGGCTGTACTAACATTCTTTCATTAGAGTATTATAATCAATGCATTTGGCTGTCATATTCATTCTCATAAATCCCACAGGAATGTGGCATTTTCTAAAAAAACAGCTTGTTTGACAGTCTTCGGTAAGGACTTTTCAGCAAACACTGCACTTCCATGTACATAGGCATGTAGATTTATTTTGGCAAATAGCAGATCTAGTCCGAATTATTCCGACATTCTGTCGACTTTTTCTTATATCGGTCTCGCGTCGATGAACGCTCAGAACTCATGCCCTAGAAAAAGTGAGTGGTGTAAGTGACCAGTGTCTGGGTCAGCATTCAAACGATAATTATGGAAAGAAATCGTACTCCAAGTAAAGAATATATTCTTCATTTTGTGAATGGCATTACTACTTTCACATCGAGTAAATCGCTGTTACCCAACCAACAACTTCTACACTTTCAAGACATTCATCGATATCTGTCAAACCTGGATTAGAGATCTTCAATCTGCTTCTTCCACGGACGTCACTTGCAGTGAAACTGCTATCTCCTTAGCACCTACCTGTCTTTGTCTGATGACCAACTAGGACCCGGATTATCCATAATTCAGAACAAATAAAATACGTGCAAAGCAAAGAAAAACGTGATAATTTCGCGCCTTCTCTCAATCTCAACTTCCGCTTCGAATGTGTATTAATCTTTAAACAAAACAAAAAAAAATTATTTATGTATGTCATGTATATCTTTTGACGCTCTAAGTATCAACACTGAGCTAAAATACAAAATATTAAAGGATATATAGGCATATTATAATCACAACAATACATAACAATATTGAATGATTTCTAATAAAGAGTTCTACACAATAAACGATGACGTAGCCCTCTTCAGCGGCGGCCATAGAAAACCTCGTGGGTCTTCATTTTTGTCGATCAAATTTCAGGGTAAATAGAGCATTATAGTTCGAAATAACACCATCAATTTTATTGTACTTTCAAAAACACACAATAGTATCGATACTGTTTGATTATATGTCGTTCAACTTCGTGTCTAATGTTTATATCAAAGTAGATACTGACGATCACATCGCGTTGTTTGTTCACTGATAAATTAGTAGTGACATTCCATCCTGGAGATCCTTTCACATATCAATTACTTGAGGAGAATATTATCATACGGTTTTTCAATACAACAATTATTGCGTTTCCCCCATGTTCCGTTTATTTTCTAACTTATATCTATGAAATTATATTTCCAAAATACCTGAAATTCTAGGAAATGTCATTAGGAACGAGACATGGCGAATGCGAAGCATGTTTATGCAAGCAATCATATACCACATGGATATATGTATATTTGTATATGTGTTTTCTCTATATTATATGAAAGTTTATCATTGAAAATAACGATATCATAATAAACCACGTTTTTCACATTAATGGAAATCGAATAATAATAAAAATGTGATAAAAATAACTGGACTCTGGATGTAGATTTTCCAACAACTATTCATCGTTTGAGTAACTTAACTTATAAAACAACATTGAAATAGCTGTAAGCGAATTCAAAGATACATCAACGAAATGTTCAGTCTGTTAGTAGTACACAAGTCTTTATGTGAGGCTTCCTATATCTGGTTAGAAAGTGAATCTATTCACAGCTGACAACTTTAGTTGAAACAACTTCTTCATTAGGTTGCAATGCAATTTTGTCATTTGTTGCATGATAAAATTCATGTGCACTTGCCATTCTTAGTTACATACCCTGTCATTGTGTTTATGTAGATTGATCTGATTTTGAATCTTAAAGAAGGGCATGGTATATGATCCAAGTGTTCTACCTCGCCCAACTTATTTGATGGTTGAGCATTCAGTACTGGTTGCCATATATCAGGAGCTCTTAAACATTTCTGTATAACATGCCATTATTATCACATTTTCAGACCATTTTTATGCCCCCTCCATTTTATTGGGGAAGGGCATATACTGTTACAGAAATTTGTCCTGTCATTTTGTTTTCTGTTAAATTCCATCCTGATCATCCGTGTTATCATTTGATTTTGACAGATTTTGGTCGAACTTCTTGCAAAAGCTGCCTATGTCAATAGTGAATACCTCAAATGAATGCATTTCATGAGACCACCCTTTTAATAGGAACTTGTTATATATAGATATAAATGCTTATGTGCATTGAAGAGAAGCATTCACTTGTATTTTTCTGTCCCGTTTCCTTTCCTCTCCCCACCCCCTTTTTTGATATTTTGATATTTTCTTTGAAACCATTGAAAGTTATTCAAACAAATTATCAGGAAAAGTATAAAATTTACTTTCTGCAACTTATTTCAGCTGCACCTTAGTACAAATACACAATTAAATTAGTACCTAAAGTAAATCAACTTTTTTATGATATAATACTGAAGATGAATTTTAATTATGTTGTTTTCTCTTTTTAGGTCATCTGACCCGAAGGGTCCGATGACCTATAGTCATCATGCTTCGTCCGTCGTCGTGCGCCGTCCGCCGTGCGCCGTGCGTAAACTTTTCATTCAAACGACTTCTTCTCAAATACTAGAAGGTCTAGGGGGCTAATACTTGGCACAGAGGATACTGGCATGGAGCTCTACCAAGTTTGTTCAAATGAATGACCTTGACCCACTTTAAAGGTCACAGGGGTTATGTTAAAATCTTTAAACAACTTCTTCTCATTAACCAAAAGGCTCAGAGTGTAGATATTGGGCCTGTGACATGCTGGGATAAAGTGCTACTAAGTTTGTTCAAGTGAATGACCTTGACCTACGTTCAAGGTCACAGGGGCCAAATATGTTGAAATCTTTAAACGACTTCTCCTCAATAACCAAAAGGGTCAGATTGCTGATATTGTGCCTGTGGCATGCTGGGATGAAGGGCTATCAAGTTTGTTCAAATGAATGACCTTGAACAACTTTCAATGTCACAGGGGTCAAATATGTTAAAATCTTTAAATAACTTCTTCTCAAATACTAGAAGGCCTAGGGGGCTAATACTTGGCCCATAGCATGCTGGCATGGAGCCCTACAAAGTTTGTTCAAATGAATGACCTTGGCCCACTTTCAAGGTCACAGGGGTCAAATATGTTAAAATATACAAAGGACTTCATCTCAATAAGCAAAAGTCTATGAGTGCCGATATTGGGTCTGTAGCATGCTGGGAGGAAAGGCTACCAAGTTTATTCAAATGAATGACCTCGACCCACTTTCAAGTTCACAGGGGTCAAATATGTTAAAATATACAAACGACTTCTTCTCAACAAGCAAAAGTCCATGAGTGCTGATATTGGGCCCGTAAGATGCTTGGAGGAGAGGCTACCAAGTTTGTTCAAATGAATGACCTCAACCCACTTTCTAGGTTTGGCTTGCTTTTTGTCAGATGACCGTTAAGGCCCATGGGCCTCTTGTTTTTCATTATTTTTGCTTGTGTAAGATAACTGGCGTTTGATAACTAAGTTTTTAAAATTTTGGTAATGGTTGTTACAGATTAAAAATGAATCCTGAGAAATTGAAGCAGCTGCAACAGCAAGTACGCATAGGAGGAAAGGTACGTTTCTGTTGTGTTGTAGATCAAACTGCTATATTATTATACACATGTTGTTTTTTGGAATGTAGATATTAAAATCTTTAACCAGTATTATATCAATCTTATATTTTGGATAGCATTTAAAAGTTTTGAAAATGCTGCTTAGAACCTTTCTGAAAACTATGTTTAGTTAATATGTTTTCTTTCACACTAGGGTACAGCAAGAAGGAAGAAGAAGGTGGTACATCGCACAGCAACAACAGATGATAAGAAACTACAAAGTTCACTGAAGAAACTCTCTGTCAGTAACATCCCAGGAATTGAGGAGGTACAGTTCACAGATGTAGTTTTATGAGAAATAGAATCCATAATTTGATTGATCTTTTAATGCTTAACTTAATAAAAGAAGTGTTCATATTAATATTCATCAGCTAGTGGTATAATAATTGATGGATATCTGGTTTATACACAAAAATAATAAATGAGGTCTTGAAATTGTGAAATGTGCCTCATATTATTTTGAACGGAGTGCATTGATTTTATTTTTACACAGCTTGAACAATTTTCATTATTTTTTATACCTCTGGCAGTGGTAGGATGACAAATCAAACTTTATCGAATCACAAGTGTTGCATGATAAGTTCAAATGATTCAGTGTCATGATTTAATTTTATTCCTACCAATTTGAAGTAAAAGTTAGCTAAACCGCAAAACTGTCTCAGCTGCTGTTGGATTTATCTGTGTTGAAGATGTTCAACTGATGAGGGTATTATAAATCTGTTGATACAGTGGGACCCATTTAATGTCACTTCTGTTAATGTCACTTTCCAGTTAATATCACATTTTCTTGAAACACCTTTTTCCCCTTATATATTCTATGTTATCCAACATCTGATAATATCACTTTTGAGTCATTGCCAAGCCCTTTTCAAATCCTAGCTGGTGCTCTAATAATATATATGTATATATATTACAACAAGTCTAAAAAAAAGCCTGTGATCCCATCTACTGTCATTTTCATACAAATAATCGCAGGAGATTGAATATGTGCTTGGCTCTCCTCACTTATTAATGCAAAAATAAATCCCATGCAAAATATAAGTGATGTACGGTAATTTAAAGTATTGCTTTTTGATTATATGTTGTATAAAATACAAAGTGTTATTTGTGTCAGCACTATCACTTTTGCAGTGAACAAAAAAACATTGAAAATAATGTCCATTTGTCAAAAGAATGCGATAATGTTCAGAATATGATGTTAACAATTGAAACATTTTTTTAAATGTCTAAATCCAGAATTGGTGTTTCAAGGAAATGTGAAATTAACCATATGATCAGGCTGTGTAATTTTAGTTGTAACATGATTTATTAATTGCTAAAATGTCAGCTGACCTGTCAAATACCAATTGAAGATGGTAGACCTGGATATAAGTTTAATGATTTTGTCTAATTGAATTCTAGAATATTAATACTATTCAACAATGTGGTTTGGCAGGTTTGCTAATGTGTTCATCACAAATCAGGTTTAGATTTATCGAAAGTTTATGAATAATGATAGTTATCTCCTATGATCAGTAAAAGCATTTATCTTAAATTTAAGCCGCTGTTTGTCCTTTTTTTTTTTTGTTCTTTGGCAGGTGCTTTATAAATTTAAGATGTTTTGTCTAGAGGTAAAGTTTGTTTTCCATGCCCTTATCAAACGAAAGCCAAAAAAATTGGGAAAAGGTCCAAATATTTCCAGGCTTTCGCTTGTTGGCACACACATAGGATTTAACATATTCCCAGTTTCAGATTTAACTTTTGAAAGAATGATCTACAGTAATTCATCTTAATTTCAGGTGAATATGATCAAGGATGATGGTATGGTCATCCACTTTAATAACCCAAAGGTGCAAGCCTCACTTGCTGCAAACACATTTGCAATCACAGGACAGGCCGAGAACAAACGTAAGTTACAATGTTTATCGAAATCTTGAAGTAGTGACTGTTGTGATTAGTGGTTTCTTCCATCTTGCTGAAATGAATAATGTTTTATTGTAAACTATTACAACATTGATATTTGAAAACTTATAATTTTCATTAGACTTTAGAATTAAAAGGGAATGCCAGTTATTATCCCATGCCAACTTCGTTGGGCAGGGGATCTTCAAATGGGTTCCATCCTTCCATCAGTCTTGATTCTACTTGCTGCATATCTTTTGAAGAACTGGTCAGATTTTGATGAAACTTTGTGGGTACACTTGATCCCTTATCCCTTGCACAAGATTGATGAAGAACAAATTCCGTGCATATTTAATGAGGCTGTTGGGACCTGATTGGCTGATTTCTTTAATCACTCTATGGGAATGCTTTCTACTCATTATCTTATGAAGGCATAAGATTTTAAGAAACTTGCCTTGTAGACTTATTACCTTAATTATTCGTTCAGGTTCGATTATTGGCAAATCTATGCATATTTTATGAGATTGCTGTGACCTGATTGGCTGATAACTTTCAGCAATAAATACTTCTCGGCATGTTATCTTTAATGAATTATGATGAGACTTGCTTGGTAATCTTATTACATAATCTCCTCACTCAAGTTCAACCATGCATATTTATATCATAGTGCTCTTACCTGACTGACTGATTTCTTGAAACGGTTATGAGGATCACTTTCCATACAAGTTTTATTATCTGCTAATGTCACGAATATCAAATGAGGTAGCTGTGACCTGAATGGCTGATTGCTTTTCACAGAATATCTTTTAAAGTAGTAATAAAAGACCTGTAAAAGACTTTAAAATTAGACACCACAAAATCTTAAGTATAATAATAATAAGAAACAGAACAATAACAACAGGTGTTTTCACCAGTTGGTAAAAAGGCCCAGTATACCTGTGATAGTGAACCTCCTAAATGATTTTAGGAGTCTAAAGTTCAAAGTGATGTTGCACTATCACCAGTTATGATTTCTTTTACTGGTAGTAAACTTTCTGGTAATTTTACATATCTGACTATTAGATGGTGTGTTATATTTTATTAATGTTTAAAAGTATTTTACAGCTTTGTCATACTTTAGCGATGATAAAATCATTGATTGATCCAGCATCACTGAAATTAAGTGACAAATATTCTATCATTACTGTTCGTAAAAAAAAAGGGAATATAAAGGTATGATAAGCTGATTTTAATGTTCACAGTAATATGATAGATCTCTTTCATTGGAACTTTAAACTGAACATAAACAATAAATGGTTTCAATACCTTCGCTTTCAATGTTGCTCACTTTAGATGTATATATTTTAGAAATGAACACAGGTTTTAGATCTCAAAGACCATGTCCCTGCTATTGATTGATAAAATTTTATAATTTCTATTTTTCTTGTGTTTGCAGAAATAGCAGAGATGTTGCCAGGTATTCTTAATCAACTAGGAGCTGAAAGCTTAAGTAGTCTCAAAAAGCTTGCATCGTCTGTCACTGGTAGTATGTCAGGTAAGTTTCAAAACCATAGTCAAATTTCTGTTTTGTTTTGTTTTTTGTTTTGTTTTTTTGATAAAGCAGTGAGAAAATAGATTCTCCCAGCTTCTGAGTGATAACAGTTAGCCCCAATCAGTCAAAAATGATATATTCTTCAAACAAGATTGGTAATTCTTTCAGAGGTTAAAACCTGTCTGTTGATACAACATCTGATGACTTTGGTCTAACTAGATTTAGGATTTTCATCATATATTATTTCTTCATCAAATTTAGTATGTTGCTGTGTATCCATTAGATCTCGGTTGAGTTTGATATTGGTCAACATCCATCAACATTTGCCAGAGTTAAAGGACTTGTAAAGGTCACTGATACAGTATTGTCTTTATTTCTGTTAAATAACTTCAATTTTTACCATTAGATTTGAACCAAATGTATTATACTATTTGCTTTAAATTTGTCATTTGTCTGTGATGCATGACCCACCTGTAAACATCTATTACTACTCCTTGAGAAGTTCAGGATGGATCTTTCTCAAATTTTATGGTAGAGACCCTTTGGCCCTTAGTTGTGTCCATTTGATTTTGGGACTGAAGAACAAATAAAGACTAAACAGTAGTGGGCATCAAAATCCCTCTGGGATCTCTTGTTATTCTACAAGTTAATTGACTAAAATTCAGAAGTCTTCATTGTTAATTTCTATCCTAACAGTTGATGAGATTGTGGCACAGACATTAGTGTGAATTTGAAGGTGAAATAACCTCTTACCCACCAAGAACAGACAAAATGGAAAACAAGGCCAGTGATTGTTCATTTCATTGTATGCTTACTTTTTAACTTCAGGAGGCTCAGGAGACAACAAGCCTGCTACAGAGGACATTGATGATGACGATGATGTTCCAGGTAGGTACCAGCATCAAACTACTTTGTACACTAAGATGACACAACAGAGTTCGCAAAATGGTTACTGTTGCTCAACTTTGCAACATATTGTTAGGGTTCTATAGGAGCCAAGGCAAGATGTCCACATCATTCTCTGTTTAACAGTCAGCAGGTTGTAAACCAAAGGAAATATCACAAATAAGGAAAATGTTGGTCTTGTACAACCAGACTCTTGATTTCTGCACACATTGCACCAGTCTGGTGAGTCTGTGATGTGGTTTTGTGATGGTGAAATGAGTCTAACCAGAAATCTGGTTAACAATTGCCTCAGTCATCAGTACACTCACCCTTATCAAGATGACTATTGTAGCCCTTTTGATCATATTTTATCTTGCCCGTTTTCCTTGGAATCACTTCATGATCTTCTTCTTCAGTTTATATTAATGTATAGTATCACTGCTTTGAAGAACTAAACAAAAGACAAGCTTTTGAGTTAATCCAATTGTCGTTAACATGTTTCTATGGTATTAACAAAATGGTGTAAACCGAAGCCTTCAGGCGGTGACAATTTCATATTTGGTTAAGTACACTAGGAAAATGTAAGTTGAACATGTCATCAGACAATATTTTAAATGTATGCAAAACAACAATGGTGTTACTACTTTCAGAAAAATGTGTAAACAATACAGCAGTTTTCATATTTTGGCAGAAATGTTTCAGAAATGTTAAATCTCTTTTGGGAAGGATAAAGGTTGAAATCAGACTTGTCATTAACTTAACATTGAGATGAATATACATACTACTTTATTTGATGTTTATTTATTATCTCTCCTAACAAATGCAATATCATTAGGATTATTTCGGGGATCGTGAATAGCAAACCAAGTATTTCATTTTGCTGAAAAGCAGTTATTACTACCTCCATTTTTTACTTTCAGATCTGGTTGGGAACTTTGATGAGTCATCCAAAATGGAATGATCTAAGTTTCAACATTAAAAGCATGTTCAGACACTACTGGTTTTGCTTGTACTATGAAAGCTGTTGGACTTGTGTGAATATCAAAAAATACCCTGACCCAATTTTAGCGCTTTATCAACAAAATGACAATAAAAATGAAGACATGGTCGCAATGGAAAAAATCGTCCCAACATGGGATACTATTATTGCCAGTGAAATGAAGATTGGCATAATAATGTTATTGTACAATATTTACACAATTATAGGAAAACATTTTATGGACGCCTTTCATAATAAATCCACTCACTATAGTACTTGGACACCGGACGACAAACAGCTGTTTTTACAAAGATATCTTGACCAATGTCCAAGTACAAATAAAAACTTTTTCTCACCTCTTGTTTTCTGTTATCAAAATTATATTCATAAAACCGTTTTTATGCTCAAAACTGATTCTGTACTCTTGTTGAAATCTACAACACTTATTTTGATCATGTTCAAAACTTTCAAGCAAATATGAGCACTAATGGTTTTATGGATAAGATTCTCTAATTACATATTGATTCTTTTGTGTAAACATCTATTTAATCATTTGTTACCAAGGGTATTTCACCCACAAAAAGAACTTTTCCTAGAATATTTGACAAATGTTCTAGTAAAGTGTCAATGCCCCTGTCTCCATTTCTACAAATTCCTTTTATTTTTGTGTGACCCTCACAATAAGTTGATTTTTGTATGAAGATCAATATCAGTATCCCGAACCTGATTTATTGAAGAAAACAAAAATTCTTTCCATCCAGTTCTGTCAGACTCGGCTATGTTGTAAAGTGGTGGCTTCGAGATGTTGCTAGTTCATGGTTTGTAACGGGCAAATATCCCACTACTACCTACATGTATTAGAATTGCATTATGTGGTTCTTGGTTCTTTAGGGACTCCTCAATGATGGTAGTGGTACAATGTATGAATGTCAATTAAAACCACATGCTTGTAATTCAATGCTTCACTATTATGACCACAATAATGCAAGATAGATTTGAAATGGCCCAAAATTAGTTTTGCATAAAATTTTGCCTTTCTAATAGGTCGAGTGACCCGTCCTTGGTGTGTACATCGACCACGTGCCAGTTATTGTTGTCAAACTGGCTACTCAAAAGTCATCTTTGTGATAGACAAAATATATGCCAAATTATCAATTAAGGAGTTATTTATATCGACCCATGGCTATGGTGTGTCGTCCTTCATCTACTTTTTAACATTCTTGAAATTGCTATTTCTTGAGAAGTACTGAAAGGATATTTCACAATCATCATATGTAGGTTTCTCTTGTCCCCTAGTGATGTCCTCTTAATTTTGTGATATATAAGGAGAACAATAGTGCACTGACGGTCATCATAACAAAAGGTTGATTATTTAGCTAATCTCTTGCAAGTATGAACTCTTCAGTGGGTAGACTGCTGGAATCCCTGACATTTGTCACAAGTTGAGTTCGGAGGAAGTGGAAAAATTGTAAATGTTGCAGCATGTCGAGTAAATCAGAATGACCTTTCATAGACAAAAAGACAATCCAAGGTTGGTTCAGAATGACATTTTAATAATTTATAAGAATTGTCAAATTTATTCAACTTTCGTGTATGGAATTCTTGCATTTTTAAACGAACATTAAAATCCAAAGTAAGCTTAACTGCAATTACCAAATATGGTAGTTTCTTTTACATATAGGACATCTACATCCTGTTCAATCCGAGGGCCGCAATCCAATATGGCTGACATTTCGCTTTAAACGAAATGCTTTATAACATTCAGTCACCTTCCTTTCTTACGACTGTTTACGAATACACATGAAATTATTTAGGTATAGAATGTGATATTACTGAAGCTTACGGCTTATAAAGAACACGTATATTTTTTTTAAACATGTTATATACATAATGACAGCTCCATCGCCTAGTAACGTTATGATGCGCATGCATAAACCTAAAAGACGGTAACAATGTATTGTAGTAAATAAGTTCACGCTTTGGCTTTTTAATGAAGTCATCTGGATACGCCGCAGCGAGCCAGTACTTAATAGGGACATCTCTGATCAAGTGTTGACAAAGCGTATCCGAATCAGAGACATATGCGATATATACGTCTCTGGCCGAATTGACTACAGCGCATTGTTACCATCTGGTGTATTTTTGGTCTTTAATCTGTTTACCACCTCGTCATAGTATGTTCGGCCTTAGGTGTTCCGTATCGTCGACTACACTCGCCATGTAAAGCCTGGTCAATCCAAGAAGTAATGTCACGTTCGCAAATGAGACATTGTATACAATAACGTAACAACAGGCAAATAACCAGCATCAAACACGACTAGCTTCATATTACATCAAAGCATTTTTTTAATGAGATCACTATGGCAACCATAAAGCTTTCCACTATTTTTACCAACCTGCATCTTTTCACTTTGTTATGAGTTTGTCCGTCAGTTGAAAATCGTGATAATGGGAACAGACACATGAATATCAAATCAGCTGTGACTTGTAAATATCATAGGTTTGTACCTATCCATGCGTGTTTCGTTGTAGGAAAGGATCGAGATAAGCAGCTGATGTCCAAGAGTCTGTGGTATCTTTGATTTCCAATTCGGGTGGATATATACGATGGACATTGTCAATAAATCTCTTGTTATTTACAAAAATAACGTTTCATCTATTTTGAAACCGAGTTTGAAAAGACCGAGTGGAGTGACAGTTAATTCTATTACAGACAGAACTCATAAGATGGAAACTATATTCTATCAGAACGACTACAATTGTAGACCAGTCACATATCTAGCAATCCTCCAGGGTTGTTCACTATATGCTTTCCAAATTTCTTTTTCGACCACGGGATTTAGTTGTAACTTGCCTGGAGTGGTCCCGAGATAATGTTTCCTATTTTTCCGAAAATCACTGTTGTGTACATGGTCTGAAGGAGACAATTCACAAACAAGTAGCTATATACTGGATTTCTATATCTGTTTTTATTTGTGTTTTATCATCACATTAAAATATAGGCAAGTATTCTAACTGAAATGTGTATTCATTTTAGACTGAAAACATTTTTGTATATGAAAAATTGTTTACCTGCCGAAGTCGACCGAAGTTTGATTTACAAAACGAAAGTAGGGGCAACCTGCCTGACCATTTGGATTTTCTCCTGGTACTCTAGTTACATCCCACTTTAAGACTCTCCGCATGCTAACTTCCGGGCTAACAAGAGTGGAATAACAATCATGGTTTCCCTAAACAATAGTTTTTTTAAAACTTCTCATGCCCTACAAGTGGGTTTGAAGTGGGTTAAACATGCTTGAAATGATCCTGAAATGGTCCTAACAAGTGTTGCTATTTTTAAAAGTCTGTAATCCTATATTGCCTCCACGGCCGCCATCTTGATAAACACATTTTAAAACTTTTTTTTCTTGATTCAACTGTTGTCATGAAGTTATTATTTGGAAAAGAAACTGAAGTGAGTTCATATATGTTAAGGTCCATGGGCCTCTTGTTTGATAGCTAAGGAGTCAAATAATACACAAAACAATCACTTTATACATCAATAAAGACTTCGGTTCATGATATTTGACCAGAAGCAATGTTGTATTGAAGGATTATCAAGTTTGTTCAGATGAATTACCTTGACCTACTCTCAAGGTCACAGAGGTCATATTATAGTTTTTTTCCCCAAATTGTCAATATATATCACCCGTATACTGTATGTTTAACATTTGTTTAGATATTCAATAGATGCTGTTTAAACTACAACTTATATACCAATGTCATCAATTTACTTCTTGTAAATAACCAAAAGGCCCATGATATCCACTCAAAAGCAAACTCCTATAACTGAGGAATTAGTTAGTTACTTAGTTAGTGTATTGATTTCTTACGGTATCAAATATTATATCAATGTATCACGGCTAAATAACTGAGTGAAATTAAATGGAAAGTAAACATAAACTACATACATATACATGCAAAAAATCCAAGAGAAGTTAACTGGGTCATCAGGTCAAAGGTCAAGGTAAGGTATTAGCAAATATAAAGCAAACGCAAAGCTCGCCAGAATCAAATGACCATCAGAAGTTGATGAATATTTAGTCCAAAGACTGAACATGTTTGTTTAGGAAGTTGCTAGTTGTGTAATCCAGATAAAGGAGGATTAGATATATTTAAAGTTAACTTCCACATCTCACCTTTACACTTCGCATTATGTAAAAGAGCACGAGCTTCAATGATTATACATATTATCAAATATCAGATTGTTATTTACAAAAATGTTCGTTTACAGTTCTTCCAGTACTTTGATTTATGTCAATTTCATTTTTGACTTTCCACATTTCTGACTTCAACAATCTCTGAAAAGTCTAAGGGTGTCTAAACCGCTGTATGATGCACGTCAATCATCAGACTTGTAGGGCACATTATTGTATTCGTTCATATTATCAGCAATTACATTGGCCGAGATGGTAGTGTGGTCAAGGTGTCTATATCACCAGCTCGCCAAGTCTATGTCACAGGCTCGAGAAATTCGTAGGGCAGTTGCCAGAGGGCTGTCCTCCACTACCAAAAATCTGGCATTAAATGATACTGGCTAATAAGAGGATATTAATCCTTGTTACACAGTAATCGCATCATATATATAGATTCCAGTATGTATAGCTGTGCAGTCAGATTTGTAACTTGTCAATGATCCAGTCAGGTTTGTAACTTGTCAGTGATCCAGTCAGATTGGTAACTTGTCGGTGATCCAGTCAGATTTGTAACTTGTCGGTGATCCAGTCAGATTTGTAACTTGTCAGTGATCCAGTCAGATTTGTAACTTGTCAGTGATCCAGTCAGATTTGTAACTTGTCAATGATCCAGTCGGGTTTGTAACTTGTCAGTGATCCAGTCAGATTTGTAACTTGTCGGCGATCCAGTCAGATTTGTAACTTGTCAGTGATCCAGTCAGATTTGTAACTTGTCGGTGATTCAGTCAGATTTGTAACTTGTCAGTGATCCAGTCAGATTGGTAACTTGTCAGTGATCCAGTCAGATTTGTAACTTGTCGGTGATTCAGTCAGATTTGTAACTTGTCGGTGATTCAGTCAGATTGGTAACTTGTCAGTGATCCAGTCAGATTGGTAACTTGTCAGTGATCCAGTCAGATTGGTAACTTGTCGGTGATTCATTCAGATTGGTAACTTGTCAGTGATCCAGTCAGATTTGTAACTTGTCAGTGATTCAGTCAGATTTGTAACTTGTCAGTGATCCAGTCAGATTTGTAACTTGTCAGTGATCCAGTCAGATTGGTAACTTGTCAGTGATCCGGTCAGATTGGTAAATTGTCAATGATCCAGTCAGATTTGTAACTTGTCAGTGATCCAGTGAGATTTGTAACTTGTCGGTGATTCATTCAGATTGGTAACTTGTCAGTGATCCAGTCAGATTTGTAACTTGTCAGTGATTCAGAAAGATTTGTAACTTGTCAGTGATCCAGTCAGATTTGTAACTTGTCGGTGATTCAGTCAGATTTGTAACTTGTCAGTGATCCAGTCAGATTTGTAACTTGTCGGTGATTCAGTCAGATTGGTAACTTGTCAGTGATCCAGTCAGATTTGTAACTTGTCAGTGATCCAGTCAGATTGGTAACTTGTCGGTGATTCAGTCAGATTGGTAACTTGTCAGTGATCCAGTCAGATTTGTAACTTGTCGGTGATTCAGTCAGATTGGTAACTTGTCAGTGATCCAGTGAGATTTGTAACTTGTCGGTGATTCATTCAGATTGGTAACTTGTCAGTGATCCAGTCAGATTTGTAACTTGTCAGTGATTCAGTCAGATTTGTAACTTGTGGTGATCCAGTCTTGTCAGTGATCCGGTCAGATTGGTAAATTGTCAATGATCCAGTCAGATTTGTAACTTGTCAGTGATCCAGTGAGATTTGTAACTTGTCGGTGATTCATTCAGATTGGTAACTTGTCAGTGATCCAGTCAGATTTGTAACTTGTCAGTGATTCAGAAAGATTTGTAACTTGTCAGTGATCCAGTCAGATTTGTAACTTGTCAGTGATCCAGTCAGATTGGTAACTTGTCAGTGATCCAGTCAGATTGGTAACTTGTCGGTGATTCAGTCAGATTGGTAACTTGTCAGTGATTCATTCAGATTGGTAACTTGTCAGTGATCCAGTCAGATTTGTAACTTGTCAGTGATCCAGTCAGATTGGTAACTTGTCAGTGATCCGGTCAGATTGGTAAATTGTCAATGATCCAGTCAGATTTGTAACTTGTCAGTGATCCAGTGAGATTTGTAACTTGTCGGTGATTCATTCAGATTGGTAACTTGTCAGTGATCCAGTCAGATTTGTAACTTGTCAGTGATTCAGAAAGATTTGTAACTTGTAAGTGATCCAGTCAGATTTGTAACTTGTCAGTGATCCAGTCAGATTGGTAACTTGTCAGTGATCCAGTCAGATTGGTTACTTGTCAGTGATCCAGTCAGATTGGTAACTTGTCAATGATCCAGTCAGATTTGTAACTTGTCAGTGATCCAGTCAGATTGGTAACTTGTCAGTGATCCGGTCAGATTGGTAACTTGTCAATGATCCAGTCAGATTTGTAACTAGTCAGTGATCCAGTCCGTTCTGTAACCTGTCAATAATTACACCTCGTACGATTCATTAACGAGTGAGACAGTATTCTCCGAAACCCCACCATAGACAGAAAAGTAGTCTATCAATTGTACCCGTGATCAAATTAAAATCCTCTTTTAATTTATCCACAGGCACTCGCTTCCAGTCTTAGAAATGTAAGACAGACGTTCGTTAACAACACATTTATAAATTTTACAAACTAATCTCGTATTAATGATGTATCTTTAAAACCAGAAGCGCGTGACTGTGATTCGTTTCAATCAATATGATTCCTTAACTCAGAATTCCAGTTGATAAGTCGAGCTTTTCATTGCCAATCCTTATTACACAGTTTGACTTCCGGTTGTGTGGGAGTTGTTGGATTCGTTAAACGACGTCATAAAATGGTTCTTCGATAACCAGAGCAGGATGAACGAGACGTGTGTTCGTCTGTTTGTTGTACGGCAAAAGTGAGTGTTTGTTGAAGTAAGTGATAAATTTTATCAGGCTTTCGAATTCGTAAGTATCGTCAAATCCACACCTCCCTTGTTCATTTACTTCAATGATACAGTGCTTTACACCATTGTCACACCTGAAATAAAATTTCAAAAAATATGACCGAACTGCTGAAACCTGTCATTCCGTATATATAAAGATGACTGTGCGATTTTGTATTAAAACTTTCATCTGTTTTTTATTGGACTTACTTTATCGACAAACATTTTCGAAGGCTTGGCTTCTTTGGTCGGATGAGGAAAGTACCAGTCTCGGCGTCGGCCAAGACCTTAACGGCTTCGTCCCTATCCGCGTCCAAATACCAGGAACGTTTGTTTAGTAGTGGGTTTCTGAAAGTATACACGTTGTATTCTTAATGTATTTACTGTCATAACTGAAACAGGTGTAACAACCTTCTGTAGTGTAAACTCGCAGCATGATTTACGATTTATTTTTTTGTTTACATTTAATAGACCTATCACATATGTATTTAAATGGCCGTTTTACATAAATCGGAATTTACTACACCAAGTGTTAGCTCATCGTGAAATACAAGTTTGCCTTACCCAATAGTCTCTGCGATTTTTGCCTCTATATCACCGGTTGTGTCATTCTTCGTGAGATCATCGGATGCGTTAGTGCGGCGGTTCCTTAATTTGGTAATGATGGGCTTTAACTCGTCCAAGTCGGCTTGGTATGACCACACTACTGCCCCTGTCCGCCTTATCTCCGGTTCCAGGCTTTTCATATCCTTACGCAGATTAGAAAGCCGCTCATTCAACATCGAGAAATTCATGTGCAATCTGGAATGAAATGGCTCTTATCCTGTAGTATGTTTTGATTTACTGCAGTAGTGACACGGGTCGATATATACAGGTTTACTTGATCTATCAAGTGTCCTTTGAAAAGTATTAGATTTGTTGATTTAGTGAGCTAATACGCAAAAAACGGGTCTTAGGAGACGAAACAGCTGTATGACGCAGTTTACTTCATTGTTTGTCTTCACTGTATCTTATTTAATGCGCAGCGTACAACCATATGCAGGGTCGTAGCTTCCGTAGAAAGAAAAAGCCCGGGCTTACACATAAAAAAATCCGTGCATAGAGTATGTCGGACAAAATTACAAAGTTAAGGTTGAAAATAAATATATAATATTTTTGATAAATAAAAAACATAAATAAAAAATTGTTAAATAACTAGGCCTAGTGCTTCGCTATCCGGAACGTTTTACACGTGATACTATTCTACTTCTTACTATCATTTCAACGTTTCCGATTATAATGTTGTTAAAGAGCAAATTTTCAAAACGAAGAAAGCTTCTGGATTACAGACGTCGATCGACAAGTTTTTCAAACAAAATAAAGTCGAATCGAGTGACCACACTAAAAGTGACACATCAAAGACCGAAGGTACATGTAACCAAGATACGGAAATTGGACATTTTCGCAAATCAAAAGCACAGAAAGTTAGCTTTTATTTAGTTAGAAGTTGGAGTTTGTTGTTAAGTAAATAAAAAAAACTGCCTCAGAAAACGATTCAAAACATCTTTGAAATCATGAAATTCATTTTCCTAGGCGGCCCCCAGACCCCTCGCCTGGACTTACACATTTCTGCTGGGCTAGTTACGCCCATGATATGCTGAGGCTACTTGTCACCTACTTGTCCGCTGTTCCCAGGGACAAATAATTTATGAACAAAAATATTGAACTTATAACAAATATGCCACAAAAGAGTTTTTAATAACCGATAACGTAATTTTGAGTTTTAAGTTTGTCTTCTCTTCTATCAATTTTGACTATTCATTAGCGGTTTGATTCCTCAGTAACAAATGAGCATTAAGCATGGTTAGATAATATAACGGAAACTGCACTCGCGTCCTCTTGGTTTTTACATCGTCGTTACTATAATGAATACCTACATCCGTTTTCGTTCTTATTCAGTGATCCTATATACAGATTAAGCAAAATTTTAGTAAACGTTACCTTGTAATGTCGTCAACTGGTGCACTGCGGACACATTCTTGAAGCAGATCGACTTGTTCCTGGTACACCTCGATACTTGCTTTATACACAGCCAGACACTGTTGTTTGTTCTGAAGTATATCCAGCTGTTCCGAATGTTTGTCGAGGAGCAGGTCATATTCGTACATTTGGTCCATGTACTCCACGTGTAAGGTTTCAAAATCGGAAAGTGTCAAACCGTCAAACACCTACAACAAAAGTAAACGTGATATCGTATATTGACAATGAATAAAAATGGTCCAAACATAAAGCATCTTCAACACTAAACAACAGATCATGGAATAATAATAACAAAACATACCGACAAAACATCAAACATCACCGACACTAAACAACAGATCACCTGGTATTTATAGCAAAACTAATCAACATAACATCAAACATCACCGACACTAAACAACAGATCACTTGGTATTTATAGCAAAACCAATCAACAAACATCAAACATCACCGACACTAAACAACAGATCACCTGGTATTTATAGCAAAACCAATCAACAAACATCAAACATCACCGACACTAAACAACAGATCACCTGGTATTTATAGCAAAACCAATCAACAAACATCACCGACACTAAACAACAGATCACCTGGTATTTATAGCAAAACCAATCAACAAACATCACCGACACTAAACAACAGATCACATGGTATTTATAGCAAGACTTATCAACATAACATCAAACATCACCGACACTAAACAACAGATCACCTGGTATTTATAGCAAAACCAATCAACAAACATCACCGACACTAAACAACAGATCACCTGGTATTTATAACAAAACCAATCAACAAACATCAAACATCACCGACACTAAACAACAGATCACCTGGTATTTATAGCAAAACCAATCAACAAACATCACCAACACTAAACAACAGATCACCTGGTATTTATAGCAAAACTAATCAACAAACATCACCGACACTAAACAACAGATCACCTGGTATTTATAGCAAAACCAATCAACAAACATCAAACATCACCGACACTAAACAACAGATCACCTGGTATTTATAGCAAGACTAATCAACATAACATCAAACATCACCGACACTAAACAACAGATCACCTGGTATTTATAGCAAAACCAATCAACAAACATCACCAACACTAAACAACAGATCACCTGGTATTTATAGCAAGACTAATCAACATAACATCAAACATCACCGACACTAAACAACAGATCACCTGGTATTTATAGCAAAACCAAACATCAAACATCACCAACACTAAACAACAGATCACCTGGTATTTATAGCAAAACCAATCAACAAACATCACCGACACTAAACAACAGATCACCTGGTATTTATAGCAAGACTAATCAACAAACATCACCGACACTAAACAACAGATCACCTGGTATTTATAGCAAAACTAATCAACAAACATCACCGACACTAAACAACAGATCACCTGGTATTTATAGCAAAACCAATCAACAAACATCACCGACACTAAACAACAGATCACCTGGTATTTATAGCAAAACCAATCAACAAACATCAAACATCACCGACACTAAACAACAGATCACCTGGTATTTATAGCAAAACCAATCAACAAACATCACCAACACTAAACAACAGATCACCTGGTATTTATAGCAAAACTAATCAACAAACATCACCAACACTAAACAACAGATCACCTGGTATTTATAGCAAAACCAATCAACAAACATCAAACATCACCGACACTAAACAACAGATCACCTGGTATTTATAGCAAAACCAATCAACAAACATCAAACATCACCGACACTAAACAACAGATCACCTGGTATTTATAGCAAGACTAATCAACAAACATCACCGACACTAAACAACAGATCACATGGTATTTATAGCAAAACAAATCAACAAACATCACCAACACTAAACAACAGATCACCTGGTATTTATAGCAAAACCAATCAACAAACATCAAACATCACCGACACTAAACAACAGATCACCTGGTATTTATAACAAAACCAATCATCAAACATCACCGACACTAAACAACAGATCACCTGGTATTTATCAACAACATAACATCAAACATCACCGACACTAAACAACAGATCACATGGTATTTATAGCAAAACCAATCAACAAACATCACCAACACTAAACAACAGATCACCTGGTATTTATAGCAAAACCAATCAACAAACATCAAAACACTAAACAACAGATCACCTGGTATTTATAGCAAAACCAATCAACAAACATCAAACATCACCGACACTAAACAACAGATCACCTGGTATTTATAGCAAAACCAGCAAACATCACCAAATAAACAACAAACATAGCAAACTAATCACAAACATCAAACATCACCGACACTAAACAACAGATCACCTGGTATTTATAATCAAAACATCAATCAACAAACATCAAACATCACCGACACTAAACAACAACAGACCAATCAACATAACATCAAACATCACCGACACTAAACAACAGATCACCTGGTATTTATAGCAAAACCAATCAACAAACATCAAACATCACCAACACTAAACAACAGATCACCTGGTATTTATAACAAAACCAATCAACAAACATCAAACATCACCGACACTAAACAACAGATCACCTGGTATTTATAGCAAAACCAATCAACAAACATCACCAACACTAAACAACAGATCACCTGGTATTTATAGCAACACACATAGCAAAACCAATCAACATAACATCAAACATCACCGACACTAAACAACAGATCACCTGGTATTTATAGCAAAACCAATCAACAAACATCACCAACACTAAACAACAGATCACCTGGTATTTATAGCAAAACCAATCAACAAACATCAAACATCACCGACACTAAACAACAGATCACCTGGTAATTAAAGCAAAACCAATCAACAAACATCAAAAGACACTAAACAACAGATCACCTGGTATTTATCAAAACAATCAACAAACATCAAACATCACCAACACTAAACAACAGATCACCTGGTATTTATAGCAAAACCAATCAACTAACATCAAACATCAGACATAAACAAAAGATCATCTGGTATTTATAGCAAAACCAAACATCAAACATCACCAACACTAAACAACAGATCACCTGGTATTTATAACAAAACCAATCAACAAACATCAAACATCACCGACACGAAACAACAGATCACCTGGTATTTATAGCAAAACCAATCAACAAACATCACCAACACTAAACAACAGATCACCTGGTATTTATAGCAAAACAACAATCATCAAACAAAACTAAACAACAATCAACAAACATCACCGACACTAAACAACAGATCACCTGGTATTTATAGCAAAACTAATCAAACATCACCGACACTAAACAACAGATCACCTGGTATTTATAGCAAAACCAATCAACAAACATCAAACCAACACTAAACAACAGATCACCTGGTATTTATAGCAAAACCAATCAACAAACATCAAACATCACCGACACTAAACAACAGATCACCTGGTATTTATAGCAAAACCAATCAACAAACATCACCAACACTAAACAACAGATCACCTGGTATTTATAGCAAAACCAATCAACATAACATCAAACATCACCGACACTAAACAACAGATCACCTGGTATTTATAGCAAAACCAATCAACAAACATCACCAACACTAAACAACAGATCACCTGGTATTTATAGCAAAACTAATCAACAAACATCAAACATCACCGACACTAAACAACAGATCACCTGGTATTTATAGCAAAACCAATCAACAAACATCACCAACACTAAACAACAGATCACCTGGTATTTATAGCAAAACCAATCAACAAACATCAAACATCACCGACACTAAACAACAGATCACCTGGTATTTATAGCAAAACCAATCAACAAACATCAAACATCACCGACACTAAACAACAGATCACCTGGTATTTATAGCAAAACTAATCACAAACATCACCAACACTAAACAACAGAATCTGGTATTTATAGCAAAACTAATCAACAAACATCACCAACACTAAACAACAGATCACCTGGTATTTATAGCAAAACCAATCAACAAACATCAAACATCACCGACACTAAACAACAGATCACCTGGTATTTATAGCAAAACCAATCAACAAACATCAAACATCACCGACACTAAACAACAGATCACCTGGTATTTATAGCAAAACCAATCAACAAACATCACCAACACTAAACAACAGATCACCTGGTATTTATAGCAAGACTAATCAACATAACATCAAACATCACCAACACTAAACAACAGATCACCTGGTATTTATAGCAAGACTAATCAACATAACATCAAACATCACCGACACTAAACAACAGATCACCTGGTATTTATAGCAAAACCAATCAACAAACATCACCAACACTAAACAACAGATCACCTGGTATTTATAGCAAAACCAATCAACAAACATCAAACATCACCGACACTAAACAACAGATCACTTGGTATTTATAGCAAGACTAATCAACAAACATCACCAACACTAAACAACAGATCACCCGGTATTTATAGCAAAACCAATCAACAAACATCACCAACACTAAACAACAGATCACCTGGTATTTATAGCAAAACCAATCAACAAACATCACCAACACTAAACAACAGATCACCTGGTATTTATAGCAAAACCAATCAACAAACATCAAACATCACCGACACTAAACAACAGATCACCTGGTATTTATAGCAAAACCAATCAACAAACATCACCAACACTAAACAACAGATCACCTGGTATTTATAGCAAAACCAATCAACAAACATCAAACATCACCGACACTAAACAACAGATCACCTGGTATTTATAGCAAAACCAATCAACAAACATCAAACATCACCGACACTAAACAACAGATCACCTGGTATTTATAGCAAAACCAATCAACAAACATCACCAACACTAAACAACAGATCACCTGGTATTTATAGCAAGACTAACCAACAAACATCACCAACACTAAACAACAGATCACCTGGTATTTATAGCAAAACCAATCAACAAACATCAAACATCACCGACACTAAACAACAGATCACCTGGTATTTATAGCAAAACCAATCAACAAACATCAAACATCACCGACACTAAACAACAGATCACCTGGTATTTATAGCAAGACTAATCAACAAACATCACCAACACTAAACAACATATCACCTGGTATTTATAGCAAAACTAATCAACATAACATCAAACATCACCGACACTAAACAACAGATCACCTGGTATTTATAGCAAGACTAATCAACATAACATCAAACATCACCGACACTAAACAACAGATCACCTGGTATTTATAGCAAAACCAATCAACAAACATCAAACATCGACACTAAACAACAGATCACCTGGTATTTATAGCAAAACCAATCAACAAACATCACCAACACTAAACAACAGATCACCTGGTATTTATAGCAAGACCAATCAACAAACATCACAAACACTAAACAACATATCACCTGGTATTTATAGCAAAACTAATCAACAAACCATCAAACATCACCGACACTAAACAACAGATCACCTGGTATTTATAGCAAAACCAATCAACAAACATCAAACATCACCGACACTAAACAACAGATCACCTGGTATTTATAGCAAAACCAATCAACAAACATCAAACATCACCGACACTAAACAACAGATCACCTGGTATTTATAGCAAAACCAATCAACAAACATCAAACATCACCGACACTAAACAACAGATCACCTGGTATTTATAGCAAAACCAATCAACAAACATCAAACATCACCGACACTAAACAACAGATCACCTGGTATTTATAGCAAGACTAATCAACATAACAACAAACATCACCGACACTAAACAACAGATCACATGGTATTTATAGCAAAACCAATCAACAATCAACAAACATCACCGACACTAAACAACAGATCACCTGGTATTTATAGCAAGACTAATCAACATAACAACAAACATCACCGACACTAAACAACAGATCACCTGGTATTTATAGCAAAACCAATCAACAAACATCAAACATCACCGACACTAAACAACAGATCACCTGGTATTTATAGCAAGACTAATCAACATAACATCAAACATCACCGACACTAAACAACAGATCACCTGGTATTTATAGCAAAACCAATCAACAAACATCACCAACACTAAACAACAGATCACCTGGTATTTATAGCAAAACCAATCAACAAACATCACCAACACTAAACAACAGATCACCTGGTATTTATAGCAAAACCAATCAACAAACATCAAACATCACCAACACTAAACAACAGATCACCTGGTATTTATAGCAAAACCAATCAACAAACATCAAACATCACCAACACTAAACAACAGATCACCTGGTATTTATAGCAAAACCAATCAACAAACATCACCAACACTAAACAACAGATCACCTGGTATTGATAGCAAAACTAATCAACAAACATCACCAACACTAAACAACAGATCACCTGGTATTTATAGCAAAACCAATCAACAAACATCAAACATCACCAACACTAAACAACAGATCACCTGGTATTTATAACAAAACCAATCAACAAACATCAAACATCACCGACACTAAACAACAGATCACCTGGTATTTATAGCAAAACCAATCAACAAACATCAAACATCACCGACACTAAACAACAGATCACCTGGTATTTATAGCAAAACCAATCAACAAACATCACCAACACTAAACAACAGATCACATGGTATTTATAGCAAAACCAATCAACAAACATCAAACATCACCGACACTAAACAACAGATCACCTGGTATTTATAGCAAAACCAATCAACAAACATCACCAACACTAAACAACAGATCACCTGGTATTTATAGCAAAACTAATCAACAAACATCACCAACACTAAACAACAGATCACCTGGTATTTATAGCAAAACCAATCAACAAACATCAAACATCACCAACACTAAACAACAGATCACCTGGTATTTATAGCAAAACTAATCAACAAACATCACCAACACTAAACAACAGATCACCTGGTATTTATAGCAAAACCAATCAACAAACATCACCAACACTAAACAACAGATCACCTGGTATTTATAGCAAAACTAATCAACAAACATCACCAACACTAAACAACAGATCACCTGGTATTTATAGCAAAACTAATCAACAAACATCAAACATCACCGACACTAAACAACAGATCACCTGGTATTTATAGCAAAACCAATCAACAAACATCAAACATCACCAACACTAAACAACAGATCACCTGGTATTTATAGCAAAACCAATCAACAAACATCACCAACACTAAACAACAGATCACCTGGTATTTATAGCAAAACTAATCAACAAACATCACCAACACTAAACAACAGATCACCTGGTATTTATAGCAAAACCAATCAACAAACATCACCGACACTAAACAACAGATCACCTGGTATTTATAGCAAAACCAATCAACAAACATCAAACATCACCGACACTAAACAACAGATCACCTGGTATTTATAGCAAAACCAATCAACAAACATCACCAACATCTACTTTTTTATCTACTAAGGTGTTATGTAGCAAGCATGATTTCTCTGTTTCTCCTTACCCTGACAGAAAACATATCGTCTACTGTTTTTTTCATACCGTTCTAGCGCTTGTTTGAAATTCGATTTTTGTGATAAGGGAAGGCATGCGGAAAGTAGCAACGGTAATTCAGGATACACCTGTTTTCAATTGTTTGATGCAAATTTTCCCATTGGTCGTCCAGCTAATTGATAATTTTTGCTCACATGTCGGTCTTATTTTCATATAAATGGTACTTACGTTGGATAAGCTCCGGTTAACAGGATGGGCCAACATTATGTCCATTGAAGCATTGAATTGACTCAGTGAATGATCACCGTAAAATTCCACCAAGGACATGACCGTTGAAAAAGACTCCCCCATGACAAGGCCGTAACCTCCATCTGTAGTTCTGTAAATCTTCATCAGTTTACTGGCCCCTCCCTTTCGTACAGTCAATGTGTATTCACCCGTTGAATTAGCGGAATCCCGAACGAGAAAAGATCCGTCACATCGATCCCTCATTAAATCTTTTACCTCCTCCCGCGAAATTTTACCCCAGTACCACAGCTGGTCGTCCAAGGACTGGCGTGGCGGGCGCGCTGGGGCATAGTTGTCATCCTCCATCGTCACGTGTTGCGTCCTCGCATTTAGAAAATAACTGAAAATCAGTCCATGAAACGATAAACAACCAGTAATTCTCTATGCGCTGCTCCAACATGTACCTGCTTACATCACAAACCTCTGAAGTAAACAATTAATCTATCTAATTCATTCCTGGCGTGCGTTTTATCACATCATAATTTTATCGCCATACGCATGCTTCAATGATTTTCATTTTTTTCAGTTTTAAACGTCATATCGTCCTCATCTTTTCACTGGAGAATATGTGTAAACCCAACATTAAAAAAATATATGACTTGGTTGATAACTCCCCATTTTCTTTATATTGTTATGATATTAAAGCAATGTTTTCTTCACAAAGAACTTATTTTTTCATACAAGATCATATATATTATGTTTAAGTGGGACTCTCTTCGGTACAACTTTAATGATGGCACATGTAATATCGTTTCACGTGTTGTAAATAATGGGTGAAAACTATATGTAGGGGAAAATGGGTAAATTCAGTATCATTTCAAACCCGCGATAGGTTGATACATATCATGCAAATAATTGCAAGAATCTTTGGGCCCCTTCATTTCGATTCAGAAAGTAAAGACAAAACCATGATTGTGGATCGTATTATGTTGTTAACATCAAGTGTAAGCATGATAATTTTTAAACAATTTGATTGGCAATGTCTCTTTCATTATCGTCAACTAAACGGGCACGTGATAAAAAATTTTCTAGCCCATGGACTGTCGATTCGATTGCCCTTTTACGCGTTCGTCCCCAAATATGTTCCACCTTCGCTGGACATCATTTTGTGATGGAAGTAACTTTGTTAAGTGATTAAAACGTCAGAGAGACAGGGTGTTTATTTGTATAACAACGTTAATATTTTCAGCCAATATCGAACATAAAACACTACCTCGATTGGTGATAAACAACACGTTAGATATGTTTGTTTCAACGTCTATAAAATATACACATACATATATGTTATCTGTAAAGCTGTGACGAGGGCGACATAGATACACACAAGGAAGTGTACATTTCAAGTGCGGAAACCAGACGAGTCGTTTTAATACCACAGGTACAACATTAAAGCTAGCGTTGTGGTTACTCCTAGACAATGCGTCCCTATATGTAATGTTAAACACAAAACAACAAAAGTAGATTTTTAACGAATCACATATGTGTTTGGCGGTGTATGAACAAGCGTGATATCAGCTGGTCTGTCTTCGATACGATAATTTGAACATTAGGTAAATAGTCAGTACTCGTCGTTAACACTTTACAGACAGGGTTTTCTGGTATTTGCTTATGTGTAATTCCATATAATACTCGCCTCAGAACATCTGAGTTGTAGATCATCAATGTGTTCTAGTTGATGTGTAGAATTATTTACACAAGAAGAAAAGCGTTCCGGTTGATGTGAATCTTTTGTACATTTACACAAGAAGGAAAGGAGGTTTACTTACCGCCGTGTGACTCCAATGATCCTGATTGGCGAGGACGTGGTAACTGATATACCCTAATACCACGAGGAAGTTAGATGTACATCCACATCCTTATCAAATGTGTCCACATGGTCCCAAGCCTAACTGTGATAAAACGAGCCGTGCATGATAATACTTATATAATACACGTGTACTACATAATGTGATTGTTTGAGCATCCGTGAAAGATAGGTCAATATATCACAACACCTAATGTGCGCGAGATTTCTTCTTAAGTGATAGCTCCAGTTAATCGCTTTCACTCACCGATCTTCTACCTATCAGCTCTCACAATTTAAAAGGGCACATCTTCTGACATCAATAATTCAGTCTTATATAAAACTTCTTGATTTAAAAATCTTAATTTCGATTTATAGAAACAGTTCTTGCATTTCGGTTATCAGAAAATTATTTTTATTTGATATATTAAAATTAGAAATATTCTTTTTATTTTAAGAAAAAGATTGATACCAGAAAATAAAATGCTGAAACTAGTATACCAATCCGACTAAAAATAGAGACCATAATTACACATTAAGTTATAGCGTAATGTGTAATTATGATATGTAATTCAATCAGAATGCCGACATAAAGTTCGATTTTTAAAACGTGTATTAAGAATTCTATTTAGAAAGCTATTTGCGGTTAATACGATTCAAATAAGAGAAACACAAGGCTTGAAAACGTTAGTAATTGTGATTTGGAAGTTTAGTTGCAATGCTAATATTTTGTTTATATATATGTTTTAAGTTGCACTCGACAAGCCTCGTGTTCGGGAATTTAATCAGTCCGCTCGGGTTGAGATCCTATAATCTTGCCTCCAAGGAGGTAAACTGTTACTATCATTTTAAAATTTCATCAGTATTCCCTGCTGGTCTCTTCTTGTTGATTAAGTTTCAGACTGATAAAAAAAATGGCCGACATATTGAAATTTGAAAGTTGAAGTTTGTTATCGCTATTTCTTAATAAGTACTCAATAGATCCTACTCAAATTTCATATAAAGGCTCTTTTAATTTTACAAGATCATTTTTGAAAAAGATAGGCAGTCATCTTGAACTTTGAGTTTAAGTTTGCTATAGCTTTTGGGATCCATCTATAGACTCCCCTGTGCAGCCTCGTTTTTGATTTATCAAAATCACAAAAACAAAATGGCCAATCATGTTGGATTTTGACAGTCAGAATTTATTATGGCTGTTTCTGTAGAAGATCTTGATGGATCTCTTAATAAATATCAACATGGCGACACCCTTGGTTCCTAGGTTTTTGTAATTCTGAGAGTGATCGGAAAACAAAATGGCCGCCAGTCAGCCATCATGGACCTTGGCGATTATAATTTGTTATAGCTACATCATATTTCTGTAGAAGTTATTGATGGGCCTTTCTCTTAAACATTATCATGGTGACTCCATGTAGTCCCTAGTTGTGTATTATTTGAGAAACATGCTTGAAAAACAAGATGGCCAAGAGGTGGCCATCTTGGACTTTTACAATCAAAATTATTTCACTGTTTCATGGGATACTCAAAAGATTATCTTAAAATTTCATATTGGTTTAATTTAAGGTCTGTTAATGCTTTTTCTTGAGAAAGACAAGACAATTCATCATAAACAGAACAACAGAAGAGAAAAGAATGGAAAAGATCCTACTCACAACAAAACAATACAGATAATACAATGATGACTGCCAAGATCTTCTTCGATCTCTGTTCTGGCAACTGTGTTTTTATTTTTTCTTGAAAAGTACTGCATTGACCATATAATTTGTTCATGAAAACTCCTCTTAATCTTATGACCAGAAATCCCAAAATCTTTTGACCAACTCCCTAAGATCCTATATCCTCAAATGCTCTGACTGTTCTCTCTGAAATCTTATTGACAAACTCCTCAGATGTTATGATCAATCTCCTTGGATCTTCTGACAAAACTACCAACATCATCTGACCAATCTCCCCAATCTTATATCTAACCTCTTTAGATCTTTTGACGGATTTCTTGGGATCACAGTAATATGACAATAACAAAGTTCTTATTACTAATACTCTCAGATTTTATGTAGCTTTACCTCTGGTCCATATGAGCAAGAAAAGAATTAATTTGAATAACGTTTATGTTTATCCTAAACTTGTTGTCTGTAGTATATGTATATACATGTTTGTTACAACTGAAATTATGAAACTCAAGTTATCACAAACAGGTTGTTTGAAAGTATGACATAATTTATCTCTGTGACCTTGGAGTAGGTCAAATTAATTTGTATTTAAACAAACCTGAAAGTCATTCATCCCAGTATACTATTGATTACTACCGATGAAGGGAAGGTGTGAACGTTTCAAGTACTGTAGTACTGAACAAAGTATTGATAGTATTGTACTGAAGTACTTCACCAATCGAATTCCTTAAATTTATGCAACAAGCTCTCTGATTGGCAGAGCCAAGTCTAGATCGATTGTGGGTGGAGCCAGGTGAAAAAATACTGTGCAGACATCGGCATTTTACAAACACTCGACTGTCGCGAGAGGTTAATTGGAAGAGTCCAAGTCACAGGTGGCTTCAGATCAGACCTAATTGGGTTGTCCCATTTGTTTCGTTCTACACCCAATGATACCTTGCTTTTCCATCGATGGTACAACGAGAAAACGAAAGTTACTCAGTACTAAACTAATTTACGTACAAAAGATATATCAACAGGTTAGATCACTGGGACCGGAGAATTCATAACATCTTAACAGTGAATATAGTCATATAGTCATTCTGTACTAGTTTTATTTATTTATTTTTTTGAAAGGGGGGGGGGGGGAGGGTTGGCTCAAAATATTTCGGTTTAAGCCCAAGCTCTATTATATGTAACAAAGAATTACGAATTACCTGGGACCTCCTGATATATGCCGATAATTCATACTGCATTAAAAAATAAAGGAATTCTGTGGTCCCATATATTTTTTATTTCATTTTTTATCTTTCCATATATCGTAAAATTATACATATCCGCAACATGTGAAAAAACTTTGAAGTTGGTTGGGCGGAATATCTAGAGCATTTACTACTGCAAGTTCCAGAAATTCTGACACAAGTCGGGTATTTGCCCGAAGCCTCTGTCTCATGACAATGAATACATATTCAGTTACGTTGTATTCCGGGGAATGAGGCGGTTGAAAAACCAGGGACACGCCATATTCTTTCAGCATATTTCTTAAAATGCGCTCTCCCTGTCTATGGTGATGGAATCCACAATTATCCATCACAACCACATCGCCTTGTACAAAAACAGGATTCCCCATATCGTTCGTATCGGACATAATTCCGTTGAAGAAAATTTTGCGTACTGTTGCCGTCGTCGGACATTTTTCCAGCGATTACTTAGTAATTGTTATGTAACTGGTAGTGTACATTAACTCCGCCTACCGGAACAAATTGGGTGTCAGATCAACTATTCAGGTTGTCTAAACTCCGCCCCCGACCAATCACAGAGGTCGTTGTATACTTGACTCGATTATTTGAATACTTCAATACAATAGTATCAATACTTTGTTCAATACTATAGTAAGTGTGTCGTTCACACCTTCCCTTCATCGGTAGTAAATATCAAGACAGTGAGTAAGTCATCATTGAGAAAAGTAATTATATATATATTTAAATTCTAATTTCTGTGACCTTGAAAGAAAGTCAAGATTATTTATAACAACAAAGCCCTTCATCTCTGCATGCTGCCTGCCCAGTATCATGACCCTGCACTTCTTCGTATTTGAAATGTTGTTTAAGAGGTAAGCTATAAGAGAGGCAACTATTCACAAGAACTGAGGAGATCAACTGAGGCCAACTCAGTCAAACTATATTTTAAATGAAATGCAAAATAAAGCATTTGACAATTTACAGTTCTTCAGCATCAATGGAAAATATATTTTAGTAGACATAAGAGATAGTGTCTATAGTGGATGTTTTTTTTTCTATATCAAATTGGCTCCAAAATAAAAGGAAAGTTTGACAGCAGTACTGTGTAGAACATCAGAAAATTCAGATACAAATGAGTTTTCAAGATCACATTTATGATATATGAATTATGAATTGGATTAAAATTAACTTCTTAATTCCAAGAACTGGTCAGATTCATGCACTTGGCATTCCCTCCAAGATTCAGCTTTATTTGTTAGACAACTGGATTCTCATAAAAGCAAAAAACAGTAAGGAAATACATAGATTTTCATCAATGTCAAAATTTATTAATAAAATATTCACTTTCTGAATCTTAATGATTCACATAACACATTAAACTCAAAACATACACTCTTCTCAGTCAACTTCACACATACAAAGTCCCAATTTGGAAAATAAACATAACATTTAGACACAGGTATCTTCTGATTAGAACGTCAAATTCCTGACACAATCTCACTAAATATACACACAGTATATAGATGTTGTGTACATAACAAGTATTGAAAAGAAAAGAGAGAAAAAAATCTTGGTGTCGATACTACAATGTATGGAAGGAGGGTGCAAAATGTATACAATCTATATCGCTACAGATGAATACAGACAAAAGATTTGTACAGTTACATCTCCATCTAGAGTTACAGGTGAACTAGAGATATAAGATGTACATGTCACATCTCCGTCTAGAGTTACAGGTGAACTAGAGATATAAGATGTACATGTCACATCTCTGTCTAGAGTTACAGGTGAACTAGAGATATAAGATGTACATGTCACATCTCTGTCTAGAGTTACAGGTGAACTAGAGATATAAGATGTACATGTCACATCTCTGTCTAGAGTTACAGGTGAACTAGAGATATAAGATGTACATGTCACATCTCCGTCTAGAGTTACAGGTGAACTAGAGATATAAGATGTACATGTCACATCGCTGTCTAGAGTTACAGGTGAACTAGAGATATAAGATGTACATGTCACATCGCTGTCTAGAGTTACAGGTGAACTAGAGATATAAGATGTACATGTCACATCTCCATCTAGAGTTACAGGTGAACTAGAGATATAAGATGTACATGTCACATCTCTGTCTAGAGTTATTTGTATTGATCTATGAAGACCTTGTGTATCTGTTGTTCAGTATAAAGCTGCCATTATCATTCTTTGCACATTTTGGTCTTGTCATCACCGTGAATCACAGCAATCATCACTACATTATGTTTTGTGTAAAATATCATAATTTATATTTCAATTAAATTTCCTCCCTGTTTGGCAAAAGTACTGGATAAAAATTTGCGAATGAAAATGCAAATAAAAGTGAGTATTTAAACCAAGAAGATAAAAACCAAATTTACAAGAAACAGCTAAGACTGAAATTTTAAGTATTGCCAGAGAAGTTCTTCATAACACACATAATTGTGTACAGTATTGATAAAGGGTGGAATAATCATCACTCCAATATTCTTCCTTTCATCAACCTATACTGGGAATTACATGTCAGTCTCAGGCAAAGTATTCATGAAAACTTTTACCATTTATCAAGTTTAATTTTGGTTTAAATTTGAACATTATGTAAAATTGTACATAGGAGTTTTAATCATAATTTTGGTCCAGTATGGCAATATCTGGAATTGCCCTTTCACAAGGTATTATGTAGCACAGCAACCTCTGTCACTAAAATAGCACTAACAATCGACACAGATTTAACTAGTCAGACTTCACCAGTAGAACGAGTTGGTGAGAAAGTTAGCTGCCGTACTAAGCCATCCAGAGGATTTGTTGTCACCATCTTTCCCCACACGAGCCATTGTCTTGCCATCATGGGTGGGACTGTCCACTTCATCAGGTAGATAGTCTGGTAAGGTTGTGTTTTCCTTGTCCATGTCCTGATGATGTGACCCAAACGATAGCAGCATCTGCAAGCAGTTTTAAAACATTGATATAAAATATCAATTGGAGGAGATATAGACTCACCGCCAATCTTGTGTAAACATACGCATGTTAGTGGTAATCTTATTTCAGCACTTTTTGTGGTGATTATAAAGCAAATTTTGTAGTTGTGCTAATTCATTATAACAGCAATTTGCCACAAAAGTTATAATGTACTAAAATTAGATTGCACCAAATTAAGTATGTTTACAGTATATCCTAAATATATGAAGGAGTGAACCTCCTTCAACCAGGAATATAATTAGTACACTTCTATCTACAGATTAATCCATATATTGAGCCCTACTACTCTGCTCTAGTGAGATCCCATTCTTGGCCCAGAAATACGCCATTCTTTTAAGAGCAGATCTCTCTTTAATTTGAAATGTCTTCTCCCTTCAAAGGGAACCATACCTTTAGTTTAAATCACAGTATTATTTCCCTGCTCTGATCAGACGTTCAGGACTGATACATTTACTGTGAGAAACTGTTGATAGATGACTGACAATAATGGCGTGTTTAAATCACAGAATTATTTCCCTGCTCTGATCAGACATTCAGGACTGATATATTTACTGTGAGAAACTGTTGATAGATGACTGACAATAATGGCGTGTTTAAATCACAATATTATTTCCCTGCTCGGATCAGACTTTCAGGACTGATATATTTACTGTGAGAAACTGTTGATAGATGACTGACAATAATGGCGTGTTTAAATCACAGAATTATTTCCCTGCTCTGATCAGACATTCAGGACTGATATATTTACTGTGAGAAACTGTTGATAGATGACTGACAATAATGGCGTGTTTAAATCACAATATTATTTCCCTGCTCGGATCAGACTTTTAGGACTGATATATTTACTGTGAGAAACTGTTGATAAATGACTGACAATAATGGCGTGTTTAATCAAAATATTATTTCCCTGCTCTGATCAGACTTTCAGGACTGATATATTTACTGTGAGAAACTGTTGATAGATGACTGACAATAATGGCGTGTTTAAATCACAGAATTATTTCCCTGCTCTGATCAGACGTTCAGGACTGATATATTTACTGTGAGAAACTGTTGATAGATGACTGACAATAATGGCCTGTTTCCTCTCTTATCCTATGATGTTTTGTAATTGTAGGAATAAAAACTGATGTGAAAGTTCCAATTTGCTGATATCTATCTCAAATCTAGATTTCCAAAACCTTTTTACAGTAGTGGAAGACTTACCTCTTCACCGTTATCATCTTTAATGACTTGCTGAGCAGTCATTGTTTGTGATTTAGCAATAGCCTGTACTAAAGTCTGAAAGAGAGAAAAAACCTCTTACATCATGTAGTTGATACGTGAAGGATGCATGTACTACCTGAGCTGATGTTATCAGATATACAATAAAACTGCCTGGATTAAGTGAACTCTAATGGATAAAAACAATGAAAAATCTCCATGTAACTGACTAATATATTATTGATCTGATGTATTTTATGTGGAGATATACACAACTATTGAACCAATGGATACAACATTGAAGGAGTATGAGAATACAGTTACACAAGATGGTCTACCTCTGGTTTGGTGTCCTGTCTGGTCCTCAGGATGCACCTCTTCTTGTTGAGATCAAATGTAATACTGACAACTCCTTTGACTTGAAGGATCAGTCGCATCACCAGTTCTCGGTCAGCCTTTTCAATCAATTCATAAAAAAGCATTCTAGGCATTACAATTCCTAAATTATGTCGGAGAATTATCATTTCAGTACTAATCAATCACAAATGCTAAATAAAAATGATGCATATGCTTTTAAACTGTAATTTTTCAGAAATTACTTTCATTGGGTACAGAAGTTTTAAACCGAAAGGATAAATGTACACATATGCTTCATTTGCTTGAAAAAAATATCAGCCCTTCTCATGCTAACCAAAAACTTTGATCTGTATCTCTGTGTGTTTTTCAGGATCTTCTATTGCAAAATAAACATTGTGTCTTGTATTTCATAAGTGAAGTGACCAGGATTCCGTTCTTGTTGGGGGTTTGTGTTCAAGAATGATGTTAAGGTATTATATACAATTCATTAAGACAACCAAGCTCTCTTAACATCTATCTTAACTTCAAATTAACGATATAATGTAGAAAATGAGTCTCTCCTTATTTTGCCTACCTTATCAATGAGTCCTCGGATCTGTAACACAATGTGTTTAGACTTTCCATTTAGCACACTTCGGTTGTTCTTAGAAGTGCTATTTTTTTTACTGAAACAACGATAGTATTACACATATATAAGATGACTTACATAATACAGACTATAACCAATACTGTTGGACATCTAACCTTGCACCCATCACTTATATAATACAGACTATAAACTAAACAGTGGGACATCTAACCTTGCACCCATAACTTATATAATACAGACCATAAACTATACAGTGGGACATCTAACTTCATCTTTGCCTCCTCTAATTACTTTGACTGGCAGAATAGGATCAGTTTGCCCCTGGTTACTTTGACTGGCAGAAAAGGGCCTGTTTGCATCTAGTCACTGTACTGACAGAAAATAACCTGTTTGCGTCTTATTACTATGTGATTTATTATGATACTGACCTTGATTGTCCGGATATTGAAGATTTGTTGAGAGTATCTTTCAGCGGTGTTTGTAGATCAACTTGTGTCAGGGTCACGTAGAGCTTTTCTGCTAAGCTTGCAGCTTTTTGGTCATAAGAAGATCTACAAAGCATTGTGTAACAAAAATGAATCTACTGCATTATTTGAATACTCCACCAGTGTATGAGTACAAAACATTTAGCTCTGCCATAGTAAGCTTAATTTTAAATTTGATTCCCCTATCATAAGAATAGATAGACTTCATAAAATATTGTATACAAAAAAAACACAACACATGTGCATGGTATTTTAAAAGCATAAAATTTCACGATTTTAGAGAAACTACTAATTAAAATGCAATCTGGATAAAATTTGAACCTTATGAATACATGTACCAGTGTATATTTGAAGTGAATAAGGTGGAAGTAAGAACATACAGGCACAATTCTTTTCAGCACAAATCAAATACAATTACATAAACATGTTTGAAGTCATCATAAATGAGACAGGTCAATTTACAGTTAAATAGGGACAGTCACTATAAACATTTGCTGATCAGTTACAATGAGTACATTGATAATATATACATAAATTGTCTAAAATGCTCATCCCAAAAAGTATGAAATACTAAATCCACAGAATACAATGTAAAGAATTTTGTCTCAATGTGTAAAGAACAAGATTTAATCCCAACAAAATAAAACTACAAATATGATCCATTGCCAGTGTACTGTTTCCACTAATCATTTCTCGTAGAAATAGATCATAAAAAGACCTAAAAATACCTCCTGATGATGGTCTCTAGTTGGTCAGTCATTCCAATAAAATCTCTCAATGTTGTTCTGTGGTCCGATCTATCAGCCAACAAAAGCAAAGTCTAAAACAGAAATTATAGTTAATTTATCACCAGGAACAAAAAAGTCTAAAACATTTATATCATGATACTGAACATGGTTATTATTATATACAAGACTTTATAAAAGAAAAATTCCCACAAAAACTCAGTGAGGTTCACATCATTGCGAAACTGAATCATAGCAATCAATAATTATCTCCCATTAAAGTTGTAGTGTGGGTTTCGTTTCAAAATGATGGTTTTGAGTTAGCAATGCTATAATGTTAAAGTCAAACAATAATTCAAAATAGTTTATGGAATCTGAAAAGATTTTTCAGATGGAACAGTGAATGCTTGTCACGTATGCCAAATAAAAATACATGTACATTACTGATTATATACACTGGTATGTTATTGTATCAAAATGAATAGGCAATACAGAAATAAAGCCAACATTGTTAAAAGAAATTGGCACAAAGAAAGCATAACTTTATGTAATTATAATAAAGTCTAACATGGTATATGGAACTTGTTGAAAACCAGGAGAAGGATCTTCTTACAAGATGAAACAAGAGGCCTGAGAATCTTAACACTTACAATGAGTTGTAAATGAGTTGCTATGAGATATGTCACAATAACCAGCTTCTTCACAAATTATGATAATTTTAACTACATCGTACAAGTAATGCAAATAAAAAATGTATATAACATTAACTGCTATCCCACATTTATAATTCTAACCAAATTTGTATTTCCAATGGAAATTAAACAAAACATCCTCAAAATGTAATTTTTCTTTATAACTACATTAAAATTTATTTCTTCCCTGAGGTGAAATGTGAAAACCTAAGGGTAAATAAAATTCATAATTTCCGTATAGAAGACCTTTCTATCCATAAAGTGCATATGATATTACCATAGCTGGGTCTTGAGTAGAAGATTTTTTACCCCTTTTGGCCCTACCCATTAGTTCCTTGCATACTATCAAACTGTCATCCTATATTGCAATAGATCTAACCAAGTTTTCATTATTTCAAATGGTAGTTAAACAAATCATGCCCAAAAAAGCAATTTTCCAATATAAATGATTCAAATCCAATTAAATTTGTAAAACAGCTGAGTTCTGAATGGTAGAAAAAAAGCTCTACTGACGCTTGCTACATACCTCAAGTGCAACTGTGACCACCTTGACATCTGGATTAGACAACACCATGACAAGACCTCCAATACAAGTTACATCCTGCATACAAAAATTACTAAGAATCAGATCCCTTTGTCTGAAATAAGCTCATCTTCTTAATGACATCTGTTGCAAAAGTGGAATATACAATTTTTTTCAATCCAAGGGTCGTAATCTATAGCTCGTGACCAAGAAAACCATTCCAGAATTACATATTGTTCTCTACCATACAACGAATATGAAGTTACATATTATTCACACAATTTTAAACATGGCAGCCAAAATAATGTAAACGTAAGTAGATATTAGATCACAACATATAATATCAACTGCATGAACAAATAAAAGGGTCTATGAAATCAGATCAAACAGAATATGTAAACAAGCAAACGTGGTGGAAACAAGTTGTCTTTTCATCATTTGATGTCATAATCTGATTGACTATTTTAATTTATCTAAAATTATTACCAAGTAAATTGTACATAAGTCAAGATTTTCCCTTGTTCTGTTTGGATAAGAGGGCATCACATACAGGTCAGTTGATACGTAATATATGGACTCCATGTTTCTACATTTGGAACGTCCAGACCAGACGGACCCCTCAATATGATATGTGTCTTGGAAGATAGTTTGTGATTTTTTTTGTTCTAGCATTTTACTTGTTGAAAGGTTTCAGAACTTTTGTGCCCTTATAAGAAAATCAACACACTTATTGATGATTATTCAATTTTGAGATAATCTTATTTTATAATTACATATACAAGGCAATAATAAAAAAATGGACCTTTCATTCTGTCAATATGGTATTACTTGATCTAGTAGAAAAATATTCAATGACCTATAGCATATGCCATCTACCTGTAAGTATATCAGTTAGACCCTATCATTCTCCTCTATTGACTAAAATGTTAAAATTCTGGGAAAACCTTAAGAAGGAAACTTCTCTTCTTTGGGTCGGAGGCCATTCCCTTGAGGGCTGTGATTGTTTCCAAAGAAGTCATTCTGTATCTTGTCCTTCTGAAACACAAACCAGTATTTTTTTCTTTAAGTCTTCATCTCAATCCATCATAAATGGATCCCTATTGATTTTAATCAAATGTTCACAGCTGTAAGAAACGAGCCAAACTAAAATTGTAAAAGAAAAAAAATTACAAGACATTTCCAAGGAATGTAGATATGTAAATGTTAAATATTTAAGTGTGAACAAATCAAAGGGTCTATGAATCTAAAGGATTATATGTGTAAAAAGCAAACCAATGTTGGAAATAAGTTGTCTTTTAATCATTGTAATTGTTTATATAAAAATTTTAATCTGTAAGTAGAATAAAAGTCCTTATAACACAACCAGCTGAAGATTTCAGTGTGACATGTCAATTATAGTCACCATCATCAGACAAACGACCAGTCTGATGTGTACTAGCACCGATGTACGTAGTGTACTAATTGTGAGAAAGTTAAAAAAGGGAAAAATGGTAAAAGAGATGAAATACTAAGGAAAAAAAAGCAAAATAAAATGACAGGTAGTCACCCCTTACAGTCCCCCCTGGTAAAATACTAGCAGCTGCTTGGCAAGTGAGAACTTCTCTTCTCTTCAGCCAAATCCGATGAGTATCAGACCAGTAAGCCAGAGGTCCTATGTTCATATTCTAGCGGAGGCAATGAAATAAAATGACTCCTGTTACATTGGCATCCATTTAGGGATTCGGTAATAATATTTAGCCATGCACCGTAATGGCCGCCAAATCTCTTGGCAACTTGAGGATAAGTTATATCTTGGAGAGGGAGTATGTAACCTTGGTAAAATACTAGCAGTTATAACCGCTCGGCTACAGAGAACTTCTCTTTAACTCGACTGGTTGAGTATCAGACCAGTAAGCCACGGATTGGGTTTGAATCCTAGCTGAGGCATTGAGATAAATTGTTACCAGGGTTTTCTTTAAGAGCCGGTCGCTGGCTAATTTGACAAGCTACTTTGATTATTTGGCCGCCTACACCAATCCAGTTCCGTAATAATGTTCCGTACACGAATACACGTACATGGCAGGCCACCCCCACCTTGCTGCTCGGTTCGGCTGGCTTTGCCAGCCTCCTACTTTCACTACACAGCCACCTACTAACAAAATTATGGAAAACCCTGGATTACATTTATTATATTGTACTCCCCCTCCAGGAAATTTTAATTGTCCCCGAGTTCCCATGGGTTACGAAATTCTTATGATGAGATTTGTGAAGGACGTACTAGTGTTAACTTAATCCCATTTGGTATTCCCCTTTAAGACTCTTTTATATCGGACGTTTGACAACGTCCCTCGCCGAGTCCGATTTAAGTGAGTCCCGAGGAGGAATCCCAAATAGGATTCGCCTATTATTACAGTGGAAGCTTAGAATTTGAGGCTTGGCTAGTTGGGAGTTGGCCTTAATATGAAGTCAAGCGGTAGCGTTTTTTGGCAACATGTCGAATGATCTTTAGTTCAAGTCCTAGTCATGTGAAGGGCGTTTTGTTTATTAACGCTTTCCTATATATATATATATATATATATATATATCAGATATTGATATAAATTGTGTAGGATACAAAACCTCCTCGCCCTCGGCAGCTAGCACGAACAGTGTGGCGATCACCTATGACAAATTAATTATGCGCGTAGCAGTAAAGTAGGACATCAATTAATTTATGTTGTATAATAAATCAAGTTATGCAGCAAATCCACTTAATGGTGTCTTTACCTGTTTACTTTCCTGATTTTTGTTGTTGAAAAAATAGTATGGTGACCGGAAATAAGGTTGAATTTACCACCAATCGTATTTACATTTGATTGGATAATATTTTGAATCGTTTCTTGCGATTGGACAATTCTAATTGTATGTCGGGAAACGGAAGTACATTCAAACGAATGGCGGCTGCAGTGAAAAGGTGCATGGCATGGTACGGGTGTTATGTCAGAGGACAATTTAGATTTATTTCATTTACATGACTTGGTCATGGTATTACGATACTGTGAATTTCTGTTCTTATGTAAATAGTTTATTGTCAGATGCATAAGGCAATATACATTTTGCCAAGAACAGCCATTGTTGACAGGCTAGTGAGACTAGGTTAGTCGACAAAAACAGTGACGGACAAACACAATATTATAGGCCTAACAGATCTTTAAACGATTTATGGAGGCAGGTCAGAAAGCAAATTTTGATCTGTGTAGTTAGGCATTTTTTCATAAACGAACTGCCCCAATCAAACACGTAACATGTCCTAATCCGCTGGAGTATCCGTAGAACTCCTATACGCACAATTATGTAGCTTTATCCTGCAACTGGTGCTAGTGCTGCCATTTTCGAAATACGCCTTCCACAAGTATTTTTGCTGTAGTTAAGCACGTGCATGAATTCAATAGAATTACATTCTGAACTTACTTGAATGTTATATTTAGAAAGGATAATATCTCTTATTTGGACAGGGTGACATATTTAGACAAAATATAGTTTACAATATGGCCCTGCTGTCGAGTGCCGACATATGTATGTACAAGTTTAATAAGACAATAAAAAGTTACAAGTCAACCGTTCATAGAACAATGTAAAGTATATACAATTAAAATTATCACAGACAAACAGGTACTGTTTCATATAGCCTACTGGTTGTAAAAAATTCTTAAAAACATCAACACTGGAAGCCCTTGTGATACCTTCACTTAGACTGTTTCATGAAACAGAGCAACTATAGCTAAAAGATCACTTTAAAATACTTGTATTGGCTAAAGTGTACTATAAAAAATGTTAGGTTAAAATATATGACTTGCTTGAAAGGCTCAATAACAAGAACAACTTAACCATCATCCTTATGAAGGTATACATACTTATACAAATAATCAGAAAAAGCATGTCTCAAATCAAATACTTTCTTAATGTGACAACATTGTTATTGCAGCATAACTGGCTAGAGCAGCAGGAAGGACTAGGAATGTGCAGTCAATTGTGTCTTTCCTGAACAGGTGATTGAATAAAACAATGATTTGACACAAATTTTCCCCCAATTTAAACAACAAACTTCACTGAATTTTCCGAATTTTGATACCTCTGGCAATTTCCAAAACTTACCCTGCACTTAACATGTAAAACAACATTTGATGAAGGAGAAAAATTTTTAAAACTTGCATAATGAAGCAGGTGAAAATGTAGTTCATGGTGATGATGTTCTTTATAATTTTTTAAATTGAAATGATGGCAGGCTCTGACAAGAGGAGCTCTATACATATTCTGTAAAGTATTAATTGCTTTAACTATGAAATAGTTAAAGTAAGAATAATAAACATGCATTTTTTCTTCTAGATAATCAACTGGATAAAGGATGGATGTTATTGAAGATTTTTTTGAGATCCTGAGAGTTGTTTTAGATTATGTTGGAATTGACATGGATGATATGGTGAGCAAATGCTATATGAACTTCATGACTGATAAGTAATTTACTATTTCTCAGATGATGGGCAATCAGTGATTGGTCATAAACTGAGAGAAATGAACAGAGAATTTACCAAAATGTATAATATGTGAATATTTTAAATGTAACAAAATGCATATGTGCAGGAATCAATGAACAAATAGAGTTGGATGTTGGAAAAGAAGTCTGACAGGTTGAAATAGCATCCAAATCCAACCTCAGATAGAGGTCACTCTCTGACTTAGAGGGTTTATGTTTCCCTCAAATCTGACATAATGTCAATCTTGTCTTGTCATGGTTGTGTCTATTGGTATGACACTTGAAATAGCAAGCAAAGATGTTGTATCCGAGCAAGGAAATCATCAAATGTCAATACATTTGATATATATATATAAACTTTATTTATTTTACAACAATTGCGAAACAAGTTATGTCAACTTATACTAATCACTCTTGTTGGCCCGGATGTAAGCGCGCGAGGGGTCTTATTGTGGGAGGAAACCGGAGTACCTGGGGAAAACCCACGTGGTCGGGTAGGTGACCCCTTACCTTTTCACATCCGTTCCGGGAATCGAACCCCGGTCGGATAGGTGAAAGGCGAGTGCGCTACCACTGCGCCACCCCGACCACCCAATACATTTGATAGATAGCACTGATCTGATTGGTCAAAATTTGTATCATCACCATAAAAAAAATATATACATGTATCATCATTCAACCCCTAGGGACATGGAGACTGTAAAAGGGGAAAGTTGGACAATATTTTACTTTAAAATTCTGCTCCTCTTTCATGCCTTGATTGATTGGATGTAGATTTTCTGTTGTTTGACTCAGTGTTTTGGTAATTTTACATCAATGTGTATACATTTTCTGCAGTTAAGCTCAGCGTTATTGTAACTTTACATTGATATGTAGAGATTTTCTACTGTTTGACTCAGTGTTATGGTATTTCTATATTGATATGTAGAGATTTTCTATTGTTTGACTCAGTGTTATGGTATTTCTATATTGATATGTAGAGATTTTCTACTGTTTGACTCAGTATTATGGTAATTTTACATTGATGTGTAGAGATTTTCTATTGTTTGACTCAGTGTTATGGTAATTTTACATTGATGTGTAGAGATTTTCTATTGTTTGACTTTGTGTTATGGTTATTTCACATTGACATATAGAGATTTTCTACTGTTTGACTCAGTGTTATGGTAATTTGCACATTGACATATTATGTATAGATATTATCTTAAATAACTGTATATAACATGCAAACCTTTGTAGAGTCTTTGATTTCTGTTTCAGTCTGAATTCCTTGGTTCTCTGAATACCCGATCAAGACGAGCCCTTCTTCACATGAACAGAGCAATTGTGACAAAATGGCACCAATCCATTACTGAGCCACGTGTTAGGATGTACAGCAGGTGGAACCATTGGAGATCTGATATACGCCACCAAAGTTTAGTCAGGATCATTGGCACCAGGTTACCACTGCGCCCAGCAAAAAGGCTCAAAATACAAGTAAGTTATAGAAATTTAGACTTTGCTTATTGGCTTTGCTATATAAGGAAGTGGATTACAGCCTTAGTTGAGGAGCTAATTCTTCATTAATGGGCAGTGTACATGTCCTATATGACCCAAGTTATTTGAAAAAATTTTCAGATGATCTTGCATTTGCAACTTTCATTATAGTACCATTTTTTTATTTGGTGGCAATTTATTCATCACGCATACACTATTTATTGCCAGAGTCATTTACTGCGTCATCGACAACGTCATGAGAGTTGTGACAGTGATATATCATTGCTGTCCTTGACAAGCACTGTGTCATCCTCACAAGCTGATCTGATGTGGGTGGAGGAAGATTTAGGGGACAACTGTATCAGAGTAAGGTAGGTAGAGGATTAAGGAGAAAATTTTATCAGATTAAGGTAGGTAGAGGATTTAGGGGGAAAATGTATCGGATTTTGGTAGGTTGAGGATTTGGGAAATTTTATCAGATTAAGGTAGGTAGAGGATTTAGGAGACAAGTGTGTCGGAGTGAAGGAGATAAGATGATTTAGGGAAGAATTATAAGAGTAATCAAGGTAGATGAAGACGGTATCAGAATGATGTAGCTGTATAGGATTTCAGGAACAACTGTATCAGGATCACATCTGTGAAGGATTTGCCAATAGAATGTTATGATTACAATAACTATTTTCCATTACTTGTTTAGTTGGGCTGCTGATCACCTAAAGTTGCATGCTAAAATGATAATTTCACTTGTCAAATTAATAAAAATGGATATCATGTAACCTGAAGAAAGCAATGATCAAGTCTATATGAAAAAAACAAGAGCTATCAGAGCTGTTGTTAAGTCTGGCATCTGGAGTCTTTCTGTATGATTCCAACATCTGGTCAGACGTCATCAAATCATTCATCAAATGATATCCATGGATAATCCTCCTCCTTTGGGATTAATTTTTAGTATCTTCTCTGTTATACTACTGCTTTTATGCCACTCTTTTCTATTTACTGTAAATCACTTAGATTTCACAAATACTTTATTTCTTGAATACCTCTTTAGACAAATTGTTGATTTTGCAAATGCTGATCGAGAAATGCCATTAAATTCATGAATAATGAGCTAGTAGAGGCAAGAACTTCAAAGCTAAGAAATTGGTAACCAACTCATCATGGATGCCATACAGAGTTATTTTCATGCAAATAATTGTGATAGATTTAAATTCATGATTCATTCTCCACACATATTAAAGTGAAAATAAATGTAATGCAAAATATGATTGATTTTCAGTATAAGGTAGTGTTTGGTTATCTGAACCTTTGCTGCTCTTAAAACATGACAAAAATTATTAAGACAGTTTGTGACACATTTACTTATAAGTATTTCAAGTATATGTGTTATTTCTATCTCGATAATAATTACATGAATTTCACATCAAATTTGACAACCACCAGTAACTAAAATTTTCAACCTGCCTGATCGTAGAAGCCACAGACGTAGCTGATTTATGCCTGCAATAAGGTCTGACCTTCCCCAGACAGCCAGGCAATTGTTAGTGTCTAATCCAGTGCATTATAAAATCAACTTTTTATCTGAAGATTAAAGTTGTCAAATACTGAAACAAATGTATCATTATGAATTAATTTATACTTTTATAATGACTGGAATCTTTCCAGAGCACAAAAGAAGGATGAGGTTGATGACTGTGATACTTCTGACGATTTTGATAATGATTTCATGCTACGGAATGAAGGTGTTCGCTCTCCCATGAACTCCACCATGATTAGCTCAGTCTCCATGGTGTCCTCGTGTGATCCAGCTGCTATCCAAAAGATCACAGCTATGGAGGATGAGTTAACAGCTTTGAGAAAGCAGATGGCTATGCTTGTACTGATGCAAGAACAAGTGAATAAATCTCAAGGTAAACACTCACTTTGAAAGAATTTACATGAGCAAAAGATTTTTCATTCATGATGCAATTGAGCCAAATCTTGCATGAAATGATCATGACATGGCACTGACCAAAGTTTGTTAATTTCGGGTTGGTCCGAAATCCAAGATGGCCGCCATCTTGAAAACACATTTTCGACTTCTTCTCAAGTTCCAACTGTGCGATTGAGCCAAAACTTGCATGTAATGATCATGACATAGCATGGACCAAAGTTTGTTACTTCAAACATCCTCTGAATAACCAGAACACCCAGGGTGATGATATTTGGCCTGTAGCATGCTGGGATGAAGGAATAACCTTAACCCACTTTCAGTGTGGTGGCTGAGTGCCCTTGATTCTTAAATCCAGGTGAAATAAGTTCAGAATTTGAAATCTTGTATTTTATGTCAGATGACTGTTAAGGCCCATGGGCCTCTTGTTAGTGTTCTTTTTTCTTTTTTTGATTTCAGAGTGATTACAGCAACACACATTGTTTTTGTAGGATTGTTATTTAACGTCAGTGTAAATATTTCTTCTTTCTCTCCAGCAGTATCTTCAAGTGTGTGTGCCACACCAACAGAAAATAGTGCTACCCCTATTTCAACACCTTCAGGAGCAACATTGGAAATGTTTACCCCACCCCTTCCTCCTCCACCACCCCAATATGAACCCTTGCCCCCAGACTCCCTTGCAGAATGTCTTCCACCACCTCCTGTCAGCTGGGGGGTGCCCATGCCCCCTCCTCCGCCTGCAGCTCCTGTCACTCCAAGGTCCCATAGTCCGCAGGCCATCTCAACACCACTTCAGCCCACAGCTCTGGCTGATAAGATCAATGTAAGATACCAACTACTTATGTTAATGTTTCTTATTTCAAAACAGAAATTAGGTCTTATCATTAGTATTCCATTCTTCACAGAAGCCTAAAAGAACTGATTTACTCTGACTGCTTTGTGCAAATGTTATTTTTAATTTTCGGTCATAAGATGAACCATGAAGCTGTACATCTTTCAATAATCTTATCTCCTCAGATGTAATAAGCCAAACTGAATACGTAAAAAAGAAGGAAAAAAAATTACATAGCTGAAATTCCAATATGAAGTGGATCTGACCGATACTAGGTCAATTTAGTTACATGTAAAAATTGAATAGTCAAATCTTTGTGAATCTTGTGTACAAGATATCACATGAACCCTTTAGCAGATTGATTTAATATTTACACCATCTTGGTCTACACCATGTAGATTTTAGTGGTCATCAGTTAGGGTTAAATCTTAAAGGCCATCCTTGACCACTTATACACCAGATATCTCTGAAATCCCATATAAGAATCAGTTAATATTCGCACAATAGCATCACACCATCAAGTTCTACATCTGATTAAATTTTTATGTTCATTGTTAACATGAACGGTCATCCTTGACCACAAAGGAAACAAAAAGCTTGTGTACAAGCAAGTGCCTAAACTCCTTATCATTAAGGTTAGATATCATAGGTCATCCTTCACTGCTTTTAAAGTAAAAAGCTTGAATGAAAAATGAATGACCTAGACCCACTTTTAAGAGTTATTGTATTGAAACAACTTTTCAATGACCAAAATGTCTATGCTATTGATTAAGGTTCTGTAACATAATTGGAAGAAGGGCAACCAAATTTCTTCAAATTATTGACCTTTTCACCCACTTTCAAGGTCTCTCAATTCGAACATGTTGAGAACTTATAATGTCGTTTTTCAACAAGCAATAGGTCCAGGGTCATGGTATCAGTTGATAGCATGTTTGAAAAAATTAGACTTTATGAACTGACACAGGATTCTGTTTAAGCTGTAGAACAGGTGAGTGATTCAAGCCCATTTGGTCTCTGGTCATATACAGGTCTTCAGTCAGATGTCCATGGGCCTTTTGTGGAATTACTTTAGTGATAGCATCACTGAAGGATACATGTATTTGATATTGGTTAAGATTTTTGCAAGCTTTCATTGATATATTTTGTAACAGTTTAACTTGACTCCACTGGTTATAATTTCAGATTTCAGTTACATGTACTTCTGTAAGTATTCTCATAGAAGTAGATCTCATCTGTAGATCTGTGCTGTTCTGCAATAAATATTATATGGAATTCATACAAGAATTGTATGAACATAGCATGGATGTGTATTTTTCAGCCCAAGAACAGTAGGGAGAAGGAGAAAGGGTCCCTCACAGACGTTCTGAAAGGTCTAGGCTCAGTCAAACTGCGATCGATCCAAAGGTGTGTCTCACCTATGCTTACGCTCAATTAGGATTACCAGTTACCAGTACTATATTGTACTTTAGTGACCTCTACAGATATGTTAGTTTGGTAACAGTTGAAATTTGGAATGGAATCTCACATTTGTCATACAGCCATGTATATCTTGGTGTCACTTTTCTATTATTCACCCAGCATCTATATGCAGACACTAGAGTTAAGTTGTGTGTAGCTCAGATTATCAAAAGTAACAGGGCCACTAGCTATTGCAATGGTTAGATCATGTGTAAGATTTGGGATGCTTCAATCTGATCTTGGGTGAATTAAAAAGTTTTTGCATTGGTTCTATAAAGACAATATCTGGAACTGATCCCCCTTTTATTCTTTAGATCCCCCGGTGGTACTCCCTTAAAGGTGAAGCAGCCAGATCCTGAGTATACTCGGTCAGACCCAGCTTCCCTCATTGCTCAAGCTCTGAAGAAAAAATTTGCCCAGCAGATGATGTACAGTCCAGATACAGACAAGGAAAATGATAACCACGACTTCAGCTCTTCTGACATAGAAAACAGCCCACATGTGAGCATCTGTTTGTATTCACACTAGGTGAATAACCTAAATCAATTCAATTGTTAATGGACCATGAAAGAAAGCACAAAGGTGGTAGATGATAAAAATAAAATATTTCTTCAGTATGTCTCTATTAGGCATGGAATCATGAGCTTGACTATTTTTATCTCAAGTTAAAAGGCTAGAGTGTATAGGACAGATGTTTCCTGGCTACTTCCTGCATGTTCAGATGTTACAGGAAATTCATCTTAATAGCAAAACGGTAAACAATTTGACTTTCTGTTGACACAGGTCATACCAGGAAGAAAGAACATAAAGAGACGCTCCATACTTTTCGAGGATCGGCGTAAGAGTGCAGGGCCTCTACGTGATCTTAACGTTTAGTGCCAAATGTTCCAGCAAAGGATTTTTATCAACTCAAGGTTTTATCATAAAACAGACGTTTTAATCATGTATATAACAGTTTTATTGTATGCAAATTGACACATTTCTATTAAAACTAAGAAAATAACACACATGGACATTTTTTGCTTGTTTCTCGAAGCATTAATCTGACATTAATACTCCAGTTCAGCTGTTGTAACATTCTGCAAACTAGTGTACTGTTAGCCTAACCAGTAATCTTAAATTGTTCCTAAGCATTCAATACTAAATTTCATATGAATGGTTAAAACATGTAGGAATATATGTATCTGTTAAAAAGTTTTCATGTAATGAAGTACTGGTGGGCCCGCAGAAACACCACTGAAAAACTTATCACAATCAGAGTCCTCGGTAAATGATTCCAGAATGTGTGTATTTAATTGTCAGCCATACATACAAATTGTTGTAGAGCATTGCCTAATGGCAGAAATCCAATTGTGATGAACACTTTTTACAAGGCAAATAAATTCAACAATTGTGTAATTACACACCAACAAATATGACATTTAAAAATATGTCTTGGTAATGAAATAAAAGCTATCCTGGTATTTACAGAAAAATATGTATTATATCAAACCCACACAGATTTACGATAGCTGAAGTTCATCATCTCATATTTCACATAGAGCACAGATAATTTTGCTTCTCAACACCAGTTCTAAACAGAAACATGCTATGGTTCTGACATCTTTAATTGTAGATAAACCCTTTCAGCCCTATTTCTTCATTTCAGAACCAAGGCATGTCGTTGATCTGAATTCTTTATAGAAAAAGAAGCTTTGCTAAGGTTAACATCTCCAATTTTTCTAGATTTCTGTACAACAAGGAATCTGTTTTGTCGGAAATTATTTTTCACATTTAGATTTTACACCCTTTCCTATCTCTTCAAAAATACATTTACATGTAGAAAGTCACAATTGTAATATTTGTTTATCTATGCTATGGAGTGTAAGGGGCTGTACACCTCTGTTGATAATGAATCGGGCAAGGTGTTGATTCCTTCAGACAGTGGTAAGCTTTGGCTAGATACTTGCTGCCTATAATTTGAGTAGAATTTGACCTTGGTGCTCAATCCACCTGCCTATAATGTGCGTGTAGTTTCTCTTCCTGAGATTAGTTTGCTGATGGTGTGAAGATCTTAAATGATTATCTTATATCTGAGGAGGAAAAAATATTGTGCTCTACTTCATGTGGAGGGTTCAAACACCCCATTTTATTCCAGAATTTAAGGATGACTTTGTATACTACTATAGATAGAGGATATATAATCTAAACAAAAACATTCAACTTTTTCTTAGATAAACATACATGTACAAAAATTATTGTACACATGATTTGTCACGTCTATGTGACTCATTTAATTTTCATTTGTATGTATGGGTATAGAGGATGTTTATAAAAATAATTAAATTTATGCTAAAAACATGACAATCATATATCATCAAAACTGTTGATTAATGTATAAAAAAGTTATTTGGATAAAGTTTAACATTGATGAATTATCTCTGAATAATAACACGACACATTGCAACCTTCATTGAAAAAAAAAATTTACAAAAGTGATGACAATAGATAATACATAACATTTATAGGTATTATAAACTTTATAACACTCATCATTTTGTAAAAAGAATATATATATCAAAAAATGAGATCCCAGAGGGATTATGGTGCCCACTATTTATTATTCTTTCTGTTTTTCTTATCAGTCTCCAAATCAAAATGCCACAATTTGTGAGTAATGGGAATCTGCATATGAAATTTGAGAAAATCCATCCCGTATTTCTCATGAAATGGTGCCAACAAACTTTAATAGTCAAAATCCAAGACAGCTACCTGTTGGCCACTTTGCTTTCCTGATCAATCCCAAAATCAAAAGGGCACAAGCAGGAATCAAGGGAAACCTGCATGAAAGATCCATCCAGTACTTTAACTGAAAATCCATGATGGCCCTATTCCGATCATTTTGGTTACCTGATCAGTTTCAAACTCCGAAAAGCACAACTAGTGACAAAGTGGAACCTGCATATGGTCATGGACAGAAATTAATCCAGCATGGAGTGCCCTTCAAGAAATAGCAAATTTTTGCTGTCAAAACCAAGATGGCAGCTTGTCATTTCAAAAGGGCACAACTAGAGACCAAAGCAACCCTTCATACGAAGTATGAGAACGATCAATCCAGGTTACAGATGGATGGACATAGACCCATTTGAATTGCTCATTTGATGATGGTGGGCTAAAAATATAGCATTTTCGTGAAAACTGGTGGATCGTGAATTATTTAAAGGAGAATCAACATTAACTATTTATAGGCGATTTTCATTATACCCAAAAATGAAATGTTTTTGGACATCAACTTAACTTGTTTAAACTTTTGAGTAGATACTGAGAAATACACTAATTCTAATTGTTGGGGATCCAAAAATGCTATATCTATATTTTTCAGGGTTTATTAAAATCCCTCTAGTTTTTTCATAAATTTTTTAATAGTTTCCACATGATTGAAATATGTTGTCAATAGGTGAGCTTTTCTGTTCTCAAACAGCCCCTCATATTTGTGATTACTTTTAATGAGATCAATGTTTAATAATGATGATTTGCATGTGGCATACAATATACAACCAACTAACATTTTCTAGTTAAGAATTGTCGGTGAACTGGAAATTAGGACTTGCTATCATAATCTAGTAAGTATTGTTGCTTGATAAATTTCTGTAAATGTTTGTGACCTTGACCTTGGAACCCTAGAACATGACTTCATTCAAGGAGATGTTGAAGGTTTATGGTTTCTGTAAGAAATGAAGTTGCTAAAGCCATGATGGTAAATGAACTTGTGTTTTTCTAAGATAGAAATAATGACCTTGACATTTTAGTGGGTAGTGTGATAAGATTATTTATATATAAATCCTACCCATACACTCCGACCACTCGGGTATTTACTGAGGAGCCTTCATTCATTCATATCTTTATTTCCTCCATAATCGAAGAGTAAAAAAACATAGTAAACAAGCAGTGATTTATAAAGTGGGTGTACAAAAAGAAATCAGGGTGAAAGTGTAATAGAAAAAAAGAAAAAACATCAAAGAATATAGGAGTTGTTTACATGATAATGATCAATAGAGTGCACAAATGAGAAAAAAAATCTTATATCAAAAGTATGGGAAAATAAAGACACTGTAAATCGCAAAGCATTATAACTGAACAATGTAGCTGTATTAAAGCCTCATTGAAATGTTAATTCAGGCACTTTTATAATAAATACAAAATCAAAATTTATCAATAGTTCAACCACACTGTGCATCTTTTTTTTTTTTTTTTAATATATGGTAATTGTATTGTTATTTTAAAAAATTAACTAATTGTGGACGCTTTTACAACAGCGATTTGAAAGATTGCTGCATTATTTACGCAGAAAATTGCTGCTAGAGGGCTCTAACTCTTTTCGATATTTCAGCCAATCTAAATGATTGTAATTCTACAACATTAGAGAATAACAGTTGCAGTTCTATAGGAACGGCCCCTAGCAGGGTTGTAATGAAGCGTTCACGTTCCAAATTGTCAACAAATATATATACAGATACCGCGTAATCATTAACAATTTTGGTGACCATGGAACCTTAGAACAGGACTTCATTCAAGATGCTAAAGTCATGATGGTGAATGAACTTTTGTTTTTCTAAGATAGAGATAATGACCTTGACATTTTAGTGGGTAGTGTGATAAGATTATTTATATATAAAGCCTACCCATACACTCCAACCACTCGAGTATTTACTGAGGAGCCTTCAGTTTGAACGTTTTTGTTAATGTAGAAACAAAGCAAGGCATCTGTTTGCCACCATCATGGGCCTGGAATTTTATAGCAACTGAAAGGTTTACACGATTAAGGAGAGTATAGATGTCATCTTCGCCTTTATTATGGAGAAGAAATTCCAGTTCTTCACAGAATTTTGCAATGAAAGGTGTTCCCATGGCTGTGTTTCTGTAAGCTTTTTTACCTGAAACAATTGTAAAATTGTATTATCAAATCTACAAATAACACATTGTCAGTTATAATGGTAAGCATTGTAACACTTATTTGTATTTATGTACTTGAAATGATGTTAAAATTTGCAACACCACCTATGTCTCATCAGTATAAGACTACACATCTCATCATATGAGGAATTACAAAAAATGGCTTTACAAATTATTGAACAATCACTTGCCGTTTGGGGGAATTTACCTTCTACAGTTGAATAAATGAAGAGGAAGTCCATGATAGTTGGTACAGTGAGGATGTCGATTGAGGCAGGCTCCTCTACTTCTTGTACCTCCATTTCCTCTGGTTCATCTGGCATGGTGTCGGCCGCTACATGTTCTGCCTGAGGGTTAAGTACACGTATCGTTGCTGCATGGACATCATCATTCCCCCTGCAGGCCTGCATCATGAACAACATATTCAGCATGGAGGGTTATATAACAAAACATACAGATAAATCTACTCCATATGCAAAAATCACTGAATTATGACAGGCTCCCTAAGATCTATAAAGATCCTGTCTGCCATATATGTCTACTTGATTATATCACCCATGATGTGACAATCATTACTCTCATTACAGGCCCATCAGTAGGAAAATGAAGATATTATCTGCCAACCGCCAAAGATCTTATAAAAAAATCATGGAACTTCATGTGGAGTCTTTTGAGGTACATGTATTTTTCATTTGTTTCCTCTTTAAATCGGTAGACTTGATTCAGGCGAGATCTAGAAAAGAGAACAGACATGACAACAAAGAAGGTTTTCATGTGGTTGGAGGTGTCTACTTGCAAAAACTTCTCCATCAAAGGGGAGGCGTATTAACAACAGGACAAAACCCTAAATGGCCTTCAAGGTCAACAGCAATCAAATACATGTATAATATTTGACCAGTTGCTGGGCTTAAGTGCTGTCAGGTTAGTTCAAATGAATGACATTGGCACACTCGGAAGGCCAAAAAGCCTTGTGTCATGGCATGATATTAGACTACCAGTATACTTGATTATAGCTATATCTGATATATAAAATTGTATGAAATTAATTCATACCCGTAGGGTCATGATGTTTCATTGGTATTATCACACATATGATAACCTTAAGAAGTAAACCTGGTTGAAGACCTAGTAGAAAAATTGTTTCTATTTTTGTATTTTTACTACAGTATCATGGTCAAATCGATCAGGCAAGAGTGTTCAAATGTTTTAGATTCTATAAAACAAGGGGTTCATGGTCATATTTTACCAGTATAAATATAAACTTTATTTTACAACAATTGCGAAACAAGTTATGTCAGCTTATACTAATCACTCTTGTTGGCCCGGATGTAAGCGCGCGAGGGGTATTACTGTGGGAGGAAACCGGAGTACCTGGGGAAAACCCACGTGGTCGGGCAGGTGACCCCTTACCTTTTCACGTCCATTTCGGGAATCGAACCCCGGTCGGCTAGGTGAAAGGCGAGTGCGTTACCACTGTGCCACCCGACCACCCAGTTTATTTTACCAGTAGCTTGCTAGAGAAAAGTGCTATCAAGTCTGTAGATAGCAATGACCTTGGTCCATCTATTTGACTTTTCCAATCAGTATCAAAATCAAACCTGAACAAATTTTGGTGAAATGAAACCCTCATGACATTTGAGAGAGAAATCCTTTGCATTCAGTCTGAAAAAAGTGATACCAAAAACCTAAACAGTCGAAAACCAAGATAGCTGTCTGTCAGACCTAAACATGCAAAACTGTACACCACAGGACTTACACATTAATTTCATAATGGTCTGTCAAGTAAATAGCTAAGGAAAACTTGAATTAATGTCCATGGTGACATTGTTGGCTAATTTGCTTTCCTAAACAGACAGAAAATCAAACATGCCCTTTAAATGGACCAAGAGAAATCCATTCAACTCTTTTCAAGAAATAGCGATAACAAGAATTCTATAATACATGGACCCCGAATTGCAATTTGAACAGCTGCCAATTTTATGAAAATGGACTAAAAATTCCCACCATTAACTGACCATAACTATTTTTTTTGATTGATTTGTCTATTAATTATGATGAAAATTTCAGCTGGTCTTGCACTTTGGATTCAAGTTATGACATGCATGAATAAGAAATACCTACCTGCATGAGGAAGATTTTTGGTTTGTTGATGAGGGTTGGACAGTTTTTGGCATCAAAGATGTCACTCAGTTCATTCATTTTTATCTGACTGTCTGTTGCCCATATACCACGTTCATTGCCATGTGTCAAAAACGTACAAAAAAAAGTTGAATGTTCTGTGTGGTCCATTCTTGCAACTAGAAAAAAGAAAGTAAGCAAATAAATTTCACTTAAACAAAGCATTGAATCATCCTTGAGACAATCCAATTTTTTGCTGATAAGCCTAGTTATATTACAAATCGCATCAACCAATCTTGCTGCATAGAAGGATGCATATCAGGGGTCTTAAAGTGGGAGCTAGGAATCTAGAACATATGGTGATAACCCAAGTTAGGCTAAGTTTGCAGGTGTGACCCCATGTTGTTTCAAGTCTGATTGGGGAAATCAACTCCATGTAAAAAGCTAGTGTGTCAGCAAAATATATAGGTATACTGACTCTACAACCTACAACCTCAAGTAAAAGGTGTGTCACCCAACCCTCCAGGTAACCCAATGTGAAAGATGAATGTCACCCAACCCTCCAGGTAACTCCATGTAAAAGGTGTGTCACCCAACCCTCCAGGTAACCCAATGTGAAAGATGAATGTCACCCAACCCTCCAGGTAACCCCATGTAAAAGGTGTGTCACCCAACCCTCCAGGTAACCCAATGTGAAAGATGAATGTCACCCAACCCTCCAGGTAACTCCATGTAAAAGGTGTGTCACCCAACCCTCCAGGTAACCCAATGTAAAAGGTGTGTCACCCAACCCTCCAGTTAACCCAATGTGAAGATGAATGTGTCATCTTACCCTTCAAGTAACCCCATGTAAAAGGTGTGTCACCCAACCCTCCAGGTAACCCAATGTGAAAGATGAATGTCACCCAACCCTCCAGGTAACTCCATGTAAAAGGTGTATCACCCAACCCTCAAGGTAACCCCATGTAAAAGGTGTGTCACCCAACCCTCCAGGTAACCCAGTGTGAAGATGAATGTGTCATCCTACCCTTCAAGTTACCCCATGTAAAAGGTGTGTCACCCAACCCTCCAGGTAACCCAATGTAAAAGGTGTGTCGCCCAACCCTCCAGGTAACCCCATGTAAAAAGTGTGTCACCCAACCCTCCAGGTAACCCAATGTAAAAGTTTTGTCACCCAACACTCCAGGTAACCCAATGTGAAAGATGAATGTCACCCAACCCTCCAGGTAACCCAATGTAAAAGGTGTGTGTGTCACCAAACCCTACAGGTAACCCAATGTGAAAGGTGAATGTGTCATCCTACCCTCCAAGTAACCCAGTGTAAAAGGTGAGTGTGTCACCCAACCCTCCAGGTAACCCCATGAAAAAGGTGAATGTGTCACCCAACCCTCCAGGTAACCCAATGTAAAAGGTGAATGTGTCACCCAACCCTCTAGGTAACCCCATGTAAAAGATGAATGTGTCATCCTACCCTTCAAGTAACCCCATGTAAAAGGTGAATGTGTCATCCTACCCTTCAAGTAACCCCATGTAAAAGGTGAATGTGTCATCCTACCCTCCAGGTAACCCCATGGAAAAGGTGAATGTGTTGCCCAACCCTCCAGGTAACCCAGTGTAAAAGGTGAGTGTGTCGCCCAACCCTCCAGGTAACCCCATGGAAAAGATGAATGTGTCACCCACCCCTCCAGGTAACCCAGTGTAAAAGGTGAGTATGTCACCCAACCCTCCAGGTTACCCCATGGAAAAGATGAATGTGTCACCCACCCCTCCTTGTAACCCAGTGTAAAAGGTGAGTGTGTCACCCAACCCTCCAGGTAACCCATTGTAAAAGGTGAATGTGTCACCCAACTCTGCAGGTAACCCCATGGAAAAGGTGAATGTGTCACCCAACTCTCCAGGTAACCCCATGGAAAAGGTGAATGTGTCATCCAACCCTCCAGGTAACCCAGTGTAAAAGGTGAGTGTGTCACCCAACCCTCCAGGTTAATTGATCCTATATTGTAATGTATGTTTTTATACACTATTACTTTCAATATTTCAATTACTGATTACGTACTTTTTTTGAGGTGTATAGGTATATAGGTATATATATATAGGTATATATAAACCTGAGGAAAAATTATCTAAGGCATAGTTGAGGTCAATGGAAGTTTTTAGGTATATATATTATTGTACATCCAAACAAGCTTAAGTTGATGTTGCGTGCAACACATGTCCCCTGCCGTAAATTACTGTATTTATCAGCAAATAAGCACATGTCTGCTAATAAGCCCACCAATGTTCTGTTGTAAAGCAAATGGGTGCAAATGCTACTCAACTGTTTGCAATAAGCTATCCCTTTACTATGGTTCCGCGTTTATATGTTGGCCCCATGATCTAATTGCAGTATAAATACATTATTTTTTCAAGTAATGTAGAACTTGTTCTGTATCAGAAGTGTCTTGTTTTATTATTTATAAGCTTCCAGTGCATCGAGTTTCAACCAAATCCACCAATCCGTTCTCAAATTATTGTCTAAAAACTAAATTGTGACAAGATTATGTTTTTAGTAACAGTGACCTTTGTAGCTGATCTTTTGACACCAAACAGAATCCTACACTATATTGCCTTATAAACTACCATTGTATGAAGTTTCATCCAAATCCATTAATACATTCTCAAGTTATTGTCCGGAAACTAAAATGTGACAACAATTTCTATTTTTAGTAACAGTGACCTTTGTAGTTGATCTTTTGACCCCAAACAAAATCCTCCACTATATTGCCTTATAAACTACCATTGTATGAAGTTTCATCCAAATCCATCAATCTGTTTTCAAGTTACCGTCTGGAAACCAACATCATAACAGACAGACGGACGGCCAGACGGACGGAGTCAAACACTATAGTCCCCTCCGGTTTCACCAGCAGGGGACTCATAAATGATAGTGTTTATAATTGTTACATTTGATGATAAATAATACCATTACCATCTATATAATGAGAGCTAGGAAAATTGTCAAGTGGAAAAATAAAATTGATAAAAATACTAAGAATTTGTAACATACTGTTTCTTCAAAACATTAAGGCAATATAGCAAATGTCTTCTCAGGATATATGTACCTAATTTATTATAGTGTAATTTTGATGAGTACATAAGTCATTCAATCCTGCTCCTATTTTTCACAAATATGACAAAGCATACATCATCTGAGGCTTCAAAATAGCTTCCATCAACATCTTGATAGTCGTAATATGTGTATATTAACCAAACAGAAGACAATACCATTATGGCTATATTATTGATATACATCACACAGTTCTAGAGAAGTTGCTAAAATTTAAAATTTGAATTCTCATCCCATAATTTAGTGTTGAGTCACCTTTCTGTTTTTCAATTGCTAGTTCTGCATTGCTTCTGACCAATTAGGAAAATAGTTAGAATCATAATAATAATTATATCATTATCGTCAAACTGTAGGGACTAATTTACAAATTTAGAACTTACTGCATGTGCTTTCAAGCAATTCAAACTTCGAGAAAAATGATGCAGCAAAAAATTTCAATGTCATGTTACTGCATGGTATCAAAAGTTAAATTCACAATACTGAAGCTGCAATATTCTAGCTAAAATTCTACGTATAATTGTTTTTATTAAATAAGTTAAGAAGGTAATTTGTAAATGTTAGTTTTATTTGATTTTGAAAGTTACGAAATAGGAATTCAAATGCCACATTTAAGACTGAAAAACTTACTATTTTTCAATTCTTCCAGCAATTCATGTCTGGACTTGTCACAGATAAGCCTAGTATGAAAGCCGAATTCATTAAACCTGTTTAACAAATTAGCTGCATCTTTATCAGTTCCTTCCCGATCGGGCAGATCTGTGAATTTTCTGTTGTTGATAATGACGGCATGACCAGGCTCTGGATATGTCTTGTATTCTGCAGCATAAAGATCAGGTCCCTGTATTACAGGTTCCGCCTGATCTTCATTTTCATTTCTAAAATTTAATAAATTTAACATCCTTCATTAAAGCATTCGTTATGAGTTTTGTAGAAAGCAGGTTTGTGTTACTTTATACTTTACATCTCTCACTATTAGGGAGACCGTGTTTGGTATGATGAACAAGTAATTTGGAACGATAAGTAAATGTGGCCATGAAATAATGCTTCAGGAGCCATCGCTGAGTACAGAAATCTAGATTTAGAAGTTATTGGACAGACAACAGCACCACACATCTGATCCTTGGTGTTTTCAGCTTGTTTAATTTGAATTTGAACAATAGTTTGACAAAAACAACCACTTATTATCACCTTAGAATTTATATTTATTAATGTTTCTGTCGCAAAAATTAAACATATTCAGTACCATTCATTTCATTTTGGTGTTTGTGACCTTTGGTATGCATATGCATACTACCAGATCAGTTAGTAAATATGTCTGCCATGAATGGAAGCAGCACACATTTCATCACTGAAACGAGATATTTATTAGAATCTTGCATTCTATATACATAACATATATAAGTTTCTGTACACACTAATGGCTTGGCTGCTGAAGCGCTGTTCTCTTGCCACTTTGCTTACACCAAATTACACTCTCATTATACTAAATATGTTAGACTCCTTGACATTGGTGGATGATAAGTATGTTATCTCTAAGAGCTTTATCATGTATCTTTTTGATAAAAATAATGACACATTCAAATAAAATATTCCTTGAAAGATATACGAAATAAATATTTGAATTACTTTGGGGGTGAAAAAGTCTCATGTACAAAAATGATATTACTTTCCTGCATCTTAAAATTATTTCACTCAGATTTTATTGTTTTTTTTCCCCACTTTTCTTTTGCTCTAGAACAGGTTTTCCCTCATATTCAATACTATGGTCCTTCTCTATCAGTAGTCCTTGATGAGTTATCCAGTCAACCAGGCTTAACCAGTGATAATGACAGACAGATATCAATACTGAGCCAAAAAATACTCGCTCATACGATGAAGAATAGAAGTTCTTATAACACAACAAGTAGAAAACCTGAGTGATGTTACAATGACTATAGTCTCCTTTATCAGACAAATGACCAGTGTGCACTAGGTAGTGTACTTGATAGTAAGGAATAAAAAAAAAAAAAAAATCATTTACTGTATATACAAGTATAGGTATATTATACAAAAAACAGGTATACATCATTGCATCATGTTTGAGTAACACAGGGTTTATTACATTCGAGTGATAAACTTACATGCAATAACCTATACTATAGTCTCCTGATGCCAGAGACCACTTCTTGGCACAGTGCCAGGCAATGATTGGGTGATCACTTATCAGGCAATCGTTTCAAAGGTGCAACAGATTTGAATGGAAGTTGCATTTTCCTTTCATATAAATATTAATGCAATATACATGTTGATATAAAAGTGCAACAAAAATATCCCATTGATTTTTTTCCACAATTTTTCTTTCATTATAAAAACATTCATACATTCACAATAGCAAGAACAGAAAAAATTAAAACCTTGGTCTTCCCCTACATCTTCCCTTGCACCTCTATCACCTGGAACCAACCGTCAACAGTGCCACAACTGAGACCTTTAAGGCTTCAGTCAATGGTCTCCAGCAACAATAAGTACCTCTCCAACACCCCGCCCCCCCCCCTCCCAATGCATTACATGTTCATAAGGACACTGCTCTATAAATACACAGACACCGATAACTTTTTATTCATAAATGTATTTTAATTCCCTTGTTGAGGTTAAGTAGGTGCTTCATTGTGTTATACTTACCTGTCATATAAGGTTTCTGGTTGTGGCAAAGGGTCACCACCTGTCGGCGGTATTGGTTCAGTGTCTATAGATTCTAAAGATAAAGAAATAACTTAGTATCCACTGAATTCTGAACAATGCTCTGATTCCATTGGCTTTTTTAAAATGGCAATACTTTCCCAGCAACTGTGAGGTTCTTTCATTTGGGATATACACAAATTACTAAATACTGCAAGTTACAAAATACAGTAGATTTAAACAATTGCAACATGAGGCCTAATGGACCTGCATTTTTTCATTCAGAGATTGATTGTCGGGGAGAGATTGTTTGTCAAGGAGAGATTGCTTGCCAGGGGGATATTTACTGTCAGGGGGAGATTGCTTGTCAGGGGGATATTTACTGTCTGGGGGAGATTGATTGTCTGGGGGATATTTAATGTCAAGGGGGAGATTGTTTGTCAGGGGGATATTTACTGTCAGGGGGATATTTACTGTCAGGGAGAGATTGCTTGTCAGGGGGAGATTGTTTGTCAGGGGGAGATTGTGTGTCAGGGGAGAGATTGATTGTCAGGGGGATATTGACTGTCGGGGTGAGATTGATTGTCAGGGGGATATTGACTGTCGGGGAGAGATTGATTGTCAGGGGGATACTGACTGTCTATGGATGATTGATTGTCAGGGGGAGATTGTGTGTCAGGGGAGAGATTGATTGTCAGGGGGATATTGACTGTTGGGGAGAGATTGATTGTCTGGGGGATATTTAATGTCAAGGGGGAGATTGTTTGTCAGGGGGATATTTACTGTCAGGGGGAGATTGCTTGTCAGGGGGATATTTACTGTCAGGGAGAGATTGCTTGTCAGGGGGAGATTGTTTGTCAGGGGGAGATTGTGTGTCAGGGGAGAGATTGATTGTCAGGGGGATATTGACTGTCGGGGTGAGATTGATTGTCAGGGGGATATTGACTGTCGGGGAGAGATTGATTGTCAGGTTGATACTGACTGTCTATGGATGATTGATTGTCAGGGGGAGATTGTGTGTCAGGGGAGAGATTGATTGTCAGGGGGATATTGACTGTTGGGGAGAGATTGATTGTCAGGGGGATATTTACTGTCAGGGAGAGATTGATTGTCGGGGAGAATTTGATTGTCAGGGGGGAGATTGATTATCAGGGGGATATTGACTGTCGGGGGGATATTGACTGTCGGGGAGAGATTGATTGTCAGGGGGGAGATTGATTGTCAGTGGGATATTGACTGTCAGGGAGAGATTGATTGTCAGGGGAGAGATTATTTGTCAGGGGAGAGATTGATTGTCAGGGGGATATTGATTGTCAGGGGGAGATTGATTATCAGGTGGATATTGATTGTCAGGGGGATATTGACTGTTGGGAAGAGATTGATTGTCAGGGGAGAGATTATTTGTCAGGGGAGAGATTGATTGTCAGGGGGATATTGATTGTCAGGGGGAGATTGATTATCAGGTGGATATTGATTGTCAGGGGGATATTGACTGTTGGGAAGAGATTGATTGTCAGGGGGATACTGACTGTCAATGGATGATTGATTGTCAGGGGGATACTGACTGTCTAAGAATGATTGATTGTCAGGGGGATATTGACTGTCTATGGATGATTGATTGTCAGGGGGATATTGACTGTCTATGGATGATTGATTGTCAGGGGGATATTGACTGTCTATGGATGATTGATTGTCAGGGGGATATTGACTGTCTATGGATGATTGATTGTCAGGGGGATATTGACTGTCTATGGATGATTGATTGTCAGGGGGATATTGACTGTCTATGGATGATTGATTGTCAGGGGGATATTGACTGTCTATGGATGATTGGTTGTCAGGGGGATATTGACTGTCTATGGATGATTGATTGTCAGGGGGATATTGACTGTCTATGGATGATTGATTGTCAGGGGGATATTGACTGTCTAAGGATGATTGGTTGTCAGGGGGATATTGACTGTCTATGGATGATTGATTGTCAGGGGGATATTGACTGTCTATGGATGATTGGTTGTCAGGGGGATATTGACTGTCTATGGATGATTGATTGTCAAGGGGGATATTGACTCTAAGGATGTCGGGGAGAGATTGATTGTCAGGGGAGAGATTATATGTCAAGGGGAGAGATTAATTGTCATGGGGATATGGACTGTCGGAGAGAGATTGATTGTCAGGGGAGAGATTATATGTCAAGGGGAGAGATTAATTGTCATGGGGATATGGACTGTCGGAGAGAGATTGATTGTCAGGGGAGAGATTATATGTCAAGGGGAGAGATTAATTGTCATGGGGATATGGACTGTCGGAGAGAGATTGATTGTCAGGGGAGAGATTATATGTCAAGGGGAGAGATTAATTGTCATGGGGATATGGACTGTCGGAGAGAGATTGATTGTCAGGGGAGAGATTATATGTCAAGGGGAGAGATTAATTGTCATGGGGATATGGACTGTCGGAGAGAGATTAATTGTCAGAGGGAGATTGATTATCAGGGGGATATTCACTGTCAGAGGGATATTGCCTGTCAGGGAACAGATTGATAGTCAGGGGGATATTTATTGCCGGGGAGAGATTGATTGTCAGGGGGATATTCACTGTCAGAGGGATATTGCCTGTCAGGGAACAGATTGATAGACAGGGGGATATTGACTGTCGGGGAGAGATTGATTGTCAGGGGGATATTTACTGCCGGGGAGAGATTGATTGTCAGGGGGATACTGACTGTCGGGTGGAGATGGATTGTCAGGGGGATATTGACTGTCGGGGAGAGATTGATTGTCAGGGGGATATTTACTGCCGGGGAGAGATTGATTGTCAGGGGGATACTGACTGTCGGGTGGAGATTGATTGTCAGGGGGATATTGACTGTTGGGAAGAGATTGATTTTCAGGGGGAGATTGTTTGTCAGGTGAAGATTGATTATCAGGGGGGAGATTGATTGTCAGGGGGATATTTACTGTCAGGGAGAGATTGACTGTCAGGGGGATATTGACTGTCAGGGGGATATTGACTGTCGGGGAGAGATTGATTGTCAGGGGGATATTCACTGTCAGAGGGATATTGCCTGTCAGGGAACAGATTGATAGTCAGGGGGATATTTACTGCCGGGGAGAGATTGATTGTCAGGGGGATACTGACTGTCGGGTGGAGATGGATTCTCAGGGGGATATTGACTGTCGGGGAGAGATTGATTGTCAGGGGGATATTTACTGCCGGGGAGAGATTGATTGTCAGGGGGATATTGACTGTTGGGAAGAGATTGATTTTCAGGGGGAGATTGTTTGTCAGGTGAAGATTGATTATCAGGGGGGAGATTGATTGTCAGGGGGATATTTACTGTCAGGGAGAGATTGACTGTCAGGGGGATATTGACTGTCAGGGGGATATTGACTGTTGGGAAGAGATTGATTTTCAGGGGGAGATTGTTTGTCAGGTGAAGATTGATTATCAGGGGGGAGATTGATTGTCAGGGGGATATTTACTGTCAGGGAGAGATTGACTGTCAGGGGGATATTGACTGTCAGGGGGATATTGACTGTTGGGAAGAGATTGATTTTCAGGGGGAGATTGTTTGTCAGGTGAAGATTGATTATCAGGGGGGAGATTGATTGTCAGGGGGATATTTACTGTCAGGGAGAGATTGACTGTCAGGGGGATATTGACTGTCAGGGGGATATTGACTGTCGGGGAGAGATTGATTGTCAGGTGAAGATTGATTGTCAGGGGGAGATTGATTATCAGGTGGATATTGATTGTCATGGGGATATTGACTGTTGGGAAGAGATGGATTGTCAGGGGGATATTAACTGTCGGGGAGAGATTGATTGTCAGGGGGATATTGACTGTTGGGTGGAGATTGACTGTCAGGGGGATACTGACTGTCAATGGATGATTGATTGTCAGGGGGATATTGACTGTCTATGGATGATTGATTGTCAGGGGGATTTTGCCTTTCTATGTTTGTTTGTTTGTCAGGGGTATATTGACTGTCTATGGATGATTGATTGTCAGGGGGATATTGACTGTCAATGGATGATTGATTGTCAGGGGGATATTGACTGTCTATGGATGATTGATTGTCAGGGGGATATTGACTGTCTATGGATGATTGATTGTCAGGGGGATATTGACTGTCTATGGATGATTGATTGTCAGGGGGATATTGACTGTCTATGGATGATTGATTGTCAGGGGGATATTGACTGTCTATGGATGATTGATTGTCAGGGGGATATTGACTGTCTATGGATGATTGATTGTCAGGGGGATATTGACTGTCTATGGATGATTGATTGTCAGGGGGATATTGACTGTCTATGGATGATTGATTGTCAGGGGGATATTGACTGTGGAGATATTGATTGTCAGGGGGATATTGACTGTCTATGGATGATTGATTGTCAGGGGAATATTGACTGTCTATGGATGATTGATTGTCAGGGGGATATTGACTGTCTATGGATGATTGATTGTCAGGGGAATATTGACTGTGTATGGATGATTGATTGTCAGGGGGGATATTGACTGTCTATGGATGATTGATTGTCAGGGGGATATTAACTGTCAGGGGGATATTGACTGTTGGATGATTGATTGTCAGGGGGATATTGACTGTCAATGGATGATTGATTGTCAGGGGGATACTGACTGTCTAAGAATGATTGATTGTCAGGGGGATATTGACTGTCTATGGATGATTGATTGTCAGGGGGATATTGATTGTCTATGGATGATTGATTGTCAGGGGGATACTGACTGTCTATGGATGATTGATTGTCAGGGGGATATTGACTGTCAGGGGGATATTGGTTGTCAGGGGGATACTGACTGTCAATGGATGATTGATTGTCAGGGGGATAGTGACTGTCTATGGATGATTGATTGTCAGGGGGATATTGACTGTCTATGGATGATTGATTGTCAGGGGGATATTGACTGTCTATGGATGATTGATTGTCAGGGGGATATTGACTGTCTATGGATGATTGATTGTCAGGGGGATATTGACTGTCTATGGATGATTGGTTGTCAGGGGGATATTGACTGTGTATGGATGATTGATTGTCAGGGGGATATTGACTGTCTATGGATGATTGATTGTCAGGGGGATATTGACTGTCTATGGATGATTGATTGTCAGGGGGGATATTGACTGTCTATGGATGATTGATTGTCAGGGGAATATTGACTGTCTATGGATGATTGATTGTCAGGGGGATATTGACTGTCTATGGATGATTGATTGTCAGGGGGATATTGACTGTCTATGGATGATTGATTGTCAGGGGGATATTGACTGTCTATGGATGATTGATTGTCAGGGGAATATTGACTGTGTATGGATTATTGATTGTCAGGGGGATATTGACTGTCTATGGATGATTGATTGTCAGGGGAATATTGACTGTGTATGGATTATTGATTGTCCAGGTAAGAATGAATGTCTTGAGGATGTTGTTAAACTTGTAAAGATTGATTCACTGAGGAAGATTGTATGGTCAGCAAAAATGGCGAAAAATACATTAATACAAAACTGACAACTGATCTTGTAAACATATAAATAAATAGGCAGAGATCATTGTTAAGATGAACAGTATGCATTACAATATGAACAGCTTAAAAACAAAATCAACTGATCCTGACGCAAAATGAACATTGATTCAAAATAAAGCCATTGATACAAAATAAACAATCACTATATAAATAAATGCTAAATGGCGTGAAAGTCTGCATTTCTGTCTAGCCATAAATACAGCGGGGGTGAAAACCAAACACTGGCCACAGCTTTGGCTCCAAAACCCGTACCAGGATTGTAATAAATAATTTATATCTATAGAACGAAAATTGAATAAATTTCAATTTTTTCCCTCCATATCATCAAAATTATAAGCTTTGATTAAGGATGATTTCAAACAATACTCATACCTATCTGGTTGTAAATACATATAGGTTTGATTTAGAAGCAAGACATAATTCATATCTAATCTTGCTTTATTATGGTGGCAGTGAGGATTGCTGGTGGTTTGTTACGCCTGACCCCATTCACCCATTCCCATGCTAAGGAGAGGTCTCATATATCACAATGCAACACATTCTTAGTTCACCTGGTCCAAAGGACTGATGAGTTAATGCCATGGCATGGTGTCCGGCATTTGTCCATCAACTTTTTTCTACAAAACACTAGTAGGTGTGATCGACTGAGGGAATTTTGACCAAATTTAGTCAGAAGCATCCTTGGGAGAAGAGAAACATATTTTGCATAAAAGGTGTGTCCTGGCACTCCAGGGCCTGAGGGGCAGGATCCAAAAGGGGAAATTGTAGGTTCTTTAAAATCCTACTCAACCGGTTGGAATGATTGGATTTTGTCAAAATTTGGGTGGAAAGGAATCAATTTAGTATAGACAATGAGTCTCAACCCCCCTTGGGCTGGAGGGGTGGGGCTCAAAAGAGGAAACAGAGTAAATTCTTTAAAATCCTACTTCTCCTGTAGGAATGATTGGATTTTGTCAAAATTTGGTCTGCAGGATGTTTTAGTGAATGGAAATCAATTTTGTATCGATGGTGCGTCTTGATCACCTGGGGCGAAAAAGGGTAGGCCCAATATAGGAAATTGGTTATACCTTTGAAACAGTCAAGATCCCCACCCCTTTACTATATATAGCATTACTAGGCATCAAGATATATCCTAAATCATGATGTAAAACTTTGCCCTGGGTTATGGCCACATCCTTAGAGACTTAGTTTCTTGGTTATCTTTGAAGCATTTCAGATCTCCACCCCATAACCATACCTAGCAATGCTGGGTATCAAGAGTTAAGAGATGTGAAAATTGACCCTGGGGTGTGGTTCCACACCCAGGAACTTATTTTCTGGGTTATAATGTTGAAACAGTTGAGATCCCAATCTGTAAACCATATGTGTAGCAATGTTGGGCGTCAAGTGATAAACATATTAATAATGTAAGAATGACCCTGGGGCGTGGTCCCACATCTTTGGACTTCGTTTCTGGCTTACATCTTTGAAACCCTTGAGACCCCCACCAATAACCATATATAGCATTGTCAGGCATCAAGATATATCCTTAATCATGATGAAAAAAATTGCCCTGGGGTCTGCCCCCACCCTTTGGGACTTAGATTCTGTGTTAGAAGCAATTGAGATCCACACCCCATAATTACATATAGCAATGTTCAGGATCAAGAGATAAACAAAATCATGATGTAAGAATTGGTCCTGGGGACTGGTCCCATCCCCAGGGACTTGGTTTCAGGGTTATATTTTCAAACAGTTCAGATCCTGCTGGGCATCAAGAGATAAGCACATTCACAATGAATTGACACTGGGGGTTGGTCCAATATCTTAGGACAGTTTGGTTTTGCCCTACCAGAGAGGTTAAGTGACTGAGCTGTAATTTGGAAATATTTGAAATACCCAACCATTAGGCATGTATACCATTGCTGTGCTTTAAGATCCATGTGAGCAATACAAGCCCTTTGGGCCTCTCGTTTTCTCTTTCTTATAATATCAAATGGCATACAGAATGTTCTGTCAACTTTATAGAAATAATAATGTTATGGGGCTTTGAAAAAGGGATGCAGTTCTATGGCTGATTTTTTATTATGCATATTTGTAAAAGAAGAAAAAGTTTTGTTTTTTTAATATATATACTCTATTTCCTCTATCAGGCCATACCTCTTTTGTTCAAGGGGACCAAGACTCAATGTTTATACACAATTGATTCCCTTTCACCAAAACATGCCACAGAAAAAAATAATGGGTGAAATCAAACTATATGTACAGAAAGACTGGGATTTTATAGAATTTGTTCTATTTCCCTTACTGGGCCCTGACCCACCATTTATATAAAAATAAAAGTGATTCATCTTCACCCAAGCATGCTTCAGACTAAATTGCAACAGAATCCTAAAATTGCTACAAAATTCCTTCACTTGTTCATGACTAGTAGTGATTTGGAGTAAAAAGTTCTCTGCGCGGCATGGCATAAGCTCACCCGTCCTTTTGATCAAGTGAGCTTAAAATAAAACTATAGAGATACTGCGCTTTACCACACCACATCATCTAATTCAATTTACTGTCTTGATAAAACTAAAACACACGACTAGGACTGACCACAGGTAAATGTGCAATGTAGTTCTAGCTGAGAAATGCACAAACGGTGAAACAAAATTATTAATTCAATGGCAAAATAGTTGTGTAATATATAGCGTTTTACAATAATGAAGATACATTAAACATAAAGATGACATTTTAAAATGCTTCCAACCCCATTGAGTCAGACTCGTTTTCATTAGTTCTATCGCATATTCATCAACTACATTCATTATCACCCGAGATAATTGGTAAAGATCGACTGTCAGGGAAATATTATTTGTCGGGGAGGTAGATTGTCTAAGGCAGGTTTCTCAGAGGCATTGTCTGAAGGAGAGGAACTGTTCCCTTTGCCTCGATAAATCTTGTTGTCAAAACTTCTAGATCATCCTTTTGAAATAAAAGTAGAAATCAAAAAAGGAAATAATAATTTCTACTTTCGTTTTAAGCTGTAACGGGTTTGTGTTGGTACATCTTAATTACTATCTCACCTCGACTCTCCTGCATTTTAACTTAGAAAGCGGAGTTTTAACGGCTAGAAAAATATGACATTCGATTTCTGGTCCGCGAACAGATCAGATACTACTTCCCCAATCAGTATTTTGATTATACTGCGCCACAAAAGCGTTTGTCATTCGACTGAAGATTTTCCGAGAGTTACGCTTATTCGTGACACAGATGGGATTTTAAAGGGAATTCCCCCTCGTCAGATTTTTTTTCTTGGTACTTTCGTTTTGAAAAGTTGGAGGATTAAAATGTCAGACAAACGAGGTAAGATATTTGGTGTACCTGAAACATTGCGTATACCTAAAGAGAAAGGAATTATTATAAGGCTAACGGGTAAAACTGACAATGACCTGTAACATACAGGGAACGAGTAGAATCTACATTTGAACATATACACATAAATGTACTATTGTACATATCTAGGTACGGTACATTTTGATGTTAAGCAAATATGTCAGGTGAATACATTTATGTTATTATTATAAAAATAATTTTAGTGTAATAATACTGTTTAACATTTGGGTTATTTCATATGTATCCTAATCTCGCTCCTTTTTATATACATTGTATACATTTGTATATTAAATCTGAATGCACATCATGTGTATACATGGGTTGGCGTTGGAGCCACCGTAAGGGGAAACTAACAGTCTGGGGGAGAGTGACTGTGTCTGTCTGGAGGAGTTTGATTGTGTCTGGATATGATGATTGTGTGGAGGAGATTGACTGTCTTAGCCAAGGGTATTGACTATCTGGGGAAGGTTGATTGTCTAGAGGAGATTGGTTGTGGTAGGGAGCCCGACTGTCTGGGGGAGGTTTAATACTCTCTCAATATTCATGTACAAAGTGGTTAAAGGGTTGGTACCAGCAATACCTCCATCTAACTCCCTACAAAACTCTGAAGAGCCATTCGAACACCACAGAATTTAGTTATCTTATCAACCAAAAGCATTTTAGGTACATATAAAACCAAAAACCAATTACAGCAAGCCAAGTTCAGAGTGCCATCACAGAATCACCAAGAAGATATAGTTGTGTATGGGTTATCAATTAACAAAATCCAATAAAGACATTGCCCTCTCTGTCTCTTGTCAAGCAAAAACCAGCATTAGGATATGCGACATACAAATACAGATACATAATATTTCAAAATAGCACACCAGATGAATCTCCAGATCAAAATATATACATGGTGCATTATTTATGGGATTTCATTTTTTTTATATAGATACAGAAGAAAGACAACTTTTGTAATGTGGTGCCCTGTTTGTGCCTAAAATTCATTAACCACAGCACTTGATTTCCTTAGCCATGAAATATCTCCATTAATTGTTGGACCTTTACTCCTTACAAATAACATCTTATAATGTTTATATTTTCATTAAATTAAAAACTGAACTTTTTACATTGGCTTGCCACTGTCTTTTTAACTTACTCCATTAAGACAATCATTAAATAATATTAGAATCTCTTTAAAATACAGTTACAACATGGAAGGATGTATGTTCAGGAATGTATACACATACCAATTTGCAAAATCTGTGTTAACATGTGTGCATCGGAGGTAAGGCAGCTAGTGCACACAAACAAGGCCATATACTTAGAAGTACACACAAATCAGGTCATATACTTGGAAGTATACACATCCAGGTCACATACTTAGAAGTGTACGTAAATAAGGTCATATACATGGAAGTGTACACATCCAGGTCATATACATGGAAGTGTACACAAACTAGGTCATATACTTAGAAGTGTACACAAATTAGGTCATATACATAGAAGTGTACACAAACCAGGTCATATACTTAGAAGTGTACACATCCAGGTCATATACATGGAAGTGTACACAAACAAGGTCATATCCTTAGAAGTGTACACAAACAAGGTCATATCCTTAGAAGTGTACACAAACAAGGTCATATCCTTAGAAGTGTACACAAACAAGGTCATATCCTTAGAAGTGTACACAAACAAGGTCATATCCTTAGAAGTGTACACAAACAAGGTCATATCCTTAGAAGTGTACACAAACAAGGTCATATCCTTAGAAGTGTACACAAACAAGGTCATATCCTTAGAAGTGTACAAAAACAAGGTCACATACTTGGAAGTGTACGCAAATAAGGTCTTATACATAGATCATCCCAGATCCTGTATGTAAGGATGTATACACACAGATCAACCCAGATCCTGTATGTAAGGATGTATACACACAGATCAACCCAGATCCTGTATGTAAGGATGTATACACACAGATCAACCCAGATCCTGTATGTAAGGTAGTATACACACAGATCAACCCAGATCCTGTATGTAAGGATGTATACACACAGATCAACCCAGATCCTGTATGTAAGGAAGTATACACACACAGATCAACCCAGATCCTGTATGTAAGGAAGTATACACACAGATCAACCCAGATCCTGTATGTAAGGAAGTATACACACAGATCAACCCAGATCCTGTATGTAAGGATGTATACACACACAGATCAACCCAGATCCTGTATGTAAGGAAGTATACACACAGATCAACCCAGATCCTGTATGTAAGGTTGTATACACACAGATCAACCGAGATCCTGTATGTAAGGATGTTTACACACAGATCAACCCAGATCCTGTATGTAAGGAAGTATACACACAGATCAACCCAGATCCTGTATGTAAGGAAGTATACACACAGATCAACCCAGATCCTGTATGTAAGGAAGTATACACACAGATCAACCCAGATCCTGTATGTAAGGATGTATACACACAGATCAACCCAGATCCTGTATGTAAGGAAGTATACACACAGATCAACCCAGATCCTGTATGTAAGGAAGTATACACACAGATCAACCCAGATCCTGTATGTAAGGAAGTATACACACAGATCAACCCAGATCCTGTATGTAAGGAAGTATACACACAGATCAACCCAGATCCTGTATGTAAGGAAGTATACACACAGAGATTAACCCAGATCCTGTATGAAGGGATGTATAAACAGACCAATCAAGATCCGGAATGTAAGGCAGTTACACAGAAAACAATCCAGACTCTGTATGTAAAGATATATATATATATATATACGCAGACCATCCCTGATTCTGAATGTATGGATATGTACCCACAACCCAGACCATATGCAAGTATGCAAGGATGTATAAACATGCACAAACCAACCCACATCCTGAGTATAAGGCAGTTACACACAAACTAGCCCTGATCCTGAATGCTAGGAGGTTACAAACAACAAACCCACATCCTTTATGTTCATTTGTGAGGAAATTACACTCAACCCATATCATGTATGTTAGGATATATACACACAGACCAACAGTCTTCCTGTATGTAAGGAAGTTACACACCAGCAAACCCTCCCAACCCATACCATGTATGTTAGGATATACAAACATGCAAACTACTGCACATAGCATGTTTTCAATAATTGATACATTTTAAAATACATATTGGAAAATGCATTAATGGAAGTTTTGTATTGTATTTTTAACTAGAAGAGAAGAGAATTGGTGTGAACCATTCAGACGCTCGGGGTAAAATACCGCAGCAGACGGAGGCTGTATCTTCAGGGTAAATTCTGAATTTAATTACCATGTAATAACTATACAAACTTGTAATGAAGATTAATTACAAACAAAATGACACTGAATGTTTCATTTTGACAGCTGAAGAACATTTTTATTCTTTAATATTTCACATCTGTAAAGGTTATCTCCACACAGTCTCAATAATAATCAAACAGTCTCAATAACAGTCTCAATAATAGTCATACAGTCTCAATAACAGTCATACAGTCTCAATAATAGTCATACAGTCTCAATAATAGTCATACAGTCTCAATAACAGTCATACAGTCTCAATAATAGTCATACAGTCTCAATAACAGTCATACAGTCTCAATAATAGTCATACAGTCTCAATAACAGTCATACAGTCTCAATAACAGTCATACAGTCTCAATAATAGTCATACAGTCTCAATAATAGTCATACAGTCTCAATAACAGTCATACAGTCTCAATAACAGTCATACAGTCTCAATAACAGTCATACAGTCTCAATAACAGTCATACAGTCTCAATAACAGTCATACAGTCTCAATAACAGTCATACAGTCTCAATAACAGTCATACAGTCTCAATAACAGTCATACAGTCTCAATAACAGTCATACAGTCTCAATAACAGTCATACAGTCTCAATAACAGTCATACAGTCTCAATAACAGTCATACAGTCTCAATAATAGTCATACAGTCTCAATAACAGTCATACAGTCTCAATAATAGTCATACAGTCTCAATAACAGTCATACAGTCTCAATAACAGTCATACAGTCTCAATAATAGTCATACAGTCTCAATAACAGTCATACAGTCTCAATAACAGTCATACAGTCTCAATAACAGTCATACAGTCTCAATAACAGTCATACAGTCTCAGTCATAAGTCTCAATAATAGTCATACAGTCTCAATAACAGTCATACAGTCTCAATAACAGTCATACAGTCTCAATAACAGTCATACAGTCTCAATAATAGTCATACAGTCTCAATAACAGTCATACAGTCTCAATAACAGTCATACAGTCTCAATAACAGTCATACAGTCTCAATAACAGTCATACAGTCTCAATAACAGTCATACAGTCTCAATAACAGTCATACAGTCTCAATAACAGTCATACAGTCTCAAAAATAGTCATACAGTCTCAAAAAAAGTCATACAGTCTCAATAACAGTCATACAGTCTCAATAACAGTCACAATAAGACAAACAGTCACAAAAATAGTCATACAGTCTCAGTAACAGTCATACAGTCTCAATAACAGTCATACAGTCTCAATAACAGTCATACAGTCTCAATAACAGTCATACAGTCTCAATAATAGTCATACAGTCTCAATAACACTCATACAGTCTCAATAACAGTCATACAGTCTCAATAACAGTCATACAGTCTCAATAATAGTCATACAGTATTAATAACAGTCATACCAGTCATACAGTCTCAATAACACTCATACAGTCTCAATAATAGTCATACAGTCTCAATAACAGTCATACAGTCTCAATAACAGTCATACAGTCTCAATAACAGTCATACAGTCTCAATAACAGTCATACAGTCTCAATAACAGTCATACAGTCTCAATAACAGTCATACAGTCTCAATAACAGTCATACAGTCTCAATAATAGTCATACAGTCTCAATAACAGTCATACAGTCTCAATAACAGTCATACAGTCTCAATAACAGTCATACAGTCTCAATAACAGTCATACAGTCTCAATAACAGTCATACAGTCTCAATAACAGTCATACAGTCTCAATAACAGTCATACAGTCTCAATAATAGTCATACAGTCTCAATAACAGTCATACAGTCTCAATAACAGTCATACAGTCTCAATAACAGTCATACAGTCTCAATAACAGTCATACAGTCTCAATAATAGTCATACAGTCTCAATAACAGTCATACAGTCTCAATAACAGTCATACAGTCTCAATAACAGTCATACAGTCTCAATAACATAACAGTCATACAGTCTCAATAACAGTCATACAGTCTCAATAATAGTCATACAGTCTCAATAACAGTCATACAGTCTCAATAACAGTCATACAGTCTCAATAACAGTCATACAGTCTCAATAACAGTCATACAGTCTCAATAATAGTCATACAGTCTCAATAATAGTCATACAGTCTCAATAACAGTCATACAGTCTCAATAACAGTCATACAGTCTCAACTATAGTCATACAGTCTCAATAAAAGTCATACAGTCTCAATAACAGCCATACAGTCTCAATAACAGTCATACAGTCTTAACTATAGTCATACAGTCTCAATAACAGTCATACAGTCTCAATAACAGTCATACAGTCTCAATAACATTCATACAGTCTCAATAACAGTCATACAGTCTCAATAACAGTCATACAGTCTCAATAACAGTCTCAATAACAGTCATACAGTCTCAATAACAGTCATACAGTCTCAATAACAGTCATACAGTCTCAATAACAGTCATACAGTCTCAATAACACTCATACAGTCTCAGTAACAGTCATACAGTCTCAATAACAGTCATACAGTCTCAATAACATTCATACAGTCTCAATAACAGTCATACAGTCTCAATAACAGTCATACAGTCTCAATAATAGTCATACAGTCTCAGTAACAGTCATACAGTCTCAATAACAGTCATACAGTCTCAATAACAGTCTCAATAACAGTCACACAGTCTCAATAACAGTCATACAGTCTCAATAATAGTCATACAGTCTCAATAATAGTCATACAGTCTCAATAACAGTCTCAATAACAGTCATACAGTCTCAATAACAGTCATAAGTCTAACAGTCTCAATACAGTCTCAATAACAGTCATACAGTCTCAATAACAGTCATACAGTCTCAATAATAGTCATACAGTCTCAATAATAGTCATACAGTCTCAATAACAGTCATACAGTCTCAATAATAGTCATACAGTCTCAATAACAGTCATACAGTCTCAATAACAGTCATACAGTCTCAATAACAGTCATACAGTCTCAATAACAGTCATACAGTCTCAATAACAGTCATACAGTCTCAATAACAGTCATACAGTCTCAATAACAGTCATACAGTCTCAATAACAGTCATACAGTCTCAATAACAGTCATACAGTCTCAATAACAGTCATACAGTCTCAATAACAGTCATACAGTCTCAATAACAGTCATACAGTCTCAATAACAGTCTCAATAACATTCATACAGTCTCAATAACAGTCATACAGTCTCAATAACAGTCATACAGTCTCAATAACAGTCTCAATAACAGTCATACAGTCTCAATAACAGTCATACAGTCTCAATAATAGTCATACAGTCTCAATAATTGTCATACAGTCTCAATAACAGTCATACAGTCTCAATAACAGTCATACAGTCTCAATAACAGGCATACAGTCTCAATAACAGTCATACAGTCTCAATGATAGTCTCAATAATAGTCACACAAATTCAATAATAGTCATACAGTCTCAATAATAGTCATACAGTCTCAATAATAGTCATACAGTCTCAATAATAGTCATACAGTCTCAATAACAGTCATACAGTCTCAATAACAGTCATACAGTCTCAATCAGTCATAACAATAATAGTCATACAGTCTCAATAACAGTCATACAGTCATAACAGTCAGTCTCAATAACAGTCATACAGTCTCAATAACAGTCATACAGTCTCAGTAACAGTCATACAGTCTCAATAACAGTCATACAGTCTCAACTATAGTCATACAGTCTCAATAACAGTCATACAGTCTCAATAACAGTCATACAGTCTCAATAACAGTCATACAGTCTCAATAACACTCATACAGTCTCAATAACAGTCATACAGTCTCAATAACATTCATACAGTCTCAATAACAGTCATACAGTCTCAATAACATTCATACAGTCATACAGTCTCAATAACAGTCATACAGTCTCAATAACAGTCATACAGTCTCAATAACAGTCATACAGTCTCAATAACAGTCATACAGTCTCAATAACAGTCATACAGTCTCAATAACAGTCATACAGTCTCAATAACAGTAACAGTCTCAATAACAGTCATACAGTCTCAATAACAGTCATACAGTCTCAATAACAGTCATACAGTCTCAATAACAGTCATACAGTCTCAATAACAGTCATACAGTCTCAATAACAGTCATACAGTCTCAATAACAGTCATACAGTCTCAATAATAGTCATACAGTCTCAATAACAGTCATACAGTCTCAATAACAGTCATACAATCTCAATAACAGTCATACAGTCTCAATAGCAGGCATACAGTCTCAATAACAGTCATACAGTCTCAATAACAGGCATACAGTCTCAATAACAGTCATACAGTCTCAATAACAGTCATACAGTCTCAATAACAGTCATACAGTCTCAATAATAGTCATACAGTCTCAATAACAGTCATACAGTCTCAATAACAGTCATACAATCTCAATAACAGTCATACAGTCTCAATAACAGGCATACAGTCTCAATAACAGTCATACAGTCTCAATAACAGTCATACAGTCTCAATAACAGTCATACAGTCTCAATAACAGTCATACAGTCTCAATAACAGTCATACAGTCTTAACTATAGTCATACAGTCTCAATAACAGTCATACAGTCTCAATAACAGTCATACAGTCTCAATAACAGTCATACAGTCTCAATGATAGTCATACAGTCTCAATAACAGTCATACAGTCTCAATAACAGTCATACAGTCTCAATAATAGTCATACAGTCTCAATAACAGTCATACAGTCTCAATAACAGTCTCAATAACACTCATACAGTCTCAATAACAGTCATACAGTCTCAATAACAGTCATACAGTCTCAATAATAGTCATACAGTCTTAATAACAGTCATACAGTCTCAATAACAGTCATACAGTCTCAATAACAGTCATACAGTCTCAATAAGAGTCTCAATAACAGTCATACAGTCTCAATAATAACAGTCATACAGTCTCAATAACAGTCATACAGTCTCAATAACAGTCATACAGTCTCAATAAGTCTCAATAACAGTCATACAGTCTCAATAACAGTCATACAGTCTCAATAACAGTCATACAGTCTCAATAACAGTCATACAGTCTCAATAACAGTCATACAGTCTCAGTAACAGTCATACAGTCTCAATAACAGTCATACAGTCTCAATAACAGTCATACAGTCTCAATAACAGTCATACAGTCTCAATAACAGTCATACAGTCTCAATAATAGTCATACAGTCTCAATAACAGTCTCAATAACAGTCACACAGTCTCAATAACAGTCATACAGTCTCAATAATAGTCATACAGTCTCAATAACAGTCATACAGTCTCAATAACAGGCATACAGTCTCAATAACAGTCATACAGTCTCAATAACAGTCATACAGTCTCAATAACAGTCATACAGTCTCAGTAACAGTCATACAGTCTCAATAATAGTCATACAGTCTCAATAACAGTCATACAGTCTCAATAATAGTCATACAGTCTCAATAACAGTCATACAGTCTCAATAACAGTCATACAATCTCAATAACAGTCATACAGTCTCAATAACAGTCATACAGTCTCAATAATAGTCATACAGTCTCAATAAAAGTCATACAGTCTCAATAACAGTCATACAGTCTCAATAACAGTCATACAGTCTCAATAACAGTCATACAGTCTCAATAACAGTCATACAGTCTCAATAACAGTCATACAGTCTCAATAACAGTCATACAGTCTCAATAACAGTCATACAGTCTAAAATATAGTCATACAGTCTCAATAACAGTCATACAGTCTCAATAACAGTCATACAGTCTCAATAACAGTCATACAGTCTCAATAATAGTCATACAGTCTCAATAACAGTCATACAGTCTCAATAACAGTCATACAGTCTCAATAATAGTCATACAGTCTCAATAACAGTCATACAGTCTTAACTATAGTCATACAGTCTCAATAACAGTCATACAGTCTCAATAATAGTCATACAGTCTTAACTATAGTCATACAGTCTCAATAACAGTCATACAGTCTCAATAATAGTCATACAGTCTCAATAATAGTCATACAGTCTCAATAACAGTCATACAGTCTCAATAACAGTCATAGTCATACAGTCTCAATAACAGTCATACAGTCTCAATAACAGTCATACAGTCACAATAACAGACATACAGTCTCAATAACAGTCATACAGTTTCAATAACAGTCATACAGTCTCAATAACAGTCATACAGTCTCAATAACAGTCTCAATAACAGTCATACAGTCTCAATAACAGTCATACAGTCTCAATAACAGTCATACAGTCTCAATAACAGTCATACAGTCTCAATAACAGTTTCAATAACATTCATACAGTCTCAATAACAGTCATACAGTCTCAATAACAGTCATACAGTCTCAATAATAGTCATACAGTCTCAATAACAGTCATACAGTCTCAATAACAGTCATACAGTCTCAATAACAGTCATACAGTCTCAATAACAGTCATACAGTCTCAATAACAGTCATACAGTCTCAATAACAGTCTCAATAACAGTCATACAGTCTCAATAACAGTCATACAGTCTCAATAATAGTCATACAGTCTCAATAACAGTCATACAGTCTCAATAACAGTCATACAGTCTCAATAACAGTCATACAGTCTCAATAACAGTCATACAGTCTCAATAACAGTCATACAGTCTCAATAAAAGTCATACAGTCTCAATAACAGTCATACAGTCTCAATAACAGTCATACAGTCTCAATAACACTCACACAGTCTCAGTAACAGTCATACAGTCTCAATAACAGTCATACAGTCTTAACTATAGTCATACAGTCTCAATAACAGTCATACAGTCTCAATAACAGTCATACAGTCTCAATAACAGTCATACAGTCTCAATAACAGTCATACAGTCTCAATAACAGTCATACAGTCTCAATAACAGTCTTACAGTCTCAATAACAGTCATACAGTTTCAATAATAGTCATACAGTCTCAATAACACTCATACAGTCTCAATAATAGTCATACAGTCTCAATAACAGTCATACAGTCTCAATAACAGTCATACAGTCTCAATAACACTCATACAGTCTCAATAACAGTCATACAGTCTCAATAACAGTCATACAGTCTCAATAACAGTCATACAGTCTCAGTAACAGTCATACAGTCTCAATAACAGTCATACAGTCTCAATAATAGTCATACAGTCTCAATAACAGTCATACAGTCTCAATAACAGTCATACAGTCTCAATAACAGTCATACAGTCTCAATAACAGTCATACAGTCTCAATAACAGTCATACAGTCTCAATAACAGTCATACAGTCTCAATAAAGTCATACAGTCTCAATACAGTCTCAATAACAGTCATACAGTCTTAACTATAGTCATACAGTCTCAATAACAGTCATACAGTCTTAACTATAGTCATACAGTCTCAATAACAGTCATACAGTCTCAATAACACTCACACAGTCTCAATAACAGTGATACAGTCTCAATAACAGTCATACAGTCTCAATAACAGTCATACAGTCTCAATAACAGTCATACAATCTCAATAACAGTCATACAGTCTCAATAACAGTCATACAGTCTCAATAATAGTCATACAGTCTCAATAATAGTCATACAGTCTCAATAATAGTCATACAGTCTCAATAACAGTCTCAATAACAGTCATACAGTCTCAATAATAGTCATACAGTCTCAATAACAGTCATACAGTCTCAATAACAGTCATACAGTCTCAATAACAGTCATACAGTTTCAATAACAGTCATACAGTCTCAATAACAGTCATACAGTCTCAATAACAATCTCAATAACAGTCATACAGTTTCAGTAACAGTCATACAGTCTCAATAATAGTCATACAGTCTCAATAATAGTCTCAATAACAGTCATACAGTCTAAATAAAAGTCATACAGTCTCAATAACAGTCATACAGTCTCAATAACAGTCATACAGTCTCATTAACAGTCATACAGTCTCAATAACAGTCATACAGTCTCAATAACAGTCATACAGTCTCAATAACAGTCATACAGTCTCAATAATAGTCATACAGTCTCAATAACAGTCATACAGTCTCAATAACAGTCATACAGTTTCAATAACAGTCATACAGTCTCAATAAGATAGTCACACTGTCGCAATAAGATAGTCACACAGTCTCAATAAGATAGTCACACAGTCGCAATAAGATAGTCACACAGTCGCAATAAGATAGTCACACAGTGTGCAATAAGAGTATCACACAGTTTCACAGTCACACAGTGACACTTATGAAATAAGATAGTCACACAGTCTCAATGATAGTCACACAGTCTCAATAAGATAGTCACACAGTCTCAATAAGATAGTCACACAGTCTCAATAAGATAGTCACACAGTCACAATAAGATAGTCACACAGTCTCACAGTCGCAATAAGATAGTCACACAGTCGCAATAAGATAGTCACACAGTCTCACAGTCGCAATAAGATAGTCACACAGTCGCAATAAGATAGTCACACAGTCGCAATAAGATAGTCACACAGTCGCAATAAGATAGTCACACAGTCGCAATAAGATAGTCACACAGTCTCACAGTCTCAATAAGATAGTCACACAGTCGCAATAAGATAGTCACACAGTCTCACAGTCTCAATAAGATAGTCACACAGTCGCAATAAGATAGTCACACAGTCGCAATAAGATAGTCACACAGTCTCATTTTTCAGAGTCATATATCATTAACACTCAGATCATTGTTTTACATCTCAACCACAGCCATACATTCTGAAGAGTGACAAAAAGTTCTCCATTACAAATTTATTTGAAAAAATTGAAATCATGATGATTAAATTAGTGTGTTAATGTGATGACTTGCTGTTGGTGTGTTATTGATAAAGGAAGGAGTCCTTATCCCAGCTTCCTGGAGGTTCTGAAGATGGGACAATGGTCAGGATGACCACTGCTGACTTAACCCGTGACACTTATGAAATAGGCACTGAACGGTTTCCAAATAAGGGCAAAGTTCTTATCTTCAACAACATTAACTTCAACAATGGAATGCCTGACCGCGTTGGTAGTGACCAGGATGCTTCCACCATGTATCAGAGGTTCTGTGATTTAGGGTTTGAACCCACCCTTTTTAATGACTGCACACATGATGGAATTATGGAAAAGCTCAAAGCAGGTAAAGAAGATTGCTTCACATGCATTTAAGTAGTAAAAGCTGTATGTATGTATGTAAAAATTGAAAAAAAGGGTAATTACTTTTGATATTCCATCATCCATATGGCAATTATCACAGCAGATTTTTGTTTTAATCATTTATTTATTGTTCTTGTGAGGGGACATAGTTATGATTAAATATGGTAAATAAAAGTAGATACCTACCAATAATACTTGAAGTTAGACATTAACATCTTGTGCAAATTTTTGTAGGTGTGCAAATCTTGTGAATCTAGCATGATGATTTAAGTATCATACAATTATTTGTACATTTTTCTCTGTTTTTAGGTCACCTGAGATGAAGTCTCAAGTGACCTTTTGTGATGGACATTTTTGACTTCTTCTCAATAACCAAAAGTCCCAGAGTGTTGATATTGGGCCTGTAGCAGGCTGGGATAAAGGGCTATCAAGTGTGTTTCAAGGTCACAGAGGTGAAATGTGTTGAATTCTTTAAAAAACTTCTTCTGAATAACCGAAAGGCCTAGGCTGCTGATGTTGGGCCTGTTGTTAGTTAGCATAAAGAGTAACCAAGTTTGTTCATATTGTTGACCGACTTTCAAGGTCATATGTTTGAAATATGTCAAAAACTTAAAAACAACTTCTTCTCAATAACAATAGGCCAAGGGTCATGATATTGGGCCAGTAGCACACTGGGATGAACGGCTATCAGGTTTGTTCTAAAGAATGACCCTGACCTTTGATCAAAGTCACAGGGGTCAAATATGCTAAACTGCAACAACATAAGAGTGTTATCGAATTCATTTAATTGAAAATTAAGCCTTTAAACTGAGAAACAATAAAAACTTTATAAGTATGCTTATATCAGTTCTGTTCTATCTACCCCAATACTGGGAATGATAGAAAGGTTCTAAAACTGTCCAAAGACCTGAAAACCTCAGGTGACCATTAAGGCCCATGGGCCTTCTGTTTAATTTTCCTTTAATCTATGCCAGAGAAATTCACTGCAGAAATTTCGAATACTTAATTCTAATTTTCAGCTGCAAGTGAAGACCATAGTTTATGCAGTTGTTTTGCATGTGTGGTTTTGTCTCATGGGGATCAAGATGGTATCTGGGCTACAGACAAATCACCTGTTCTGAAAACAGAAGACCTGATGGCAACAATGAACTCACAAAACTGTAAAAGTCTTGTTGGGAAACCAAAGATCTTTATCTTCCAGGTATATTCAGAGTCCTCATACTTTGTGTATTGTGTCATTTGAATACCATCAGTTTCTTAATATGACAAAGTAAAGATGATATAAAACAGAACAGATACGATTACACAGGAAATAAAATACGATAAGTTCATTAGCTATGGTAACCCTTGGGTAGTAAAATTGAAAATGAAGTGGGATTGTTTTATCAAATAGTAACCCTTGGATGGTGAAATTGAAAATGAAGTGGGATTGTTTTATCAATTAGTAACCCTGGGGCAGTGAAATGGAAGAAGTGAACTGTTTTATTAATAAACTATTTGGTGGTGTGGTTGGAAATAGAGTGGGATTAGGTCATTAGTATTAGTAGCCCTTGGGTAGTGAAATTGGTATTGGATTAGTGTTGGATTAGTTCTGATAGAAATCATAATTCTTCCTTCAGGCTTGTCGTGGACTTCAATCTGATGCAGGAGTGGCGGTTAACATAACTGACAGAGTGATGTCAGATGCAGCATCTGAATCAGAAGAGTATCATGCACATTTAATCCAACAGGAGAGCACATATCAAAATATCCGCCTTCCAACAGATATGGATTTTCTCCTTATCCAAGCCACAGCTCCAGGTATACAGTCTATCTTTACCAATGTCACTCCCTCTATGGTGTTCACTTGTATCAGTAGACCTTTTTTTATCTATTTGTCCTTTCTTGTCCCATTAATTTTGTGTGTCAGTTAGATAAAGGTCGCAAATGTAATCTATAATGATCCAGCAGGTAATGTTAGGCTGAAAAAAGATTTTGTTACAATTTTTCTCTTCTAATATTCTCTTTTCTGTAGAGAATATTTCACTTAAATCATATTGTACATGTAATTTTTGTACTCACTTATTTTTAGAGGCATATAATTTAATTAAGTCCATTTAATCTCTACTGTAATAACTAATTAGACAGTGGACCATTTTCTCACACTTTTTTATTTAGAAAGGATTCTTATTGCAGGAAGGACGTCGATCAGAAATACCCAGACAGGATCACCCTTCATACAGTGTTTGTCTGAAGTGATGTCTAATATGGAGGAAAATGATGATTTCCTTGATGTTCTTACAAAAGTTCACAGGAAAATGGCATTTAACATCTCCACTGGCCAGTTAGAAGGGACGTCAATAAATGTGAAACAAATGCCCTGTTTTACATCAATGCTTACCAAAAAGCTCCTGTTGAAGAAAGGATGCTGAGTCATCGTCAGTTACCTGGATATTTGATATAAAATAAAGACACTAATCTAATGAGACTTACATCAATAACTCATGTATTAATTGTGAAATAATTTTGTTCTGTGTTTATATATCATTTTGCTGAAAGAACATTGTAAAAATATCAACTTTCATTGTTTTTTGAACATCTGATGATCTCAAGTTGCATATGTAGGTTCCCCTTGGTCCCTAGTTGTGCCCGTTAGATGTTGGGACTGATAAAAATACAAAATGGCTGACAGGCAGCTATCTTGGATTTTTTCAATGAAGTTTGTTATCGTTATTTCTCAAAAAGTAAGAAATAGATCTTTCTCAAATTTCATATATAGGTTCCTTTTGGTCCCTAGTTGTGCCAATCTAATTATGGGACTGATCAGAAATATAAAATAGCTGACAGGTGCCCATTATCTTGGATTTTGACTTTGAAAGTTTTTAATCACTATTTCTTGAAAAATACTGGATAGATCTTTCTTAAACTTATATGCAGGTTCCCCTTTGCCCGCAGTTGTGCCACTTTGATTTTGGGTCAGATAAAAATAACCAAAATGGCCGACAGACATCTTTGATTTTGACTTTGAAAGTTTCTTATCCTATTTCTAGAGAACTGCAGCATAGATCATTTTGAAATTTCATGTGTATGCTTTCCTCTATCCTTGTTGTGCCTGTTTGATTTTGGTACTGATCACAAAAAACAAAATGGCCCACAAGCTGCCATCTTGGATTTTGACTTTGAAAGTGTGTTATCACTATTTCATGAGAACTACTCTATAGATCTTTCTTAAATTTCATGTATAGGAACTGACCAGAAAAACAAAATGGCCAACAGGCAGCCAACTTGAATTTTGCCTAGTAAAGATTGTTATTGCTGTTTCTTAAGAATTTCTGAATAGATATCTCTCAAATTATATTAAGGTTTGCTCCTTTTGGTATCTCCTTGTGTTAGTTTTAGTTTGGGACTAATCAGAAGAAACAAAATGACTTCCAGGGGGCCATTTTGGATTTGGCAGGTTAAAATTATCATCGCTATTTCTGCAAAGGAATGTTCAAATGTCTTTTCATTAAGAACAAAAACAGAGATGAGAAGAGGAAAGAAGGGAAAAGATCCAATTTTCAAAGAGCATATAAATATAAAACAATGGTGGGGGCAAAGATCCCTCTAGTGTACGTTTTACAAATTTATATGGGCTACCTTGTATATGACAGAGCCTGCTTCATAGGGATGCCTCTATGTACAGTCAGAATACTAATCAACACTTGACTGTACACATTGTATGGATACACAACTACACTGAACCCAATATGTAAGAGCATTGATGCATAGCCACAGTTTTAATTTTCCGCCATGTTGTAAATTACTGAAATTTTATTGTATATATCTCAGTCTATCATCAGCTTCAGACATTATTTCTTCAATACTATTACAATAGAATTTCCTAGAGTAATGATGTCAAGGAATCACATCTATTTCATAATAAAAGATTTTCTTTTCTTCACTAAAGGATTTATTACTCTAACAGTTTTCTCATGGATATAATACATAAAGTGCTACTGTAAATCATGTTTATGTTATGAATTGTCACAATATATAAATGTTAATCTACCATTCAGAAATGTGTATTATGTATTTGTTTTTTGTGTTTGTGTATTGTTGTTATGTATTATGTATTTGTTTATTGTGTATGTGTATTGTTGTTATGTATTATGTATTTGTTTATTGTGTATGTGTATTGTTGTTCTGTGTATTATATATTTGTTTATTGTGTATGTGTATTGTTGTTCTGTGTATTATATATTTGTTTATTGTGTATGTGTATTGTTCTGTGTATTATGTATTTGTTTATTGTGTTTGTGTATTGCTACTCTGTGTATTGTATATTATGTATTTGTTTATTGTGTATGTATATTGTTGCTCTGCATCATATTATAAACTATGTACCTATCATCTCTTATGGTCCTAAATGACTTTAGTCAATTAATGAAATGAATTGACTTGTAAATAACATGATTTTTATTGGTTTTTAATAAAAGACTGTAATGCTGTTTCATATTCACTCATTATTCTATTAGATTTAATTTAATTACTGCATTTGCATATATATGTACAAGTCAGATCCAATACACACTTGACAACAGGAATGAAAAGATGATTTTAGATATACTACAATGACCTTGACACTTCTAAAGCATCTATCTAGATAGAGTTCCAGCATTAAATGAAAACCTGTTGCTAAGATGGTTTATTGCATAAGGTTTGGTATTTATTCTGCAACCTTTTCCACTCCAATGATTAATAATTTGTTTAGAATGTGTAGAAAGAAAGTCTCACACAAATCAAGGTTTAATGAAATCTTGAATGAAGTTCTAAATTCATACAAGGGATCAAGTGCAATTCAAACTTCGTCATTACGTAGTGTATTGTGTTTCATTTTTCCATACTATGCAAAAATGTTTCCCATTAAAACATGGAATGGAGAATGTATTGTTCTTAGGCACAAAATAAATAGGCGAAATTAAAGACTTAAAAAAACTGGGTTTATTATTTCCAATCGGTTTTACTTTCTACACATTTGGAGTTGCACAATGCATCGAGATTATAAATAAAAATGACAAGAATATCATCTTGCTTTGACAAATTGCCGCCAAGTATGACATTATATGATGTCGGCGTAACTACAAGGCATTCATTCCCAAAAAAGAAAACTTGATATCGATGATAGTCTCAAGAAGTTAAATATTGCTGATATTAACTGTAAGAAGAAAGAATAGCTGGACAGAGTATTATGAATAATCTGAACAAAGGTATATAACTTCCCAAAAAGGTGGAAATTTAAAATCCATAACATACAATCTAGTCACTAAAATTCCTACCTCATCATGTTGTATTCAACCTAGTCATTGCACGTCATAACGTTTTTAATCTAGGCACTACATTTCCTACGTCATAATGTATTTGATCAAGGCACTACACTTCCTACGTCATAATGTATTTAATCTCGTCAGTACACTTCCTACGTCATAATGCTTTATTTCATCTCATCACTACACTTGTTACGTCATAATGTTTTATTTAATCTTGTCACTACACTTCCTACGTCATAATGTATTTAAACTAGGCACTACACTTCGTACGTCATCATGCTTTATAATCTATATACTAATTACATACAATTTGTAAAGAGATATTTAGTATATGTATAAATATTTTTGATAATGATTTTAGAATAATATTTGGCATTAAAGACAGTAATGTGATAAGATTTATCAAAAACTTGTTATCATTAAAATTCAATACTGAATATAATCATACTTCCAAGACAAATTACTTGCCTCGAAAAAATTTTACTGTTCAACCATTCCATGTCAATTTTATTGTATTATTCTTGACGTAATGAAAACAAAAATCAATTACCTGAAAAGTTATGTTATTCGTCTAATTCAGCCAATCTGTCAATTCTACTATCTGTGATTAAACTGAGAATATCAACAAAATAAATGGTAATAATGAAGAATGTAATAAACTGACACATTCTATCATTAAGATATGAACAACAAATATGTCGGTTATGAAATGACAAAAGAAAATCTAATAACAGTAGAAGAGGATTTATTTTGAATCTGAATGGCTATCGAAAAAAAACTAACAACACTTTCAATTATCTATGGTTGGTACAGGACAAAGAAAGACATGTGACAAAATAACAAATACATGAACAACATTTATACCCTACATATCTAAATAATGACTGGAATTAACATGGCAAAAATTGTGTCTAGAATTAACACAACAAAAATTGTGTCTAGAATTAACACAACAAAGATAATGTCTAATGCAAAAAGAACCCCCCCTCTCCCCGTTATCTATATATCCCTATGCCTAACAAGTCTCCAAAGCAAGGTTAAAAACACAAAGATATCCTAATTCACGCAGGTTCCAAAGTACTTAATACGCCAGAAGAAGTAAAAACAGATCCTAATACACATACCATTCTATTATGGAATGTTTTGTTAAGAAGGCTTTCTGCAAGCGAAATATATTAACTTTGTAAGCAAAATATCTGTTACCTATTTTGCTACCACGGCGAACCACAAAGGGCTGTTCATTTTCGAACTACTTGAAAAATCAAATAAGTGTCAATGATTACATAAAATACATAAGAATGAGAACAAGAGACCCACAGGTCCTGTATTGCTCATGTCGGGTTTGTCTGAAACTGATTTATTCAAACTGAGCGGACAGAATATTAAAAGATTAATCTCTATTTGCCCTCATTGGTCCAGTCCCGCGGTCCTGTGGGAACAAGAGCCTAGATTATATGCAACTGAGTTCCTTAAATTTAAGAGTGCTCTCGACCAAATTTCGAAAAAAAAAAAAAAAAAAAAAAAATTCTTCATCAAGCGGGTCTGCTTACAACACAAGACCCTGACAATCAACGAAAGCATGTTACAATAGATGAAAAAGTTTAAAAGTTAATCAATTCTCTCATGAGTTTAGGAATCCACAATATCGGAGTGTCTCCAGCGTTAAGTGTGAGCGTTGGTAAAATTTCCTTCTTCTGTCGCTAATATATATGGATGTAAACTTTGGAACAACGTTCGTAGGATATCTACATGGGCTAATCTAGAAATACTACAACGAAATGTCACTGGAAGATGTCAAGGCTTCGAATATTACCCACCTTCCTGTGTTACCATACATTCTCTTGGTATTTGTCGATATATGTAGGATTCTTGATATGGTAAACTATCCTTAATGTACGTTTATGTGTTTTCATGATTGATGAAACCGTTACAACAGGCTTTATACCTGATATCGTAAGACTTGACAAGAAAGTATAATGGTAGTTGCCTGTTCGACGACTTCCTATTTGGAGACACAGAAAGACAAGTTGAATAATCTTTACTGAGCTAAGTGAGCAAGAAGGGCGTTTACTAGGAATATGACAAAAAAAGATCAAATTGTCATTTATGTATGTTAATAATATAGTTATATGTAACTTCTGTGGACAACAAGGTAGAAATGTTATAGGTCTATTTCTGATACAGTGCAATAAATTTTATGAAACAAGAGATCTTTTATTGGATAATATTATCAACATTCCTAGCATCACAAGCTATATAACTTTCACAGGACAAGATGAAACAAATAAAAAAAAAGTAGTATTAGGCAGTTGTCAATATATAGATGTAGAGGACAATATATTGGAACTGATTATACTGATGAACAGCATCAGCATCGCGGCCATAGTAAAAATCTTGACTAGAATTTTATGAAATATTAAATTCGATTAAATGGCCGTATGACCGTTTACTGCTGTATGAGATAGTAATATTTTGTACATAACATTATCATTTTTTCTATTTTATTTAGAATATACATTTAGTATGTTTGAAATCTTTATATAGATCGAGAAAATAAACATATCTTTCGATCTATAAAACTGGGGTCCACTAATTTTAGAGTCCTCTCGACCAAGTTTCAAAACAATACACGTTACAGTTTCCGTGTTGAATATCAAACTGATACTGACAAAACACGTTACAGTTTCCGTGTTGAATATCAAACTGGTACTGACAAAACACGTTACAGTTTCCGTGTAGAATATCAAACTGGTACTGACAAAACACGTTACAGTTTCCGTGTAGAATATCAAACTGGTACTGACAAAACACGTTACAGTTTCCGTGTAGAATATCAAACTGGTACTGACAATATACGTTACAGTTTCCGTGTTGAATATCAAACTGGTACTGACAAAACACGTTACAGTTTCCGTGTTGAATATCAAACTGGTACTGACAAAACACGTTACAGTTTCCGTGTAGAATATCAAACTGGTACTGACAAAACACGTTACAGTTTCCGTGTAGAATATCAAACTGGTACTGACAAAACACGTTACAGTTTCCGTGTTGAATATCAAACTGGTACTGACAAAACACGTTACAGTTTCCGTGTAGAATATCAAACTGGTACTGACAAAACACGTTACAGTTTCCGTGTTGAATATCAAACTGGTACTGACAAAACACGTTACAGTTTCCGTGTAGATTATCAAACTGGTACTGACAAAACACGTTACAGTTTCCGTGTAGAATATCAAACTGGTACTGACAAAACACGTTACAGTTTCCGTGTAGAATATCAAAGTGGTACTGACAAAACACGTTACAGTTTCCGTGTTGGCGGTATTGATGAGAGCATGTGGTACATATTTATTATAATCACTGATACATCATGAATTGTGATGACAAATTAAAAAAATTATTTACTCTTGCTTGATTAACTTATCTAGGAGTAATGATTGTCATTAACAGACAGATATTTAAAATATTTTAAATAAGTATTATCAGTCATAATATGTTAAAAGATTACAGCCGTATCTGTAGTCTTTCCACTACCTCTTATCTTTCGATGTTTTATTTGGAAAGTGGTATCTTTCCAAAACAGCGGTAAAAGGCATATGTCATGCCATTATTTGAAAGAATATAAAAGAAACATAAAGTTTGGAAGGACATGCCAATACCATTACTCAGCACTGATGGGAAGGTTTTCGAAAGATTAATTGGAAAATATTTTAATAATCAGTTATTAGAACATTCCGTAATAGATATAATATTGGTCTGATTTTTCAGCTTGCTCACTCAACAGTGCATCAAATTACAGAATTATATCATTCATTATGTGAAAATATAGAGAAAGAAAAAAAAGTTCTCCATGTTTAGTTTTCTGTGGTTAAACAAAAGCGTGCGATCGTCTGTGGCACAAGGGGCTGAAGGTGAAACTAGAAAACTACGGTATTTAGGGTAAATTATGAGATTGATTAGATAATCACATCAGTGATAGACAGCAACACGTTTTTGATGCTAATACTTAATACTTAGTTAAACCTACTGATACCTCAAGGCTCGGTATTAGGCCCTCTTTTATTCAGTCTTATATATTAATGACATTGCTGATAACCTTTCATGTTTATTTAAATTATTTGCAGATGAACCTCACTTCACTCTGATATCTCTCCTGAAACCAATGAAATAATGATAAATAACGACCTAGATAAAATAAGTTTGGACAGATAAGTGGTTAGTTATGTTTAATCCTACTAAGACAGATGCACTACTTGTTTCCAATTTTGAAATTGATCATATAATTGAGTTTCACGTTTATGATGTTGATATTGTATTTATAGAAAACCACCAGGGAGAAGTATTAAATTTTCTCGCTTGCGGAAAGTGCCGAGGGTTCCCGATTTCTGCAAATGGAGTAGCCATGTTGAAAATAATTGTAAAATATGTCAAAAAAGGTAAGTATTTTACGAAAATTGAAGTATGTGTTAAATAGAGGAACATTAGACCAAATATATAGATAATGCATTCTATCTTTATTGGAATAATGTTTTGAGGTATGGGGCGGGTGTACTCTCGGTGATGCTAACAATTTAGAAAAACGCCAGCTATAGAATCTAGTCTGTTCCTGTAATTACTGGATCACCCTCTAATACGAGTAGGGAATCATTATATTCAGAAAATGGACTAGAACCACTAATAAACAGAAAAAAAGGAGAAAATGGCAGCACTTCGACAAAATTACTACTAATATCGCACCAAACTATCTTACAACTTTACTACACATTTTAGATTCACATAATTCTTAGTATAACCTCCAAAATGCTCATAATTACTGTCTACCTAATTTCAGACTTAGTCTTATAAACATTTCTTTTTCCCCTCCACTATTTGACTTTGGAACGATTTAGAGAGTATGTCAATTTCAACATTTCAAAAACTCTCTTCGTAAACGTAAATATTTCCTCTTGATATTTGATTGATGACATAAAAATAATATATTATATATATAGATTTATATATAGGGAGAGGGCTTGATATAAGTTAGAAGACTTGTGCCCGATCTCTATTTGATACAATAAAAATATGTTTAAATTAACTTACAAACAGATGATGGTAAAAAGAAAAATGATATTGAAATAAAAGTGATTTGGTATAATAAATGTATAAATCTTAATGGCAAAATTTGATGGTTTAAAAATTGGATCGATTCTGGTGTGAGATATTTAAATGATAAAGTTGGAAATTGATGATAATCTTATATATCAGAAATTGAAATGTAAACGTTACTGGTTAGTTGTATTAGCATCTGTAAAACGAGCGATCCCCTGAATATGATTAGAGGAATTACGAAATAAAAAATCAGTGGTTCGAATTGTCTGTGAACATCAAAACGATCCACGACATAATGTCCACAGAAAACATAAGCAATGAGGATGTGTTTGGGATGTTGAGGGATAAAATACATATCTCAATATGCCTTATATATGGAGAGATACATTTTTTCATACTCTTTTGTATTTGAATTTAGAGTGATAATGGAGCATGACGATGGAAATGATTTCATAAAAGAATTCGAGAAGGCATTGATTGAGAAGATAGAATATTAAGTGTAACGAGAACTGCGATATTTGTAAGATAAGGGATGGTTATAAACATTATTTCATTAAATGTAATTGTATTATTATAAAAATACTTGCACTGCCATTGACTGGGTGTATTGCCTCTTATCACTGACACACACACACACACACACACACACACACACACACACACACACACACACACACACACACACACACACACACACACACACACACACACATACACTACCACATACATCTCCCCATCCCCCACCTCCCCTCACACACTACTATATAAATATCTGTAATATTTGGTTTCAATAATAATAGTCATTGCAAGCACTGTAACGAGACCAAGCACGAGAGTATAAACATCAGCAAAAGTCAGGCAGTGAAGAGAAACAGAGTGTAATATATTAATGCATAAATGTGTTTAAAATTTGAACGTATATAAAAGTTTGTATATATATGTGTGTGTGAGGGCGTGTTTGTGTGCGTGCTAGGGTGTGTTTGTGGAGTGTGTTGGTTTGATTGTATGTGTGAGGGTGTGACTGTGCGTTGGTGAGGGTTGTGAGAGGATTCGCGCCTCAGTATGTGTGAGTATATGTAATGTAGGTATATATATATAAGTATAAAGGATACGTTATGTAATGCCTATAATTTGTTATACGCATGTACACTTTATGCAATAAAACTCGGTTCTGAGTGCTAAAAGAAGAAAGAAATTAAGAATAGATAAGAAAAACCAAGAAGAAAAAACAGGAGAGAATGAAAAAATGAATAAAAAGGAAATAATAAAAAAAAACAAAAAAAAAAAAAAAACATGTCGCCAATAGGTTATTATAAATTTTCAAGATTATAGTAGACCCTCTGGGTGTAAGATATTGAATAAGAATTGCTGCTTGGTTAGGGGTCAGTATTTGGTCTCTCCAGTTGTTCATAGATGTTTGACTGTCGTAGTTCCAATGTGTTGATATCTGTATAGTCGTTGTCTGTGAAACAGAAACAAAACATAGTTATTTCACTTCGAAATATACGAACACATTATTGTGACTACAAATGTATAACATTCAGCATGATTTTTTTTGTGTATTAGTCGAGGATACCCTATCTTGTAAATATTTTCAAACCACAGATCCTTTTTTACTTCCTCAATTGCAAATAAATACCTTGTGAGGTTTCTCTTGCCAGGAACGATGCAAGTCTCATTCTCAACCTAATACGAACAAAAAATTAATGTTAGAACACCCTTCTTTACATGACCGTATTCTTTTTATATTGTTCCATCAAATTTGAAAAATTATTTATGACAGCAAGAACATAATGAAACTACTGATACGTACTTAGCGAATGGGAAAATGTACTTACCGAACAATATAGATTGTGGCCGCTGTTAACAGAATAGCTAAAGGTCCAACTACAGCTGAAAAGACTGGAATGGACACGAAGCCTTTCGTCATGCTGTGTGTTTCCTTTTGATCTGTGGGGACAAGTACGGGAGTGATTGGAGCTTTCTTTGGCAGGGAGTATATTGTTTTTGCTGTTTGTTTGTCTGTTGTCAACTTTAGCTTTGTCCATAACTAATTTTGCCATGTGTGTTTGACCTTTGACCTACATATGAAAAATTTTGTCCTTAACCCTTGCACTGTAAGAGGTAGGTTTTAATATTTGACAGAGTTACGCCCCTTGAAAATTTCCAATAATTTACAGTTTCCATTCATTATCTCTGAAACGGGTGCACATACTGAACAATTTACAGTTTCGCTCTCTATCAAAGTATACAAGCACAGTTTGTGCATAGGTATTCCAATCGACGTTGTGTTTTACCTCAGACGTTTCAGGTGATGGTTATTTGTAATGAAGTAAAAGAATCATCAGCACAGGTGCTTCTTAAAGTGTGCATGATATTAGCCCACTTCAGAATTTTGTTGTAAGCGGGGACATAGTCTTTCATAAATACATCTTGTTTTCTTCTGGAACCCGCTCTAGACTAATCAAATTATTTCGCTTGTGCCCTGTGACATGTTCCAGGGATAAAGAAACCAATATTAAATGTAAGCCCTGGAGTATCGAGGATGACTGATGTTCAATACTTTGAGGAAAGAATGATGATTAATCCATACAGAACAAACTGCAGATTTAGGAGTAATCGAAGAGAATTGAAATCAAAATGGACTAATTATGGGAGCTGGCTAGTCAATACAAGGTATGTCCCCCATTCGATCAGTCCACAGACGTGATTCTCATAGACAAATTACCCTCCACCACAACCAGTGGTAATTTAACTCCATGTGAGATTCCTGCCCACACCAAAACAGATCTATCCCCAAACCTATCCGTCTCTTCTACACAGCAGTCGCAAAAAAAACGTTTTCTACGACGTCCATATACACGACGTCGAACGTCTGCGCGAAACAGGATGACCGGGACTCATCAGTAAACACGACCCGCCTCCACTGTCTCAATGGGAATATTCTAGGGGCATGTGCCGCCATTCAAGTCATACAACCTTGGCGATGAGCAGCGGTAAGGGGCAGACCTACAAACGGGTGACGTGCCCGCAGGCCAACTTCCCACAATCGTTTCCTTACAGTGTTTAAATGTTTGCATGGATAGGACGGTAATAAGTACTTATGGTACAAAGGGCAGATTAGGTGTCAATAAGGTACCGATTGCACAAATGTGCGAGACGAATAAACCTGTCCTGACGTTGTGACGTCACGCGCGGACGCCCAGAGCAAGGTCTATCAGCAACTCGCCCAGTTTCCCTTAGACATTTAATAAGACGTTCATTAGTGCAAACATGGACACCGAAATGTCTGGCAACCTGTATTTGCCTTTGACCTTACATAATCATCGCAATGGCCTGACAACTCTGAACTTCCGTCAGCCGTGCCATCGTTTAATGCTATCAGAAATGAATCAAAACATCGGAAAATGATGTGTCTATAAATACTACCTAATGGTATACGAGTGTCGTGTAATCACATTTAATGTCCATGTTAATGTCAATAGTGTTACCCGTTAGTCTTGGTCTCATCTGAGTTTGTAATTGTTAATATGTATGTCAAGCGTCTGGCTGAATAGAATGTTGTTGTAACTAGACATGATGTGGTTCTTTGTATGTGACAACGAGCAGTGTAACTCGATGTCATAACACTGCTGTGAACGAGATTTCTCCGTTTCGTGCTTTCCCCGGAAGACATCGTATAATGCAACATTCGATACAGGGCCACCTACACTGTAACCTACAGAGTCGTTTGACCGATTTTCATTGTGTTTGAACAGCAAGATATTGCAAATAATGTCCTCTTGCGTTTCTCGAGTATATGTTACTGTGTTATATACTTATCGTTTAACAACTGGTTACAAAATCACATCTTTATCTCAAAACGTGGCACAAAAGTGAAGAACAAAGCAAGAGTATATCTCACTAGTTGTACTAGCCAATATAGAGTTTGCATATTAAGTGGCTGTTGGCCATACCAGGGCTGTAAATAAGGTATTGTACTGGGCTAATGCCAAGCCAGGGATGCATATCGGTTAAACTAATGAGTTAATGGCCAAGCCGGTAATGTTTAATAGGCGTACGCAGATTTATCAGGATGTTTTTTTCGAGATTTATTGACAGAATGATATACTAACTGAATATCTATGATATCAGTAAGCATTTTCTTACATCACTTGCAAAAATGTTCAATATTTTCGAGTCAATGCGTTATTTTGACATAGGTTTAAATGTGTGATCGTTTGGTATTTTATTGATGAAGATATCATACTTACCTTCGCTACAAGATTCTGTTTGCCGCCCTTGGTCACATCCTTCATATAAACAAGTCCCATCCACGGGGTCACATGATCCCAGTCGGCAATGACACGTTTCTTCACAATTATGTCCAAACGTTCGGGGACAGCATCCTTCAGTATATCAAAGGAACATATTAAGATGAGAAAGGAAAGTACATGTTAAGATGAGAAAGTACATGTTAAGATGAGAAGAAAAAGTACATGTTAAGACGAAAGGGTAGGTGCATGTTAAGATGAGGAATAATGTACATAGTAATATGAGAGGGAAAAGTACATGTTAATATAACAGGGAAATGTACATGTTAAGATAAGATGAATCAGTTACTTTCTTTGTTTTTAATGATAGTTGTTAAGATCTCAAACGCGTTCTTTGAATCTCCTATATTATTCACACGGAGAAAAAAAACCATAAATCTTAATCAGAACAAAAACAAGAGATTCCAGACAGATCTTGGCGTCCATCATTGAATAATCGTTATTGATTCTATGCAAGACTGTAGTTTTCAACACTTTTCCCTTCTTTTCCCTTTTCTTCTCAATCATTTGATAACCAGAGAATAGCGACAACAAACTTCAACTATCAAAATCCAACATCCGACCAAATATTTTCTTCTTTCAGGCAGTCACAAAATTGAATGTCCAAAACTTAGCACAAAGGGGAACCAACATACTGTACAATGTTTCAGAAATAATAATTCGGTAGCTAAATGGGCACAAATATGGATCACAGGGCCGTATACACATCATGTTTGAGAAGTATCCCCAGTTTTTGTAAATAAAAGAAAACAAACACCAACTGTCAAAATCCAAGATGGCTGCCGATCGGCCTATTTGTTTCACTTATCAGACTCTAAAATGAAAGTGCACAAAGAAGGACAGAGGGGAACCTCTGGACGGATGGCATTGGACGCACTGTCTGACACTATCTATGTGCAATCTTTTGTCCATTTGTCTTGTTGGTTGAAGCACTGATTGAATCAAAACGTTTCTGCTCGTTCACAATGACAAATTGTGGGCGAAACAAATTTCAAGAAGGACATCTATTTACCCAATATCTACACTTCAACATCCTTACCGGACATCTCTTTGGGTTGCACCTACAGTCCAACATCCTAATACATCTATTTACCCCATACCTACAGTCCAACATCCTCAACAGGACATCTATTTACCACATGCCTACGGTCCAACATCGTTACAGGACATATATTTACTTTATATCTACGTTTTTACCCTATATTTACCACATATCTACGTTTTTACCCTATATTTACCATATACCTACGTTTTTACCATATACCTACGTTCGTCACATGCTGTACCGTTCCATCCCCGCTGACATCTGCCGGTTGGACAAGTTCCGTATTCTGGATCACACGTGTCGTTGAGACAAAAACAAGATTGTTGACATCCTAATCCGAAACTGCCATGGTCACATGCTGGAAAGTTCATCAAAAAAATTAACTGACACCATTACGATGTTGAGGTTGTATTAATACGTTATCCCAAGGACAATGATGTTAATGTAACGATCTATGTATATATAACTATTAGTCATGGAAACACGATAGAAGAGTGTTGTCCGTGAGGGAAAATGGGGTAAATATTTTCACCATTTAACAATATATTCTACTGTACCCGACCTAAACTGTTGGCGTTTTTGAACGATAGCGTCGGTTAAATTGCGGATTTTTGTTAAAGCTTTAGTTGTCATGTACAAAAGATGACTAAATTTGATAAACAAGGCTGTTGTCAGCTTTGTCACTTTATTCCCAGCCGAACCTGTGTTTGTTGTTGCTGTGAAAGGGTGTTTCAATCACTTTCCTGAAGCTGCAGACAACAAATGGGAATATTTTCGATTGCTATTCAATGTCAAATTAATTGAATTTCATTGGATTATTTTTCTTTTCATTTTCTTTATTTTAAGATATACGAAGGTAATTGTATTTTTTGTTGTCGCATGTTTGAAGTTGTAGTCCACTTTTGCATCCGGAAAAACACGTGCCGTTGGCCAGGTTACAATATCATTTATATAATGTATTTCACTGAGTTAATGTCCAAGCTAGGAATGTTTATATCTATTTCACTGCGGTAATGACCAGGCCAGGGATGTCTACCATAGGCTTCACTTGAATATTAGCACATTGAGGAATGGATTTTAATAAATCACTTCCCCGAATCACTTTGATTTTGATACTGGTAAGTAATGGAAATAACTCTTTTCGATCAAGATGATGGGTATTTTTTTTTATAATCATCAGGATTATCTCCCTTGGAAATAATCTATTTCTCCTACATTATTCACACCAAGAAAAAAAAATCATTAATCTTAATCAGAGAATAGCGACAACAAATTTCAACTATCCAAATCCAACATCCGACTAATTATTTTATTCTTTCATGGAAGTTACAGAATTGAATGTGCAAAACTTAGCACAAAGGGGAACCAACATACTGTACAATGTTTCAGAAATAATAATTCGGTAGCTAAATGGGCACAAATATGGATCACAGGGCCGTATACACATCATGTTTGAGAAGTATCCCCAGTTTTTGTAAATAAAAGAAAACAAACACCAACTGTCAAAATCCAAGATGGCTGCCGATCGGCCTATTTGTTTCACTTATCCGACTCTAAAATGAAAGTGTACAAAGAAGGACAGAGGGGAACCTCTTTGGACGGACGGCATTGGACGCACTGTCGGACACTATCTATGAACAATCTTTTGCCCATTTGTCTTGTTGATTGAAGCACTGATTGAATCAAAAACTTTTTGCTCGTTCCATCACAATGACAAATTGTGTGCGAAACAAATTTCAAGGAGGACATCTATTTACCCAATATCTACACTTCAACATCCTTACCGGACATCTCTTTGGGTTGCACCTACAGTCCAACATCCTAATACATCTATTTACCCAATACCTACAGTCCAACATCCTCAACAGGACATCTATTTACCACATGCCTACGGTCCAACATCGTTACAGGACATATATTTACTTTATATCTACGTTTTTACTCTATATTTACCACATATCTTCGTTTTAACCCTATATTTACCATATACCTACGTTTTTACCATATACCTACGTTGGTCACATGCTATACCGTTCCATCCCCGCTGACATCTGCCGGTTGGACAAATTCCGTTTTCAGGATCACACGTGTCGTTGAGACAAAAACAAGATTGTTGACATCCTAATCCGAAACTGCCATGGTCACATGCTGGAAAGTTCATCATAAAATTAAACTGACACCTTTACGATGTTGAGATTAATTATCAATTAATTAACGTATTCATTTTCTCCTTACAATATGTTCTACTGTTCCCGACCTTAACTGTTGGCGTTTATGAACGATGGAGGCGCTTAAATTGTGGATTTCTGTTTAATTTTCAGTTGCCATGTACAAAGGATGACTAAACTTCATAAACAAGGCTGTTGTCAGTTTTGTCACTTTAAATCCAGCCGTATAAATGTTTTTTTTATTGCTGTGAAAGAGTTTTTCAGTCACTTTCCTAACACTGCAGACAAAAAATGTACATTTGAGAATATATAAAACATATTAATCTCTTATTCTACTTGGTCTTGAAATTTCAATTGCTATTCAATGTCAAATTTATTGAACTTCATTCAATTGTTTTTCTTTCTCTTTATTTTAAGGTATGCGGAGTTGATAGTATTCACATTTATTGCATGTTTGTCCTTGTAGTCCACTTTTACATCCGGTAAAACACGTGCCGTTGTCCGGGTTACACACTCCGTCCCAGCATCCTTCTGGGCATTGCTCCTCACAGTTTCCCTGGCCATACCAACCAGTCACGCAACCTGTTTTTAAAAAATCATATCAATCATCATACAGCAGTTCTATTGAATTTTCATATTAAATTAAAAACTTAGGCCAAATCTACTCCGCGCTCCGAACAAAATATACCAAACCCTATTATTTCCGTCGTCCATCCGTATTCCAATTAACTCGATAATTCTAATGCAAAATACAAAAAAATGAGAAACCTGACTAAGTATTTGATACAAGCTACGTCTAAAGGAAAGACTATCTTAAATAAATGATAAGTTGTGTATATGTTCCAATATATGTTCCACTGACAAATATCATACATTTTCTGTAGCATGTTGATAATATTGCTATGTTCTGTGCCATCTTATGGGCATTGAATGAAATATTTACCTGTATGTATGTTGTATCATATATGCTATTTGCATTTGGAAATAAAGAACTTGGAGAACTGGCTCACGAGAGGTCCCATTAAGATAACATACAGATTAATGGAGAGACGAACAGTTTTTTATAAGTTAATTATTATGATCAACAAGTTGAAAAGTTTGACAATGCAATTGTTAATGATAAACGATAAGTTCAAAGACACATTCCGATATTTCCATTTCTTAATTTTGTAGCTAAAGAATTTTCCTAAATTACAAAGTCCTTGTGTACGCTGAGCAATGTATTGGTTTGAAGACGCTATGTTTTCCAAAATATTACGGTTTCGTCGAGTTTCAATATTAAATCAATATTTTAACTTACTCCGTAGAGAGACAGAATCAATTTGATAGTGTTATTGACAGACAGAATCCACCTGACAGTGATATTGACAGACATAATCCACTTGACAGTGATATTGACAGACATAATCCACTTGACAGTGATATTGACAGACATAATCCACCTGACAGTGATATTGACAGACAGAATTCATTTGACAATGATATTGACAGACAGAATTCATTTGACAGTGATATTGACAGACAGAATTCATTTGACAGTGATACTGACAGAATTCATTTGACAGTGATACTGACAGACAGAATTCATTTGACAGTGATATTGACAGACAGAATTCATTTGACAGTGATACTGACAGACAGAATTCATTTGATAGTGTAAGAATGAAGTGTGCTGAACATGGATTGTAAACCCTCAGGAGTTTCAGCTAGCAACAAAATATCTTCCACATACGTTGATCAAAATAAATACAACATTTTGATATCTATAGAAGCCAACAGGAGTTTCAGCTAGCAATACATTATCATAAAAAGACATTAGTTAAAATAGGTTCAACAACTGGATTTCTATAGAAGACATTTCCATTCAAACAAAGAATTTCAAAATCATTTACAAGCAAGGAAAAGAGAATTGGCGATAACATTTGTAATATACTGGTGTTGTTATTGTAGTATATAAGATTAAACATTTTCATACATAGATTAAATAATAGTAATTGACAAACCAACAATATTAACTTCTTATTTTTCAATGATCTTCGAATTAAATTATACGATGCAAAATTATACTCCGGAGTACCTACTGCTGGTCTAAATCCTAAATGGACGTAACTTGTAATATGTTTGATACCATTTTGTCTGTTATTTAGTACACGTGTAAACTGTTTACCGAGAGGTGTATATCTGAACGTTTAAACATCCTAAAAGGACACGTCTCTGATCTCTGAATGCCAACATCTTTTTAAACGATTGGAATAAAAATAACGTTGGCATTCAGAGAACATCCCGCCCAGACAGCTGACTATTACTGTACCTCTGTAGTTTTTTTAAGTCATTTAAGTCACCTGTTTTATAAACCAGAGTACCACAACTTTTTGCCTTGGCACTTAGGAGAAAAACAACTAATTCAAATATAGCATTGCAAAGTTTGTGGAGATGTTGAACTAGAACATCTTTACAACATTTCATACAATACAACAGCCAATACAATCTTCAGTACAACTTTTAAATTTTAAATTGTAAATTGCATATACGATTTCAAATGATGAAACATGAATATAAAACACAAATGAATCAACCTTTTGTATTCCATTTGTATTGTATTTAATATCGTTTCTGGATGATTAATTTTAACTTAGTTAAGCGGGTGGGCTATTCTTTTAAATGGTTGTAAAAATAGATATTTTGACAGAACACTTGATGTGTTATCTTGTGTAAACTTATCATAAAAATCTTTTGTCCTTCTTTTAAATTAATCAGAATGTTTCATAAGCTTAAATTTATGTACAGCAAAAAAACATTAGAAGTATATATTTTTGATTGTAATGTAGTAATATGGAGGACACGAAAACACCATTTGTTTACTCGTAAGACAAGCCGAGAAAGCATGATTGGAAAATTGCTATCTTATGTATTACACAATTTGTCAACATAGCCAAATATCCAGTACATTAAAGCTATTGTAGAATCCTATTTGTTCGAGTTGTTTTGAGAGCCTTAGTTAAAATACCAAAAATATGTTCATTTGGTTTACCAAAAGCCTCCAACTCGCTAAGCTCGACGAAAGGGTTTGGATCATTAGTATATGTCTGGTCGTCGGCGTATGTGATAAAGCTTCCTCTGGTCAGACATGGAACGGTTTGTTGAACTGGTGGTTCGCTTCTGGTCTCGGTACGACATATGTGGCCCTCTATCTGGTGACCCCTGTTCCACGGGTGGGTGGATTCTGTGTTTGATACAATGAACTTGTATCCCGTCATTCTCCTGCCCCAACCTGAAAGAATACCAAATCTAATTATCCTACACCATGAAGAATAATAGATTTTTATCAACTATGTATGATACAGAGATAGATATTCTATATTAGTACGAGCGTATGTCGAGTGGTATACTAAAAAACGTTTGATAATCTCGGGAGTTGAGATCTCCGTCTATCAATGTCAAACAGGGCCATAGCTATTTCCTCACGTCTCTCTGTCGCTGAAATAATTTGTAATCGGTAACTTAAATGTCCGCTGTAAAGCGCTGACGTGACCAGTTCTATCCTTTCCCTAAACTAAAATGGACGAGTGAAATGTGGAAGAAAATAAGATGTGTTTAGGTCACTAGTTAAAAGTATATTCAGATAATTTTCCTTTAATTTTGATAACAACTGCTGTGCTATTTGTTTAACACACAGACATCAGTAATTACCCTCGACATTTATTCAAAGTAATCAATATTTCTATGTTAATACCGAGCGCAGCAGCGCTTTATGATATTGTGTGTAAAAATTCCAAACCAACAAGCTTGAGCTGCCAATACGATCATCTTTAAACGAAGCCTGGCTGGAGCTTCATTACCCACAATGCACTTACCGCAGCACACTATGAAAGCAGTCGATCTTTTGAATGGATTAAAAATGATTTTCATGTGAAAATGAAATCATACTAAAAGTCTAGAATGATTTAACTAACTTTAACGTTAATGGTTCGAAACGCATATAACGAAAATCTCGTTGAAAAATTAAAATTTCAACCATTCAGGTTTAGAGCACGTTTGTTCTCTGGTGAACCTGATTACCACTTTAAGCTTCGGGAACTTTCGTTACTTTCCGTAAACCAGAAATACATTGTCTCTTACATGAAAACAGCCGAAAGGTCCCAATTTGGCGTAAAACCTGTTCCGTCTCCTACCTATACATTAAAACTGCAACATGTGGATGTATTTTCGATACCTGTCTGAAATTAATTGAGGTCAAGTATTTGATTGTTTATAAAATTTCCCAGCAAACGCTTATAAGGCACAATGATAGGATAACTATTTGTGGTGTTATTTATGCAGAAAAAGACAGCTTATGTAATATTGGTGACAAATTCACTTAAAAATATATATTTATACTGATTTTATAAATTACAATGTATAAGAGAATAGCCTCAGCGGTGTTTACAACATTATAATATCAGGGAGCGTGAATTTTAAGCGCGTTGTTTTACCAAGACAAGCCAACATTGCTTTAAAAAGTGAAGGTTCTCAAGCATGTTATGATTTGTTAAGCAGAGAGAAAACTCTCAACAGTAAAGAGAAAAGAAACGGTGAGTGAGAACATTCTGATTTTAATAATGAAAACTGGTTAAACAAACTGGTTTTACAAATCCGACTAAAACTAATTTGTCTTTAACCATATCTTGACGACAAATTCTTTTCTTTTAAAGCAAAGATGATATGTAGTCTTCTCTGCAATCTCTGTAATTCTCATAGAGAAACTCTTGACATTTATTTTGAAAGTTTCTTAAAATCTTTTTTAAGTCTAGATATGTTATTAAAGAATTTTTCAGATCTTTAATTATTAAATAAACAAATCCCTCTTTCGTAAAATTAATAACAACAAAAACTCTTCCAATACATATATGTAACTTTATTTGTTTACTTATTTGGCAGCTTTAAAGCCCACTATTACAACCTTTCAGCAGTCGAGACAATGTTGTCAATCGGGGTATTATACATATAAAACAGTGTCTATACACAACTTACACAAATAACTTAATATCAATTAAATGAGATCTTCACATATACACCACATCACATATAGACATATATCTCCTATAAATGGTACATATAAATACCCTCTCTTCCCACATACAATCACATAATGGAACTTTCTCCCTGCAGCAGCAGCACAATCTACTTCACTAAAGGACTTTAAGCCACTTATCCCTTAGGTCCTTGAAGACCTCACATTAAAACATCTAAGTTTTTGTCCTTTATCTAAGCATTGATGTATTTTTTTTTAGTTTCATAGGGGTATGAAAAAAAATTTGTTTGCAAACTGTATGAATCCGCGTATTCATTCAAGATAGTTCCGGTGAAGGGTGAAGAGGGGGCGTGGCTCATTATTTTTTTTTTCATAGAGGTATGAATTTTCTTTTTAGACCAATCAGATTGCAGCATTTTGTATGGAAAATAAAGAAAAATTGATTATATATATATTTACCTCATAAATTACCAAAAATAGGGCACTGTAATTAACCTCTTTCGTGATCGCCAACAATGACCGAGCTTTGAAAAAGAAAAAAAAAGAGTTTTGATATGCCATCCTTGTTCATTACAAAGTCCCAAACATTGTACTGAAGGGGAGATGTTTACAGGCAAATTTATGTACGAGGTGAAAAATTGGAAAAATCAATAAAAATAACGTTGCATCTTATCATATAAATGAATAAATTATATAAATATTACCTGCAATTATAAAATACAGCATAATTTATATGATTGTAATTTTCATTACACCAGTTTCCAGTCTCTGACATGGTCGTCGTGCATGACCAGCTACCAGCGATCTCCTCTCCTCTCTTCAAAATCCCTTCTGATTTTGTAGTTCAATTTTTGTATACTCGACTTGCATCTCTCTCTTATCTAAATTAATTTGATCTCCGTCCGTCCGGGTGTACTTTCGAGCTTCAAAAGTTCAAACCGTTCCACGCAACAAATCTTGCTGTATATATTAAGTCAAAAAACATAAAATTAGTGTTAACTTTCCTTTCCGGACTAGAACTTCGAAACCATTCCACTCAACTCCACAAAACCTTCCGTATATATTAGGTTAGTGCCCTAGTTAATTTTTGTTCTGTTGTCATGGAAACAGATAACTCTCATCGCAAATTTCAGTTTTTCAGACAAGATCTCTGGAACGGCGTTCGAGATAATTGCTCCAAAACGTTCTACACTTATCAAGCTTGTAGTATCTTTTGCTATGGAGAATTTCTCCATTTAAATATGTTTTCTGTTATCATGGAAACAGATAGGCCAACTCATAAAGTTCAGTTTTTTCAGACCAGTACTCTTAATTTGCATATTAAAATTACTCATTTAAATAAGTTGTCAAATTTGGACATAGTAACGTTTAATGGCCCCCCTTTTCAAAGCAAAGACACGCCCACCATCCTACCTTTGGTGCATTTGTTATATTGGTGTCATGACGTCGACTATGTGGTTTCAGAGTCATTTGCATACATGGTGCTGTTTCACTTAAAATTCAAAGCAACGAATAAAATCAACCTGCTAGGAGGTATTCATATTTAAAATAACCAACTACGTAGCAATATTTTCGCAACAAAACTGAAATATGGTGAGATTTTGAAGCTAGTATGCTCTGGTGTTGCGAGTTTCTTTGACATACGTTCTATATACGTTACCTATCCCGTGATACCAAAAGATAGCATGTGAAAATAATGAAATTAAATCAGTTAAATGGAGGTGAAGACAGCAATTCATTACCACAATGTACAAAATGCAACGCCAGATATTAGTTCAATGTCTTATTTCATTGGAATTCTGAAATGAGTGCATTAGAAATGAATAGATTTGAAACACCGCGATTAAGATTTGTCCTGTTGTATATATACAGAATACAAGAGCGTGTTAAACACGTCTTCATAAAGAAGCCAAGTGTGATTTTCCTGTCAAGCATTGGTTGTCACATGAACAAAGCTCCCTGAAAGAGTGATCCGCTTGTGCCCATACCTAATCGCGTCTATAAATGAGGTCGTGCCATGTGCAGTACGGTATACTGAGGTTTTGAACACTGTTAGGGTTTCTTGTGAGCACACGTTAACCGTGTCTTTATTTTATGGTATTTATGAATGAATTTCCGTTATTTTCTGTGCAAAAGTTTATCTATATGGAAATGCTTGATTACAAAAAGTTGTGTATTTAATTCGTTTATTTAACTTTTTATCATTTGTTTTAAATTTGCATCTTGTCGATATAATGTATGATATTGGGCCCCTGGCTATGAATGTCAAGGTTATATAACTCAGATTGGTCTATATAGACAAGTTTGATATAAACTCGAGAAATAGTTGATCATGACAGGTACTGTGTTTTCATCTAATGTAATATAAATAGACTTCTCGAACAGTGGAAGAAAGTCGGTATGTATCCAGTTTGGAACAAAATATAAAAATGCAATTTATATCAATTTCTATCTTAGTGGGGGGGGGGGGGGGGGGGGGGGGGGGGGGGGGAGAGAGAGAGAGAGAGAGAGAGAGAGAGAGAGAGAGAGAGAGAGAGAGAGAGAGAGAGAACTTTATAGTCTATATTGTCGATCTACTCAAAACTCAATAATTGGTAGAAAATGACAATGGCAGTCTCTGGTCAAAATACTAAATAAATGGTAGAGTATGATAGTTGTGTAACATACTTACTTGTTCTATAGTATATGTTTATCCTTGCTAGAGTGCAATTCTGTGTTAGGTTTACCCACCAGCGGGGAAATTCTTCATGTCCGGTGTGGATCCAATTGAAAAGAAATCCGTCCACTACAAGTTCAGGTCTGATATATCCATCCAATCCCGAAGACATCCAAGTCGGTTTCATGAACGCAACATTTACTACAATAAAAGATAATGAAAGTTTAAAATTAGAGCAAAGGAAACGTTTTGTTTGACACCAGTATTAAGAGATAGTACATTATGCAATTCCATTAATAAAAAAAGAACATAATGAAAAGAATGTGGAACAAACAAAGCTTTCATGGTTTTGTGTGTTGGTGAAGTAGTAACGAGGATTAGATACAATGTTGATATGAATATATCTGAAAACTGATTGCATTCGTGAAGCGTAATCGAAAGATGAAATCAACACGGCAAATTTTGGATTTCGTCAACGTTTCCAGACCTTAAGGCCATTCAATTAATTACTACATTCAAAGTTTTGGTTAGCGCTTAAACAGCACGAAATTGATAAAAACAAATGAATGGGACGTAACAACATTATCCTCATTTAAGGTCTAATGTCACCAATTTAGTGACGTTTAGTGTTAGTTCAATGTTTACGCCGTAGTTAATTAGTATTAAGGTAATACATGTAGGACATGAACAATATGTTATGACCGTAAGATGGTCAGTATTGTAATACATTTATATGTCACGCTACAACATGTAAGTCGAGAGCTCGAGATAACAAATATAGAATATGGTATTACTTATGTCCTTAATGTATCACCGATAAACATTAATGGCGTATAGTTGGTTTTCGATATTGGTATCCTTTTGTAGAAGGGTTATTTGTTATTAGTGCTGAATCAAGACAAAACGGAGGTCATTGTGTTCACTACAAAATACATAAGGAAAAACATTCCAGCATTCCAGGTTCAAGTTGGCAACAACTCTATCAGGGCTGTCCCATTTGTAAAGAACCTTGGAGTTTTCATGGATAGCTCTCTGAGTATGGAAAAACAAGTGACTTCTGTAACAAAGTCATGCCACTTTCAAATAAGGAATATCGGGTGTATTGGGCAATTTCTGTCCACTGATGCCTGTAAGACTCTAGTGCATTCACTCTTAACATCCAGACTGGACTATGGGAACGCTTTGTTTTATGGCATTCCAGGTGTATTGGCTAAGCGTCTCCAGAATGTGCAAAATACTGCGGCGCGACTCATTACACAAACTAAAAAAAGAGACCATATAACACCTGTGCTGGAGTCCTTACATTGGCTTATAAAGCTTATAAACTCGGACACTGAGGTCACAGTCTGGTGCATTGCTTATTTCCCCCAAAGCAAGGGCTGTCACATATGGACACCGCTGCTTTGATACAGCAGCAGCACACTTGTGGAATAATCTTCCATTTTCCATGAGGAACATAGAATCTCTGTCAGCTTTTAAATCTGCACTGAAAACACATCTTTTTAAAACAGCCTTTAAATTGTGATAGCATTTCTATTAATAGACAGTGTATGACATAGTTATAATGTTTTAGGTTTTTTGTGAAGGACATTTTCATTGATGGATAATGAATGATGAACTTTTATGCTTAAATTTTTTTATGTTAATTTTATGTAAAGTGCTTTAGTGTAATCCTAACGAATTAAATAAGGCGCTATATAAATTTAGTATATTATTATTATTTACGTGTTTTTCGGCATACGTATTGCTGTGTGTTTACCCGAACTTTCACTTAGTGCATTTCACGTTTGTTTGAAGTAATGTCTTCACATGTTGGACAAACAATAACATGGGCTATATTCTTGTTTTTGTAATTTAAGTCACTGGATCTTTGATTTCTTTCTGTCTGCGGTGAACTAATATTGGTAGTTCCGGGAAAATACTCTCGACTTTACTTGACGAGAGCAAGTAATCTGTTCCAAAGAATATTGCGGTACTCTACCCCTCTGTAAACTTTCTCTCCCAGAGTGCTTTGCGGTACCCTAAGGAACAATAACTGTGGTAGAGACTGAACAGCAGGATGTACCACTTTTTTTCTGAAAAAAAATTGATAGTTGTGGCATGCCATGTTGAAAGGTTACCACACAAGGTACTCTTACTGGTCTGACTTTGCGATAGTGGCCGGACACTTGTCATTACTTTTACATTCACCAATGGTAAACTTTTTGCATGATTCAATTTTATTTACAAAAGTTTATCATAAAAGTAAACTTTTAGTACACTTTTGTGAGATACACTTATTTGTACAAAAGTGACCAAATGTATACATTTCAACATCAAAGTCGATTTTTGTGTTCCAAAGTGCACGATATAAAGTACAGTTTTAGCGGTATACTCAGTTTTAAAGTCATATATTCACCAAACACACCAAGTTCGTGACCGAAGGTTGACTAATGGCATTTTTGTGTAGGAGAACGTCAGAACGAAAACATTTGGCATTTTAATTGTATAACGTGGGTACGCAAAGAGGAACAAGAACCGATTTATATCAGACATTTCAATGTACACTTTGTACTATGAACAAGATACTCAGTAACATTATTATTGTAATTCGACAGAAAACTACAGAAAATCACATGAATACACAAGACTGGTTGTTGAACGGATATAGTCATTGCGGAAGTATGAAGTATTAATGCTGAAAGGTAACAACAAATGGCTTGTTCTCGTATAATCAAGTGTGAGTGTTATATTGTTATCTTGTTATAAAGTGAGTTGTCAAGCATAACAAACAAACTTAATTGACCATGTAACTAGGCAATAAGAAGAGGTAGGAAATGTCTGCCTACAAAAACGGAATAATATCAAGTCCATGAACAAGAATATCATACAAGAGAAATTATCAACGATAGAAGACGGTATTGAAAACAATAATTATAAAAAAACTCTGAAGTTTGACAGAAACAAGACTTCTATTCAAACGGAAATACAACAAAGGATGTCATTGTTACCAACATATTATCAACGAAACATTAACATAAACATAACAATAAAAAAACTCAGATCAGAATAGGACAAAAACAAAAAAATCAAAAACAGAAAAAAAAAGAAAAAAGAAAAACAGAAATCACCCACCAGCAAAGGCAACCATAAAATATTTAACGATGAAATATATTTGGTGTAATTACGTGCCCTGGTTGTAATCAATGCCATCTAGGTGGGTTTGTATGGAATTAGTTGTACACTACACAAGCTCTATGTTTTAATGTTCTAAGAGTTCTGAACATTCCTGAAAGCAAAGAAGGTGAATAGGCAACGGTGATTATTTGTCTATTGTGTCTTTTAAGAAGAAATTTATCAACTTTTCCATAGGAAATAATATGTAATGTTATCCGAACTGTTGACTCCGAGGTAAATAACAAAATCCGTGCATCGTCTCCTATTAGTTGCCTAAACGCTGTCTAGAAAGCTAACAGAAATTTTCATGAAAACAATACTACCTGTTGTACCATATCGATTTGAAGATAACCTTAACGAAAGACACGTTACACGCAATCCGATGTGGTTAAAACGTAATCATATCAGATAGGAGTGAGATAATGCTATTAAAATCAATGATTAAATAGAAAAGAAGAAGAAGAACCCCCCCACTTTGTACTTTGTACTCGATTTACATGCTTCGATTTCCCAACAGGACGAAAATCACAGCATGTAGTGGAAGTTGTGATGCAAACGCAGGACAACATTAAACGGAAAGCAAGCGATAATGACTTGGTCATTTTGAAGGTATACATGACACTTATATATAATGTAATGGTTAAATTATGAAACACTGCCAAAAAAAATGTTATATCATGTTAACATGTCCACCATCATAACATGGTCAGTGTTTTATAAAAAGGGAAAGTCAATAATTTTCGCCAGGGGATGCTGTGTTACGTTCATTCTGAGGGACACTTGAATGAAGTGACAAACTTATGAAGTTATCTGAAATGGCGGAAGAGGATTTGGTGAAGTCTCGCTTAAAGGCGCTTTATACAAAAGTGATGAGTCACAGCGAAAATGGTTTGCTGACATTTTAAATGACGCATATCATGATTTCAGCTAGTACATCGTTTATACTTTCTTATTTTTCGCTAAAATATTCTAGTTTTGAAGAAAAACTGATTTCAATGATGATAGTGTTTAGTGTACAAGTAGATATATGTGGGTTCTGTAAACGAGAGGATATATTTGTGTAAATATGCTACTGGATATTTGAATTATATGATATAAAACTGACACATACTTACCTGAAGAATTAACAGTATACATTCCTAAACATATCAATAAGGCGTTGATTGTTGACGGGGTCATCTTCAAATAACTGAAATAACATTACATGTTCCTACTTGCTTGTACACTTACACATACATGTATATGATGTTCTAATTAATCGTGTCCGGAGTCGGTTACATGATAAAATTTTACGTCCGGGACTTTGGCAACCCTAGCTATTTCCTGTCTTTGTTGGTGACGTGGACTCAAACTGACTTTGCAATCTCGTATATCTATATACTGAAATTATGTGTGTTAGACGTTTTAAGCTCACCTGCCCGAACTTTTCTTCTTCTCAGCAACCAGGGATAGCAGTGTTATACGTTTGGGCTATTTGCGTGCTGGAATGAAGTGTTGCCAAGTGAATGCAACTTAATGAGGGGCTAAGTGTTAAGTGACTGTGGCCAAATGTATTAAAAACTTCACAATGGTATCCTCGTATTAACCAACAAATCATTGATCATAATATTGGTCAATAGCGTGCTGGGATGCAAGATAATGATATACATTCCAGGTTACAAGGGTGACAAGTATTCAAATGTTCAAACGACTTTTCCCCGATAACCAGACAGTCCAGAATTAAGGTATTTGGCGAGTAACATTCTGTAAGGAACTACAAAAAGTTCTGTTTAACTGAATGACATTCGACCACTTTTAAGGTAAAATAGGCCAAATTTTCATAAATCTTAAAACAACATGTCCTTTGATCCCAGCAGATGATTGATACATTTCCTTTAATACTAAGAGATGATCGATACATGTCCTAGGATCCTAACAGATGAACGATACATGTCCTTGAATCCTAACAGATGACCGATACAGGTCCTTTGATCCTGACAGATGATCGATACATGTCCTTGAATCCTAACAGATGACCGAAACAGGTCCTTGAATCCTACAAGATGACCGATACATGTCCTTGGGTCCTACAAGATGACCGATACAGGTCCTTTGATCCTGACAGATGACCGATACAGGTCCTTTGATCCTGACAGATGACCGATACATATCCTATGATCCTAGCAGATGATAGATACATGTCCTTGGATCCTATGAGATGACCGATTTATGTCTTTTATCCCAGCAGATAATCGATACAGGTCTTTTGATTCTAACAGATGATGACTTGGTCATTTTGAAACTATACATGACACTTATATATAATGTATATTTTGGTTAAATTATGAAACACTGCCAAAAAAAATGTTATATCATGTTAACATGTCCACCATCATAACATGGTCAGTGTTTTATAAAAAGGGAAAGTCAATAATTTTCGCCAGGGGATGCTGTATTACGTTCATTCTGAGGGACACTTGAATGAAGTGACAAACTTATGAAGTTATCTGAAATGGCGGAAGAGGAGTTGGTGAAGTCTCGTTTAAAGGCACTTTATACAAAAGTGAGTCACAGCGAAAATGGTTTGCTGACATTTTAAATGACGCATATCACGATTTCAACTAGTACATCGTTTATACTTTCTTATTTTTCGCTAAAATATTCTAGTTTTGAAGAAAAACTTACCTGAAGAATTAACAGTATACATTCTTAAACATATCAATAAGGCGTTGATTGTTGGTCATCTTCAAATAACTGAAATAACATTACATGTACCTACTTACTTGTACACTTACACATACATGTATATGATGTTCTAGTTAATCGTGTCCGGAGTCGGTTACGTGATAACATTTTTACGTCCGGGACTTTTGTCAACCCTAGGTAGTTTCTGTCTTTGATGACCGATACATGTCCTTTTACTCCAGCAGTTGACCGATACATGTCCTTTGATCCTAACAGATGACCGATACATGCCCTTTGATCCTAAAAGGTGATTTTGCGAATTGTCAAATGTTCGAGGCAACCTGCCCCTTTATCAAGACACAAATATTACATAAAGTACAGCACATACATAGAACATAAAACAAATACAAATTTATAATTTAAATCGAGTGCGGCGGTGTAAATTTAGGTACCTCCATAATCCCTTAGGCCATTGGATGCCAAAGACCCTTTAAAGCGGTCAATAGCCATCCCAAGTTGTTGTATGAAAGAAAGATGGTGATTAAAATATCAAAAATGTTTTATATAAATCTAGGTATGTTTTGCACTTTAGACACTGAGCTTATATGTGATTGCAGAGAAAACAATTGCACGTCACACTGCGAGGAAATTTTTCTACCGGTACATATCGACCACATTCCTAATGAGGAATTGTTTGATTAAAAATAGGAAAAAGTAATGTAAAAAAAGTTGAATGTATGTGTAGTTACAATAAAATGTATTTTGATAAAATGCAAAAGATATCTATATAAAAATAGATGATTTTGAATATGGTCAAATAGTTCCCAATATCATCAACTCGCCGAAAGAAAAGTCGCCCGAAAACTGAAAATTTCTACTCCCGGACTAGAATTAATAAACAGCGTCAATCTTAAATAGGAAGGAAAGCAGATGTAGTATCTAAACAAAAAGCGCAATAGATATTTTACAAAAAATTAAGGGGCGGATAGGTGGGTGATATACTAGTTGCCTCAGTGGTAGCTTGAGAAATACCGACTTCCAGGAATGATTAACCGGACCTGTATGTGTAGCAAGATCATCTCTCGTTTCTGCCGAGTGGGTAGCAGGTTTTGAGTTGGTTAAACCAGCGCCGTTCCTTACTGAGGCGTTGATGATAACCCCAGCTCCTACTGCGGTCAATGGCTACCACCTGATGTCATGCCGCGAATGACCTGACGTTGATGGTAACCCCAGCTCCTACTGCGGTCAATGGCTACCACCTGATGTCATGCCGCGAATGACCTGGCGTTGATGGTAACCCCAGCTCCTACTGCGGTCAATGGCTACCACCGGATGTCATGCCGCGAATGACTTGGCGTTGGTGGTCACCCTAGCTCCTGCAGTGGTCAATGGCTACCACCTGCAAGTCATGCCGCGAATGACTTGGCGTTGGTGGTCACCCTAGCTCCCGCAGTGGTCAATGGCTACCACCTGCATGCCATGCCACGAATGACTTGGCATGTTGATGCGTCTTGCTAAAGGCAGATCCTGGCGTTTCTGTTTAATAGAACATCGGTGATTGTTGATCCTGAGATTTAGTAGTGTTTTGGTCTCCCACAAACAGCGAATGGCAGTTTGCATACGTAATCAACTATATTACATTAATGTTAGCAGAAAAGAAGCCAACTGCAGCAAGTACAGGTACTCCAAATCCAATTCTGAATGTGCATAAGGCGTTGGGTGAAAATAAGCATATATTCTCTAGCCCATCACGAGATATTTCGAAAACTACTAAAGTAAATGCAGCCAGTCCAAGGAGCATCTCGATGTAGTAGGAATGACATAGGGTGGAGATCGTATGATGAACAGCTTTGGAGAAGTTAGGCTCCTAGTAGTTCATTGTCAACAGAAGACGCGAGCTTTGGCTTATTTACATGTCCCCAAACTTGTCTACATCGGTATCAGCCAATCGAGAGAACAAACAAGAAAGCTCAATGAAATGTTTCGACTAAAACTTTCAAAGAGTTGGTTTTCGTGCCACATGTAAATATGCTCATATGTACATAAGCTGTAGAGGGGCCATCCAAAACTGAACTGTAGAGCACCTGATTCTGTTGGAATGAAGAAAAATAATCTTCGTCTCTCCAATTCCCAGGGGTACATAAAGAGGTCGCCCCAGATTCAGCTGCAACAACACGCTCAATTCAGGACGACCGCGATATATGGGCCCTTGGCACTTTCCCAATTAAGAACAAACCTCTTATTAATTATCTTAAAGTGTACCCATTTCATTCGGTAGCTAAGGAAATGGAAGAAGGTTTCAGTAAGGGATTTAGATTACATTTTGTAGGCTACAGAACAAGTGGATTTTCTGGCAATTTAGTTTCAGTAAATCAGCATACTGTATATATAAAAAACAAAATCACTTCTGAAATATAGCTAGGCAGAATCATGGGTCCTTTTTCAAACCTGCTATCACAAATCGTCACATCTTACCAATAGGTATAATCCCCAAATAAGATGGGGATGATTACACATTTATTCCCTCCGGTACAAAGTGTTAATGACTTTATTAGTTGTGTTCAGTAACTGACGCGTCACATGAAGAGGCTGAAATGCTTAGTAGGCTTGGACCGGGGACAGTTTTTGCCAAAGCTGAAATTAGAAAAGCATTTCGCTTGATTCCAATTTACCCGGGTGACTTTGACTCGTTAGGCTTTCAATGTATAAGACAATACAACATGGATAAGCTTTGTCCTGTGATATCTTTGAAAAATTTTGTATCCGACAAGTTGAAAGTCTTGCATGTAGGCATGCTTGCCTGCGTGACCCTTCATGGCAATCATGAAAAAATAAAAACAGATTTACAACATCATATTAAAACAGGCCTTCATTTCTTCATACAAATCTGAACACATTTCTGTCCTCAATTTGCGTAGAAGAAAATTATGAGGTACTTGTAATGTTAGGTCAAGGTCTTTTCAGATTCGCTAAAAAGACTCTAAAAAGAACGCACAATATTTTCATAAACAATTAAATAACATAAAAGAATACATATCAGCAAAGTATCATAGCCAAAGATCATAGGCCAAGTATGCTTTTCACTCTATTAACTAAGGTAAAGCAAAGCTCAAAAGAGGGTCTATAATTATAATTTAAGTGATATAAGAAAAAAAACTAAAACAAAAAAAAGATAATAATAAAAAGAAGCGGAGTATCATCTATATATATGAAGTCTAAAAACAGGTTTTCAAATTGACACAGACACGTCACAATATTTGTATAATAGTAGAAATGATGACCACATCACATTGTGAATAGAAAATGATACCGAAATGCACAAACACGCCACCATTTATCAATTGTCACGATCGTAGCTGATTCTCTGGATGAAAAATATTGAACAAAAGCTTGGTTAGATGTCATTGTTTGGTCCCGCCAGTTCTTCATAAACATTTGGTGACTGTAGTTCCATTGTGTTGATAGTTGTATAGTTGTTATCTGTAAAACAGAAAATAAAGATAGTTATTTCACTTCTATAAACGGTAAGAGTACTTTTATCATCAATGTTAATGTAACATTTCTGTGTAAATGTTTTGTGTTTAATATACCTGGTATTTTAACTCTGATTAAACTACAAATTAATATTTATAATGAATGAAACAATCTAGTTGTTCTTGACTGCATATAAATACCTTGTGTGTTGTCATTTTCTCTGGTTGGTGTAAGTTTCATCCTCAACCTAATATAAATGGAAAAGAGATTTTTCACATTGTTTATAAAACATTGATGACTTGAGGAAAGTAGACAATGTATATTTAATGTGTTTAGAAAAGAAACTCACTTAATGTAGATTGTGGACACCGTTAATAGAACCGCTAACAGTCCAACTACAGATGAAAGGACTGGAATGGTAACAGATCCATTTGTCTTTCTTTCTGTTTCATTTTGATCAGTGCAAGTGATACTCGATGTGGCCTCAGGTTCTTGATCTGTGAAGACGATAATTGGAACATCCAATATTTTGTTGCATTGACCATTGCGTAAAAAGGACAGGAAACATTGTTATATTTAAGTAATTCCTACAGATCTAAAAAGACCGAGACGAACAAGTGTAATTCATTACAAGGCTATAACGTATCGGATTTTAGATCTGTTTTGAAAGAAACTCGTGCCTTGGAAATCTTTTGCAACATCCTTGGCGATTATAGACACTGTTGATGCACTTTTGTCGCCCAGGTTTGACGTAACCTGCACGCAAGATTTCATTAGATTCTAATAACGAACTGCATATGTATAAATATGCTATTGACATCGCCATGAAATAATGCAGTATTAAAAACGAATAATGACTTTGACTGAGTATTTCGGTAAGGGCACCTCCACATTTTGATTTTTTCCGCAGTTGTCTAGTAGTTTTCATGATTTAGGTCCTTAACATCACTGATGAATCGAGGAGGAACATTACAGTTGTAAAATTCATGATTTGGCTAAATTCTATCTACATGTAATTATAAATTTGGCTAAATTCTATCTACATGTAATTATAAATTTGTATTGGAAGGTGCTAACCTCTTGATTATTTGTACAATATCATATATACATGTCAGAATTGGAAATCAATGACAAGACTGATTCTTTGATCAGTTTGCTTCAATTGAACCTACAGATTACCTCTACGTTATACGTTAACTGTGATTTTCCTATTGTAAATTTTCCATTTTTGACAGGGAAATTTTACGGTTGATAAAATTACCTTTGGCAGACGATCAATGAGGTAAGAAGATTATTGATTATCACATTCAACAAACAAGTCAGGATGTCATTGATAGTCCCGCTCGACAAAACAGGCAGGATGTCATTGATATTCTCGATCCACAAACAAGTCAGGATGTCATTGATAGTCCCGCTCGACTAACGACTCAGGATGTCATTGATAGTTCCGCTCGACAAACACGTCAGGATGTCATGGATAGTCCCACTCAACAAACGAGTCATTATGTCATTGATAGTTCCGATAGACAAACAAAATATGATGTCATTGATAGTCCCGCTCGACTAACGACTCAGGATGTCATTGATAGTTCCGCTCGACAAACGAGTCAGGATGTCATTGATAGTCCCGCTCGACAAACGAGTCAGGATATCATTGATAGTCCCGCTCGACAAAACAGGCAGGATGTCATTGATATTCTCGATCCACAAACGAGTCAGGATGTTATTGATATTCTCGATCCACAAACGAATCATGATGTCATTGATTGTCCCGCTCGACAAACGAGTAAGGATGTCATTGATATTCTCTATCGACAAACGAGTCGACGGTTATTGATAGTTCCGCTCGACAAACAATGAGGATTTCATTGATAGTCCCGCCCAACAAAGTAGTCATGATGTCATCGATATTCCCGTACGACAAACGAGTCACGATGTCATTGATAGTCCCACTCAACAAAAGAGGCAGGATGCCATGGATAGTCCTGTTCGACAAACGACTCAGGATGTTGTTGATTAATATTACCGCTCGACAAACGAGTCAGGATGTATTGATAGTCCCGCTCGACTAACGAGTCATGATGTCAATTTTCGTCCCGCTTGACAAACGTGTCAGGATGTCATTGATAGTCCCGCTCGACAAACTAGTCGGGATGTCATTGATAGTTCCGCTCGACAAACGAGTGAGAAGGTTATTGATAGTCCCACTCGACAAACGAGTCAGGATGTCATTGAAAGTCCCGCTCGACAAATGATTTAGAATGTCATGATAATCCCGCTCGACAAACGAGTCAGAAGGTTATTGATAGTCCCACTCGACAAACGAGTCAGGATGTCATTGAAAGTCCCGCTCGACAAATGATTTAGAATGTCATGATAATCACGCTCGACAAAAGAGTCAGAAGGTTATTGATAGTCCCGCTCGACAAACGAGTCAGGATGTCATGATTATCCCGCTCGACAAATGATTTAGAATGTCATGATAGTCACGTTTGACAAACGAGTCAGAAGGTTATTGATAGTCCCGCTCGACAAACGAGTCAGGATGTCATGATTATCCCGCTCGACAAACGAACCAGGAGGTTATTGATAGTCCCGCTCGACAAACGAGTCAGGATGTCATGATTATCCCGCTCGACAAACGAGTCAGAAGGTTATTGATAGTCCCGCTCGACAAACGAGTCAGAAGGTTATTGATAGTCCCGCTCGACAAACGAGTCAGGATGTCATGATTATCCCGCTCGACAAACGAGTCAGAAGGTTATTGATAGTCCCGCTCGACAAACGAGTCAGAAGGTTATTGATAGTCCCGCTCGACAAACGAGTCAGGATGTCATGATTATCCCGCTCGACAAACGAACCAGGAGGTTATTGATAGTCCCGCTCGACAAATGATTTAGAATGTCATGATAGTCACGTTTGACAAACGAGTCAGAAGGTTATTGATAGTCCCGCTCGACAAACGAGTCAGGATGTCATGATTATCCCGCTCGACAAATGATTTAGAATGTCATGATAGTCACGTTTGACAAACGAGTCAGAAGGTTATTGATAGTCCCGCTCGACAAACGAGTCAGGATGTCATGATTATCCCGCTCGACAAACGAACCAGGAGGTTATTGATAGTCCCGCTCGACAAACGAGTCAGGATGTCATGATTATCCCGCTCGACAAACGAGTCAGAAGGTTATTGATAGTCCCGCTCGACAAACGAGTCAGAAGGTTATTGATAGTCCCGCTCGACAAACGAGTCAGGATGTCATGATTATCCCGCTCGACAAACGAGTCAGAAGGTTATTGATAGTCCCGCTCGACAAACGAGTCAGGATGTCATGATTATCCCGCTCGACAAACGAACCAGGAGGTTATTGATAGTCCCGCTCGACAAACGAGTCAGGATGTCATGATTATCCCGCTCGACAAACGAACCAGGAGGTTATTGATAGTCCCGCTAAGAAGAAGAGTTATGGATATTATTGATATTCCTACTCTTTACTCGAGTCGATGTTTTTGATACTCTCAATCGTTGAACCTGTCAGGATGTCGTTTAAATGTTATGGACAATCTCGCTCGCCAAAAAATGTATCTATATTAGTAATAATGATAGGAAACTTACTACAATGTATTTGCTGAATAACTTATTACAAAAGAAGGAAATGCAGGCTAACGTCTAGTCGTTTATGCTCTCTTTATTGAAGAAGTGTCAATCTTGCTTCAGCTACAGGCCAGGATCGCCAAACCAACTTATTTTTCGTTATGTAATAATACATTGAATAAACACTACTCTAAGGTATGTCTACCCTAGCTAAAATATTATAGAAAGTATTTACATACAAACCTTTACATGTACCGTCTGAAAGTTTACATCCACCACTACCACAGGAATCTGGACACTGCTTACCGCATATTCGTCCGTATAATCCTTCTGGACATTCTGTTTTGAACATTTTTAATGCTTTTAACGACCCTCAATAAATCGTTTGTTCACTTTACACTAATGAAATGAAATTTTATCAAAGGGCCTGTTTCCAGTAATGTTAATTCTCCATAGGAGCCTGCCCCCGTATAATTTCTTATCTAGCTCAACGACTGTTTTTTTCTTTTCCGAAAAATAATGTTACATCTTTCCGACACCCAGATTTTATAATTTCAGTGAAAATGTATTTTTATAAAGTTGTCAATGTCAGTATCAAAGACATAAGTTCGTAAATAAAAGAAGGTTATCTCGAAGTTGTAATTCGCAACGTAGTATAAATTTCTTTTGATAAATATTTCCAAAACATCGTGTTTATTCATAAAACATAAAAAAAAATATTCTCGGATGAAAATGCACTTGCAGAGACACAATTATGAAGAAAAATGCCATAAATTTGCAATTTTCTCCCTTTATATAGTTTTAGGTGCAAATTTCCATCAGAAAATCGGATAGAGCTTTACTTGTTTCATATGTGTACCAAAAATCAGCTAATTCCATGTGGTGGAACGTTCTCATATCGCCGCCTGAATGTGGTTGTAAATTGAAAGAAAAGGGGAAATGAGTAACAGCCTTGTCTGAAACCCTATTATATAGCTTATTATATACAAACTTTTATATTGAATATCAGAACGGAGATTTTCATGACAGTTTTGATGTGTAAAAAAAATAAATAAATAAAGTACTGTTTCCCCGTCTTGATCTTGATTACTTGAGAACCATTACGTGTGGAACGTATCAGATATCTCTGGCTCCTGGTTACATCGCCAAACATTTAAGTGATGACGGCGACTATGAGGTGTGGCTTTACCAGCACTCCCCAGACCTTCTCCGATGTCAAATACATTCTCGACACAAAAGCCAAACGAAATATAACGTTTGGATACGGTTCACCGTTTCACCCGATGTTGAGGCCCCAATAAAGGACTACTACTGCCAGTGCCCAGTTGGAGAGAGAACGATGGGAATGTGTGCGCACATCTCCAGTATCTTGTACTACCTTGGGTATTACAGGACGCTGAAAAACCCTCGACCATTACAACCACAGGTAAAGAAATTCCGACAAAACTTGAAATAGTTTTCCATGCGGCAACAGAGTGCATATGTCGAAAGTATGTTTGGGGCTGATATGAAAGATCCCCGTTACCATGTGACTAACCAAACTTATAAATATAGGTTTTATACAATCGCCCGTAGCTATGAACACTCCCGTAAATGCGAAAACCAACCAAAATCATAAGGAACACGTTTTCTTTGTTGTTCTGTCTATTTGTCAGCCAATGTCTTCAACCACGGGGACTTGCGAAGTAGCCATCTTGGATTTTTTTTATGAAAAAGTGTTTCTCTCACTTTTTTTCATATCTGTGTACATATTCTCAACATACCGAACAAATACTCTCGTTTTTTTTGTTAATTATCTAAAGAAAGTCGAAAATCGGCAATTCAACTAGAGGCTAATTCAACCCAACATTTGAAAATGTTCCACCACTTACATTTTGATGATTTTTCCTCTCATCAATAGCATATTACGTACTATTTAATAGGATAAAAATTGGTTTGCATCCGATGCCCATAAAAGGGTGTATTCTCTAAAATACACAGTTTTTAGTCTAAAATGTTATCATCGAAAATGGCATTTTTGAGATTGTTTCTTCCATAAAACAGCCAAATGGCGCGATGGAAACATGATTTTTTTGTCACAATCATGCCATGAATGAATGTATTCTTTACGGTGACTATCATTTGATTAGATTTTCATTAATATTTTACATAACATGCACATTTTATCAACACTTAGACAGCTTCTGAAAGGTACAACTTTGAGGAGCCATAAAAAACAATCCAAGTGACCTAAATCTTTATAGTTTTTAGATTTGTGAACAAAACGGCATGGGCAATGCACCACCAACAGGAAATTTGAATCAGAGAAGGGGCCGTTTTGGAAACCGGCCCTTTTATTGGGAAAATTGACATCGTCTTTTAGGCAGTCCTGACTACTAAACAGATATAAATTGTCCGCTTCACTCAATGCACTACCTTTTTATGCAGTTTTCTCATACGAACTGCTTACAAAAATAGTATCAAATATAATAAGTGATTTATAAACACCTGTCTGAGGTCGTTGCCACTTACTTCATCAATATCATACAAGTGGTCTCCAGAAGTTCAACTGATTCAATTGATGACCCCGTTTGGGGTCCCGTTGAAAAGCCCTCCATAATCATATGTTTAACATAATTCTTAAAAAAAATTATACTTATATGGTGGGAAACATTTTCACTTTAATGTTGAATTTGTAAGAACTTTAACAACAAACGTTTTATGTCACTTTCCTATTGCTGTCAATTAGCCTCTAAAATTAGTATGAACCCAAACAAAATCTGATGATTTGATTAGCATACTATATTGGCTGCCCTTAACTTATACTCTTCCAGAGAATGATTTTATTGAATAACTTCATCTCATTTCAACTGGGTAAAACTCTATAGATATTACTATATAATTTGTGTAAACACTTTATAACTGAATTATGTATGTTTAGCACCGAATGAACTACTGCAAACATCGGTTACATTTTACAATACAAACCTAGGCAGTTACCGCTCGTCTTGTTACATTCTCTAGTTAGGCAAGAAGATGGACATGGAAACATGCATCTGTAACCTTGGAATCCGACTTGACAATCTGTAGGTAGAAAAGAGACTTGACTTTATCTTGTAGAATTAAGATCTGCCATAATTAGTAAAAACTGTGTACCTAGAGATAAGCACTCGAGGATGTCGTATTGTATCGTTATGGAGCCATTTAAGCTGATAACTGAAACCACCGAGATATTTGACATGATTATTGAAATTACTTAACCGATAAACACGGCATTCTGGTTTTTATCACGTGAATAACAAACAACATGAAATTGAGAGAAGTCATTGTTTTAACATGTTCGAGTTTTAAATATCTTATATCATCGAATCCTTGTAAAAATAAAGTTTGTTTGATCAGAGTTAAATGACCAGTGGGTGTTTTCTCCCATTAACCATATTAGATATCTGTTTCTATAGAAGATCTACACAATAAAAAGCATTTGGAATAAAAAAGTAAAAACTTGAAACAAAAGTGCACACGAAGCATTTCTATACACAGATACATAACATGATGCTTATGTATAATTGGTTTCTATCAAATTCTATCAAAAACTACTGATTCATCAATAAACATTACACTTATTTATTTGTGAAATCTCCACGATACTAACCAAAACAATCGCCGAATGTCTTCTCACATTTTCTACTTCCACAGTTAGCCGGGCATCTATACGAACATTCCAATCCAAAGAATCCGTCTTGGCATTCTGTGATAATGAATGTAAAAGTATAACAACGAAATTTTAACATCGTACGTATTTAAGTGGTATCACGCATTAACAGCTTTTGTACAGATTGTGTGAAACTTTAGTGTCGTAAGTTACGACACATTACACAGACGCATTTGTTTCAGTATGTAAGTGATCAAGTTCTCGCGTTTCACCATGCGACCTGAGTCCGAGTATTTGAGAAGTAATGGTACCACTAGTGCGATCATGTCCGTCCATCTGTGTCGAAAAGAGTTCTGTCATATGACTTAAAGAAAGTTATGTAACAATGTGTGTAGTAGCATGTAATAAGTCTATATACAAATCAAAACAATTACTGATTCATAGTTATTTAAGAATGAAGAGCGGTACTGCCGCGAAACGTTGAAAATTGACCCAGTTGAAAACGGACCAAGAGTCCATTTTCATCGCGGTTCCGTTTTCAATGTTACACCGCCAAACAGATTCAAACAGTGCCAATTATGTTCCTATTAATAACCATCATAGTTGTAGAGCTTACGAGGGCTGATTGATAAGTTGCGAGTCTTGTATCAATGAATTTGGCAGGAATTTCCTTTTTCAGCTCTACTATTCCCTTACTATTTTAGATTGTGTTCATGTCGTAGTGATAACACTTTTAAGTTAACAAGACAGGTGACTTTTTTGACAAATAGACAAGGTCGCTGAAAAGAACTGTGATTCAAAATTTGCAGAAGAAAGGGCTAGTTCATTCAGAGATCCAAACTAATAAGGTAGCACCGCTAGGGAACAACGCCCCTTTATAAGCTACAATGAAATTTAGGATGACGCCGATCTTGGAAGGCCTATCACTGTTGCAACACCATCAATAGTCAATAAAGTCCATGATATTGTTATGGGTGACAAGCGAGATACAGATATATATATATAGTCAGTACATTGGGGATTTCACAGGAACTTGTACAATCAAATCTTACGGAAGATCTAGCCGAGGCCAAACAACAGACTAAACAATGAAAGCATCCTTGTTTACCCCCCGCCAAAAGAAGGCAAAGACTTCCATCAGCTGGAAAGGTACTTTTGGTCGAATAATCACGTCATACATGCAGTGGAAGGCTCATGGTCATGAAAAGGACTTTTTAAAAGTGGTATTGTGGCCCTGAAACATCGTTGAAACTATAGTATAGATACTGAATATTACCGCCAACTCAAACCTTTAAATATGAGGCTACAACTTTTCAATCAGCCCTCGTACACCTTATATTAATAGTCTATCAGCAGCTCTCTTTTTAGCTATACCATGTGATACCAATTATCTGCATCTCAATGTTTGCCTTTGAAACATGATGAATTCTGTTTGGATTATTTTATGCTGCGTAGATTATTGTTGTGCTGCTTTCATTGCGTCACTATCTTTCGTGCTGCTGTAAAGGGGATTGATTTGTTGAGAGTTGTGTCCCTTTGCGCGGACAGAGTATTTATGTATCCGTATACCCTAGTGTTCAAACTGTGTGTTTACAATTGTATTTTATGTGTCAAGAATGTGTGGCATATGTAGTTTGAGAGTATTTGTGTTTATCAAACTCAATATTCCTGCAATACTTTTAGTTTGTTATATATTTTACCTGTGTGCTTACTTTTTTTTTGTCGAAATACAAGTTGTAAAGAGTTTTTGTATCATTTGTTGACTACATACAACATAAGGTAAAGATTACAGTATATTAAATATTTTTATGGTATGTATTGTAACATATAACTTGTATCTTTTCAGTCCTTATTTTGGAAGAAAGGGGAAGGTGTTGATCAAACCCTTTCTACATTTACATCTTGGCAACTGTTTACTTTTTTAAATATTGGATTATTCAAAACCTTACCAAAACACCGGGTTCCAGACAAACCGTCTACTATGTCAGTCTCGTATATCTATGAGCTTGCCAAATATTTGTTTACATCACAAAAATATCCATGTCTCGGCTTTTATTGTTCTTGTACTAATGTAAACGATGATTATAATTCCTTGCTACCACCGTCATATATATCTGAATTTAAATAGGTTTCATTAATGCCAGTACAGTGTGATGGTATTCCAAATCAAAATGACATAAGAATGACGACTTTGTGATGAAAAGTGCTGCGTTAATAAGTTCCTACAGACGCTTAACTAATCTCGTTAACCAACAGCCACTAATCTAGTTACAAGACAAACAAATACCTGTAGTCATTGTGCTCTGAAGTTTTATATTCTACATTTCTAATATACAATAAAGAAAAGTTCCAATTCTTGGGACAGGTTACAAAGACCTTGCAAAGTCCTTCAATTTTACATTTGGATCTAGATAAATCGTATATACCGAGCAGCATTGGATATCAAGGACACGACAAACTCTTCCACATCAGCCGCTTATCTCGATCTTTTCTCAGAACGAAACCAACATACTAAACTTTATGATAGGTGTATGATTTCAATTTCCATTTTTGGATTGCAATATCCTTCATATATGGTCGTCATAATGATCTCATTGAACGATTTTCTATTTTTTTTTTTGCGATATGAAGCTGGACGTGTTTGATGATCATTTGTTTGCCTGCTTGCTCCGTTGTTGTATACCTTAATCTCATTTGAGATTATAACATTACTTGGCCATGATTTACATGATAGGTGTCGTCGATGAAACAGGAGATGCTTACTCTTCCGGAACACCTTATCATAATCTCCATGTATATTTTCAGGAGTCTCCATGTATATCTTTCTCTTCTTTTTGTATTTTGTTAGTTTGAGTTTGGAACGTGATTAATTTCACACATCGGTATTTTCTTGTTGCTTTTGATGGAAAATGTATATATGATATTATCTGACTTCATTACTTATTACATGATAGGATTTGTGAACACTCGTTATATTGTTGGATCAACTTCTACACTACGTAAAACTACATAAATATTTCACCATACAAAGTAGTCATGATGTCATCGATATTCCCGTACGACAAACGAGTCACGATGTCATTGATAGTCCCACTCAACAAAAGAGGCAGGATGCCATGGATAGTCCCGTTCGACAAACGACTCAGGATGTTGTTGATAGTCCCGCTCGACAAACGACTCAGGATGTCATTGGTCGTCCCGTTGAACAAACGAGTCATGATGTAATTAATATTACCGCTCGACAAACGAGTCAGGATATATTGATAGTCCCGCTCGACTAACGAGTCATGATGTCAATTTTCGTCCCGCTTGACAAACGTGTCAGGATGTCATTGATAGTCCCGCTCGACAAACTAGTCGGGATGTCATTGATAGTTCCGCTCGACAAACAAATCAGAAGGTGATTGATAGTCACGTTCGACAAACCAGTCAGAATGTTATTGATAATTCCGCTCAGAAGAAGAGCAGTGGATACAATTGATATTACCACTCTATAAACGAGTCGTTGTTTTTGATACTCTCAATCGTTGAACGAGTCAGGATGTCGTTTATATTACAAACTCGCTCACCAAGGAATGTATCTAGTATAATAGTAATATTGGAAATGCAGGCTAACGTCTAGTCGTTTATGCTCTCTTTCTTGAAGAAGTGTCAATCTTGCTTAATCTACAGGCAAGAGTGATCGCCAAACCAACGTCTTTTCCGTTATGTAATAATACATTGAATAAACACTACTCTAAGGTATGTCTACCTTAGCTAAAATATTATAGAAAGTATTTCCATACAAACCTTTACATGTACCGTCTGAAAGTTTACATCCACCACTACCACAGGAATCTGGACACTGCTTACCGCATCCTTGTCCGTAGAATCCTTCTGGACATTCTGTTTTGAACATTTTTAACGCTTTTATCGACCCTCAATAAATCGTTTCAACCATCTTTGTTGTTGTTAAATGTTCACTTTACACTTATGAAATGAAATTTTATCAAATATTATTGGGAAAATTGACATCGTCTTTTAGGCATTCCTGACTACTAAACAGATATAAATTGTCCTCTTCACTCAATGCACTACCTTTTTATGCAGTTTTCTCATACGAACTGCTTACAAAATTAGTATCAAATATGATAAGTGATTTATATACACCTGTCTGAAATCGTTGCCACCTACTTCATCAATTTCACAAAAATGGTCTCGCAGAAGTTAAATTGATTCAATTGATGACCCCATTTGAAAAAGCCCTCCATAATCCTATAATTCTTAAAAAAATTATACTTATTTGGTGGGAAACTACAAACCAGCATTTTCACTTTAATGTGGAATTTGTAAGAACTTTAACAATAAACGTTTTATTTCACTTTCCTATTGCTGTCAATTAGCCCCTAAAATTAGTATGAACCCGAACAAAATCTGATGATTTGATTAGCATACTATATTGGCTGACCTTAACTTATACTCTTCCAGAGAATGACTTTATTGAATAACTTCATCTCATTTCAACTGGGTAAAACTCTATAGATATTACTATATAATTTGTGTAAACACTTTATAACTGAATTATGTATGTTTAGCACCGAATGAACTACTGCAAACATCGGTTACATTTTACAATACAAACCTAGGCAGTTACCGCTCGTCTTGTTACATTCTCTAGTTAGGCAAGAAGATGGACATGGATCAATGCATCTGTCACCATGGAATCCGACTTGACAATCTGTGGGTAGAAAAGAGACTTGACTTTATCTTGTAGAATTAAGATCTGCCATAATTAGTAAAAACTGTGTACCTAGAGATAAGCACTCGAGGATGTCGTATTGTATCGTTATGGAGTCATTTAAGCTGATAACTGAAACCACCGAGATATTTGACATGATTATTGAAATTACTTAACAAATAAACACGGCATTCTGGTTTTATCACGTGAATATCAGACAACACGAAATTGAGAGAAGTCATTGTTTTAACATGTTCGAGTTTTAAATATCTTATATCATCGAATCCTTGTAAAAATAAAGTTTGTTTGATCAGAATTAAATGACCAGTGGGTGTTTTCTCCCATTAACCATATTAGATATCTGTTTCTATAGAAGATCTACACAATAAAAAGCATTTGGAATAAAAAAGTAAAAACTTGAAACAAAAGTGCACACGAAGCATTTCTATACACAGATACATAACATGATGCTTATGTATAATTGGTTTCTATCAAATTCTATCAAAAACTACTGATTCATCAATAAACATTACACTTATTTATTTGTGAAATCTCCACGATACTAACCAAAACAAACGCCGAATGTCTTCTCACATTTTCTACTTCCACAGTTAGCCGGGCATCTATACGAACATTCCAATCCAAAGAATCCGTCTTGGCATTCTGTGATAATGAATGTAAAAGTATAACAACGAACTTTTAACATCGTACGTATTTAAGTGGTATCACGCATTAACAGCTTTTGTACAGATTGTGTGAAACTTTAGTGTCGTAAGTTACGACACATTACACAGACGCATTTGTTTCAGTATGTAAGTGATCAAGTTCTCGCGTTTCACCATGCGACCTGAGTCCGAGTATTTGAGAAGTAATGGTACCACTAGTGCGATCATGTCCGTCCATCTGTGTCGAAAAGAGTTCTGTCATATGACTTAAAGAAAGTTATGTAACAATGTGTGTAGTAGCATGTAATAAGTCTATATACAAATCAAAACAATTACTGATTCATAGTTATTTAAGAATGAAGAGCGGTACTGCCGCGAAACGTTGAAAATTGACCCAGTTGAAAACGGACCAAGAGTCCATTTTCATCGCGGTTCCGTTTTCAATGTTACACCGCCAAACAGATTCAAACAGTGCCAATTATGTTCCTATTAATAACCATCATAGTTGTAGAGCTTACGAGGGCTGATTGATAAGTTGCGAGTCTTGTATCAATGAATTTGGCAGGAATTTCCTTTTTCAGCTCTACTATTCCCTTACTATTTTAGATTGTGTTCATGTCGTAGTGATAACACTTTTAAGTTAACAAGACAGGTGACTTTTTTGACAAATAGACAAGGTCGCTGAAAAGAACTGTGATTCAAAATTTGCAGAAGAAAGGGCTAGTTCATTCAGAGATCCAAACTAATAAGGTAGCACCGCTAGGGAACAACGCCCCTTTATAAGCTACAATGAAATTTAGGATGACGCCGATCTTGGAAGGCCTATCACTGTTGCAACACCATCAATAGTCAATAAAGTCCATGATATTGTTATGGGTGACAAGCGAGATACAGATATATATATATAGTCAGTACATTGGGGATTTCACAGGAACTTGTACAATCAAATCTTACGGAAGATCTAGCCGAGGCCAAACAACAGACTAAACAATGAAAGCATCCTTGTTTACCCCCCGCCAAAAGAAGGCAAAGACTTCCATCAGCTGGAAAGGTACTTTTGGTCGAATAATCACGTCATACATGCAGTGGAAGGCTCATGGTCATGAAAAGGACTTTTTAAAAGTGGTATTGTGGCCCTGAAACATCGTTGAAACTATAGTATAGATACTGAATATTACCGCCAACTCAAACCTTTAAATATGAGGCTACAACTTTTCAATCAGCCCTCGTACACCTTATATTAATAGTCTATCAGCAGCTCTCTTTTTAGCTATACCATGTGATACCAATTATCTGCATCTCAATGTTTGCCTTTGAAACATGATGAATTCTGTTTGGATTATTTTATGCTGCGTAGATTATTGTTGTGCTGCTTTCATTGCGTCACTATCTTTCGTGCTGCTGTAAAGGGGATTGATTTGTTGAGAGTTGTGTCCCTTTGCGCGGACAGAGTATTTATGTATCCGTATACCCTAGTGTTCAAACTGTGTGTTTACAATTGTATTTTATGTGTCAAGAATGTGTGGCATATGTAGTTTGAGAGTATTTGTGTTTATCAAACTCAATATTCCTGCAATACTTTTAGTTTGTTATATATTTTACCTGTGTGCTTACTTTTTTTTTGTCGAAATACAAGTTGTAAAGAGTTTTTGTATCATTTGTTGACTACATACAACATAAGGTAAAGATTACAGTATATTAAATATTTTTATGGTATGTATTGTAACATATAACTTGTATCTTTTCAGTCCTTATTTTGGAAGAAAGGGGAAGGTGTTGATCAAACCCTTTCTACATTTACATCTTGGCAACTGTTTACTTTTTTAAATATTGGATTATTCAAAACCTTACCAAAACACCGGGTTCCAGACAAACCGTCTACTATGTCAGTCTCGTATATCTATGAGCTTGCCAAATATTTGTTTACATCACAAAAATATCCATGTCTCGGCTTTTATTGTTCTTGTACTAATGTAAACGATGATTATAATTCCTTGCTACCACCGTCATATATATCTGAATTTAAATAGGTTTCATTAATGCCAGTACAGTGTGATGGTATTCCAAATCAAAATGACATAAGAATGACGACTTTGTGATGAAAAGTGCTGCGTTAATAAGTTCCTACAGACGCTTAACTAATCTCGTTAACCAACAGCCACTAATCTAGTTACAAGACAAACAAATACCTGTAGTCATTGTGCTCTGAAGTTTTATATTCTACATTTCTAATATACAATAAAGAAAAGTTCCAATTCTTGGGACAGGTTACAAAGACCTTGCAAAGTCCTTCAATTTTACATTTGGATCTAGATAAATCGTATATACCGAGCAGCATTGGATATCAAGGACACGACAAACTCTTCCACATCAGCCGCTTATCTCGATCTTTTCTCAGAACGAAACCAACATACTAAACTTTATGATAGGTGTATGATTTCAATTTCCATTTTTGGATTGCAATATCCTTCATATATGGTCGTCATAATGATCTCATTGAACGATTTTCTATTTTTTTTTTTTTTTTTGCGATATGAAGCTGGACGTGTTTGATGATCATTTGTTTGCCTGCTTGCTCCGTTGTTGTATACCTTAATCTCATTTGAGATTATAACATTACTTGGCCATGATTTACATGATAGGTGTCGTCGATGAAACAGGAGATGCTTACTCTTCCGGAACACCTTATCATAATCTCCATGTATATTTTCAGGAGTCTCCATGTATATCTTTCTCTTCTTTTTGTATTTTGTTAGTTTGAGTTTGGAACGTGATTAATTTCACACATCGGTATTTTCTTGTTGCTTTTGATGGAAAATGTATATATGATATTATCTGACTTCATTACTTATTACATGATAGGATTTGTGAACACTCGTTATATTGTTGGATCAACTTCTACACTACGTAAAACTACATAAATATTTCACCATACAAAGTAGTCATGATGTCATCGATATTCCCGTACGACAAACGAGTCACGATGTCATTGATAGTCCCACTCAACAAAAGAGGCAGGATGCCATGGATAGTCCCGTTCGACAAACGACTCAGGATGTTGTTGATAGTCCCGCTCGACAAACGACTCAGGATGTCATTGGTCGTCCCGTTGAACAAACGAGTCATGATGTAATTAATATTACCGCTCGACAAACGAGTCAGGATATATTGATAGTCCCGCTCGACTAACGAGTCATGATGTCAATTTTCGTCCCGCTTGACAAACGTGTCAGGATGTCATTGATAGTCCCGCTCGACAAACTAGTCGGGATGTCATTGATAGTTCCGCTCGACAAACAAATCAGAAGGTGATTGATAGTCACGTTCGACAAACCAGTCAGAATGTTATTGATAATTCCGCTCAGAAGAAGAGCAGTGGATACAATTGATATTACCACTCTATAAACGAGTCGTTGTTTTTGATACTCTCAATCGTTGAACGAGTCAGGATGTCGTTTATATTACAAACTCGCTCACCAAGGAATGTATCTAGTATAATAGTAATATTGGAAATGCAGGCTAACGTCTAGTCGTTTATGCTCTCTTTCTTGAAGAAGTGTCAATCTTGCTTAATCTACAGGCAAGAGTGATCGCCAAACCAACGTCTTTTCCGTTATGTAATAATACATTGAATAAACACTACTCTAAGGTATGTCTACCTTAGCTAAAATATTATAGAAAGTATTTCCATACAAACCTTTACATGTACCGTCTGAAAGTTTACATCCACCACTACCACAGGAATCTGGACACTGCTTACCGCATCCTTGTCCGTAGAATCCTTCTGGACATTCTGTTTTGAACATTTTTAACGCTTTTATCGACCCTCAATAAATCGTTTCAACCATCTTTGTTGTTGTTAAATGTTCACTTTACACTTATGAAATGAAATTTTATCAAATATTATTGGGAAAATTGACATCGTCTTTTAGGCATTCCTGACTACTAAACAGATATAAATTGTCCTCTTCACTCAATGCACTACCTTTTTATGCAGTTTTCTCATACGAACTGCTTACAAAATTAGTATCAAATATGATAAGTGATTTATATACACCTGTCTGAAATCGTTGCCACCTACTTCATCAATTTCACAAAAATGGTCTCGCAGAAGTTAAATTGATTCAATTGATGACCCCATTTGAAAAAGCCCTCCATAATCCTATAATTCTTAAAAAAATTATACTTATTTGGTGGGAAACTACAAACCAGCATTTTCACTTTAATGTGGAATTTGTAAGAACTTTAACAATAAACGTTTTATTTCACTTTCCTATTGCTGTCAATTAGCCCCTAAAATTAGTATGAACCCGAACAAAATCTGATGATTTGATTAGCATACTATATTGGCTGACCTTAACTTATACTCTTCCAGAGAATGACTTTATTGAATAACTTCATCTCATTTCAACTGGGTAAAACTCTATAGATATTACTATATAATTTGTGTAAACACTTTATAACTGAATTATGTATGTTTAGCACCGAATGAACTACTGCAAACATCGGTTACATTTTACAATACAAACCTAGGCAGTTACCGCTCGTCTTGTTACATTCTCTAGTTAGGCAAGAAGATGGACATGGATCAATGCATCTGTCACCATGGAATCCGACTTGACAATCTGTGGGTAGAAAAGAGACTTGACTTTATCTTGTAGAATTAAGATCTGCCATAATTAGTAAAAACTGTGTACCTAGAGATAAGCACTCGAGGATGTCGTATTGTATCGTTATGGAGTCATTTAAGCTGATAACTGAAACCACCGAGATATTTGACATGATTATTGAAATTACTTAACAAATAAACACGGCATTCTGGTTTTATCACGTGAATATCAGACAACACGAAATTGAGAGAAGTCATTGTTTTAACATGTTCGAGTTTTAAATATCTTATATCATCGAATCCTTGTAAAAATAAAGTTTGTTTGATCAGAATTAAATGACCAGTGGGTGTTTTCTCCCATTAACCATATTAGATATCTGTTTCTATAGAAGATCTACACAATAAAAAGCATTTGGAATAAAAAAGTAAAAACTTGAAACAAAAGTGCACACGAAGCATTTCTATACACAGATACATAACATGATGCTTATGTATAATTGGTTTCTATCAAATTCTATCAAAAACTACTGATTCATCAATAAACATTACACTTATTTATTTGTGAAATCTCCACGATACTAACCAAAACAAACGCCGAATGTCTTCTCACATTTTCTACTTCCACAGTTAGCCGGGCATCTATACGAACATTCCAATCCAAAGAATCCGTCTTGGCATTCTGTGATAATGAATGTAAAAGTATAACAACGAACTTTTAACATCGTACGTATTTAAGTGGTATCACGCATTAACAGCTTTTGTACAGATTGTGTGAAACTTTAGTGTCGTAAGTTACGACACATTACACAGACGCATTTGTTTCAGTATGTAAGTGATCAAGTTCTCGCGTTTCACCATGCGACCTGAGTCCGAGTATTTGAGAAGTAATGGTACCACTAGTGCGATCATGTCCGTCCATCTGTGTCGAAAAGAGTTCTGTCATATGACTTAAAGAAAGTTATGTAACAATGTGTGTAGTAGCATGTAATAAGTCTATATACAAATCAAAACAATTACTGATTCATAGTTATTTAAGAATGAAGAGCGGTACTGCCGCGAAACGTTGAAAATTGACCCAGTTGAAAACGGACCAAGAGTCCATTTTCATCGCGGTTCCGTTTTCAATGTTACACCGCCAAACAGATTCAAACAGTGCCAATTATGTTCCTATTAATAACCATCATAGTTGTAGAGCTTACGAGGGCTGATTGATAAGTTGCGAGTCTTGTATCAATGAATTTGGCAGGAATTTCCTTTTTCAGCTCTACTATTCCCTTACTATTTTAGATTGTGTTCATGTCGTAGTGATAACACTTTTAAGTTAACAAGACAGGTGACTTTTTTGACAAATAGACAAGGTCGCTGAAAAGAACTGTGATTCAAAATTTGCAGAAGAAAGGGCTAGTTCATTCAGAGATCCAAACTAATAAGGTAGCACCGCTAGGGAACAACGCCCCTTTATAAGCTACAATGAAATTTAGGATGACGCCGATCTTGGAAGGCCTATCACTGTTGCAACACCATCAATAGTCAATAAAGTCCATGATATTGTTATGGGTGACAAGCGAGATACAGATATATATATATATAGTCAGTACATTGGGGATTTCACAGGAACTTGTACAATCAAATCTTACGGAAGATCTAGCCGAGGCCAAACAACAGACTAAACAATGAAAGCATCCTTGTTTACCCCCCGCCAAAAGAAGGCAAAGACTTCCATCAGCTGGAAAAGTACTTTTGGTCGAATAATCACGTCATACATGCAGTGGAAGGCTCATGGTCATGAAAAGGACTTTTTAAAAGTGGTATTGTGGCCCTGAAACATCGTTGAAACTATAGTATAGATACTGAATATTACCGCCAACTCAAACCTTTAAATATGAGGCTACAACTTTTCAATCAGCCCTCGTACACCTTATATTAATAGTCTATCAGCAGCTCTCTTTTTAGCTATACCATGTGATACCAATTATCTGCATCTCAATGTTTGCCTTTGAAACATGATGAATTCTGTTTGGATTATTTTATGCTGCGTAGATTATTGTTGTGCTGCTTTCATTGCGTCACTATCTTTCGTGCTGCTGTAAAGGGGATTGATTTGTTGAGAGTTGTGTCCCTTTGCGCGGACAGAGTATTTATGTATCCGTATACCCTAGTGTTCAAACTGTGTGTTTACAATTGTATTTTATGTGTCAAGAATGTGTGGCATATGTAGTTTGAGAGTATTTGTGTTTATCAAACTCAATATTCCTGCAATACTTTTAGTTTGTTATATATTTTACCTGTGTGCTTACTTTTTTTTTGTCGAAATACAAGTTGTAAAGAGTTTTTGTATCATTTGTTGACTACATACAACATAAGGTAAAGATTACAGTATATTAAATATTTTTATGGTATGTATTGTAACATATAACTTGTATCTTTTCAGTCCTTATTTTGGAAGAAAGGGGAAGGTGTTGATCAAACCCTTTCTACATTTACATCTTGGCAACTGTTTACTTTTTTAAATATTGGATTATTCAAAACCTTACCAAAACACCGGGTTCCAGACAAACCGTCTACTATGTCAGTCTCGTATATCTATGAGCTTGCCAAATATTTGTTTACATCACAAAAATATCCATGTCTCGGCTTTTATTGTTCTTGTACTAATGTAAACGATGATTATAATTCCTTGCTACCACCGTCATATATATCTGAATTTAAATAGGTTTCATTAATACCAGTACAGTGTGATGGTATTCCAAATCAAAATGACATAAGAATGACGACTTTGTGATGAAAAGTGCTGCGTTAATAAGTTCCTACAGACGCTTAACTAATCTCGTTAACCAACAGCCACTAATCTAGTTACAAGACAAACAAATACCTGTAGTCATTGTGCTCTGAAGTTTTATATTCTATATTTCTAATATACAATAAAGAAAAGTTCCAATTCTTGGGACAGGTTACAAAGACCTTGCAAAGTCCTTCAATTTTACATTTGGATCTAAATAAATCGTATATACCGAGCAGCATTGGATATCAAGGACACGACAAACTCTTCCACATCAGCCGCTTATCTCGATCTTTTCTCAGAACGAAACCAACATACTAAACTTTATGATAGGTGTATGATTTCAATTTCCATTTTTGGATTGCAATATCTTTCATATATGGTCGTCATAATGATCTCATTGAACGATTTTCTATTTTTTTTTTTTTTTTTTGCGATATGAAGCTGGACGTGTTTGATGATCATTTGTTTGCCTGCTTGCTCCGTTGTTGTATACCTTAATCTCATTTGAGATTATAACATTACTTGGCCATGATTTACATGATAGGTGTCGTCGATGAAACAGAAGATGCTTACTCTTCCGGAACACCTTATCATAATCTCCATGTATATTTTCAGGAGTCTCCATGTATATCTTTCTCTTTTTTTGTATTTTGTTAGTTTGAGTTTGGAACGTGATTAATTTCACACATCGGTATTTTCTTGTTGCTTTTGATGGAAAATGTATATATGATATTATCTGACTTCATTACTTATTACATGATAGGATTTGTGAACACTCGTTATATTGTTGGATCAACTTCTACACTACGTAAAACTACATGAATATTTCACCATACTTACTTAAACAATTACTATTGGACTTCTCACATTTACGACTCCAACAGCTAGCGGGACACTCAGATAAGCAAATAAATAACGAATGGATTTATGTGTTCTGAGATACATTTATAATAAATATTGTAATGACGGAACCGTTTTAGATGTCTAACATCCTTATTTAACTGCACATATAATTCTATTTCATACGAAGAAATATCAACTGTCAAAAACCAAAGCATCAGCTTGATAAATGATTTATGATGTCCTCTATGTAACTAAACGAAATAAAGATAAGGTCATTGCCTGTTTTTGTTATAGACATGAAAAGCCTCCTACTATAGAGAACTTATCACAACTTTACCATTACAACCTCCAGCACGGTCACATTGACCAGCACACCTTTCTGGACAAGGTAGGCAGTTTTCTTCCAAATGGTTGGTAAATGTGTTGTCATCACAGTCTTGTTTGTAGTCATCAAATAGAAATAAGAAAAAAGAAATGGTAAAAAGACACGGTAAATTACTTTCTGTTTCAAAGTTTTGTTAAAATTATTCTCATAGTAAGAGAACTGTAACATTTGATATGAAAATTGGTGAACGGTTTACTTATGTTATGTTTTCTAAACTTACATAAACAATTTCCCGAACTTGGGTGACAGACACCACCTGGACAATTTGGGGAGCAGTTGTGGTTACAGTTTCTGTTTCCGTATTTCCCGCTTTCACATCCTGTCAGAGAGATGATGCAGACGTTAATACCAGGTCAGACAAATAGAACACTGTGTTCATGTTAGCATGGTGTGACATCGAAATTCGTCCGTTTCTAAGTGAAAATCCTCTTACATTTTTTATAATATATGTATGTGTGTTGATAGAATGTAGGTTATTATACCACATGTATCAATCTCAATTATTTGCTCCTACAATTGGTTTGATTTACATTGTTTAGTGTCCTATCAACCGTCACGGCATTCAAGGACAGTATAACGAATGAAAAAAGGCACACAGTTTTCAAATTTAAAGACTGCTTTGCGCGCATTTTCGCGCAGTTTTTCTTTCCTAAAAACATAAATCGCACTGCTTCTGTTTTGATAAAGTTATTAGCTCCAACAATAGTTTTGGTCAGTTACTTGGAATACAAGTCATAAAACAAACATTTTAAAATCCCATTCACAATATATATACTCCAAGTACCAGTGTTAAAAAAGACACAGATTTGTGGGCAGAAGAACTTGAACTTCCTACACGTGGTTGTATAAGTAATTACATTTGCAATTCTGTCCATGAATTCGGTATCTTATTAGTCAGCAGTCTGTGAATAAACTGGCACTGGTATTCTTATGAAATAGCATACATGGATATATATTTCAATTGCACTTTGTATTCCGTACAGGGAAGTGTTTACCTTTGCTGAAATGGGAGCTTCGTTTTTTACCCTATACCTAGACTAACTGAAGAGCGTTTATTGATGCCCTGATTTTATCATTCTGTGTCCACTTTTACTGAGATAAAAGTGAGGAGCCGAGATTCGTTCAATTCGTCCATAATTGAAGCCATGGACTTTATAGTGTCGCCATGATCGATTTTAGAAGTATGTGCTCGTGACATTCCATCATCCTGACAGGTGGTCTCGAGTTGGGGAGAGAAGTTCTTTATATACCTTCATTTTTTTCAATAAGTTGATAACTTAAAACGAATACTTACCGTACACTTCAACTTCACATAGTTCTAAGAAAGCGAACGAACTGTACCAGTTTTGTCTTTTTGGCTGGTTTCTGGTGTTGTATATTGTAACATACTGCGCGGTTCCGTTGCATTCTTCATGGGTGACAATACTTTGAATTTGGTTTACATTTTCCGATTTGTCCTGGAAACATCGATCTTCTCTGTTTCTCTCTGTAGTGTTTGAAAGGTATATCTCGTATCCAGCGAATCTGTTTCTCCATCCCGCTATATAAGTGTATGGAAAATATTATTATGTAAAGACGTTCTAGCAAAAACGAAGGTTTTATTTATTTGATTTTATTTTGTTAAACAATACTCTATGTTTCACTCATCTGCGAGAAGTACATGAGTGTCCCTATTATATACTCTATATTGCTATGATCAGTAAGAGAGAGAATACTATCCATCAGAGAAAAAGCAGAATATTAACCTTACAATGACTATCCTTTGTTATTTCATCATCTCCTACTGTATACATTACAGTAACTATTGACTATACCTTAGAGAGTTCGATTTTTATCAAAACTAGATATATACGTATATGTATGAAAATGTTTTGTAAACCGGATTCCGGTTTTTAAAAATAAGCGTGCGTCTAAATTCTATGATAGACTGTTTGTAGGTAGCAAAATATTTTCTACTGTTAAAGACATATGCATCACAAGGTTAATTCTATCGATAGAAATGTTATGAACCTACCATTTGCAAAAAGGTAGAAAACCCGTTTCACAACCACATTGTGTATTGATAGATCTCTTAACACACTTGATATAATAGATATAGTATATAGTATAGTTGACGTTAAATAATATCTAATCTCCTGTATAATAATAACTTGTCCTACCCCAGACAGATCCCTCGTCTCTGTAATATATTTGGACTTTTTCTACGGTGACTTGTCTCTGTAGGTCTACTCTCCACCACGCCTCCTCCTGTTCAACAGCCTGGTGCGTACATGAATTGCCTGAAAACGTTTGCCTTTTGTTTCCATCCACGCCATTTTCAGATGTGTGGACGATTCTGTTCTCAATTGGTAGAGTGTAATTGCTGCGTTGAGACGTTGGTCTTTTAAAAGAGACAATTTCTGAAACAAATGTAAATTGCGGGCTATTTAGTGAATAATTCTTCTGTCATCAAAAGTCAATACAATAACGTTTAACGGAACAATTCCGAGTAACTTGCGGAGAATGTATAACTTACCCGACAGTTCTACTTCCCCTAAAACACTGAAGAAGAAACAGAGTAGCGTGCGGAGATTGTATAACTTACCCGACAGTTCTACTACCCTTAAAACACTGAAGAAGATACAGAGAAGCGTGCCGAGAATGTATAACTTACTCGACAATTCTACTTCCCCTAAAACACTGAAGAAGATACAGAGTAACTTGCGGAGAATGTATAACTTACTCGACAATTCTACTTCCCCTAAAACACTGAAGAAGATACAGAGTAACTTGCGGAGAATGTATAACTTACTCGACAATTCTACTTCCCCTAAAACACTGAAGAAGATACAGAGTAGCGTGCGGAGAATGTATAACTCGACAGTTCTACTTCCCCTAAAACACTGAAGAAGATACAGAGGAGCGTGCCGAGAATGTATAACTTACTCGACAGTTCTACTTCCCCTAAAACACTGAAGAAGATACAGAGAAGCGTGCCGAGAATGTATAACTTACTCGACAATTCTACTTCCCCTAAAACACTGAAGAAGATACAGAGTAGCGTGCGGAGAATGTATAACTTACTCGACAGTTCTACTACCCCTAAAACACTGAAGAAGATACAGAGAAGCGTGCCGAGAATGTATAACTTACTCGACAATTCTACTTCCCCTAAAACACTGAAGAAGATACAGAGTAGCGTGCGGAGAATGTATAACTTACTCGACAGTTCTACTACCCCTTAAACACCGAAAAAGATACAGAGTAGCATGCCGAGAATGTGTTACTTACCCGACAGTTCTACTACCCCTAAAACACTGAAGAAGATACAGAGTAGCGTGCGGAGAATGCACGGAGGTTCAGCCATGGTTAAGTCTAGTGCTGTTAACTCATCACGTCCTTACAAACAGCTAATAAAAATTCGACAGGAAACACACATTAAATTGTACACTATAAACAGAGACCTAAGTTAATGACGGAGTATATACGTCTCTGATATAAGTAAGTAGATGAAAATATAGGAAATCCCCAATGAATCAATATTGAAATTTTCAAATTTATATATATGTACATCCGCAGAAACGTCAACATTTCAAGTTAACTTGAAATTTGTGGAAAAACGTTCACTGAAAAAGGCCATGAAAATGTGCCATATACAGATCATATTACTAATCAAAATCTGTAAATCATCGTTATTCTGAATATGCCATGATGGATACTAATCTATCATGACAAAATATTGTTTAACCTTATTAATCATCCAGTTACTTTAAACTGTAACAAATGACTTTTATAGACATTTACAGCTCCGAAATCAAAATCAAACATTTGAAACACAACGACGTTTCGTTGTTCCAATAATCATTATACGTGAACGATGATAATCATTATAGCGCGCGAAAAGATATGACGTTATGAATGAAGACCTCTCGTGTAACATTATCTTATCACACGCGTTTGAAAATGCCCCTTTGAAATAAAGTCCATTTGAAATATGGTCCTTATGCCAATCAAACTTCAGGTTATCTTTGACGGATTCTCGATAGAATAAACGTTGGAAATTTGTATTTAGCACATGAAGTATAAACATTTGTGAAACATCTAAGAAGAAATTGTTGGTTCTGGGGCCGTGTTATCAGAAAGACTGGATCAATTGTTGGATGATGGAAGCTTTATGACAGGCAAACTGATATTTTTCGTTATTTTTCTGTCTGTAAACATTGGAAGGGGGAAAAAATGGAAACTTTATGTTAATGAAGAAAGACTGAAAATAAAAAGATAGCTTTTTTTATTTTGTTTATGTTATCTTTGAATAACTGATGAGTCCTCGGGGAAGATTCGTGTCCACTAATGTAGAACTGTTTTCGTCTATCGTGGTGTTTTCTGCACTTCGTGTTCACTAATGTAGAACGGTTTTCGTCTATCGTGGTGTTTTCTGCACTTCCTGTTCCCTAATGTAGAACTCTTTTGTCTATCGTGGTGTTTTCTGCACTTCGTGTTCACTAATGTAGAACTGTTCTCGTCTATCGTGGTGTTTTCTGCTCTTTGTTTCGTTAACGAAGGACTAATTAATAGTGTGTGAATTTTGAAGAAGTCCAGGGAACTTTTGACCAATCTTCAACATCCTCTTCTAAAAAGCATTTCTTGTATAGTAACATTTAATTTTCCCATCCTGACACCACCATACCCTATTCTAAATCGAAGGAACGCCTTTGTTCCATTTTTATGAGAGCTCTCTTCTCAAATAAAGGTGAACGACGGTGGATGTGACCTATACTGAAGCGTTTTTCGTAAGAAAAATGTGTCCAAATCAAAGAAGAAATATTCGGAAGACGAAACCCTCAAAATGTTCGAGTTTCTGGTTGACAACATCTTTCTTGCATTTGACAGTAAAATCTCCCAATAGACTATTGACATACCTATAGGAACTAACTGTCCCTCTGTTGGCTGACTTGTTTTTTGTTTTCATACGAGGCTGCATTTATTGAATGGCTTACCAAATTAGTCGTTTCATTTCACTTTCAGATATACTGATGACGTCTTGACTTAAATAACAAGAAATTAATTGACCAGGTCTATCGTATGTATCTGCCAGAATTGGAAATCAAAGATACTATAGACACTTCTACATCAGCTGCTTATCTTGATTGATCTTTTCCAACAGCATATTCTGCTTTCCATAAAGTTGTATGATAAGCGTGATAATTTTTTAATTTCCCTACTGTGATTTTTCCATTTCTGCATATCAATATCTTTGCATCTGCTATTTTATTTAATAACAATTTTGAATATAAGGTTAAGAGGGAAAAGAAGGACCAATCGGGAAATTTTTTAGCATTAGATATTGTTATGGAGGGGTCAGATATTACACTTATTACACTGTATGGTCCAAACACTGACTCGCCACTTTTTTATGATACTTTAATTAATACATTAGATGAATTTGGGAATGACAAATATATTGTTTGTGGTGATTTTAATTTAGTTCTTAATCCGGATCTTGATTATGATAGTAGTTATAAAAATATTAATGATTCAAAGGCCAGAGAAAAGGTTTTAGAAATCATTGAAAATGATTCTCTAGTAGATATTTATAGGGAAGTAAATCCAGACAGTAAAAGATACACATGGAGGAAAAAAAATCCTCTGAAGCAATCAAGGTTAGATTTTTTTCTTATCTCTGAAAACTTATTATCTAGCGTAAATAAGTCTTGCATTGAGCCGAGTTATAGATCAGACCACTCTTTTCCATTTCTTAATCTAAAATTTAATGAATTTAAACGTGGTAGAGGATTTTGGAAATTCAATTCTTCTTTATTGTATGATGAAGATTATTTAAAACTAATAAAACAGACCATCTTGGAAATAAAAACACAATATTGTCTTCCTATTTATAATCATAATAATATGGAGAATATCCCAGATACAGACTTACAGTTCATGATTGATGACCAGCTTTTTCAAGAAACTTTATTGATGGAAATCAGGAGCAAAACAATTTCATATTCATCTCACAGAAAAAAACAACAAAATATGGCTGCAAAAAGTATAAGAAATGAAATACAAAACATTGAAGATCAAGACCATGTAGATACAGAGAAATTAGAGCATTTGAACAAGGAATTAGAAAAAATAAGATTAGATAGGATTAAAGGTAGCATTGTTAGATCTAGAGCGAGATGGCAAGAGGAAGGAGAAAAACCAACAAAATATTTTTTCAATCTAGAAAACAGAAATTTTACCTCCAAAATTATACCCAAGTTAGAAACAGAGGATAAGGGCACATTAACTGGACAAGATGAAATTCTTGAGGAAGTACGGTCATTTTACAAAAAATTATATGATGATAATAGAAGTGTAGAAGACGTCAATTTAAATGATCTCTTAAATAGTTGTAATGTTTTGAAATTAGACAACGCTGTTTCAGAAAGTTTAGAAGGGCAAATAACTTTGGAGGAAGCAACAATTATTTTGAAGTGTATGAAAAATAATAAAAGCCCAGGTACGGATGGTTTTACTGTCAAGTTTTTTTAAATGTTTTTGGAAATATCTTGGGGGGTTCATTTTAAGGTCTATTAATTTGGGTTATGAAAAAGGGAGGTTATCGGTTACACAAAGGCAGGGGGTTATAGTATGTATTCCAAAGGGAGATATGTCTAGACAATTTCTTAAGAATTGGCGACCAATTACATTGTTGAATATAGTATATAAGATTGCATCAGGAACCATAGCTAGAAGAATTAAGAAAATTTTAGACAAATTAATTAGTGAGGATCAGTCAGGTTTTATCTCAGGTCGTTATATTGGGGAGAACACAAGATTAATATATGACATTATGCAACATGTAGAGGAAAAAAATATTCCCGGAATGCTGTTAATGATAGATTTTGAGAAAGCATTTGATTCCGTTTCATGGAAATTTATTGACAAGGTTTTCAAATTTTTAAATTTTGGTCCAGATATTCGTAAATGGATAAAAGTTTTTCATACTAATGTCAGTGCTTTTGTTAATCAAGGTGGTAATGTATCTTCATCCATCAATATAAGAAGGGGCTGTCGACAAGGTGATCCAATCGCGCCATATATCTTTATTCTCTGTGTTGAAATTTTGGCCATTAAACTAAAACATAACAAAAACATTAAGGGTATAAACATCAGTAATATTCCAATTCTTATCTCACAATATGCAGACGACACCTCTCTTATATTAGATGGCTCTGAGATATCATTAAAAGAATCTATTTTAGAATTGAATGCTTTCGCAAAATTCTCTGGTTTGAATCTAAATATTGACAAAACACAAGTGATCTGGATAGGAAGTAAAAAATATAGTGAAGATACTTTGTTACCTGACTTGAAATTACAGTGGGGAAAGGTCAAATTCACGCTTCTTGGAATTGAATTCAGTGTCAATCTTCATGAAATTCCAAAATTAAACTATGATAAAAAATTAATTAAATTGAAATCTATCATTAAGATGTGGAATAGGAGATCACTGACTCCAATTGGGAAAATTCATCTTATTAAATCTTTAATGATATCACAGTTAAACCATTTATTTATGTCTTTGCCAAACCCAGACAACCAGTTCTTGAATAAGCTCAACTCCATCCTTTTTAGCTTTTTATGGAACAGTAAAACTGACAAGGTAAAGAGAGATATTTTTACCCAGAATTTTGATAACGGTGGACTTAGAATGGTAGATATAAAGTTGTTTATAGATAGTCTGAAATTAGGCTGGATTAGAAGATTACACCAGAAATCTGCTAAATGGCAAGCAATTCTTCAAACATATATTGACCTACATATGCTATCTTCCTGTGGAAGTGATTACATTCAGAAATGTTGTAATATCTGTAGAAATAATTTCTGGAGTGATGTTTTCAAGGCCCTGTTGAGGTTCAGTGAAAGGGTGGGGGTAGAATATGTTAAGAAAAATATTTGGAAAACTCCTTTATGGTATAATAAAGATTTGTTGATAGGGAAGACAAGTATATTCTACAAGACATGGTATGATAAGGGAGTGATGATAGTTAATGATTTATTCAAAGATTTTTCTACTGGCACTTTCTACACTTTTCAAGATTTTAAGCAAATTTATAATGTAAATTCAAATTTCCTTGAATACCATGGTGTAGTCTCTGTGGTTAAGTAATATTTAGCTAGATCTGACTTTGTAAGAACATGTACCTCTCAAGTTTTTCCAACCATTCCAAATAGTATTGAGTGTTTTGTAAAAAAAGGAAATGGGTTAAAAGATATATATAATCTTTTAGTAAAAAACGACACAATTTCTATTGGGAGGAAAAGATGGGAAGAAATATTAGAATTTGATGTTCTAAATTTTTTTGGAGGGATATTTATAAAAATTGTTTTCGTGCAACAAAAAATACAAAACTTCAATGGTTTCAGTACAGAGTGGTTCAACACATCTTAACAACAAATTTATATATGTTTAAAATTCGACTACTGAATAACCCACACTGTACATTCTGTAACTTAGAAAAGGAGACAATTATTCATATTATGTGGGAATGTCCAGAAGTTCAAAAATTTTTAGAAAGTGTAGAAGTTTTGCTGGAGGCTCTTTTTATTCCATTTTCCTTCAATAAAATAAGTTTTCTGTTTGGTTTCATTGCTAATAAAAATCAGTTAATCAGTAGCAAACTTGACAATGAAATCTTAATTATCATTAAATATTACATATATAAGGCAAGATGTCAACACAAAGCCTTAAGTGTATATAGTCTTATTTATTCAGTCAGGGAATTTTATACCTTTCAGAAATATATTGCCAATAGTAAAGGTGAACAGGCACAGTTAAGTTTTAATGAGGAATGGAGAAAATGGAGAAAATTATTGGAATTGGCCAATTCTTAACTTTAAATACATTTACTGTCATGTAGTATGTTTTACCGTATTTTAGTATTCTCTGTCTTTACAGTATAGCAGGCCCCTTGCTTACCCTTATAGGTATTTTTTCTTTATACTCGAGTCCCTATTGTTTCGCTGATTATTGCAATTTTTACTAACCCAGATCACCTCTCTCTCCGCCCCTCTCTCTCTCTCTCTCTTTCTCTCTCTCTTTCTCTCCTCTTTATCTTTATGTGTAGTATTGATGTATGTGTAGGAGTGGGTGTGTAAGGGTAGTGTTGTGATGTTAGTAAGGGTGTTGATGAAAATGCCAGGCGATGATGTATGGATGGATTTCAAGTTATAATGACAAATTGTGTTGATAGTTAGGTTGATGATGAGGTGCATATGTGATAATGAATGCTGAGGATGAATCTATTGACATGAAGGTGGTGACAAAGGCATATTGAATATGACAATGATGAAGAATGTATTGACATGATTACTTGATTGAGATCATGATGACTGATGATTATGATGAGGAGGTAGTGTTTATAATGAGGAGGATAATGATGATGAGGTAATGTTTATAATGAAGAAGATAATGATGACGGTAATGTTTATGATGATGATGACGATGATGATAATGATGATGATGATGATGATGATGATGATGATGGTGTTTCTTTTTCTTCTTCTTCTGATGATGATTACGATGATGGTGTTTGTGATGATGATGATGATGATGATGATGATGATTACGGTGATGGTGTTTGTGATGATGATGATGATGATGATTACGGTGATGGTGTTTGTGATGATGATGATAATGATGATGATGATGATGATGATGATTATGGTGATGATTATGATGATGATGATGATGATGATGATGATGATGATGACGATGATGATGATGATGATGATGATGATGATGATGATGATGCAACTTAATCGAGATAATGGTGATGTGTGAGTGAGCATATTGTATGTTGTATGTTTGATGATGTTTTGTTGATGTAATTGTTATGTACATTAAAAACTCTTGAAAAATAAAAAAATAAAAAAAAAATCTCTGCATCTGCAACCTATGGTATTTACATGTCACAGTTGATTCTATCAGACGTACTAACGACCTTCAAACACATCTACCAATATATCACACAACACAACCACCAGACTTACTAACAAGCATCAAACACATCTACCATTATATCACACAACACAACCACCAGACTTACTAACAAGCATCAAACACATCTACCAATATATCACACAACACAACCAACAGACTTACTAACAAGCATCAAACACATCTACCATTATTTCAAACAACACAACCACCAGACTTACTGATGAGCGTCAAACATATCTACCAATATATCACACAACATAAACACCAGACTTACTGATGAGCGTCAAACATATCTACCAATATATCACACAACACAACCACCAGACTTACTAACAAGCATCAAACACATCTACCATTATTTCAAACAACACAACCACCAGACTTACTGATGAGCGTCAAACATATCTACCAATATATCACACAACACAACCACCAGACTTACTAACAAGCATCAAACACATCTACCATTATATCACACAACACAACCATCAGACTTACTGATGAGCATCAAACATATCTACCAATATATCACACAACATAAACATCAGACTTACTGATGAGCGTCAAACATATCTACCATTATATCACACAACACAACCACCAGACTTACTGATGAGCGTCAAACACATCTACCAATATATCACACAACACAACCACCAGACTTACTAACAAGCATCAAACACATCTACCAATATATCACACAACACAACCAACAGACTTACTAACAAGCATCAAACACATCTACCATTATTTCAAACAACACAACCACCAGACTTACTGATGAGCATCAAACATATCTACCAATATATCACACAACACAACCACCAGACTTACTAACAAGCATCAAACACATCTACCATTATTTCAAACAACACAACCACCAGACTTACTGATGAGCGTCAAACATATCTACCAATATATCACACAACACAACCACCAGACTTACTAACAAGCATCAAACACATCTACCATTATATCACACAACACAACCATCAGACTTACTGATGAGCGTCAAACATATCTACCATTATATCACACAACACAACCACCAGACTTACTGATGAGCGTCAAACATATCTACCATTATCACACAACACAACCATCAGACTTACTGATGAGCGTCAAACATATCTACTATTATATCACACAACAAAAACAACAGACTTACTAACGAGCGTCAAACACATCTACCATTATATCACACAACAAAACCACCAGAATAACTAATGAGTCATATCATGGGGCTTGTGACCTTACTTTGTTATGACAAACATAGGTCTTGTGACCTTACTTTGTTATGACAAACATGGGTCTTGTGAGTTATCAACTGTTTTTTGTATGATACTCAATTATCCAAACAGAAGCTTATTTAACACAGAAGATACATTATCAGAAATGCTTTGAATAAAGTGACATATAGGGCTGTAACTTAAAAAAAAACCCTAAAAGCTCTGTTAATAGTATAATAGCAGGATTTTAACAAGAACAGGACTATATCTTAGTGATTTGATTAATACATAGTTACTAAAGAATTCAGAATTACTGAGATGATAATGGCGACCTGCATTGGGCACTTGAATAATAATCCACCTACTTCCATATTGCTATAAACAATAATAGTTTTAATTTGATTTTTCTGATATTCATGATAATTGGAGTATCAAATATTGATATCTATAATAACCTTAACCTACAGTACATTGTCATAGTTGTTGGTTTGCCTCCAAAGTTTATTTATTATATAACGTATCTAATGCCATGATAATATTGTGGCATAAATCTCATCCACTCAATATGTATCCATAGTTTCATTCTGGAGTTATTTTGTTGCCACAAACTTTTCTGGCCTTAGATAGTCATGAGTCTGTCTATGTCCTGTATCTAACTTCATTTTTCCACTGTAGATGTATGCGAATATAACACTGTTTTCATCAAAAAAATAAATTGACTGCACACTGTGTCATCACATTTCTTTCATGTCACTTTTTTGCCCATCCAGTACTTTGGTTTTTCCTTAAACCCTTTGCTTATCTCCCCTGCTGTTCGTCGTAACTTCTTTCTTTCCTCATAGTGTTCTTTGTTAGCTTTCTGTCGTCGACTCTCCCGTTCATTCTGTAATGAAAAAAAATGCTGTTCTGACATCTACAATATTGGAAACCTCTTCATGCTGAAGCTATAGAAATAACCTGGCATCTCAAATATTCCCTTCAAAAGTGACAACTATCAATTCGCGGAAATAGTACGCACTCGGGTATATGCGCAAGTACATTTTTGGGGTCAGATTTAAAGAAAAAAAATTTATGCAATGAAAAAATCGATTACCTGTTACCATGGTGCAACAGTTGAACATTTTTGCTTTTTGCATTATTGCTAGCAGCTGTTGCAGTAATGTTTGGAGCTTAAAATGGACATCACAGTAAAAACATTAATCTTGTTACTGATTGTACAAGTTATAGATATTTCCTTAAACGTTTCTGCTTTACCGATAGCCACAGTCAATTTTCATGTTGACCTTTTCTTTGGTTGGGGAAACCCTTTCCAATTTAGCATTGATAATGTTACATAATAATCTAGAAAACGAAGCACTTTATTTTGTTAACATGAAAACATGATGGCAGGCAGTGACATTAGTGACACAATAAGTAAAATCACATTTTTCAGCACCGAATTCTTGTTATCAGTGTGGCAAATGTTATTTGATAATTCAATTCAGAATTCTGAAATAAGTGACATTACTTGCCAACATAGTTGTGACTGATTCAGGCGGGAAGCCATTTTTGTTTACAGGCAACGGTGTCTTGTGTGCACATGCTATCATATATGATGCAAAATTGTTTATATAACCAGGCTGTTGATCAACAGAAAAGGATTTTCCTTTTTATAATTATCACTTAATTTCTTTTTGTGCATATTTCGGCAAACACTAACTGTCAATTTTCATAAGGTGAAACACTTTATATATATATATATGCAACTATAAAAAAAATTGGTAAAAAAATTTTGTTTTACCATGATGTTGAATTTGTCAATATTTTGCCAAAATATACAAGAAAAATTGAAAATTCAAGTACAATTTCTGATTAGCCACCCTTGTTTTTTTATCTTACCTTTTTCCATCTAAAGGTCATTTCTTTATTGCCTCTGGTTCCTGACTCCTTGATGATAGACTTGTCATGTGAACTTTCTAATCTCTCTGCAAGGCTTTTCCTGTAACATAAACAAACTGTATGCACACTGCCTCTTCAAGAACAAGTATTATCAAAGAAAATATTTCCATTTTTTAAAATACTAAATTGTCAAGTAGTTGCAGGAAAATGCTAAAGGACATGTGACACTGACAGCTAAGTAATGAATATCACCTCTCATGGAACACAAGTAATAAAAGAAATACTTTCTACTTTTTTTCAAATACATGCATTTGAATATAAATGAGAAGCTGGGATATATGCATTGCCTTTTCCTGAATATGTATTATCAAAGAAAAACAAAAAAAAAAGTGGTGAAATAACTCTTTCAGCACACTGGGTACATGAAAGGAAGACAATGTACTTATTCATCTGAATAAATTTCCATGTATAAAAGCCAATTAGAAAATATGTCTGTGATGTTTTTTATGACATTACTGTTACATTCAGCAGACAAAAGGCCAATGACATTACTGTTACATTCAGCAGACATAGGGCCAATGACATTACTGTTACATTCAGCAGACATAGGGGCCAATGACATTACTGTTATATTCAGCAGACATAGGGCCAAGTACTTTACTGTTACCTTCAGCAGACATAGGGCCATAGGGCCAAGGACTTCACTGTTACCTTCAGCAGACATAGGGCCAATGACATTACTGTTACATTCAGCAGACATAGGGCCAAGGACTTTACTGTTACATTCAGCAGACATAGGGCCAATGACATTACTGTTACATTCAGCAGACATAGGGCCAATGACATTACTGTTACATTCAGCAGACATAGGGCCAAGGACTTTACTGTTACATTCAGCAGACATAGGGCCATAGGGCCAAGGACTTCACTGTTACCTTCAGCAGACATAGGGCCAATGACATTACTGTTACATTCAGCAGACATAGGGCCAAGGACTTTACTGTTACATTCAGCAGACATAGGGCCAATGACATTACTGTTACATTCAGCAGACATAGGGCCAATGACATTACTGTTACATTCAGCAGACATAGGGCCAAGGACTTTACTGTTACATTCAGCAGACATAGGGCCAATGACATTACTGTTACATTCAGCAGACATAGGGCCAAGGACTTTACTGTTACATTCAGCAGACATAGGGCCAATGACATTACTGTTACATTCAGCAGACATAGGGCCAAGGACTTTACTGTTACCTTCAGCAGACAAAAGGCCAATGACTTTACTGTTACCTTCAGCAGACATAGGGCCAAGGACTTTACTGTTATCTTCAGCAGACAAAGGGCCAATGACTTTACTGTTACCTTCAGCAGACATAGGGCCAATGACTTTACTGTTACCTTCAGCAGACAAAGGGCCAATGACTTTACTGTTACCTTCAGCAGACAAAGGGCCAATGACTTTACTGTTACCTTCAGCAGACAAAGGGCCAATGACTTTACTGTTACCTTCAGCAGACATAGGGCCAATGACTTTACTGTTACATTCAGCAGACATAGGGCCAATGACATTACTGTTACATTCAGCAGACATAGGGCCAAGGACTTTACTGTTACATTCAGCAGACAGAGGGCCAATGACATTACTGTTACATTCAGCAGACACAGGGCCAATGACATTACTGTTACATTCAGCAGACAGAGGGCCAATGACATTACTGTTACATTCAGCAGACACAGGGCCAATGACATTACTGTTACATTCAGCAGACATAGGGCCAAGGACTTTACTGTTACCTTCAGCAGACAAAAGGCCAATGACTTTACTGTTACCTTCAGCAGACATAGGGCCAAGGACTTTACTGTTACATTCAGCAGACATAGGGCCAATGACTTTACTGTTACATTCAGCAGACAAAGGGCCAATGACTTTACTGTTACCTTCAGCAGACATAGGGCCAATGACTTTACTGTTACCTTCAGCAGACAAATGGCCAATGACATTACTGTTACATTCAGCAGACACAGGGCCAATGACATTACTGTTACATTCAGCAGACATAGGGCCAAGGACTTTACTGTTACCTTCAGCAGACATAGGGCCAATGACTTTACTGTTACATTCAGCAGACATAGGGCCAATGACATTACTGTTACATTCAGCAGACATAGGGCCAAGGACTTTACTGTTACATTCAGCAGACATAGGGCCAATGACATTACTGTTACATTCAGCAGACATAGGGCCAAGGACTTTACTGTTACATTCAGCAGACATAGGGCCAAGGACTTTACTGTTACCTTCAGCAGACAAAAGGCCAATGACTTTACTGTTACCTTCAGCAGACATAGGGCCAAGGACTTTACTGTTATCTTCAGCAGACAAAGGGCCAATGACTTTACTGTTACCTTCAGCAGACATAGGGCCAAGGACTTTACTGTTACCTTCAGCAGACAAAGGGCCAATGACTTTACTGTTACCTTCAGCAGACAAAGGGCCAATGACTTTACTGTTACCTTCAGCAGACAAAGGGCCAATGACTTTACTGTTACCTTCAGCAGACATAGGGCCAATGACTTTACTGTTACATTCAGCAGACATAGGGCCAATGACATTACTGTTACATTCAGCAGACATAGGGCCAAGGACTTTACTGTTACATTCAGCAGACAGAGGGCCAATGACATTACTGTTACATTCAGCAGACACAGGGCCAATGACATTACTGTTACATTCAGCAGACAGAGGGCCAATGACATTACTGTTACATTCAGCAGACACAGGGCCAATGACATTACTGTTACATTCAGCAGACATAGGGCCAAGGACTTTACTGTTACCTTCAGCAGACAAAAGGCCAATGACTTTACTGTTACCTTCAGCAGACATAGGGCCAAGGACTTTACTGTTACATTCAGCAGACATAGGGCCAATGACTTTACTGTTACATTCAGCAGACAAAGGGCCAATGACTTTACTGTTACCTTCAGCAGACATAGGGCCAAGGACTTTACTGTTACCTTCAGCAGACAAAGGGCCAATGACATTACTGTTGCATTCAGCAGACACAGGGCCAATGACATTACTGTTACATTCAGCAGACATAGGGCCAAGGACTTTACTGTTACCTTCAGCAGACATAGGGCCAATGACTTTACTGTTACCTTCAGCAGACATAGGGCCAATGACTTTACTGTTACATTCAGCAGACAAAGGGCCAATGACATTACTGTTACATTCAGCAGACACAGGGCCAATGACATTACTGTTACCTTCAGCAGACATAGGGCCAAGGACTTTACTGTTACATTCAGCAGACATAGGGCCAAGGACGTTACTGTTACATTCAGCAGACATAGAGCCAATGACATTACTGTTACATTCAGCAGACATAGGGCCAAGGACTTTACTGTTACATTCAGCAGACATAGGGCCAATGACTTTACTGTTACATTCAGCAGACATAGGGCCAATGACATTACTGTTACATTCAGCAGACATAGGGCCAAGGACTTTACTGTTACCTTCAGCAGACAAAGGGCCAATGACATTACTGTTACATTCAGCAGACATAGGGCCAAGGACTTTACTGTTACCTTCAGCAGACAAAAGGCCAATGACTTTACTGTTACATTCAGCAGACATAGGGCCAATGACTTTACTGTTACCTTCAGCAGACAAAGGGCCAATGACTTTACTGTTACCTTCAGCAGACAAAGGGCCAACGACTTTACTGTTACCTTCAGCAGACAAAGGGCCAATGACTTTACTGTTACCTTCAGCAGACAAAGGGCCAATGACTTTACTGTTACCTTCAGCAGACAAAGGACCCATGATTTTACTGTAGCAGAGAAAGGGCTCATGACTTTACTGTTACCTTCAGCAGACAAAGGACACATGACATTACTGTCATCTTCAGCAGACAAAGGGCCATAGAATTGTATGCACTGAGGCATACAATGTATGAGAATGTAATGAATTAGACGGAACATACATGCTGTTAAAATCCTTCATACAATCAGGAAGAAAAAGTTTACAAGATGGTGATGAATTGATAATGAAAATAGGTCCATTTGGCACAGAAGTTTTCTATATGTATAGTTGGTAAGCATGTACAGACCCACGACACACTTGATAGTTGTCCATGTTTGATACTGCACATGGTCAGTCATAAATAGTGGTATATGACTAAGAATTATTGGGTGTGTGCTAATGGTTCAAAATATTGGAATGGTCACATAACTGGGTTGTATTATCATATCTAAAGGCCATGTCCCAGATATTGTGAGACGTGTGTAATAACACTATTGTGATGGCATAAATAATCATGTCTTGATGACATCACATAATTGTCTTGATGTGTAAAAACATACTGTCCACATCTAAATAAGTCTGTTTTAAAGAGAAATCAATTTTCGAGTTCTTCTTAATTATAAAAAAATGTGAAATATGAAAAACCAAATCTTACAGCTATGCAAATATATTTTTTTAAACTTGTTGAATAATCTGATTGGCGAGCCATAAGGCTCAAGTTTTTGAATTTGTTCAATAAATTTCATACTACATTGGCACTCGTTCTTCATCCTTTATCTTCAATGTCATAAGTAAAAAATCATTTAAATCAGAAACATTTTCCTTCAAAACTTTTCATAAGATGAGTACAAAGATTGGTTCAATTTTCCAGAGTTATCTACATGATATAAAGTGACATTATAGGATGACTTCAAATTATTTGCAAATTGAGTAATGAGAATATATAAGTTTATTATGTCACTTAAACATAAAGTTGTCCCTCATATATAATTACAGTGTCTATTACTTAGACTTATATCAAGATAGATGCAAAGATCTGAAAAGTATGATGAGAGCTGCACTTATATCTTACCTGAGTTCTTTTCTCTTCTGCTTGGTTTGTTCCTTGTTAGCATCTTGTCCTTCTTTGAGTTGGTAGAACTTTGGCTGACTGTTGCCACCCTTTTTCTCCAGCCTATCCTGGAGATCCTGCTCATACTGTAAACGCTTTGCCTGGTGGTAGTCCCGTTTGTGATCATCTGTCCAAACATGTTCATCATCAGAGCTACTGTCATCATCACTGGCACGACCCTCAACCTCTTCTTCCTCCTGTGTGATTAAAACAGTTTTGAATCTGTAGACTCTATGGCAATGAATCTGAGATAAGAAAATGTCTGTAAGACATAGATGATCTTGCTGCTAAGACCTTGACCTTGCTGCTAAGACCTTGACCTTGAACCCCTCAAACACATCAATGTTCAAAGTATACTCGTACTTGATCTTTGCATAAAGTTTAACCAAATTCCATAAAACAGAATCAGTTGATTTTCCATATTGGGCAAGGGTGAAGTTAGCCTTGACTTAGGGTCCCTGGAACACAACGATGTTTAAAGTATACTCATAATTAACCATCATATAAAATATGACCAAAATCTGAATAAGGTTGCAATGTGCTTACGTTGAATCAGAACAGGACGCGACATGACGTTATCTGATACCATGGATATGGGCACTGCTATAGCCATAATTCCTAATCATTAAATATACTTGGATGATAGCAATCCTAACATAGAATCCTTACTAAACATCTGCAGATGTTTGGTGTAAACTGACTGATTTCTAAGGAAGGTATTCTGTAAGATGAATTAACCATTCATAACTTATCACATGTAACTCTTCTGAGATACATCTGCCGACCTATTCAACTGACCAAAGAAATTATTGTGCAGAAACCAATACACAATGAGTAGGCCTAATAGTAATATCCTACACATTTATTTGATCCAAGCGCTGTAAAATTTACTAAAACATTATGGATGTTATTTCATTCTGTATCAATTTCCTCCTGCACTTAATTCTCATTAACCAACTTTCCTGTTGACCTCTAAAACAGACTATCATGTAACTCTCCACACATACATTATATCATATATCAATATTATATAGTCCAGATTCAACAGGATGTTTCACTTTGATCAAGGCAGTACTAAGTACTTTTTTCTGTGTTCGTTGTAATTTCTGATGACACATCAACTTTCATCACTTCAAATCAATACCACACAGGAACTGACTAATATAATCTGGATGGGAGCTTTCCTAAATATCATACAGTATTTTTCAAATATTTGAACTTTAGTATTTCTAAAATCTATCTTCTATGTACTTACTTACAATTTCATAAATCTTCAGACAACTATGTAAAACCTCTTGTATCATGATGAGAATATGGCTTTTATTTTATCCAATTACATGAAACCCCTTCAACAGAAGTTTTGATCAAATGCACCATTAATTTGAGAATGATGATGGCCTGTTTGCAAAGTCAACATTCCTAACAGTTTAAATACTATATATTGTTTATGTACACATCTCTAGAAATGGTGACTATATATTGTATATGAACTTCACAATCACTTAGGACCAACTGTGGTATATATATTGTAAATGTACACATCTCTTACACAGGACTGAATATCACTTAGGACCAACAGTGGACTATATATTGTTTATGTACACATCTCCTACACAGGACTGAATATCACTTAGGACCAACTGTGGACTATATATTGTATATATACACATCTCCTACACAGGTGTGAATATCACTTAGGACCAACTGTGGACTATATATTGTATATAAACACATCTCCTACACAGAATTGAATATCACTTAGGACCAACTGTGGACTATATATTATGTACACATCTCTTACACAGGACTGAATATATATGTGGACTATATATTGTATATGTACACATCTCTACACAGGACCAAGTACACTTAGAACCAACTGTGGACTATATATTGTATATACACATCTGCTACACAGGGTATCACTTAGGACCAACTGTGGACTATATATTGTTTATGTACACATCTGCTACACAGGACTGAATATCACTTAGGACCAACTGTGGACTATATATTGTATATGTACACATCTGCTACACAGGACTGAATATTACTTAGGACCAACAGTGGACTATATATTGTATATGTACACATCTCTTACACAGGACTGAATATCACTTAGGACCAACTGTGGACTATATATTGTATATGTACACATCTGCTACACAGGACCAAGTATCACTTAGAACCAACTGTGGACTATATATTGTATATGTACACATCTCCTACACAGGACCAAGTATCACTTAGGACCAACTGTGGACTATATATTGTTTATGTACACATCTCCTACAAAGGACCAAGAATCACTTAGGACCAACTGTGGACTATATGTTATGTACACATCTCTTACACAGGACTGAATATCACTTAGGACCAACTGTGGACTATATATTGTATATGTACACATCTCCTACACAGGACCAAGTATCACTTAGGACAAACTGTGGACTATATATTGTTTATGTACACATCTGCTACACAGGACTGAATATCACTTAGGACCAACTGTGGACTATATATTGTATATGTACACATCTCCTACACAGGACTGAATATCACTTAGGACCAACAGTGGACTATATATTGTATATGTACACATCTCCTACACAGGACTGAATATCACTTAGGACCAACTGTGGACTATATATTGTATATGTACACATCTGCTACACAGGACCAAGTATCACTTAGAACCAACTGTGGACTATATATTGTATATGTACACATCTCCTACACAGGACCAAGTATCACTTAGGACCAACTGTGTTATATATATTGTATATGTACACATCTCCTACACAGGATTGAATATCACTTAGGACCAACTGTGGTATATATATTGTATATATACACATCTCCTACACAGGTGTGAATATCACTTAGGACCAACTGTGGACTATATATTGTATATGTACACATCTCCTACACAGGACCAAGTATCACTTAGGACCAACAGTGGAATATATATTGTATATGTACACATCTCTTACACAAGACTGAATATCACTTAGGACCAACTGTGGTATATATATTGTATATGTACACATCTCTTATACAGGACTGAATATCACTTAGGACCAACTGTGGTATATATATTGTATATGTACACATCTCTTATACAGGACTGAATATCACTTAGGACCAACTGTGATATATATATTGTATATGTAACAAGAGATCCCAGAGGGATCTTGGCACCAAACATTGATTATGATATGCTCTTTGAAAGTTGGATCCTTTCCCTTCTTTTCTCTGCTCATCTTTGCTTTTGCTCTAAATGATAAGACATTTGAACGTTCCTTAACCTGCCAAATCCAATATGGCCATCTGGAAGCCATTTTGTTTCCTGTGATCAGTCCCAAAATCAAATGAGCACAAGGAGAGACCAAAAAGAACATATGTATGAAATTACAGAGATATCCATTTAGTACTACGTAAGAAATAGCAATAACGATCTTTACTAGGCAAAATCCAAGATGACTGCCTGTCTGCTATTTTTCTGATTAGTCCCAAACTCAAACTGGCACAAGTAGGGACAAAAGGAAACTGCACATGAAATTCAAGAAAGATCCATCCAGTGCTTCTCAAAAAATAGCGACAACAAATTTAAAAAGTTAAAATCCAAGATGGCCACCTTAAAAATTTAAGAAAGATCCATCCAGTTCTTCTCAAGAGATAGTGATAACAAAAATTATTTCTGAATTACATTCAATCTATAAAGACTGTAAATACAGGAAAGAAAATCTACTGCCAATATTACCAGCCGTAGTGTTGTTTTCTAAAATAATAAACCTTTAAACATTCCCTAAGATCATGCCTCCAAAATGCCTTTGATAAACAAGAGGCCCATGGGCCGTAACGGTCATCTGACAAAAAGCATGCCAAACTCTAACAACAGTGAGTCTGCCGCTAAAACAGTGGGCTTTATTCATTTGAATAAACTTGGTAGCCCTTCCTCCCAGCATCCTACAGGCCCAATATCAGCACTCTGAGCCGTTTGGTTACTGAGAAGAAGTCGTTTACAGATTTTAACATATTTGAACCCTGTGATCTTGAAAGTGGGTCAAAGTCATTCACTTGGACACATTTGGTAACACTTCCTCAAAGCATCCTACAGGCCCAATATCAGCACTCTAATCATTTTGGTTATTGAGAAGTCATTTGCATATTTTAACATATCTAACCCCTGTGACCTTGAAAGTGGGTCAAGGTCATTCATTTGAACAAATTTAGTAGCATGTCATCCCAGCATCCTACAGGTCCATTATCAGCACTCTTGGACTTTTGCTTATTGAGAAGAAGTCTTTTGTATATTTTAATACATTTGACCCCTGTGACCTTGAAAGTGGGTCAAGGTCATTCATTTGAACAAACTTGGTAGCCCTTCATCCCAGCATGCTACAGACCCAATATCAGCACTCATGGACTTTTGCTTATTGAGAGAAGTTGTTTGTATATTTTAACATATTTAACCCCTGTGACCTTGAAAGTGGGTCAAGGTCATTCATTTGAACAAATTTAGTAGCATGTCATCCCAGCATCCTACAGGTCCATTATCAGCACTCTTGGACTTTTGCTTATTGAAGAGAAATTGTTTGTATATCTTAACATATTTGACCCCTGTGACCTAGAAACTGGGTCGAGGTCATTCATTTGAACAAACTTGGTAGCTCTCCATCCCAGCATCCTACAGTTCCATTATCAGCACTCTGAGCCTTTTGCTTATTGAGAAGAAGTCGTTTGTATATTTTAACATATTTGACCCCTGTGACCTTGAAAGTGGGTCAAGGTCATTCACTTGAACATGCCAGCATGCTATGGGCCAAGTATTAGCCCCCTAGGCCTTCTAGTATTTGAGAAGAAGTTTTTTGAATGAAAAGTTTACAGACGACGCACGGTGCACGGTGGACGGCGGACGACGACGGACGAAGCACGATGGCTATAGGTCATCTCGACCCTTCAGGTCAGATGACCTAAAAAATAACTACTTTCATTTATTCAAATATGAAACATATCTATCTAGCTTTCCAATCAATAATATAAGGTACTTGCATCAACTTCTTCGTATTGTTTAGCCAGCTGACTCTGTTGTTTTCGCTTGACCGATTTGTCCAGTTTGGAGATGACTGGGTTAAGCAGCCTATACTCCTCAGTAGATGTATCAATCTGAAAGTCGGACTTTGTGAACATCTCACTAAATCGATTATCCTCCAAAAGACTGACGGCTTCCTGAAAAAAAATAAACAATCATTGGTGTCAGAATTTGTTTTACATACCAAAAAGACATCTGACTGCTTTGAGGGTAATGACAAGCCAAAGCACAGAATATGGTAATAAGATACCCCACTAGTAATCCAGGAAATAAAATAAGAACACACAAATTACCTACGAAATGAAACATGGACACATAAGTTAGCCATAATAAAAGGTCAAACAAAATAATTAGGAAGTGAACTAAAAGGTTACACTAAATATCTAGGAAGTGAACTAAAGGTCACACAAAGTATCTAGGAAGTGAACTGAAGGTCACACAAAGTATCTAGGAAGTGAACTAAAGGTCACACAAAGTATCTAGGAAGTGAACTAAAGGTCACACAAAGTATCTAGGAAATGAACTAAAGGTCGAACAAAGTATCTAGGAAGTGAACTAAAGGTCACACAAAGTATCTAGGAAGTGAACTAAAGGGTCACGCAAAGTATCTATGAAGTGAACTAAAGGTCACACAAAGTATCTAGGAAGTGAACTAAAAGGTTACACTAAATATCTAGGAAGTGAACTAAAAGGTTACACTAAATATCTAGGAAGTGAACTAAAGGTCAAACAAAGTATCTAGGAAATGAACTAAAAGGTCACACAAAGTATCTAGGTAGTGAACTAAAGGTCAAACAAAGTATCTAGGAAGTGAACTAATGGTTACACAAAGTATCTAGGAAGTGAACTAAAGGTCACACAAAGTATCTAGGAAGTGAACTAAAGGTCACACAAAGTATCTAGGAAGTGAACTAATGGTTACACAAAGTATCCAGGAAGTGAATTAAAGGTCACACAAAGTATCTAGGAAGTGAACTAAAAGGTTACACTAAATATCTAGGAAGTGAACTAAAAGGTTACACTAAATATCTAGGAAGTGAACTAAAGGTCACACAAAGTATCTAGGAAATGAACTAAAAATCACACAAAGTATCTAGGTAGTGAACTAAAGGTCAAACAAAATATCTAGGAAGTGAACTAATGGTTACACAAAGTATCTAGGAAGTGAACTAAAGGTCACACAAAGTATCTAGGAAGTGAACTAAAGGTCACACAAAGTATCTAGGAAGTGAACTAATGGTTACACAAAGTATCCAGGAAGTGAATTAAAGGTCACACAAAGTATCTAGGAAATTAATTAAATCAAAGGAACCATGGTATATGTATTTAACATAAGTGATTTTCACTACTAACAATTAACTTGCATGTCTGAAATTTGGTTTAAATTGCCACAATGTACTTTAAAACCTTTACCATACAAAGGATCGATTAAATTGAAATTTCTTAATAGTGCTACTTTTCTAGGATGTTGTATTTTGACTTCAGCTTGATGTTTTCTTATACACAAACATTTGACAAAGTTCTCTTACTTCTTTCTGGCAAATATTGTACATGGGGAAACATTTGCAGCACTATCCGTTTTGCCACCTTAATCACAACTATGAAAAATGAAAAAGGTCTCCTAAAATTTTATATTAATGCTGAAATTTATGTATAGCTAAATGTAAATCTTTTTCATGGTAAAAAATCTGTTCTAAATAAGGGCAAAAACAGGGAAAGTTTCCCAACATACTGATGTGATAATCAATTTGATAAGAGAATTTAACATTTCGTTCCATTTTCTGAAAGAATTATAAATATTTGACACAAATTTTTCATTATACAAGCATGTTCATGTGTATCTAAGTTCTTATGAAAAACAAACATCTAATTATACTGAAAGAAGACATATATTTAATTTCCACAAACATTAGTGGTGGCAAGCTGTTTCCACTGACCACAACACTTTCTGTGTATTAGAGTAACTATCTTCCCTATATAAGAGACATTCAGGACAGACAGTAGGACAATAATACATATATAATCCCAGGAAAACATGCATGATTAAGCAAGGATAGCTTTCTGGATATGTTAAATGGTAGGGGAAGTCAATGTTTATCAATTTCCTGTCACATATAGTGAAACAGGAGATCCATGGGCCTCATTGGTTATCTGACAATATAGACCTATATTATGAAAGAGACAAATAGGCTTTAATCCCTCAACTACTCTACAGCTTAAAAGAAAGAGATTCTAGGTTGATAAAAACATTTGATGCATTTTCCTTAAACATGCTAATACATAAAAACATGGCTTGTGACCTATTACTTGTTGAAAAGAAGAAATTTTCAGTTCCAATTCATTTAACCCTAGCGATATTGTAAGTTACTGAAGGTCAATCATCTGAGTAAATTTGATCGCCCATAATTAAATTATATTAAAGAACCAATATCAACTGCCTGGACGTTTTGGTTACTGAGAAGAAGTCATTGATGATTTCAAAATATTTGAACCCTGTAAATCTTCATCCAAGCGCACATCACAGGCCCAATAGCAGCACCATTGATATTTTGGTTAATGAGAAGAAATTTTCAAATATTTGACACTGTGACCTTGAAAGTGGGTCAATGCCATTCATTTCAACAAAATTGGTTGCCCTTCATCCCATTAAGCTGGCCAAATATAAGAACCCTCAACCCTTTGCTTATTGAGAAGAAATCATTTGAATGGAAAATTTATGCATGGTGGACAGTGAACGATACCCTTATAAACAAATTCTGACTTACTTTTGCTCGTTTTTTCTTCGCTGAAGTGGTTGCCATCTCCTCTTTAGCTGTCAGCAGTTTTTCGGCTAGATCTCTATTGACCTTTGGAAGTTTCTGTGTTACAAAAAGGAAAGTTTCTTGTTATGATCCACAACTGATTTTAAAGTGATGAAATCTTCAATATCAGGAGAAGTTAAGAATTAAAGTCTGATACATACAATGTAAAAAGTCAGAACTTATCAGCTATAACATTTTTTGATCTCTATTTGGTCTTTACAGATTACTTCCTTCCCTGTTTTCTTTGTTTGTGCTCTTTAACATATGGAATTTGAAAATTCTTCTTCAGAAATGGTTTTGTATCATTGATGAGTACTATGATTAAAATTGCAAAAATAGGGACAAAGGGGAACCTATCTACAAAATCTGACAAAATTCCAACAATAACTTCCCAAAAATGATAATAAAAATATGAAAAAATAAAGAGAACTTACTTATGATCCCCCCAGTACTTCTCCAGAGAAACAATAACAAATTACCAGGTCAAAAAACCAAGATTGCTGCGTCTAAGCCAACTTGTTTTTCAAATCATTATCAAAAATATCCTATGCACAACAAGGGACTAAGAGGAATCTACATATGAAAGGAGAATGATACATGTAGTACTTCTGAAGAAATAGCAAAAACAAACTGTTACTGCCAAAATGCAAGATGGCAATAAGATATTTTGTGAACTAAGAGGAATCTACATTGAAATTGGAGAATTACTCATTCATTAATCATAAAAATTGAGCTATTATCCAAGGTGTCAGCCTGCTGGCCATTTTGTATATTGAATTAGTCCAAAATGGGACAATGCACAAAAATGGACCAATGAGAACCTTCATATGCAATTTGAAATTGATCCATCTAGTGAGAAGGAAGGGTGATTAGAACAGCCTGCTGTGTGATGAAGACAGACAACATACCAGTAAGGAAGGGTGATTAGAACAGCCCGCTGTCTGATGAAGACAGACAGACAACATACCAGTAAGGAAGGGTGATTAGAACAGCCCGCTGTCTGATGAAGACAGACAGACAACATACCAGGAAGGAAGGGTGATTAGAACAGCCCGCTGTCTGATGAAGACAGACAGACAACATACCAGTAAGGAAGGGTGATTAGAACAGCTCGCTGTCTGATGATGATGGGCTAAAACCTGATAAAACTATTAACGTCATGTCCTGTATCACTCACATGGGTATTAAAACAATATTAAATGCAAAATTAATCATCATGTGTTCTGTAATTTGTACTTAAGGAACCAGTGCACATTTACAAATGATATATAGTGCTGATTTTCATGACGTACGCAATAATGGATGATGTAAGAAAATTCTGTAATTCTATCCCCAAAACCTGCTTCTGTGTTTTAAATCATCAGCCCCTTGGGTCTTCTATAAACAAGCTAAGAATGTTCAAGATTTTCAAGATATTTGAGCCCTGTGACCTGTAGTCAAGGATATTTATTTGAAGAAGCATTGCCAGTAGAGCACTTAATATATCAGTAACTTTGGTCTTATGAAAGGTAAGTTCGTATATCCAAGTTAAATCCATATTTTAAATTTAAAAAATGAAACTGAATTCAAATTCAATACAAACCTTTGAGCGCACTCTGTTTGCCCGATCTTCTTCCAATTTTTCACGAATCTTTTTCTTTCTATATTCTTCATATGCAAAAGGTTCTGCCATTGCTTTAGCCTAAATGTAGAAGATATCATCAGAGATTACCTCTAGGATGCTAGGATCTATCTATCTTGATAAATCACCCATAACCTTATTAGTTACATATGTAAATAGTAAAGGAAAGTGTGATTTCTGTTGTTTCTTTTGCAGTAATTATATTGATTGAATAACATGAAATAAACAATACTACTGTAAACTGATAACAGCCAAGAAAGTTTCCTCAAATCACAAAAACTTGTCCACTGTCCTCACCCTGTGGTACAGCCTGATGTCAATGAAGAATCCGTGCATGTATGCTCTCAACATGGTGGAGCCTATGAGATGGGCCAGGCCCAGATCTTCCAGCTCCTTCCTTGTGATGAACTTGTAGTCATCATATACTGAGAAATTAGAAAACAATTTTATCATGTTAACAACATTTACTTATCTTCCTGGTGAAATTTTTTACAGCTTTTTTGAAATTGTTGATGAATGTAAAGATACATAACCAAATGTTATATCCACCTGACACAAAGACGACATACAGCCTTTGACCTAGAACTTTGACCTTACAGGCCAAACAAACATCCAAACTTTGACCATTTTGTAAAGTTACAAAACCAAGTCACAGATCACAGAGAACTTGAGATAAAGCAATCTGACCTTAACATGGACCTTATAACTGTATGATAGATATATTCAATAAGGTAAGAATATCTATCACAACAAAATCAGAATAGGTTTTTCAATTTACTTGGTGTCTGTCAACTGGTTTCACCCATTAGTGAATTTCTTCTGGACAAAATACACAGTTTGTTTTTACCTATAAAGTACATAAAATATGGGCACAATATTCTAATAATAGCTGACAGCTTATAGCCCCCTTATGTTTCTATTGTCCTATCTCCTCTTTTGGCGTGCAGGGTGGTAAATGTTATAGAGAAAATATAGAAATGAGTTATGTTAAGTATATAACAGTAACACCAAGAAGTTTACCTCCCTGTCATTGACTTCAAAGTTAAACTTTATAGTTGTGTGATATGAGTTTGTGGATTCACTGAAGGAGGTAAATGTTTGTTTCTCTGATTGGTTAATGATGAAACGGACACAACAACCAGCAAAGGAGAACCTAAATTTAAAGTTTGAAAATATATATGTCTCTTGTACTTCTAAAGAACTAGTGATAACAAATTTAAACTGTTAAAATCAGAAATGGCCACCTGTCTGCAATTTTGTTTCTTTGATGGGACTTCAATTGGAATGGTCACAACTAGGAGCTGTGGGGAACTTACATATAAAGTTTGAAAATATTACTCTTACATTTCTGAAGAAACAAGGATTTTTATGGATGGACCACTGCCGACAAAAGAAGGGCAGTTTGAACGGTATACCATCTGATAATAGTGAGCTTATACAAAATTCAACATAGATGAAGCGAAGTCCCTGTCTTTATAAATAAACCAATCATAACTGATGTTATATACGGTAAGTAATACTGGCAGAATATCAGTAATGTTAAAGATCACACACTTACCCATGTCAGCTGTGTTTTCTTCCAACTCCTCTGTCATGTTGTCCAGAAATGAACACCATTTTGGTGCAGTTCCTAAAGCCTGGTAAGTAAAACAGCTGTATGAGATATGTCTACCAATACATTTTATACATTTTAAGATATAGCATTTATAGTCTTGTGTCAATGTTAGAAACAATAGTTAGAGTTGTGTCAATGTTAGATACTGTAGTTAGAGTTGTGTCAATGTTACATACAGCAGTTAGAAATGTGTCAATGTTACATACAGCAGTTAGAAATGTGTCAATGTTAGATACAGTAGTTAGAGTTGTGTCAATGTTAGATACTGTAGTTAAGCGTTGTGTCAATGTTACATACAGCAGTTAGAGTTGTGTCAATGTTACATACAGCAGTTAGAGTTGTGTCAATGTTAGATACTGTAGTTAAGTGTTGTGTCAATGTTATGTACAGCAGTTAGAGTTGTGTCAATGTTATGTACAGTAGTAAGAGTTGTGTCAATGTTACATACAGCAGTTAGAGTTGTGTCAATGTTAGATACAGCAGTTAGAGATGTGTCAATGTTTTGTACTGCAGTAAGTGTTGTGTCAATGTTACTTACAGTAGTTATAGTAGTTTTAATGACAAACAACTTACAGAAATATAGAAGCTTAATGACAAACAACTTACAGGGATATAGAAGCTTAATGACAAACAACTTACAGGGATGTAGAAGCTTAATGACAAACAATTTACAGGGATACAGAAGCTTAATGACAAACAATTTACAGGGATACAGAAGCTTAATGACAAACTACTTACAGGGATGTAGAAGCTTAATGACAAACAATCTACAGGGATACAGAAGCTTAATGACAAACAACTTACAGGGATGTAGAAGCTTAATGACAAACTACTTACAGGGATACAGAAGCTTAATGACAAACAACTTACAGGGATGTAGAAGCTTAATGACAAACTACTTACAGGGATGTAGTAGCTGAGAATCTTTGGTGCTTCATTAGCCATGAAGATCATACCCGACTCGGGTAACAAACAAAGGTCATTCAAGTTGGTGCCAGGTTCAATGGATGTGAATGCCTTCCCCTACAAAAACATCAGTATGATATTGTCCAGCTACTATTTCTTTATGGTTACTCTCACTCAGTCCTTGATTAATAAGTATTTAAGTCCCATGTTTGTCATTATAGAATCGATACATGGAGAGTGCGTAATTACTTATTACAATTATACATACTTCTTTTCCATTGGAGGTAAAAGGATGTATAGAACCTCACTGTATGTAAACTGTATAACCGATTTAAGATAAATTTCAAGAATTCGTAACACGGAATTAAAATCCCTAAAATGAAGTTAACTGAAACATCAAATCATTCTGTAGTTTTAATCATTACCGTTTCTTGGTTCCACAGTTTCAGAATCTTGGTATCCATGGAGAGCACAATATCCATTGATTCTTGGAATTCAATTGCCTTAATAGGTAGCTCATACTGATGATCCTTAACTAGCAGCGGTTTGTCAGATCTCATGTCGTACAGTAATACCTAAAAATAAAACTGTACAAATAAGTCCTTAACTAGCAAGTTAGCAAAGGTGATGAATGTCCTTAACTAGCAGTAGTTTGTCAGATCTCATGTCTTACAGTAATATCTAAAAATAGACACATACAAATAAGTCCTCACTTAGCAGAAATGATGAACGTCCTTAACTAGCAATGGTTTGTCACATCTCTTATCCTACAGTAATATCTAAAAATGGGGCAAAGCCACAATTGGTCAGGTTGTGGGATGAGTGTGATGTTATATGGTATTTATAAGACAGTTAAGGGTGTTTCATTTGTTGAGTATGTAGAATATTTGTTATAAGATAGAAAGTTTGGTTGTATTTTATGAATTGGTGCAGAAGAAGGGCATTTGAAGAAAGAAGTTGCAGCCATTTTTGATTCGGAGATGTTAAAAAAAATAGACAATGGACATCTAGGGCCCTAAGGTGATTTATATATGGAATTTCGGAAAGATTTTTGTAGTAGTTTTTGAGAAACTGTGATAACAACATCTCAACCAATGAGAGGCAAAGGCTGCCATCTTGGATTTTCCAAGCCAGACTGTTGAAAATTACCAAGTTCCAAAGCCCAGAAAATCAAGAACAATGTCTGGAATGAATCCATAATAAAAGGTGCACATCTTCCAACATATATATAAACATCCCATAAAGTTTCAAGCTTCTACGTCAAAATCTCTAGGAGGATTGATTCTACAAAATTGGTACCCCTTTTCCCCCGCCTGCCCAGCTGACATTCACCGTACTATAACCCAAATTTGCACCATGTCCTTAACTAGCAGTGGTTTGTCAGATCAAGCAGTGGTTTGTCAGATCTCATGTCGTTTAGTATGTTTTTATGTCATGCATGTTCCTACTTCTCCATATAATCAGAATGAAGCAAATTCTTGTTCTACACAACAACAAATCAATTTTGAAATTTTTTAGCTATTTTATATTTCTCACCATATAAAGATTTGTGTTTCTTTCACATGAATGTAAAGAACTTAACTTTCACAAAATCACCATATCTACCTACACGTCTGAGATCTACAAGCTATAACACATGTTTAACCAAAGTTTGGTTGGCCTAGCAATTGTACTACAGTGTATGTCCAAAATTGATCTAAACAAAAACTTTAACACTGTACAATAAATAAACAAAGTTTAATTCAGAATATGTAATGTGTATTGCGATTAAGGAGAAAGTAAGATAAAAAACGAGCTACAATGTAAACGTAACTTGGTATAAATTTTTTAATTAAAAAGTCCAATTAATTGTCTAGTATATCTAAAATCAGAATTGAAACCTGTGGCGAGATGTTCTTGTTTACACTGTATATACATGTATCTAAAGAGAATTATAAGTAATTGTAATTATTGAACAAGTTTGTGTTTCACACAAATCTTGATACAGCCATCACCACTCTGTTGCATGCTTGACAAAAACATACAAATGAGAGTGGTCTTTTACCTCTAGCACTTAGAGGTGATGACCTGTAATAATTACTTAGAAACTTTCTTGTTCAGTCCATCATAAACACACTACAAATACCTAGAAAAGCAAAACATTTCCCTATCCTTTACAGTATGTGACTGCAGCATATTAATGGGTTCCCTAAAACGAAGTGTTGGTACATCTGTGGGGTGCCTATCACATTCTAACCTTGTCAAATTTGACCTCTATACCTCTCCAAACAAACCCCCATACTACAAATTTTGATTGACTGGTGAGTGCTATTTTTCAAGGTTCCAGTGATTGGCTAGACAAGAGGAGACAGAAAAAGAGAATAAAAGAAACAGTGAGTGCAGAAGAAATATTACATTGGTATGAATTCACTAAAAAAAAAAGGAAACAAGATAATACAGGGATCTACAGTTCCCAACCAACACACTGCCTCATCAAGCTTAAGTGAACCTATATTATAAGTATGGAGTTCCAGTGACAGGAAGTCACAAACAAACTTTTTCTTTGATGGAAGTCAAAGGTCAAAATTTAGGTCAATGTGACCTACTTTTGATATTTGTCACACCAAGTCACCAAAGTGAACCCATATCCTAATGAACAAGTTCTCATGGTTAGTACTATAGGAGATAAAGCACATACAAGCTTTTTCTTTCATGTCAATCAATGGTCAGAAAGTATAATAAACACTGTCTGGTAATAATTCATAGGTCACAGTTTTACCTTATACAAACACATACCTGTCTAGTACTTCAGACAGTCACAGTTTTACCTTATACAAACACATACCTTTCTAGTACTTCAGACAGTGACGGTTTTACCTTATACAAACACATACCTGTCTGGTAATAATTCATAGGTCACAGTTTTACCTTATACAAACACATACCTGTCTAGTACTTCAGACAGTCACAGTTTTACCTTATACAAACGCATACCTTTCTAGTACTTCAGACAGTGACGGTTTTACCTTATACAAACACATACCTGTCTGGTAATAATTCATAGGTCACAGTTTTACCTTATACAAACACATACCTGTCTAGTACTTCAGACAGTCACAGTTTTACCTTATACAAACACATACCTGTCTGGTAATAATTCATAGGTCACGGTTTAACCTTATACAAACACATACCTGTCTAGTACTTCAGACAGTCACAGTTTTACCTTATACAAACACATACCTGTCTGGTAATAATTCATAGGTCACGGTTTTACCTTATACAAACACATACCTTTCTAGTACTTCAGACAGTGACAGTTTTACCTTATACAAACACATACCTGTCTGGTAATAATTCATAGGTCACGGTTTTACCTTATACAAACACATACCTTTCTAGTACTTCAGACAGTGACAGTTTTACCTTATACAAACACATACCTGCCTGGTACTTCAGACAGTCACAGTTTTACCTTATACAAACACATACCTGTCTGGTACTTCAGACAGTCACAGTTTTACCTTATACAAACACATACCTGTCAAGTACTTCAGACAGTCACAGTTTTACCTTATACAAACACATACCTGTCTAGTACTTCAGACAGTCACAGTTTTACCTTATACAAACACATACCTGTCTAGTACTTCAGACAGTCACGGTTTTACCTTATACAAACACATACCAGTCTGGTACTTCAGAGAGTCAGTTTTACCTTATACAAACACATACCTGTCTAGTACTCCAGACGGTCACAGTTTTACCTTATACAAACACATACCTGTCTAGTACTTCAGACAGTCACAGTTTTACCTTATACAAACACATACCTGTCTGGTACTCCAGACGGTCACAGTTTTACCTTATACAAACACATACCTGTCTGGTACTCCAGACGGTCACAGTTTTACCTTATACAAACACATACCTGTCTGGTACTCCAGACGGTCACAGTTTTACCTTATACAAACACATACCTGTCTGGTAATAATTCATAGGTCACGGTTTAACCTTATACAAACACATACCTGTCTAGTACTTCAGACAGTCACAGTTTTACCTTATACAAACACATACCTGTCTGGTAATAATTCATAGGTCACGGTTTTACCTTATACAAACACATACCTGTCTAGTACTTCAGACAGCCACAGTTTTACCTTAAACAAACACATATCTGTCTAGTACTTCATTGAGTCACGGTTTTACCTTATACAAACACATACCTGTCTAGTACTTCAGACAGTCACAGTTTTACCTTATACAAACACATACCTGTCTGGTACTTCAGACAGTCACAGTTTTACCTTATACAAACCCATACCTGTCTAGTACTTCAGACAGTCACAGTTTTACCTTATACAAACACATACCTGCCTGGTACTTCAGACAGTCACAGTTTTACCTTATACAAACACATACCTGCCTGGTACTTCAGACAGTCACAGTTTTACCTTATACAAACACATACCGGTCTAGTACTTCAGACAGTCACAGTTTTACCTTATACAAACACATACCTGCCTGGTACTTCAGACAGTCACAGTTTTACCTTATACAAACACATACCTGTCTAGTACTTCAGACAGTCACAGTTTTACCTTATACAAACCCATACCTGTCTAGTACTTCAGACAGTCACAGTTTTACCTTATACAAACACATTCCTGTCTGGTACTTCAGACAGTCACAGTTTTACTTCATACAAACACATACCTGTCTGGTAATTGTTGAGACAGACAATTTCATATGGTTGGTACTTTGGGACTCTTACAGTAATAGTTCATACAAACACTTACATGTCCTGTACTCGTTCCCACTGCCATGTTTAGACCATCTCGGAATTTCATGGCTGTCACTGCAGGAATTTCCAAGGTGCTTTAGCCAAAACATATATGACATACATTAATTTTGGTTAAGATTTTAAAGTGTATATGGTCATTTCATTTGTCCATTAAAAATTGGTTCTTTTACTTTCTATTCTTACTTCTGTTCCCAAGAATTGTTTACAGACTGATGATTGATGGACCACAGATGTAAGGCAATTTTACCAGCCCATCGTTTGATGATGGCAGACTAAAAATTTCTACAATTTTAGCTGTTTTCATCAATATGAAGCACATCATTTATTCCACCTGCAAAAGTTTTGATGGTCTAAACAGGAATAAAATAATTTAAAAGAAATAATAATAGTAGTATCATTAATATTTATTTTTCTGAATTTTATTTCGATAAGAAATGAAAATTCTCAATGTGTTTTATGTAGTATTTTAATTGCAATAAAATTAATCAGTGTTCATAATGTATTAGCACATTCTTTCACATCAAAAATCAGGATAATAAGCATGAAAACAATATTAGGCAATTTTGTATTGTTGCTTTATGTAGAATTCTACCATTTCGTGCTGGGAAACTAATATGCACACAGAAAATTTTTTATGGGAATCCAACAATTCCCATAAAAAATTTTGCTTTCAATGCAGTGACTGGAAAGCATTATTCTGATTGGTCAAAATTGTAAAAATTCCTATATATCCCTGGCAAAAATGCAAATACTTACTCCAGGTCATCCACATGTTTACTAAGGGCTATATCCAGCACACCCACTCTAGTTCGGACACGTGGGTCAAAACACTCTACGGTACCCTGTCCAACATAACAAGGACCTTATGTCACAACCTTTCTGCTTTAACTTGATAAAGTGATCAAACACAAACATTCCTGAAGTGAACGATTCAAAACCCAATTTCAAGTCAATTTGAATAATTCTGAATTTTAATAGTTTTAACAGAGTTTTTGCAAATTATCAAAATCCACCCAGATTTGATGTTTTTTCCTTTGCAAAAATGAATATCAGATAATAGTAATCCATATATCTATCTGAACACGTCTATATCTAACTATTGTATATAGAAAATCTTTCTGCTGCTGTTGAGGAGTTTTTTTTAACAATGAGGTGGACTGTAACAGAAAGTAACACTTAATATGTCACCTTAGTTGCTGCATCACCAAAAAATTATAAAAAAAAACCCCTGATTATCTCATTTATAAGAGAGGTCTCTGGACAGGATTAACATCATGAAACAACAAAGCGCAGTAACACTTTCAAATCAAATTCTAGAAAATACAACTTCATGTCATGGTAATTAAAACTACCAAGTTTGAAAAAGAACAATTTAAAACTGTTGGAGATATCTGGGTTGGATTTATAAAATTTTTCCAAATACTGTCAAATCAAACTCATGTCCAGGAAAACACAATTTCATGTCATGGTGATTAAGCCTACATAGGGTCAAAGCTACAATTTTGGATATGTCCAGTTTGGAAGTCCTTAAAAAACGGGAAATTGTTGATAAAGTTTGAATTCAAATATCTTATAACAACCTCTGAATGCATGTATTGCAATCGACTCAGTTTAAAAATAAAACATGTTGTGTCATATAATCAAATTTGATCAGCAGAAAAATTCTTCTGCAAAACAGCTCATGTATATAGGCAATGGGACAGAGAATAAAGTAAATCTTTAGTCTAATCCTAAATCTTTAAATTTATCATTGTTGTACAGATCTTTTTTGAAAATTTAATACCTTGTTGATCAAATTATACATGGAGATACACAATAACATTGCAATATTTTTGAACATGGTGTTACTTTAAACCTATGTTGATGAGAAAATATACAAATCATCATTATGTATAGATCTGAGGAAAACAATTTAACAAAAAAAAAAAAAAAAAGATTTAACATAGAAGAGTTCAGACCCAAATCTGGTAGAATCTGCATAGCTCCTCACAATCCCTTCTAATCTATAACTGTATTGAAGTGTACATGTCGTCAGTTTAGAAAAAAGAACACTTACCATGTTTGTCCCACAAGCAAAGAGGTAGTTAGCTGGATTGAACTGGCAACAATTTACTTCTCTGTAACAGAAATAGCAGGGCACACTTTTGAGATTCTAAATACATCATACTGAGTTTATCAGAATAGGGGGTACCAAGGGGATAGTATAATATACTTATGAAATCCTAAATATATCCTACTGGGATTTACCAGAGAAGGGGGTACCAAGGGGATAGTATAATATACTTATGAAATCCTAAATATATCTTACTGGGATTTACAAGAGAAGGGGGTACCAAGGGGATAGTATAATATACTTATGAGATCCTAAATATATCTTACTGGGATTTACCAGAGAAGGGGGTACCAAGGGGATAGTATAATATACTTATGAAATCCTAAATATATCTTACTGGGATTTACCAGAGAAGGGGGTACCAAGGGGATAGTATAATATACTTATGAAATCCTAAATATATCTTACTGGGATTTACCAGAGGAGGGGGTACCAAGGGGATAGTATAATATACTTATGAGATCCTAAATATATCTTACTGGGATTTACCAGAGAAGGGGGTACCAAGGGGATAGTATAATATACTTATGAAATCCTAAATATATCTTACTGGGATTTACCAGAGAAGGGGGTACCAAGGGGATAGTATAATATACTTATGAAATCCTAAATATATCTTACTGGGATTTACCAGAGGAGGGGGTTACTGTGGGGACAGCAGAATACATTAATGAAATCCGGAAAAAATCACACTGTGATTTATTAGAGAAAGCCTTAGGTATCAAGGACAAGAGATCCTGAAGGAATATTGGCATCCACTACTGTTTGATCTTTATCTGTTGGATCTATTCCTTTATTTTCTCTTCTTTCCTATGCCTTTGGTCTGAATTCTGTGAAATATGAAAGTTTCTCTTGAGAAATAATAATCTTATAACTCTCAAATCCAACATGGTAACCTCTCAGCCATTTTGTTTTTTCTGATCAGTCTGAAATTTCGAAAAGGCACAACTAAGGACCAAGGGGAACCTACATATTAAACTTGCATAAGATCAATTTAGTACTTCTCAAGACATAGTGATAACAAGAAAAATTTAAGGATGGAGAACAAACAGACAAATGACAGATGCAAAGTTATTTTGAACAGCACAAAATCTGATGATGGTTAGCTTGAATGGGTATAAATGTCTGAAATTTCAAAAACAAGGCAAATTGTTATAAGAAATCCAAAGTCAATGGACTCTAACAGGTATGAGTAAAGAATTGTAACACTCTACATTTTAGGGCAGTAGATATCAATACACTTCACACAAATTACTGCAATAAAATTGATCATGAAATGACTAGATCAAAAGTGATGCACTGAAAAATGATAGGGTATAATTATATATAACAACAAAAGTAGGAATTCAATTTATAAGAAAGCAATTGTCTAATCATATAACATACCTTCAAGTCATACTGAGTTACATCTACCCTATCAACATTAATCTATATTGTTTATTCACTATACATCAAATATACATAATCATCATCAAAAAGTTGTAAACCTTTAACACAGAAGAGATACTAAAAGCCTGGCTTGAACTAGCAGGAGACTTCCTTTTGACACAACTGACTGTATTTACCTATAAACCAACCTGAAATCATTTGCAGTTTACTAAATGTTGAGAAAATTGAAATACAAATGATACTGATACATGTTTGGAAATTTATGAAATTCTGGATTAAGATTTTCTCCTTGAATAAGAAGAGATGAAAGGACCAGACACTTACTCTGCATTGACTATGAGTGGATTCAGGAACCTGCCTTGCTCTAGGTTGAGTCTGTAGATTTCTGAACTGTAAAGGTAAATTAAATCTTCAGTTATTTCAAGATGAAATTTTTATTGCCAATATTCCATGTCAAATGTAAATATTCTATCTGTATTTTTCCATCAGAACCCATTTGAAGAATTATCATTCATTTGATATTTCCATTATCATTTCACCAATAATTACAACTTCTGGTAAATATTTACTTACCTCATTCCTCCAATATACATGTCACAACTTGCATGATGATAGGCAAGGTCACGACCATATTTGGGTATGCGTAGTCTGTAATATCGTCCATCTTGGGAGTGAAATTCTATGTATCTGTCGCATTGCAGGAAGACAACCTAGGGAAACAACAAAAAGGACAGGTAAGTTGATGTTTCATCGAAGATACCACTGTCAGCTGATGTCTCATTGAGGATGTGACTTCCTCTGATGTCTTGTTGTAGATATGACTATCGCCTGATGTCTCAATGTAAATAGAACTGTCCCTGATGTCTCAATGTAAATAGAACTGTCCCTGATGTCTCATTGTAAATAGAACTGTCGCCTGATGTCTCATTGTAAATAGAACTGTCACCTGATGTCTCATTGTAAATAGAACTGTCGCCTGATGTCTCATTGTAAATAGAACTGTCGCCTGATGTCTCATTGTAAATAGAACTGTCGCCTGATGTCTCATTGTCAATAGAACTGTTGCCTGATGTCTCATTGTCAATAGAACTGTCACCTGATGTCTCATCGTAAATAGAACTGTTGCCTGATGTCTCATTGTAAATAGAACTGACGCCTGATGTCTCATTGTCAATAGAACTGTCTCCTGATGTCTCAATGTAAATAAGCTGTCATCTGATGTCTCATTGTAAATAGAACTGTCGCCTGATGTCTCATTGTAAATAGAACTGATGCCTGATGTCTCATCGTAAATAGAACTGTCGCCTGATGTCTCATCGTAAATAGAACTGTTGCCTGATGTCTCATTGTAAATAGAACTGATGCCTGATGTCTCATCGTAAATAGAACTGTCGCCTGATGTCTCATCGTAAATAGAACTGTTGCCTGATCTCTCATATGTAAATAGAACTGTCGCCTGATGTCTCATTGTCAATAGAACTGTTGCCTGATGTCTCATTGTCAATAGAACTGTCTCCTGATGTCTCAATGTAAATAAGCTGTCATCTGATGTCTCATTGTAAATAGAACTGTCGCCTGATGTCTCATTGTCAATAGAACTGTCGCCTGATGTCTCAATGTAAATAAGCTGTCATCTGATGTCTCATTGTAAATAGAACTGTCGCCTGATGTCTCATTGTAAATAGAACTGATGCCTGATGTCTCAACGTAAATAGAACTGTCGCCTGATGTCTCAACGTAAATAGAACTGTTGCCTGATCTCTCATATGTAAATAGAACTGTCGCCTGATGTCTCATTGTCAATAGAACTGTTGCCTGATGTCTCAATGTAAATAAGTTGTCATCTGACATCTCATTGTAAATAGAACTGTCGCCTGATGTCTCATTGTAAATAGAACTGTTGCCTGATGTCTCATTGTCAATAGAACTGTCACCTGATGTCTCACTGTCAATAGAACTGACGCCTGATGTCTCATTGTCAATAGAACTGTCGCCTGATGTCTCACTGTAAATAGAACTGTCGCCTGATGTCTCATCGTAAATAGAACTGACGCCTGATGTCTCATCGTAAATAGAACTGTCGCCTGATGTCTCATCGTAAATAGAACTGTCGCCTGATGTCTCATCGTAAATAGAACTGTTGCCTGATGTCTCATCGTAAATAGAACTACCCCTGATGTCTCAATGTAAATAGAACTGTCCCTGATGTCTCATTGTAAATAGAACTGTCGCCTGATGTCTCATTGTCAATAGAACTGTCACCTGATGTCTCACTGTAAATAGAACTGTCGCCTGATGTCTCATTGTCAATAGAATTGTCGCCTGATGTCTCAATTAAATATGCTGTCACCTGGTGTCTCATTGTAAATAGAACTGTCGCCTGATGTCTCATTGTAAATAGAACTGTCGCCTGATATCTCATTGTGAATAGAACTGTCGCCTGATGTCTCATTGTGAATAGAACTGTTGCCTGATGTTTCATTGTAAATGTGAATGCTGTCTGATGTTTCATTGTAAATGTGAATGCTGTCTGATGTTTCATTGTAAATGTGAATGCTGTCTGATGTTTCATTGTAAATGTGCATGCTGTCTGATGTTTCATTGTAAATGTGAATGCTGTCTGATGTTTCATTGTAAATAGAACTGTCGCCTGATGTCTCAATTAATAAGCTGTCACCTGGTGTCTCATTGTAAATAGAACTGTCGCCTGATGTCTCATTGTAAATAGAACTGTCGCCTGATATCTCATTGTAAAATAGAACTGTCGCCTAATGTCTCAATTAAATAAGCTGTCACCTGGTGTCTCATTGTAAATAGAACTGTCGCCTAATGTCTCATTGTAAATAGAACTGTCGCCTGATGTCTCATTGTAAATAGAACTGTTGCCTGATGTTTCATTGTAAATGTGAATGCTGTTTGATGTTTCATTGTAAATGTGAATGCTGTTTGATGTTTCATTGTAAATGTGAATGCTGTCTGATGTTTCATTGTAAATGTGAATGCTGTCTGATGTTTCATTGCCGATATGACTATTGCCTAATGTCTCATTGTAGACTGTAAGCTGATGACTTATAACACATAAAATGACTGAAATATTTAAATCTCTATCACAATGTAAAGGGTCTCTTTCTTCAGTAAAAATATGAATAGACTTTGATATAACAAATTTACTTAACAGCTGTTGTAAATGGATAGTATATACAATGTACAACGATATGTTGTAGGAGACATATTTAGAAGATAGGAAGCATGTACTGATTGGTGAATAAAAAAGAGGCAAAATAGTCTATTTAAACCTACTTTGGAATAATCTTTATCCAGTAATAGAAACTTAACAACATCTGAGTCCAGCCCTCGTTCAAACTTGAGGGACATCTGAGAAACATCGTAACATCTAAATCGAGGCTTGTATGTTCCTGGAACAAACAAAAATGGAGGAAACTTATTCAATACACTTGAAAACCATCCTAAAAGATATCTGTGTTTCAATTTTAAGATTTTATTCATCCAATCACAAGGGGTATAGTAAACAAACACCATTTAGGATTACTTTTTGACATAGTAAAAATACAACACATGTTCAACACAAGAGTGCCGTGGACACAATATACGCTGCCACAAAATATAAAGATCAAGATTGGTCCTTTTAATTATCGCTTTGAACACGTCTGTATCATAAATCTTACAAAAATCAATGAACCGTAAAATTGCCCCTTCATGCACATCAAACCATTGTATTGGTGACATTGAGCAAGTTTTATGAAAATTTGATCATTAGTGTAGGAGGAGTTGCGTTCACAAGAAATGGACATACGGACGGATGTATGGTGTGATGGATGTACGGACATACGACGGACAGACTGAGAAGATGACACCGATATATGACCGTTTGCGGCGGCGTATAACAAAACTTACATGGAACAAATGTCATGTTACCAGGCAGAATGCAGATTTTATAAAGCTACCCCCAATTTTCCCAACTTTTTTGCTCAACAGTAAAAAAATGTTAAGAATTCTTGTAGAAATTTTTGAACTTTAGTGAAATAGAATCCATTTTAATAATACGATAGAATTAAGAGCCCACACAGTACAAGCATTACAATATATATACAGCATTAATATAATGGACATTACAAGATTCTTAAATATGTATGTAAGGTAGGGATATATCCCAATTTTGTAATCCTGGGGGTGGAATATTCCTATCCAACACCTGCACATAGTTCTTTTGGTAAATCAATAAAACTGATGACAGGTAGCAAGACAGAATATGCTCAAACAAACACCGTTAATACATCTTCCTATAGCATCTATTTTCATTTTGTTTCTAAATTGACATCTTGTAAAAGTTTTTATATTTTCTGTTATCATCATGATTACTTTACACATGATATAAGTACATGTATTAGTTATTTAGGCAGATCAAAGGATCACTACTAACACAGCAATCAACTGCTTATAGCAATCACTAAATGATAAGACATCCAGCAATCTCTCTTTATAAACACAAGTTAGTAATTTGCATTTTCTTTAATCAATGGTATTCATGTATTAAACAACACTCACAGAATAGTTTGAAAATATTTTGAAGTAAAAAACCCTTTTGATTTTGTTCATATTGAAAAGAATAGACTGCAGTAAATACCTGTTGTACATATATACTGTCCATCTGCAGTGACTTGTACCCCATGGCTGACAGTTGGCATTTCAAAATCCTGGAGCAGCTCTATCCTACGCCGAACATCTGTTCAATGGAACATAAAATAATGATGGTCATTGCACATGTTCACTTAAGACAAATGTATATATATTTTCATTCATAATTAAGGCCGAATTTCACTTAGAGGTTGCCATTTTTGAGGGGTTGAGGTTGCCTATCTGTATCTACTGATCCCTGTTCCTTCCTTAACACATGTACATGTAAAATGACTTTAAAGAGGGAAACTTACAAAATTTGAATCAATGGCAAGTCATGGGACTTAATGATTATAAACTAAATGAAGAAGTTTTGGGTATTCCTATAATATATGCCTTTTCAAGTTTATGTCTAGAAATTTAACATTGATGATTTGATATTTAATATTAATGTTATAGTCGAATTAAAAAGTAACATAAATATTAAATATCATATTATAGGACTAGCTGGGGTTCAGGAAATAAATGCATCTTGTTTATTCTTATAAAGGAATAGGTTCTGTCATATCAGATATATCTAGTCATTAAAGATCATTAGTAATTACAAAGAAAATGGAGATCTGACATCCAGCAGAAAATCTACAAGTGTTGGTAGCCATCTGGGGATGGATTCCTAATGGAGTCAAATTTCAAAACAGTAATCAAAGTTAAAGGTAGATATGACCAACGACATCTGTTGGAAGGTTCAGCAGGATTAATTGGCTTACATTAGTCACTGACAACAAATGGCATCAGAGAATTCAATATGAAAAAGAGTACTCTGGTGTTATACCCAACATATACTGTATGTCCATTTCGTAAGATTTCTCATGATCAGTGTGATTTAGAATCCATTAGAAAATCTGGTTATCATTCTGGATACTTTGATTTCCTACCACAAATCAATTAAGTGTGCTTACATCGGAACCAACATCTTTAATTAACATTAAATTACCATTGCAAGTACCTGTACATATACAAAGCCACCCTGATCAGGAAACAGCCACGTTATAAGTTAATGTACAGCTGTACAGGTTATACTCTGGAGAGTTCTCAATTGTTTTATTATTTTTTTGTGTATGTACATGTACTCTACATGAATCAGCCATCACACAATTTAACAGAAAATATATTGCAGACTGAATTAGTCAGAATCCTTCAGACACCATATATATACAGCTGGGTGAGAGGTCATCATTGTACATATATACTTATACTACAATGTACCTAACATCATATAAAAGTCAGGGCTCTATACTTCTCAATGATTTACATGTTCCTGCTCTGTATCGGTTGCGGTTGATAACGAGATGGTTAGAAAGAACCCTTCTGACTGCATGCTATTTGTACCTCACATGTATATATTCTTCTGCCAGTGTAATTGCGAATGCTACTCATGATCACGTCAGGTAGAAACGTTTGCAAATTTTCTTTATGCATGCTTGCCGTTTATCTATTAAACTTACCAACATCTTGTTTGAGTAATGCTCTCCTTTTTCTGTCAGAAAGCCACTGTAAAAACGTAAAAAATAAAAAATAAAATATACAGTATATCACCTTATCACTGTTTTTAGCTGATACATACTGTACATGTAGGATTCATATCTCTTGGGGATGAGATGATTTTTACATAAAATGCTGTCGCACAGGTGATTAAAACGAAGGATACTCACACTACCATGTTCACTATTCAGTATTCACTGCTTCCTGATTTCAGGCACTAAATATACCACTATGAAAAATCAGCAACTTATGTCAAATTTTTTCATATTAGACCAGATAGGTAAATTCAATAAAGTATAGGATGGCGATAAACACACGAATGTGAAACTGCAAATTAAATTTACTACCATTGAAACCCTAACTTCACATACAAAATACTTTAGTAACAGTATTTATAGCAATTTAGCAATTGTCTGATACCAGTGGTCAATTGGTAATACTGTGTATATTGTCTTTCCAGTAAATATGTATAGTTTATGTTGTATACAGTGCATATAGATATTGCAAATTAGAATCATCATATTACTTATGGCCATACAATAAGTTCTCAAGCCTACTTCAGTAAAAAGGTAAAACAAAAATAATAATTATAATTAAATACGAATACATGTTTGAACGATGCATGCTTTGCATAAAATACATGTTATACTTAGACTGATTGCATATATCTAATATATTTATCTCATTAACATAAACATTATATTATCGTCTCTGACTACTGAGAAGAAAATCATCACAAGTATGTAAATCATAAAGATAAAATTGGATTATATTGAAACTATAAATTAGACCTGCTCCTGTGTAACAACTATGCCCTTTAAATCATGATTATCCAGAAATTCCAAGAGCTTTATTCCACAGGAGTCCTTTATTGAAAGTTGAAATACATGTTTAAGAGCTGACTGTGGAAATATACAATAGTATACATTTCGATCTGGTTTAATTGCTTTTAAACATTTTTTTCATCCTGTCAAGCTTATCTTTGACAAGAATATACACTATTTCCCCCTCATATAATCAATATCTTGAGACGAGTCTGTATCGAGTGTCTGTGCCATTAGCCCCAAGTGCTGTGGGATGCTACATTCGTCTGTTTATCGAAAAAAAAGTTGTGTGTTACCTCGGGTAGCGATTTGCCAGCGCTCAAATTGTAGATGTTCACATTATTAGGATTTGACACCTGCATCTTCCCTGTGTTGCTTTTTATGTAGTCATGTTGTCAAACATATAACAGATCATTTACAATTTACAGCACACGTGGGTTTGTTTTTCACAGGAGAGTTTCTTATGAAGGGAGCTAACTCCGTCGTTAGTATTTGTTCAAGGTTAAACGTCATTATTTCCTTTATGCTCGTTAATCTATGTATCATGTTGTACAGAGTTATCGTCATAAGAATAGCTTATTGAGCTAAAGACGTGATGGTCGTCAATCTATTCTTCCAGAGTACCAATTTTCGCCAATGTCTTTGTTTGTTTGTTTGCAATTTTTAGAATTTTTTTAAACAATTTAAAATATTTGTTTTCCTTCATAAATCCGATTGCCGAAATATCCACAGTGATCTTATCGACGAAACGTTTCAACTCACGACCCTTGACGAGAAATGAAAATAGCTCGACGCCAAGAATCGTTAAAAACGACATTATGTAAAATGTCTTGAATCTTATACTAGGCAGCTTTGACCAAATTTAAGGGACAAAGCGCCCAGTCAACAGATCTTTGACACAACTTTGCCTCTCTTGAAATACAGGCTAAAAATGACCAGAGGTACTTTGAGAACTTTCTTAATTATTTATGACATTTAATGAAAGTATCAATTTCTACGTCTAAGATTACATCCAACTTTTGTAATACACGATCATATCCAATTATCTTGTATTAAACCCATAAGTACACTATAAGGTTAATATAGAATTTATAGAAATTTCTGCATTTCTAGAGTAATCCTAGCCTTTAATTGCTTCCATGCGAAAAATTTCATCTTGATCATGTAGTGTTTTTATTCAACATATCAGATTCAAATTAGAAGCATTGTTTTCGCTCTGTCATCCCTATAGCGTGAAACAAGAGGCCAGTTTACCAAGAAAGAATCGAAACATGATTGGCAAATTCAGTTTTGACTGATTATATAATTATACATAGTAACACACGTATGCTTAAATTACGAAAAAAAACCGACCTTTCTCTAGAAATCTAATACATGTAAGTTAAACAGACAGTCAAAACCGGAAGCAGTACATGGAGTAAATAAAGTAACATGTAATACAAGCAAACAATATTGATAGTTCACTGAAACTACGGTAAAATGTTAAAACTTCTCGGTAACAGCATCTTCGTTGATCTTTTATCGTCTTTCAGTCTCATTCTACTGTTCTACCATCAGCGTCAACTATTCATTTTTAAATAGTCCGGAAGGTTCTGACCTATTTTTTTTACTTGATATCGAACAGCGACCAATACAAATTAGATATCGCGGATAGATAGTCAGATTATGTGGTATTTTGTGAAGCCAGTGACAGATTTTGTGGTATAATGTGAAGCCAGTGACTGATTTTGTGGCATAATGTGAAACAAGTGACTGATTTTGTGGTATAATGTGAAGCCAGTGACTGATTTTGTGGTATAATGTGAAGCCAGTGACTGATTTTGTGGTATAATGTGAAGCCAGTGACTGATTTTGTGGTATTTGTGAAGTTAAATCAATATTGATGTATGATAAAGAGCAGAACACAGGCCACGGTACGGACATGGTACAGGTACTTGCCATCCACAGCTGGATGTATATGTTTTAATCAGTGTACAGTTATGGTGTTCCGTCAGGATATGAAACCGGACAAATTGATACAAACTACGATGGACTGTTTTTGAAGTGAATATAAAGCCATACAAGAACACTTACAGTGACACTTAACATTATACAGAAGGTCATTCACTTTGTGACCTTCTTATTAATCGTTTGGTGAATGCACGACCTTTTCTGTTCTTTTTATCCTATACAAAAATGATGTTTTACTTTAAACTTTAAATTAAGAGATGTGCGGATCTTATAAAATATATCGTTTTATTGTTACACCCCTCTCTATAACATGTTGTCACTAATGTCAGCTAATTTCGACTTTTTCGGACTCTAGTGTGTCTGAGGAATTCCAGAAAGATAACAAAAATGCTACATTATACAATGATATATACTGTATCTAACGCTAGATTTCTCAAAGAAAGGTGCTAATCATTCGGTTGTCTTGTAAAACTCACGAAGACTTCCTTCCGAATTTCAATTTTCTTGACCGTCCCAGGAGTAATATCTCGTCATCTGACCACTGTTTTCATGTGATTGAACTCCCATTTATGTCTGCATTTAAAAACGGATATTAACTTAACTTGAAAAGTTGACGTTTATGCACATGTACATATATCTAAATTTGAAATCTCAATATTGATTCATTGGGGATTTCCTATATTTTCATCTACTTCCTTATATCAGAGACGTATATACTCCGTCATTAACTTAGGTCTATGTTTATAGAGAAAAAAATTACTGTGTGTGTCCTGTCGGATTTTTATTAGCTGTATGGACGTGATGAGTTAACAGCGCTAGACTTAACCATGTCTCTACCTCCGGGCATTCTCCGCACGCTACTCTGTATCTTCTTCTGTGTTTTAAGGGTAGTAGAACTGTCGGGTAAGTTATACATTCTCGGCACGCTACTCTGTATCTTCTTCAGTGTTTTAAGGGTAGTAAACTCTGTCGGGTAAAATATACATTCTCTGCACGCTTCTCTGTATCTTCTTCAGTGTTTTAAGGATAGTAGAACTGTCGGGAAGTTATACATTCTCTGCACGCTTCTCTGTATCTTCTTCAGTGTTTTAAGGATAGTAGAACTGTCGGGAAGTTATACATTCTCTGCACGCTTCTCTGTATCTTCTTCAGTGTTTTAAGGGTAGTAGAACTGTCGGGTAAGTTATACATTCTTCCGCTCATTAATGTGATATTTGATGTGTTTAATTAAGAATATTAACTTTAGTACAATTTTTTTTCAGCTATTAAAATAATTTTGAAAATCACTTTACCTGATAAAAATACATCTTAACACGTGCATTTATCACTTACTATGTACTACTATGAACCTTATATGTTTGGGTGTAGCTGAAAATATGATATAACATTAGACTCATTTAGATAACCAGTATGATGTAAACGTTATTGATTTGGGGTATGGACTTGTTGGTATCGAATAACAATGGAACCGTGACGAAGACACCTCTTTCGTAATGAAATAAAAATATATCACTTGTTTTAAACGCCGGGTGAAACAGGCGTTCACCATAGAGTCGAAAGGTGCAAATGTTGTGATACTATGCCATATAGGGTAAAACATTAGGTATAGGACGGGTGCCAATCTGTAACTAATTAATGATAAGCCCTTCTCCCCTCGCTTTGGTTTTATATGCAGCTGACCTGGAAGCAGCTCTCTGTTATTCAAATGATATTGTTAAAAAGTTCTTATGAACTTAAAGCCCCAATATACGTAAAAAAAAACACTATAAAAAAAACAACTTTATCTTATTTTCCCCGTAATATATGTAACAAAACAAATACTTTCCTTTAATTAAAGAAAATAAAACTGACTGTTTTCAATTTAAATAAAAATTGAAAAAATTGGAAAATAAAGAATGTGGGACCCACAATAATTCATACATTACCGTTCGTAGCGATGACATTGCGCATGCGCATATTCCGCGTGTGTAAACATGGCAGACGCAGTACAGACGTTTTACCAGTCGCTTCCCTTTTTTCCAATCATACATCAGGCCAGTTCTGAATTCTTACGTTTTAATTGTGCGTCGTATCGTTTCTAAACTAATTATTCCTTCTAATAATTTCCCAAAAACTGAATGTTTATCACAGGAATACCTCAAGTCTACGACAAGACTTCGCAAACAATGTTTGTAAACAAAAACTTACCGAAGACATATCTTGCATGTGCTTCCTCTATAAGTAGAAACCTCAACTCTCGCGAGATCAGGTCATTAACTTTCCGACGTGGTTCGGCAACAATCGTAATTTAGAGCAGTGTTTACAAATAGCGAGTTTCAACTGCTCATATATCAATACTTTATGCACAAAGTCATGGTAACTATTGTTTGAATAACTTAATTTTAACTACAACTTAGAGAATATCTCAATGATTATGTGATTCTACACTAAATTTTTGGTGAATGTTACGTATATTGGGGCTTTAATCAATATCCCTGCATCTCTAACATATGGTATTTACATGTCACAGGTGATTCGATTTTCAAGGGCCTGTTCCCATTATCACGATTTCGTGCAAAAAGTCGTCAACTTCCTGACAAATTTTAGGACTATGGTTCAAAAGATTTAGGTTAATGGAATTTATTGGGAAGTTTTATGGTCACCATAGTGATCGCATTGAGAAAAACTCTATTTCTTTGTGCGACATGAAACTGGACATATTTGATGCTCGTTAGTTTGCCGATTGGTTCCCTTGTTGTATTTCTTGTTGTTTGAGAACGTGACATTAATTACTTGGATTGACCAAGGTTTATATGGCAGATGTCGATGTACTTTTCGCGGAGGTCTCGGAAGCATTCTTAAATTTTCACTCATCATATTTTTTATACGCCCGTCGAAAGACGGACGTATTATGGTATGGCGCTATCCGTCCGTCCGTCCGGCGTCTGAAGTCCGTTGTAAACTTTTATTTGTCGGGAGATCTCCTCCTACATTTTCAGCCGATCTTTATGAAACTTGGTAGGCTTAATCACCATGATATGAAGTTGTGTTTTCCTGAACATGATTTGAACATGAGTCATGGCCCTTTGTTTATTTCACTATAGAAATCTTGTCCGGAGATCTCCTCCAACACTTTTCAGCCGATCTTTATGAAACTTGGTAGGCTTAATCACCATGATATGAAATTGTGTTTTCCTGAATGGGGTTTTAATTAGACGATTTGAATAAGAGTTATGCCCCTTTGCTGTTTTGGATATTCACGGGCGTAACTTGTTTAACTTGCATTATCAGCTTTAAGTTTTGAAATACAGATTCAGCAACTTTACAGTAAACGCTGAATGAGAAAATTTGTATTTGAGAACGATTATGATTTCATGAATACGGATCCTGGTTGTTTTTACAGCAACATTTTGTGTGTCCGAGTGTTTCCGGTAAACGTTACTCTGTTGACTTTTGACGACAGAAGAATTATTCACTAAATAGCCCGCAATTTACATTTGTTTCAGAAATTGTCTCTTTTAAAAGACCAACGTCTCAAAGCAGCAATTACACTCTACCAAATGAGAACAGAATCGTCCACACATCTGAGAATGGCGTGGATGGAAACAGAAGGCAAACGTTATTAAGCAATTCATGTACGCACCAGGCTGATGGACAAGAGGAGGCGTGGTGGAGAGTAGACCTACAGAGACAAGTCACCGTAGAAAAAGTCCAAATATATTACAGAGACGAGGGATCTGTCTGGGGTAGGACAAGTTATTATTATACAGGAGATTAGATATTATTTAACGTCAACTGAAATTACAGTTCATACTACATCTATCAATACACAATGTGATTGTGAAACCTGTTTTCTACCTTTTTGCAAATGGTAGGTTCATAATATTTCTATCGATAGAATTAACCTTGTGATGTATATGTATTTGGCAGTAAAACATATTTATGTAACCTACAAACAGTCTATCATAGAATATAGACGCCGGAATCTGGTTTGCAAAACGTTTATATATATATATATTTACACGTATATATGATCATGTATGACAAATATCAAACTTTGATAAAAACAAGCTAACTCTTAAAAAGGTACAGTCAATAGTTACTGTAATGTATACAGTAAGACATGATGAAATCACAAAGGATAGTCATTGTAAGGTTAATATTCTGTTTTTTCTCTGATGGATAATATTCTCTCTCTTACTGATCATAGCAATATAGAGTATATAATAGGGACACTCATGTACTTCTCGCAGATGAGTGAAACATAGAGTATTGTATAACAAAACAACAAACATAAAAATAAATAAATAAAACCTTCGTTTTTGCTAGAACGTCTTTACATAATGATATTTTCCATACACTTATATAGCGGGATGGAGAAACAGATTCGCTGGATACGAGATATACCTTTCAAACACTACAGTGAGAAACAGAGAAGATCGATGTTTCCAGGACAAATCGGAAAATGTAAACCAAATTCAAAGTATTGTCACCCATGAAGAATGCAACGGAACCGCGCAGTATGTTACAATATACAACACCAGAAACCAGCCAAAAAGACAAAACTGGTACAGTTCGTTCGCTTTCTTAGAACTATGTGAAGTTGAAGTGTACGGTAAGTATTCGTTTTAAGTTATCAACTTATTGAAAAAAATGAAGGTATATAAAGAACTTCTCTCCCCAACTCGAGACCACCTGTCAGGATGATGGAATGTCACGAGCACATACTTCTAAAATCGATCATGGCGACACTATAAAGTCCATGGCTTCAATTATGGACGAATTGAACGAATCTCGGCTCCTCACTTTTATCTCAGTAAAAGTGGACACAGAAAGATAAAATCAGGGCATCAATAAACGCTCTTCAGTTAGTCTAGGTATAGGGTAAAAAACGAAGCTCCCATTTCAGCAAAGGTAAACACTTCCCTGTACGGAATACAAAGTGCAATTGAAATATATATCCATGTATGCTATTTCATAAGAATACCAGTGCCAGTTTATTCACAGACTGCTGACTAATAAGATACCGAATTCATGGACATAATTGCAAATGTAATTACTTATACAACCACGTGTAGGAAGTTCAAGTTCTTCTGCCCACAAATCTGTGTCTTTTTTAACACTGGTACTTGGAGTATATATATTGTGAATGGGATTTTAAAATGTTTGTTTTATGACTTGTATTCCAGGTAACTGACCAAAACTATTGTTGGAGCTAATAACTTTATCAAAACAGAAGCAATGCGATTTATGTTTTTAGGAAAGAAAAACTGCGCGAAAATGCGCGCGAAGCAGTCCTTAAATTTGAAAACTGTGTGCCTTTTTTCATTCGTTATACTGTCCTTGAATGCCGTGACGGTTGATAGGACACTAAACAATGTAAACCAAACCATTTGTAGGAGCAAATAATTGAGATTGATACATGTGGTATAATAACCTACATTCTATCAACACACATACATATATTATAAAAAATGTAAGAGGATTTTCACTTAGAAACGGACGAATTTCGATGTCACACCATGCTAACATGAACACAGTGTTCTATTTATCTGACCTGGTATTAACGTCTGCATCATCTTTCTGACAGGATGTGAAAGCGGGAAATACGGAAACAGAAACTGTGACCACAACTGCTCCCCGAATTGTCTAGGTGGTGTCTGTCACCCAAGTTCGGGAAATTGTTTATGTAAGTTTAGAAAACATAACATAAGTAAACCGTTCACTAATTTTCATATGAAATGTTACAGTTCTCTTACTATGAGAATAATTTTAACAAAACTTTGAAACAGAAAGTAATTTACCGTGTCTTTTTAACATTTCTTTTTTCTTATTTCTATTTGATGACTACAAACAAGACTGTGATGACAACACATTTACCAAACCTTGGGAAGAAAACTGCCTACCTTGTCCAGAAAGGTGTGCTGGTCAATGTGACCGTGCTGGAGGTTGTAATGGTAAAGTTGTGATAAGTTCTCTATAGTAGGAGGCTTTTCATGTCTATAACAAAAACAGGCAATGACCTTATCTTTATTTCGTTTAGTTACATAGAGGACATCATAAATCATTTATCAAGCTGATGCTTTGGTTTTTGACAGTTGATATTTCTTCGTATGAAATAGAATTATATGTGCAGTTAAATAAGGATGTTAGACATCTAAAACGGTTCCGTCATTACAATATTTATTATAAATGTATCTCAGAACACATAAATCCATTCGTTATTTATTTGCTTATCTGAGTGTCCCGCTAGCTGTTGGAGTCGTAAATGTGAGAAGTCCAATAGTAATTGTTTAAGTAAGTATGGTGAAATATTCATGTAGTTTTACGTAGTGTAGAAGTTGATCCAACAATATAACGAGTGTTCACAAATCCTATCATGTAATAAGTAATGAAGTTAGATAATATCATATATACATTTTCCATCAAAAGCAACAAGAAAATACGGATGTGTGAAATTAATCACGTTCCAAACTCAAACTAACAAAATACAAAAAAAAGAGAAAGATATACATGGAGACTCCTGAAAATATACATGGAGATTATGATAAGGTGTTCCGGAAGAGTAAGCATCTCCTGTTTCATCGACGACACCTATCATGTAAATCATGGCCAAGTAATGTTATAATCTCAAATGAGAACAAGGTATACAACAACGGAACAAGCAGGCAAACAAACGATCATCAAACACGTCCAGCTTCATATCGCAAAAAAAAAAAAAAAAAATCGAAAATCGTTATAGGAGGGATATTGCAATCCAAAAATGGAAATAGGGAAATCGAAATCATACACCTATCATAAAATTTGGTATGTTGGTTTCGTTCTGGAAAAAGATCGAGATAGGCGGCTGATGTAGAAGAGTTTGTCGTGTCCTTGATTTCCAATGCTGCTCGGTATATACGATTTATCTAGATCCGAAAGTAAAATTGAAGGAATTTGCAAAGTCTTTGTGACCTATGAACTATTATTTATTGTATATTAGAAATGCAGAATATAAAACTTCAGAGCACAATGACTACACGTATTTGTTTGTCTTGTAACTAGATTTGTGACTGTTGGTTAACGAGATTAGTTAAGCGTCTCTTGGATATAACTTACCAACGCAGCAGTTTTCAGCACAAACTCGTCATTCTTATGTCATTTTGGTTTGGAATACCATCACACTGTACAGGTTTTGATGAAACCTATTTAAATTAAGATATATATGGCGGTGGTAGCAAGGAATTATAATCATCGTTAACATTAGTACAAGAACAATAAAAGCCGGGACATGGATATTTTTAGGATGTAAACAAATATTTGGCAAGCTCATAGATATACGAGGCTGACATAGTAGACGGTTTGTCCGGAACCTGGTGTTTTGGTAAGGTTTGGAATAATCCAATATTAAAAAATAGTAAACAGTTGCCATGATGTAAATGTAAAAAGAGTTTCATCAACACCTTCACCTTTCTTCCAAAATATGGGCTGGAAAGATACACGTTATATGCTACAATACATACAATAAAAATATTTAATATACTATAATCTTTACCTTATGTCGTATGTAGTCAACAAGTGAAACAAAAGCTCTTGTATTTCGACAAACAAAAGTAAGCACATTCTTGACACATAAAATGCAATTGTACACACACTGTTTGAACACTAGGGTATACAGATACATAAATACTTTGTCTGCGCAAAGGGACACAACTCTCAAAAAATCAAATCCCGTTACAGCAGCACTAAAGGTAGTCACTCAACGAATGCAGCACAACAATAATCTACGCAGCATAAAATAATCCAAACAGAATTCATCATGTTTCAAAGGCAAACATGGAGATGCAGATAATAATGGATATCACATGCTATAGCTAAAAAAGAAAGCTGCTGATAGACTATAGATATTAGGTGTACGAGGGCTGATTAAAAAGTTGTAAGCCTCATATTTAAAGGTTTGAGTTGGCGGTAATATTCAGAATGTATACAATAGTTTCAACGATGTTTCAGGGCCACAATACCACTTTTAAAAAGTCCTTTTCATGACCGTTCAGAAAGCCTTCCACTGCATGTATGACGCCATTATTTGACCAAAAGTGGGTACCGGAAATAGTCTTGTGCAATTTTGGAAATAGATGAAAGTCTTATGTAGCGAGATCAAGCAAATAAGGCCGATGATCAATCAATTCAAAGCCAAAATCGTTAATGGCAGTCATAGCAATGACATAATCGTGAACACGGGCACTGTCCTGATGGATCATCACACCTGATGATTTTTCGGCGGCGTTTGAATTTAATATTTAATATCACTGCCTAAGAATTGCCGTAGATTGTATGTCCATTTTGCAGATAATCTACTATCAGAATACCATCAGCATCCCAAAACCTTTCCAGCTGATGGAAGTCTTTGCCTTCTTTTGGCGGGGGGTAAACAACTGTTGTTTGGCCTCGGCAAGATATTCCGTAAGATTTGATTGTACAAGTTCCTATGAAATCCCCAATGTATTGACTATATATCTCTCTGTATCTCGCTTGTCACCCATAAGAATTGCAGTAGATTGTATGTCCATTTTGCAGATAACAATATCATGGACTTTATTGACTATTGATGGTGTTGCAACAGTGATAGGCCTTCCAAGATCGGCGTCATCCTAAATTTCATTGTAGCTTATAAAGGGGCGTTGTTCCCTAGCGGTGCTACCTTATTAGTTTGGATCTCTGAATGAACTAGCCCTTTCTTCTGCAAATTTTGAATCACAGTTCTTTTCAGCGACCTTGTCTATTTGTCAAAAAAGTCACCTGTCTTGTTAACTTAAAAGTGTTATCACTACGACATAAACACAATCTAAAATAGTAAGGGAATAGTAGAGCTGAGAAAGGAAATTCCTGCCAAATTCATTGATACAAGACTCGCAACTTATCAATCAGCCCTCGTAAGCTCTACAACTATGATGGTTATTAATAGGAACATAATTGGCACTGTTTGAATCTGTTTGGCGGTGTAACATTGAAAACGGAACCGCGATGAAAATGGACTCTTGGTCCGTTTTCAACTGGGTCAATTTTCAACGTTTCGCGGCAGTACCGCTCTTCATTCTTAAATAACTATGAATCAGTAATTGTTTTGATTTGTATATAGACTTATTACATGCTACTACACACATTGTTACATAACTTTCTTTAAGTCATATGACAGAACTCTTTTCGACACAGATGGACGGACATGATCGCACTAGTGGTACCATTACTTCTCAAATACTCGGACTCAGGTCGCATGGTGAAACGCGAGAACTTGATCACTTACATACTGAAACAAATGCGTCTGTGTAATGTGTCGTAACTTACGACACTAAAGTTTCACACAATCTGTACAAAAGCTGTTAATGCGTGATACCACTTAAATACGTACGATGTTAAAAGTTCGTTGTTATACTTTTACATTCATTATCACAGAATGCCAAGACGGATTCTTTGGATTGGAATGTTCGTATAGATGCCCGGCTAACTGTGGAAGTAGAAAATGTGAGAAGACATTCGGCGATTGTTTTGGTTAGTATCGTGGAGATTTCACAAATAAATAAGTGTAATGTTTATTGATGAATCAGTAGTTTTGATAGAATTTGATAGAAACCAATTATACATAAGCATCATGTTATGTATCTGTGTATAGAAAAGCTTCGTGTGCACTTTTGCTTCAGGTTTTTACTTTTTTTTATTCCAAATGCTTTTTATTGTGTAGATCTTCTATAGAAACAGATATCTAATATGGTTATTGGGAGAAAACACCCACTGGTCATTTAACTCTGATCAAACAAACTTTATTTTTACAAGGATTAGATGACATATGGTATTTAAAACTCGAACATGTTAAAACAATGACTTCTCTCAATTTCATGTTGTTTGTTATTCACGTGATAAAACCAGAATGCCGTGTTTATCTGTTAAGTAATTTCAATAATTATGTCAAATATCTCGGTGGTTTCAGTTATCAGCTTAAATGACTCCATAACGATACAATACGACATCCTCGAGTGCTTATCTCTAGGTACACAGTTTTTACTAATTATGGCAGATCTTAATTCTACAAGATAAAGTCAAGTCTCTTTTCTACCTACAGATTGTCAAGTCGGATTCCATGGTTACAGATGCACGTTTTCATGTCCATCTTCTTGCCTAACTAGAGAATGTAACAAGACGAGCGGTAACTGCCTAGGTTTGTATTGTAAAATGTAACCGATGTTTGCAGTAGTTCATTCGGTGCTAAACATATATAATTCAGTTATAAAGTGTTTACACAAATTATATAGTAATATCTATAGAGTTTTACCCAGTTGAAATGAGATGAAGTTATTCAATAAAATAATTCTCTGGAAGAGTATAAGTTAAGGGCAGCCAATATAGTATGCTAATCAAATCATCAGATTTTGTTTGGGTTCATACTAATTTTAGAGGCTAATTGACAGCAATAGGAAAGTGACATAAAACGTTTGTTGTTAAAGTTCTTACAAATTCAACATTAAAGTGAAAATGTTTCCCACCATATAAGTATAATTTTTTTTAAGAATTATGTTAAACATAGGATTATGGAGGGCTTTTTCAAATGGGGTCATCAATTGAATCAGTTGAACTTCTGGAGACCACTTGTATGATATTGATGAAGTAAGTGGCAACGACCTCAGACAGGTGTTTATAAATCACTTATTACATTTGATACTATTTTTGTAAGCAGTTCGTATGAGAAAACTGCATAAAAAGGTAGAGCATTGAGTGAAGCGGACAATTTATATCTGTTTAGTAGTCAGGACTGCCTAAAAGACGATGTCAATGTTCCCAATAAAAGGGCCGGTTTCCAAAACGGCCCCTTCTCTGATTCAAATTTCCTGTTGGTGGTGCATTGCCCATGCCGTTGTGGTCACAAATCTATAAACTATAAAGATTTAGGTCACTTGGCTTGTTTTTTATGGCTCCTCAAAGTTGTACCTTTCAGAAGCTGTCTAAGTGTTGATAAAATGTGCATGTTATGTAAAATATTAATGAAAATCTAATCAAATGATAGTCACCGTAAAGAATACATTCATTCATGGCATGATTGTGACAAAAAAATCATGTTTCCATCGCGCCATTTGGCTGTTTTATGGAAGAAACAATCTCAAAAATGCCATTTTCGATGATAACATTTTAGACTAAAAACTGTGTATTTTAGAGAATACACCCTTTTATGGGCATCGGATGCAAACCAATTTTTATCCTATTAAATAGTACGTAATATGCTATTGATGAGAGGGAAAATCATCAAAATGTAAGTGGTGGAACATTTTCAAATGTTGGGTTGAATTAGCCTCTGGTTGAATTGCCGATTTTCGACTTTCTTTAGATAATTAACAAAAAAAACGAGAGTATTTGTTCGGTATGTTGAGAATATGTACACAGATATGAAAAAAAAGTGAGAGAAACACTTTTTCATAAAAAAATCCAAGATGGCTACTTCGCAAGTCCCCGTGGTTGAAGACATTGGCTGACAAATAGACAGAACAACAAAGAAAACGTGTTCCTTATGATTTTGGTTGGTTTTCGCATTTACGGGAGTGTTCATAGCTACGGGCGATTGTATAAAACCTATATTTATAAGTTTGGTTAGTCACATGGTAACGGGGATCTTTCATATCAGCCCCAAACATACTTTCGACATATGCACTCTGTTGCCGCATGGAAAACTATTTCAAGTTTTGTCGGAATTTCTTTACCTGTGGTTGTAATGGTCGAGGGTTTTTCAGCGTCCTGTAATACCCAAGGTAGTACAAGATACTGGAGATGTGCGCACACATTCCCATCGTTCTCTCTCCAACTGGGCACTGGCAGTAGTAGTCCTTTATTGGGGCCTCAACATCGGGTGAAACGGTGAACCGTATCCAAACGTTATATTTCGTTTGGCTTTTGTGTCGAGAATGTATTTGACATCGGAGAAGGTCTGGGGAGTGCTGGTAAAGCCACACCTCATAGTCGCCGTCATCACTTAAATGTTTGGCGATGTAACCAGGAGCCAGAGATATCTGATACGTTCCACACGTAATGGTTCTCAAGTAATCAAGATCAAGACGGGGAAACAGTACTTTATTTATTTATTTTTTTTACACATCATAAACTGTCATGAAAATATCCGTTCTGATATTCAATATAAAAGTTTGTATATAATAAGCTATATAATAGGGTTTCAGACAAGGCTGTTACTCATTTCCCCTTTTCTTTCAATTTACAACCACATTCAGGCGGCGATATGAGAACGTTCCACCACATGGAATTAGCTGATTTTTGGTACACATATGAAACAAGTAAAGCTCTATCCGATTTTCTGATGGAAATTTGCATCTAAAACTATATAAAGGGAGAAAATTGCAAATTTATGGCATTTTTCTTCATAATTGTGTCTCTGCAAGTGCATTTTCATCCGAGAATATTTTTTTTTATGTTTTATGAATAAACACGATGTTTTGGAAATATTTATCAAAAGAAATTTATACTACGTTGCGAATTACAACTTCGAGATAACCTTCTTTTATTTACGAACTTATGTCTTTGATACTGACATTGACAACTTTATAAAAATACATTTTCACTGAAATTATAAAATCTGGGTGTCGGAAAGATGTAACATTATTTTTCGGAAAAGAAAAAAACAGTCTTTGAGCTAGATAAGAAATTATACGGGGGCAGGCTCCTATGGAGAATTAACATTACTGGAAACAGGCCCTTTGATAAAATTTCATTTCATTAGTGTAAAGTGAACAAACGATTTATTGAGGGTCGTTAAAAGCATTAAAAATGTTCAAAACAGAATGTCCAGAAGGATTATACGGACGAATATGCGGAAAGCAGTGTCCAAATTCCTGTGGTAGTGGTGGATGTAAACTTTCAGACGGTACATGTAAAGGTTTGTATGTAAATACTTTCTATAATATTTTAGCTAGGGTAGACATACCTTAGAGTAGTGTTTATTCAATGTATTATTACATAACGAAAAATAAGTTGGTTTGGCGATCCTGGCCTGTAGCTGAAGCAAGATTGACACTTCTTCAATAAAGAGAGCATAAACGACTAGACGTTAGCCTGCATTTCCTTCTTTTGTAATAAGTTATTCAGCAAATACATTGTAGTAAGTTTCCTATCATTATTACTAATATAGATACATTTTTTGGCGAGCGAGATTGTCCATAACATTTAAACGACATCCTGACAGGTTCAACGATTGAAAGTATCAAAAACATCGACTCGAGTAAAGAGTAGGAATATCAATAATATCCATAACTCTTCTTCTTAGCGGGACTATCAATAACCTCCTGGTTCGTTTGTCGAGCGGGATAATCATGACATCCTGACTCGTTTGTCGAGCGGGACTATCAATAACCTTCTGACTCGTTTGTCGAGCGGGACTATCAATAACCTTCTGACTCGTTTGTCGAGCGGGATAATCATGACATCCTGACTCGTTTGTCGAGCGGGACTATCAATAACCTTGACTCGAGCGGGACTATCAATAACTCGTTTGTCGAGCGGGATAATCATGACATTCTGACTCGTTTGTCGAGCGGGACTATCAATAACCTTCTGACTCGTTTGTCGAGCGGGACTATCAATAACCTTCTGACTCGTTTGTCGAGCGGGATAATCATGACATCCTGACTCGTTTGTCGAGCGGGACTATCAATAACCTTCTGACTCGTTTGTCGAGCGGGATAATCATGACATTCTGACTCGTTTGTCGAGCGGGACTATCAATAACCTCCTGGTTCGTTTGTCGAGCGGGATAATCATGACATCCTGACTCGTTTGTCGAGCGGGACTATCAATAACCTTCTGACTCGTTTGTCAAACGTGACTATCATGACATTCTAAATCATTTGTCGAGCGGGACTATCAATAAACTTCTGACTCGTTTGTCGAGCGGGATTATCAATAACCTTCTGACTCTTTTGTCGAGCGTGATTATCATGACATTCTAAATCATTTGTCGAGCGGGACTTTCAATGACATCCTGACTCGTTTGTCGAGCGGGATTATCAATAACCTCCTGGTTCGTTTGTCGAGCGGGATAATCATGACATCCTGACTCGTTTGTCGAGCGGGACTATCAATAACCTTCTGACTCGTTTGTCAAACGTGACTATCATGACATTCTAAATCATTTGTCGAGCGGGACTATCAATAACCTTCTGACTCGTTTGTCGAGCGGGATTATCAATAACCTTCTGACTCGTTTGTCGAGCGGGGCTAACGATTGCATCCTCGCTCGTTTGTCGAGCGGGACTAAGTATTCCTTCCTCACTGGAGAAGAAATACTTGTATCGGTAATATCATGATTCGTGTTTCGAACAGGACTATCAAGGACATATTGACTCTTTTACTTATTGATAGCATCAATAAAATTCTGGTTCAACTACCGAGTGAGCATATTCTGAGTCGTCTGTCGAGCGTTTGCATCAAACTCATCCACCGAGCTGGTATATCAAATAACACCAGACCTGTCTACGAAAGCGTTTATCGCCTGTCGAGAATGTTTTATCAAATAACACCAATCTAGTATTAGTATCCTTACACGTCTGTCGAAGGGGCTGGTTATCAATTGTAAGGAAATTGTTTTGTTATACAGAAATTCCAAGTTGTCAAGTCACTTGCATTATAGAACTTTATATTACTTATTATATACAGAATGTACAGAAGGTTATTACGGACTTGAATGCAAAGAAAAATGTCCGTTTTCCTGTGGTAAGGATGTGTGTAAGCAATCAGACGGTACTTGTGAAGGTAGGGAAATAAGTTAATTCACCGTTAATCAAATACCGTTACAGTTTCTAAACTTATATTCACATCCAACCGACAGACAAACAGACAGACAGACAGACAGACAGACTTTCTTTATTTCCTCATTTTCCTCATGTGTGTCTGTCATATATTCACATCCAACCTTGTTTTGAAAACCCTGTATAACGTTTCTGGACACCCTGTATGATTTATTTTTGGAGACCCTTTGTTGTTTGTTTTTTGGATACCCTGTATTGGTTGTTTTTGGAAATCATGTACTGCTTGTTTTTCTGCATTCTGTATTGTTTGTTTTGTATAGCCGTTATTGTTTGTGTTTGGACACCTTGCATTGTATTTGTATATCCATGTATTCTGTACTTTTATCTTCATTTTCTGACAACAATTTATTTCACAATTATACTTTGCTGCACTTATCAGTATTTGTAAGATTATTTTTGATCTTATCTTTAATTTCAATAATAACAGAATTTGTTACTAAATCCTCGTATACAGAGTATGTTAATATTAGTCCTCTCTGTTAGTATTACTATGGCGTCTTTGATAGGGAGCATTAATGAGCTTTCTATCGATTTTCCACTTTCAACTGACAGTGTTGGATTTCTATGAAGTGATAGAATAGTTTCAGAAGCAAATCCAGTGTTCATACTTATTCATAAATAGACTAATGAGATGATACAAAATAACCAAATACCTGTTCACAATGTTGAAATGTTTCCACAGTAAATTTCAACGTTTCTTTTTTCAGCTACAACGCATAGGTTGTTTTAAATGAAATGATTAATTTTGCATATTGTTGCCAGTATGACGATATGCTTAAGTGTTCTATGGTATTGCTTAAATCCCAACATGAATTACATCAGTCTGGTTTGTGTCGTGAAAATTTTAACTAGCTTATTATATACTATGTTTTTTTGAAGTAATCTTCAAAGCCTCTAGTAAATATGTTGTTACTACCATTTATATTCACAATCCATCGCATATATGTTCTCTTCTTCTTGGTGTTTACAAAGCAAACTTATATCATTGTCGAATATAAATCAAATTAGATTAACAAATTATAGGCATTACATACTAGTACTAGAAAGGGCGAAACAGCAGTATGATAACGTTTAGTTATTTAGCACTGCTGTATCTGATTATAGATTTGTACCGCATGTCACATTTTAATTCAATCGAATGGTAGCACGGTTCAGTATATACACATGTACACTACGTTGTCTTGAAATGTTCAATTAAGAAAAACAATTATCAGATTTATTGAATTATGGAGATAATTCCCTTTCCCGTCTAGAGTTTGACATTTCTGTCGATTCATTTTGAATTTCCCCATTCGCCTCTAGGTTTTCAAGCTTTAGGCCCCTAGCAATACTAAAGAGTCCTAAAAGACCGTAAACAGATGTATGTTGAATTAATATTTGGTTCTACTTTATCTGAGTCTTAATCGTTATTGAAAGGTAATATTTACTTTTGTGTCTTTCTTTGCAATTTAAAAAAGGAGTTCAAATTGACTGCTTGTCTAGTTGATTGGCGGTAACTGAACGACACTAACTGATGTGATATGTAATATTTCACTGAGACAGTTTAAAGAAATAAGTAATCCATTTCATCCTTTTAGATTGTATATCTGGTTTTTATGGTCCTACTTGTGATGCTTGTCCAACAAACTGCTTGACGAAGAATTGTGATTTATCCGGAAAATGTACAGGTATTAGGTTTTAATTTTAGAGTAAGGGATCTGTTGGATTATCATAACCTCATGTGATTCAGCTGTTCAACAGTTGAACTATAGTAAAATGGTAAATATAAAATTTGGCCCTATGTGTATCGGTAGACATTTTTTTCTGACAAAATGTAATGGCGCAACTAAAAACTTCTCAATCTCTCAAATGTTCTGCACTCCTGTCATCTGCACAAATACATTTCGCTCTGAATTTCAAATACGTTGTCTGTACATATGAAATCTTAAGATATGACTATGGGCATTTGTTATGTTTGAGAGCAAACAGTTGTTAGTTTGTTACGTAATGAAATATTCTTTCTTAATAGTTGATAGATGATGAAGTAAACAAATTTTGATACGAAATAACTCCTTCAAAGTTAAATCATTTTGTAATGAAGGTGTACAAATCATATAAAGATTTTACCTGAATAAAGACGGCATTTATTTTATGTGAGCATTGCTTAATAGATGGATGTGTTGTCGGAAAATTTGGATCACATTGTAATCAGACATGTCCAGAAAACTGTACTGAGTGTACTCAAGATGGAAAGCTGTGTACGGGTATGTATATTAAACTTATGGTTAACAGTCGTGAAGAAGTACATGTAAAGCGATTTTATTTGTGTATGTAAGGGATGATTTTGTGTGGTGGTTCATTTCCTTATTGAAATAATCAAGATATAAAGTGATGAAGTACAGTTCAAAACTGAGATAAAAAAAGAAAAAAGTCCAAATAATTCAAATTCAAATCCAATAAAACATTAGGGCAAAGTATGAACAGAGAAAAAACTTGCATGTGACATCTGAAAAAGTACAACGAAGATAGGATCAAATGTTCTGGAAGAATAAGCCTCCTCTGCGGTACCGATGATACACACCATGGAAATCTTGACCAATTCAAGAGATGGAAAATTCACAATAAACGCTTATCGTACATATCACGCTGTATGATAGCGTTAAATGATCACGCTTATCATACAACTTTGTGGAAAGTTGTCCATGTTGATTTCGTTGTAGAAAAAGATCGAGATAAACGACTGATGTAGATGAGTCTGTCGTGTTCTTGATTTCCATTTCTGGTTTGTCAATACGATGGACGCGGTCAATAAACTCTTGTTATTAAAAGCAATGTTTGATTGCTATGTATTTTCCTTGGAAAGAAAGATCCAAAAGGACGAACGTGTGCTTTCAGTTTGGAATAGGTCATAGTAGTGTACAGATGAAAATAAAATGTTCTAATAGAAGGAATGTTTTAAAAGACGGTATTGAAAATTGATCAAAAGCTCTCTGCAGTTCTTTGAAATCCACATGATATTAATTCCACTTCTTGAGAAAGCATTATCACAATAAGACTGTAACCCAGATTTGACAATGCAAAGAATAGAAGTAAGAAGTTTGGAATAAGGCTTAGTTGAACAGCTAATAGATTCTTGTGAAGTTGAAGAATCCAATATGTGCAGAGGAGGTCGGTATTCCTATCATCATTATGCAAGTAGTTGCAATACTGAAGCATGATTAGCCAATTATTCCATTTTTGGAAAGATTTCATAGTAAGCTTTATGTGTTCAGTAAGTAGTAAATTAAAGTGCAGTTTACAATCAGAATCAGGTAGTTTTATATATTTCCATCGTAGTTTTCGCCGTTTCGAAAGGTAAAGAAATATTTGACAACCTACGAAATTTCTTTTTTCCAGTTTGTGTTAATGGTTTGTATGGTGCTTCCTGCACAGAAGTGTGTGGTCATTGTGAGAGTAAAGATTGTGATCTGGACACCGGTAACTGTGACACATGTTTAGCACACTGGGCAGGTCAACGCTGTGACCGAAAAGGTAATACGCATGCCATTAAGTCATTCAGTTTCAATCCTTTTTTATCTACACTTTTTTTTTGTAAATTCTGAATGACATATTGGCACTTGAAATCGTATCAACATTGAAAAACATGTCTTTATTCTTAGTTGGGTTCGGCGAAAAACAAACACCGGTAGTGAGACAATCAGGAGGCAACATCATTGATGAAAGACCTGATACTGTTGGAATTGTAGTCGGAGTTGTGGTTGTGGTTGTGGTTGTGGTTGTCCTAATTCTCATAACAACGATAGTCTGTAAAGTCAAACGGTAAGGTGGCCGATCAAAATTGTATTGATCTTATTTTCCGATAATATCGGAAAAAGAAAATATATAATAAATTGTAAATTCAGTCCTGCATACAACATTTTATTATTTTATTTTCATTATATAATTTGATGGTTTTGTATGAAAAAACATAACTTAAAGAGTAATGGAATTAATAACATAAAATGTTTTTGTAGCGACGGAATATTAAATTTACACTATATCTTTTTTTATATCACATGTGATTGATTGAGCCATTGATGGAATGGTATCCTGTATGTAGAAGTTTCAATGTTTTGGGGCGTCACATAAAATATTATTTAGAGAAATATTTTTTTAAGTATAAAAGTAGGTGAGTGGCTATCTTGTCTTTAATCAGGAAATGTGGAACATTTAGACAAGATTCATCGGCACCTGCCGTGATCTACAGAACGGCATACTCATCAAATAACCAAAGCACTCCTTCAGGTACGTATGTACGTACAAACGATTACATTATAATTATGCATGATATGTGTACTTTCAAGATTGAAATATTTATCTACAATGTACCTTCATTTTCAAGAGTTTATTATCAGCTGACCCGTACCATATTCCTTTTTCATTAGTTATGTGTGCGTAAAAATAACAAAAGAATACTACATGACAATATAATCATAATCCAAAAACTATGGCAAAATGTGCACAAAAGAAGGATTTACACGGAGATTCCTGAAAACGTACAAGGAGAATAAGAACAGCAGTTCCGGAAGAGATAAATTCTTCTGCGTCATCGAAGATACCGCCATGTAAACCTTGGTAAATCCAAGTAATGTTACGTTTTTAACTGAGAACACACAAACAACGGAACCAACAACGAGCTAAGAAGACGAATTTCCAGATTTTAACAAGTTATCCAACCCTATTGTAGATATTTCATTTAATATCAATGAATGGGAAACAAATATAATTTATTATATACGATAATATCTAGGCAAAAACTACCGATTAATATAATGCAGCTTATGACGATACATTAGGAAACTGCAGTGAGTTTGATAGTAGTTGTAGTTTCAAGACAGTTTAAGAAGAAAGTAATCAGTATAATCATTTAGGTTTATGATTAATCAGAAAAGTTAAATTTAAGTGAAATTCATAGAGAGCGAATTCATAATTTGACTTTATATGAACGCTGCATGTGATGTTATTTTGTGCACAGAAATGTGGTGTGCACCTGAATATCATACCAGTATGATATACCCATACTCTTCATAAAGACCGGATTTTGTATATTGAGTTTCTCGTGTAAAATTCGATTTCTTTCAGACGAAGCGAGTGGATGTGTATCCATCAACATTGAAAATGATAGGAAAGACCCCTCAGATGTTGACTTCAACGACAGGTCCAACGGGTTTTCAGTCGATTTTCTTAAGACATTGATCGCTAAAAAAATGGAGGATGATGAGCAGGAGTTTATCTCAGAATTTGCCGTAATATTCAGTATTTGTTATTATCCATGCATCTAATTCCATCGTGAAAGTAGTTAAGATGTGTTATCATCGAGTGATAATATCATTTATTGTTTTGAAATAAAATTAAACGATACTACAAAAACAAAGAATTCAATTTTAAAGCTGTCATGTTCTTCATAGTTGTTTCTTTGAAAATTTTGTCATGATAGTTTTATTTAGATTTATGTATCCTGTAATTGTACGAATGGTATCGCCCGTTGATGGATTTGATCTCTGCTGTTGTTGAGGCATCGTGCTTATTTGTTTTCTTCATAATTTTCTTCTTGAAACGAAACATCATATCTCTTTATTTTGATGAATTATTGTATGTCCTTTCTTGCCGAAGTATTTTATGTTCTCCATCTGAAGTAAAAGATGTCCCTCTTCTATTTTTAAGATTATCTAATATCACCTCTGAAATATTTCGTTTCCTGTCATCTTTCTGAATATCTGATCTTCCATCTTTTTGGGGTATTTGGTACCATCTCCTCGTTTTGAAATGTGTGATCTACTTATTATTCCTGAATGTTTGATCTTCTCATCTCCTACTGAATCATTTCATCTTCTCGCCTTCTGTGACGTATTTGATGGTCTTCCTTCTTATGATCCTTTTTAAAATTCTTATGGAAAAATTCGGTATACACTCCTATTAAAGTTTTCTCTTTCCTCTTTTGTTTCAGTACATGAGGGCTCAGATGTTCTTAACTCCTACTGAAACATTTGTTAGAAGAGTTTTTGAATAGATGAATCTAAATACTACCCATGCTCCATTGACTTATGAGAACGTCAAAAATAAAACAACCGATCACTCTTATGCTAAACGCTTAGATATGTAGTTACGGTTTATCGACAAGATAACGACTATACGACTTTTAAAGTGCTACAGTTAACCCTCAATCTAGGTGTGATGAATTGTTCGAGGCGTTTTTCTTATATTTATAATACTGGGGTGGTAAACTTTTAAAAGGTTCATATTTTAATATCTGGGGACAGTGAACTCCACAGATCAATACAAAATAGAATGTAGACGTTCATTTTGCGAAATACCTTTCTTAGGTTAGTTATCAGCAACACGTGTGTTACAATGATGAGAGTCAATCCTGCTTATGAGAGTATATGTGAACGATATAGGGGGAATCAATAAGACTACAAAAGTATCTAAGAACCAGATTTATTTTTTTTATCTTCCTTCAATGTTACAAATTTTCTCTATGAAGCTGAGCTTGACTAGTTAGGTTAGTATCGCCCGTTATGAAATCCTTCAGCTTCGAGATGAATATTCTCCACAGATTAAGACTGTTAGACGATAACGCCATATACAAGTAAAGATCTGACAAAAGCAAAAATACAAGATTTGAAGTTTCTCTGTCAGTTTCAATCCATCACAGAAATGGCTTTCTTATCAGACGCTTTCTTTACCATATAGTTAAAGCGTTCTGACCATCGTGACAGTCGAATATGTTTGTGTTGTATAACCCCAGCGATAGTAAGATATTCAGTTTTTCAGACCAGTCATGTATTTTCCTTAATCTGTCATTCAACAAATCTATGTATTGTGACTGTGGCATAAAGAGAAGTGAGCAAGTAGTTTATCATAACATCACCCCATCATCATCGCCAACTAAATCATTTATAAAGATATATTAAGAGCAAGGATGTAATATTGACCTCTGGGGAACTTCCGCCCTTGTTACTATTCACTCGTATGTCTTGCTATATACACAATTATTTTTTCTTTGCTTCCTTTAATTAAAGGACTTTAAAACCCTAATAATAAATCTATTGCGATGTCTATTCTTAATAATAACTCTGCTTGGCATTCTGTTTCAAAAGCCTTGCTGTTATCACAAAAACAAGTTCTATTACCTTCATTTAGCACCGAATACATACAATGTTTGTTGGTAATGACGAGTCATTGATTAGTAGTAGATAACCAGCCCTCACTGAGAATAGGATACTAGATTTATTTTGTATTTGTTTATATAAACATTAACTTTGCCCATTATACATGTAGATATGAGTGATAAAGGTCGATTATAAGAATGAAACCAACCATTCTTGCATTGTTCTTCATACAAGAAATCGCAAGTTATAACATATTGATACATCTTTAACTTTGCAGCTATTTCCCTCCGGAGCATGCCATCCTCACAAATTTTCAGAAAAGAACGTGTCAAAAAATAGATATAAATCTATTCACGCCTGTAAGTAACGCATTGGTCGACTGCATATATTTCTGTACTGTTATGAATGTCAATTACCATATACAAATGTACTTGACGTTCGTTACCAGATATTTGAAGTATTACGAAATTTATTGACTTAAGGGGTTTGTGCCACTTCCCATCAAGATTTTGACATTTCTTTCAATCACTTCGGATTTTTCTTCAGTCGTCTCCTAGGTTTTTAAATTTATCTGAATATCTGAATATTTCGATAGCTTTTATATATCAATCTAGAATTAGTTAATTTGAATTACCTGATATTTTGCTGGTTTTAAAGCATATCAATTTGATATTTGAATTATATCTTTAGTGAGTTGGTTTAAGCAACTGCTGGAAAATTCAGATATCAAACGATTTCACATTGGATGCTTTTCAAATATTTTGTCCACTGCAGATGACCACTCAAGGGTGGTTCTTGGCACCAGTACAGGCTATATCAACGCAAACTATATTGATGTGAGTATGGCTGTATTTCAAATAAAGGAAAGCAACACCCATAAAATGAGCAACATTTCATATAGTAAATGCGTTTTTCCCTCTCTATACTGCTTTAAAACATTACTAAATACTAAGGAGTTAGGGTAGAATTTGAACAAGACCATACTGAATATTTATGTTAATCCTGTTAAATGTTAATCATAGTGTTAAACAATACTCAATCAATGGTATCATCAAAAGTAAGGCGGAAGTAGATAATACCCAAGTGTGAGTTAAACAAGAAATATGTTCAGAGCCAAATGAACCATATCAATGATGTATGATACGTTAAGTAATCAGATGTACACTCTTTTCAAACATAGTTTTATTTTCCAGAATGCTGAAGCGAAGAAGGTTTATGTTGCAACGCAAGGTAAATATGACATTTTAACAAATTGTACACTGGTTGATTGTATGATTTACAATTGTTCTTCCTTGACGCGTAACGATGAGAAAACATATTATGATGTTGTAAATAGATGTTTAACTATTTTTGATAAATTAATTCGATGATTATAATTAACGTTTCTATTTCATTGGACGTCATTGTTTTCGACTTTAAACAGGGCCTCTTCCCAACACAACCGATGACTTTTGGAGAATGATATGGATGTTGAACTCTGGAAAGATCGTGATGCTTACAAATTTGGTAGAAAATAAAAAGGTAACTAAGTTTCCATGCAGATTTGATTGAGGTTATTGTTGATTTTTACCTGCTTAGGATCATTATTGGCATTGTTAAGTATGTCATAGGCATTATAAATTTGCACCTGATGTGATATAAAAGTCAATTTATCTCAACCAAGAAATACATAGGCATAGGGCTTCTTAATCAATTTAGTTAGAACAGTATCAAAGCACAAGACAACGTTTAAAGATGTATTCCTATATATGCCATAACATGACTACTCTGAAAACAAATGCAGAGAAATTCGTATTTTCCCTGCATTTTTAAAGTTAAAAACTACCCATTTTTCAGAAGTAATCCAGAGGTAAAGTTCAGAAACAAACTTTCATCTTGAGATCAAATCCTACCAGTATTAATTGATTTCCTGCAATTTGTTAGTTAATACGTCCATAATTGAAGTCGGAAATGGGGTTACCTTGTCATAGTTTTGTGAACATAAAAAACAACAAAAAACTCTAGAACCCTTTTCATTTCAGAACAAATGTCACAAATACTGGCCCGATGAAGGGGAACCCATGTCCACGAAAACATTTAACATCACACTAGACAGAGAGCGAGACTATGCTTCCTATGTTATCAGGAACATTACAGTCGTTGATCGAAAGGTATGGAAAGAAAATGTTCATTTTCAGCGCTATACATTTTGTACAAGCAAACATCGTTATCTCGAAGTGAGGTACCTTTAATTCGAAGCATTTCGGTGGTCCCGACCAAACATCACACTTAACATTCGAAATCACTTAAACAGAATACCCAGATAACCAGAACGACTAACGAGGCTCGACTGCATGTCATTTGTAGTTAAAACCGTTATTGGCAGTTCAAAAATACATTAGTAGTAATTCGTGTTTACCAGTAGCCTATTTGACATCAACAGAAATGTAAAAATACATATTCAGTGTTTCATATTGATGCGACGGATACCACTATGTTCTTTTCATAGTCCAAAGAAAGACGGGAGATTCATCAATTCCATTTCACAGCCTGGCCGGACCACGGGACACCGAATACTTTGGAACTTGTCTTGTTTCATCGTCGCATGAAACTTTATGAATCTGTTTTAGGTGGTCAGATTGTGATTCACTGCAGGTAAAATGGATGGATATCTGCATGTGTTCAGGCATATAAAGTCAATATTATACAAATAAAATGTTAAAACCTCGGTTACATAACTGACCGTTTTTCTCTTCTATATTCAGTGTGTATAATACACTTCTTGCTGTAGTAATTTATCACGTAAAAATATAATCGTTTTTGTTCGGAATGCAGTCTTCCTGTATCCTTTTCAGCGCTGGCATCGGAAGAACAGGAACTTTTGTCGCCCTTGACGCCCTGTCGGATTACGGTAGAAAATATAACCGAATCGACATCCAGGATTTCGTGAATAAGATGAGGAAGGACAGAATGAATATGATTCAAACCGTGGTGAGACCTTCCAATACCGAGTCGTTAAGATATCGTAAACAATACCTGGTCCTAAATAATTTTCAATGAGTTATTTTCATCTGATCTCATTCAGTGTCTTTGTGCTCATCGGTTGATGACCTTTCAAAGGCACGATATAAAGTTATACGTTGTGGTGTAGTTTTCAAGACAGTCTTTCAGGTTTTAATATTTTCTTTTATTTGATTGGTTGTTAGAAAAGGTACAAAAACTTAAGATTATTAATTTTTATTTAAAGGAACAATATGTGGCACTGCACGAAATCCTGGCAGAAGCGTTTGACCTGCAAGATACTCTTTTAGAGAAAGCGGCGCTCGTTGCCAAGTGCCATGCTCTTTCTATGAAGGAACAACCTCAGAACCAGACAAAGTTGAGGGACGAGTTCAAAGTAAATATGATTTTCTTTAAATGAAACATTGCAATAATTTCAATTTAGACTTGAAAGTTTCCTTGCGAAAAAATGCTGTGAAGTTATAAACATGGTTTTATCTGTCGAGTTATGATGCTGTTTTTCAGATGATTTTGGATCTAAAGCCACATTACAATTTTGAGGACTATTGTGTTTCTACACTTCCAGAGAACGAAACCAAAAACAGGACTATGCATGTACTGGCAGGTATGTATGTCAGAAAATTCTTTATGGAAGGCAACATTGTCTCAGGTAAACAAAAGTTCAAGAAAAAACATTCCACGAAAATTACTCATCTTTTGGAGAACTAAGCAAACGGCAAAATGCAAATGAAGCGATGAATTTTTGGTTGATTATTATTCTCCCGTCATAACTAATTGCATTCCCATTATTAAAACATTAGTGATCTCATAAAAAAAATGGTCCAAAAATGGTAATTACATATCTTTTAAGAGATTGCTTCACTTCAGAAATAGATATGCAATGCTGTCCGGCAAAGTCAATTTCCAAATTTTAATAATAAGACATGTGAACATACAACCTGATAATTTTCCAGACAAATCCGATTCGGATTGCGAAAGAAAAATCTGACTATCCCATATTCTTCAAACATGGTCACTCCATTTTTTTTCGAAAGTTAACCAAGATTTGTGAGAAATATTATGAATGAGTTTCTCTTTCAAAGAGACAACGATCCTACTGCTGCTTTAACCAACACGTTGATATTGTGATATGCAATTTATGTCAATATATAACATAACTGAATTCACGAGGAATATCAAGGAAGAGAGATCGTTCATTTTCATCAATCAATTATTTCTTATATGTAATTAAAATATAGTTTAGCGATTAACAGTTCAAAATTCGATACACCATAGAATTGTTTTCGCTTCAGGAGAAATGAAGGTGCGCATGTATAATACCTTATTATGTATGTAGATAAGAACCTGACACGTTTGTATAAACTCTTTCTATTTTGTTATGCGATATGAAGTAGGACGTCTGTGATATTCGTTGTTGGTTCTAATGTTGTTTACCACGTTCTGACTTGGGAACATGACATCAATTATTTGGATTGACCAAGATTTACTAAGTGGATGTCGTCGATAAAGTGGAAGATGTTTACTCCTGATTTTATCTCCATTTTAATCTTTCGTTTGCTTATAATTTGACTAATAGGATTAAAGTTTATTTTGAACTATCATTATTCTGGTAACATGTTGATACTTTCTACAATGGTTTTCCTCATGAATGATTTAACAAGTGCTCCAAAAGAGTACAAAATATAGAAATATGACAAGGATTGGTCTGCCCTTTTATCTTAGAAGATAGAGTCAAGGAGAATTTGAACTGTAGGATTATGGGGATATTACTCATTTTGTAGATGATATTGACTCATATATTTATACTTCCAGCCGACAGATTCAGAGCATTCCTTACCTCCTTTGCGCATATTGGCAATGATTATATCAATGCTGTCGAAATACATGTAAGTCATTCTACTCAATATCAATTTCGCTTCGTTTTAATTGTCGGAGGAGGATAATGATATGAAAATGCTAATTGATTTATAGTTCAACAAGTTGCATTCCGTTAAAGAAAATAGTCATGAAATATGCGACAATGTTCATTTTTTCTATAAATATTTTCATTGCGTTCTCTTTCAATATTAACATTTCGAATCTCTGTACTGTAGATCATCGGGTATGGGGGGAAAACTGAAGACTATTTCTTCTATTCTAGTCATACATTGCCAAGAACGGATACATTGTCACACAGTTTCCTCTTCCAAACACAAAAGCAGACTTTTGGACTTTAGTTATGGACTACCAAAGTGATACTATTGTGATATTAGGAGACGAAAACGAGTCTGGATCGGTAAAGTTTACTAGCATATACCATGGGCAGTGGGATGGCTTACTGGGGCAACGTGAGAATATACACCCGGCAAACCTCGATCGTGTACCAGTAATTCGAATACATCTGTTGTGATGGTTTCCATTCTTTAAGCTTTACTGCCACAAACTTGAAAAAATACATCTTTTGAATCTAATTATGTATTGTTTATAGTATATCATTGGTATTAATATTTATCGTACTGTAAAGATAGCTTCTTTACTTATTCTATGACAGACCTGAATGTGAATGTCTGTCGTCTATTTCAAGAAAAATGTCGTTTGCTTTTGAAGCATGTTGTTGGTAAACTATAATAAATATGCATTTTAATCATATATACACAACATATCTAACGTGAATGTATTAAGATAAATTCATTGTTATAACGTCTTTATGGTGAATAATAAACATAAACAGTGTTGTGTTAATATTATAGGTGTTAATGTTATGCTGTATTGTGATCATATGATAGGAAACACAAGGGGTTCTTCCGTATGACTTTACCTAAAAAGCCAAATACAAACCGTGATTAAATTGTTCCTAATCCGTTAGAATACACAGTGGGTGCCAGCTGACAAAGAAGACATCTACATTGGGGAGTTCAACGTGAAACAGAAGGGAACTTCAGCCGTGTTCAATGGCATAGAGGTCCTCGATGTATCGGTAACCAGAAAGGTAGATAGTGTTAATGGATTATATCACAAATTACATGCACATTTGCAAGCAACTGTAGTGTGTTATATTGTAAATATATCCTTTCTTTTTCCTTATACAGTGTTAATTATAGTCTAGAAAACATTTTTATCGTTACTAAGATTTTATTCAATAGCTCAGCAGTGCCCACAGATTGTGTGTTTTTAATATCATACATGTATCTGATATTATATTTTGATGTTATTTTGGTGTTATATATTCTTTACAAGTATGTTTTAATTCAAATATCATGAACTATTAATCAAATTCGATGCAGCAAAATCCATAAAAAGGACAAAATCCCACTTTGCAATTATCATCACTTTCGAATGTCAAATTTGAAATTTTCAGTACATAAATACTGCACATACTTTGAGAATATTTCGAATGAAGGCATGGACAGCAGAAAATAGTGTTCCATCCTCAAACAAATGCACCTTGCACCTTCTGGAACAAGTGGAATCCAGGCGTCGGTCTAGTGCCAATAAGCCTGTTGTAGTGACTTGCAGGTAAGTAATAGACTTGTTACTCTCCTAACGTAACAAACATTTTGAGTTCAAATGCGTGTTTTCAATATCAGGATTTATGACCGGTTTACTTATAACACAGGGTATCTAGAGATGCTAATTAATGATAGTTTCATTGAGTGGAGGTACATGCGTTCGGTGTTCGCTACTACGCCTGATGTATTTGTGGCTTCGTTGTCATAATGTAATAAGTATAAGATAGTAAAAGTAATCAATTTTCTGGTAGGCAATGTTATTGTCATGTTGGATGAGTCCATCTCTTCGCTGGCTTTATAAGTCTCCATCCGAGGCTGAACTTTTCAAAGATCAAAGGTCAAGCAGACCATGCAGAGTCATTCGATTTCAGCTTTTATATGTATGACTTTTCTCTAAACAGTTTTATTGGCCAAGTAGAATTTAAGGTAACAGACTCTTCTTTCAACTACCTACCTCGATATTTTCCTTCCATGAAACAACCAGAGATAGCTTTCCAGTAAACTGTATAAATGTAAAAATTTCGGTTCCCTTTTGTGAATTTTCCACTTCTAGAGAGTGCATCCCTGTCTCCACAATCCGTGATGTCGCAACTGATTATATCTTCATCTGACAGATTAACATAGGGTTTCGATAGGTGCAGATTGATGAAAAGGATGAGGGACGTTTAATGATTGCCACAATGCTCTCATTGGGTAATATTACATTTAGTAGTTGAGAAGTTATGAGAGTTTTATGCTCGTTAGTATGCCTCGCGATTTCTTTGTTCAACGTTGATTCATTTGGGATCGTGGCATTAATTACTTGGATTGACCAAAATTCACATGACGGGTGTCATCGATGAAGCAGAAGGCGCTCAATTTTCTGGAGCGCCTAGTGTATTTTCTTCTTGAACTTTCATAGGTAAAGGTTTAGTTTAAATCAAGATTCTGTTAATATGTCGGTATTTCTTCTTTTTTTTTTAAAAAAAAAATCTGGTTCTCCTAGAGAAAGTGACACTATTTAATGGACTGACATTGTTGTTGTTGAAAATGCAGAATGCGCCTCCCGAAACAGTTGGTCTCATTTATTTAGTATGGTCCATGGTCTCCGTGTAAATCATATTTTGTACCGATATATATAGTTCTCGTTTCATCGCTTTTGAGATTGAGTTACGGTTTTATTCGTTATTCTCTTATTGTTTAAGTAGTAACTTGAATTTAACAACATGGAGTCAGTCTACTTATTTAGCATTGGTTCATACAAAGCTTTTTTCAGGAATATCAGTCACAAAATGTTAATCGTTGACCTCTATAATGTTTTACTCTCTGTATTTGTTTTCTTATGAGACGGTGTCAACGCACGACATATTGTTGTTTTATTGCAGTCTGTTCATCGTTGACCAAACAAGTTTTCTTATTTCAAACAGGGATGGGTCAACTCAATGTGGACTGTTTTGTCTCATGGCGAATACTAGGGACCAGATAAAAATGGACAAAGAAGTGGATGTGTTTCAGGCTGCACGCCAGCTTCTCATCAGGCGACCCGAGTTTCTAGCCACATTTGTAAGTCAGAATATTAGAAAATACGTCTTTATTATTATTGTAAGACGGACCTACAAAACATCTCGTCATAATGGGTAATAATTGTTTCCAGCAATGACTGGAGTTTGACCAAACTTGATAACATTTTGGAGTCTAGGAATATTTTGAGATTTCTCAAGAAAGTTAAATTCGGAGAAAATCCAAAATTCGAACATAATATTTTGGGAAAATGTCAAAGGAACCAACCTCAAAGCGATCGAGTACCATTCATATTTAGCAATATCCTGACAAAGGCAGGGCTTACGAAGAACATCTCGTAATGTCCTTGGTGCGATTGTATATTCATAACCTTGCGAGTTGTTGACACGATTCGTAGGAATCATGTAAATGACAACATCACCTTTCGAGGGTTCTGTTTGTGTACTCTTGTATTTGTACATGATTACTAAGAGAGTATTTCATTTATACCTCTTCCCTCTCTGAAATATCACGTGACGTACATATTGCAATAATTTGACCTGCTATCATTTAATTATAAAACAATAAAATGATAGAACTTTTTATTCCAAAGGCATGCATATTTCACGACCAAGGGAATTAAGTCATTGGATCATGATGCGTGGTCAAGTTCCAGTGACCATAACAAATATTCTGATAACTCAAATTTGACGAGATATATGTTGCTATTCGTTGCGGTCACTAACACTTTGTTATTAACAGGAACAGTACCAGTTTTGTTATGGTATCCTGAACGATTATGTGGAGGCTTCGGACGTGTACATCAACTGAAGATGGCTCCAGTAGAGACAAAGGATGAGTAAATGAACTGAGAACAGCTGTAGCAACTTAACAAGAGAACTGCAGTCTTGCCAATATAGCTCTGTCAAATACTACTTAAGTGTATATAAAGTGTTCTGATAAAATCTGCTGATATTAACAATTGCTGAAATACATATTTATACTTCTATAAATGGCTACTTATGTTTGTATGTAATGTGGTTATATATTGTTCTAGTAGGGGCTACTGATGTTAACGTGTACCGTAGTTAAATATTGTTTTAATCGCGGCTACTGATGTTAACGTGTACCGTGGTTAAATATTGTTTTAATCGCGGCTATTGATGTTAACGTGTACCGTGGTTAAATATTGTTCTAATAGAGGCTACTGATGTTAACGTGTACCGTGGTTAAATATTGTTCTAATAGAGGCTACAGATGTTAACGTGTACCGTGGTTAAATATTGTTTTAATAGCGGCTAGTGATGTTAACGTGTACCGTGGTTAAATATTGTTCTAATAGCGGCTAGTGATGTTAACGTGTACCGTGGTTTAATATTGTTCTAATAGAGGCTACTGATGTTAACGTGTACCGTGGTTAAATATTGTTCTAATAGAGGCTACTGATGTTAACGTGTACCGTTGTTAAATATTGTTTTAATCGCGGCTATTGATGTTAACGTGTACCGTGGTTAAGTATTGTTCTACTAGCGGCTACTGATGTTAACGTGTACCGTGGTTTAATATTGTTCTAATAGAGGCTACTGATGTTAACGTGTACCGTGGTTTAATATTGTTTTAATCGCGGCTATTGATGTTAACGTGTACCGTGGTTTAATATTGTTTTAATCGCGGCTATTTATGTTAACGTGTACCGTGTTTAAATATTGTTTTAATAGAGGCGACTGATGTTAACGTGTACTGTTGATAAATATTGTTTTAATCGCCGCTACAGATGTTAACTTGTACCGTAGTTAAATATTGTTTTAATCGCGGCTACTGATGTTAACGTGTACCGTGGTTTAATATTGTTTTAATCGCGGCTATTGATGTTAACGTGTACCGTGGTTAAATATTGTTCTAATAGAGGCTACTGATGTTAACGTGTACCGTGGTTTAATATTGTTTTAATCGCGGCTATTGATGTTAACGTGTACCGTGGTTTAATATTGTTTTAATCGCGGCTATTTATGTTAACGTGTACCGTGATTCAATATTGTTTTAATAGAGGCGACTGATGTTAACGTGTACTGTTGATAAATATTGTTTTAATCGCCGCTACAGATGTTAACTTGTACCGTAGTTAAATATTGTTTTAATCGCGGCTACTGATGTTAACGTGTACCGTGGTTTAATATTGTTTTAATCGCGGCTATTGATGTTAACGTGTACCGTGGTTTAATATTGTTTTAATCGCGGCTATTTATGTTAACGTGTACCGTGTTTAAATATTGTTTTAATAGAGGCGACTGATGTTAACGTGTACTGTTGATAAATATTGTTTTAATCGCCGCTACAGATGTTAACTTGTACCGTAGTTAAATATTGTTTTAATCGCGGCTACTGATGTTAACGTGTACCGTGGTTTAATATTGTTTTAATCGCGGCTATTGATGTTAACGTGTACCGTGGTTTAATATTGTTCTAATAGAGGCTACTGATGTTAACGTGTACCGTGGTTAAATATTGTTTTAATCACGGCTAGTGATGTTAACGTGTACCGTGGTTAAATATTGTTTAAATAGAGGCGACTGATGTTAACGTGTACTGTTGTTAAATATTGTTCTAATAGCGGCTACTGATGTTAACGTGTACCGTGGTTAAATATTGTTTTACTCGCGGCTACTGGTGTTAACGTGTACCGTGGTTAAATATTGTTCTAATAGAGGCGACTGATGTTAACGTGTACCGTTGTTAAATATTGTTCTAATAGAGGCTACTGATGTTAACGTGTACCGTGGTTATATATTGTTCTTATAGCGGCTACTAGTGTTAACGTGTACTTAGAACTGTGGTTAAGTTTGGTCCTATCGGTATGGTCTTATACATTCAGATAATGTACTGCTTGCTGTAGAAGAACGATTTATTTCTCAAGGCCTACTATACGATGTACATAATATTTGTGTTCAGATGTGTGTGGGTGTGGGTGTGTGTGCGTATGTGTGTGTGTTTGTGTGTGTTATTAATTGTATTGCATTTTGAAATTATGACATTCTGTCTATCATTTTTCTGTTTTATCGTTAATATTATCCTACCTGCTTTGACCCATGTGGTGATACGGCATCCTTTGCCCACCCATCCGCCATAAATATTGTCCCTTAAACGGGTTCTCAAAACCCAAGAGGTCAACAATCAACATATTGATTAACATGTAGCAGCACGCTTAAGTGAAGATCCATTATGTTTGTTCAAATGAAGGACGTGTCCCAATTAAGGTCACGGGATCAGAATTGGTCAAAATCTTCAAATAATTCTTCTGAATAACCAAAGACCGACTGTCTATATATTTGACAATTAGTACGCTGAAATAAAGGATGATCTATTCGTTGGAGTTAATGACGTTGGTCAGAAGAGTCAAGATCATTACTCAACGTCTTCTCAATAGTCAAAGAGTCATAGAGTCAATAATTGTGCAGTTGGTGTTCTGTTTTTTTTAAATCCGAACTAGTTGTTAAGGGTTTTATTGAAGATAATTTCTGAGTGAACGTAATATCACGTTACAGATGTCAGGAGAGTCTGATACATATACATTTGTAAAACTAACTATCTTTTTTTTAGCACAATGTCTTCATAAGTTTCCTTAGTTTTTCAAAATAATTTCTGAGGTTAAGGTCCGGATCCATTTTTGTTGTAATTAATCAACACTAGGCCCCGACTTATAAGTAGTCATTGATAATGTTCACAAGGAAATGTCATTCCTGATGCAACTCTTCATTACATACAGGAAAAAACCTTAATCATTTATCATATTTTAGCACTGTAGTATATTTATATGTTGATTAAAGATAATTGTCCATTTATTGGCGTGTTTTATTGTTTTGTTTTAAATTGATGATTTCTTCTACAAATGATTTTGACCGGCGTTTCCGGTCCGTCATCACCTCAGATATCGATCATAGAAATGTTTCGCGATACATGTTAGGGCTCTCCAACATACTTAGTTTAAAGCACAAGATTTAGATGTTTAAATACAAGATATTGTACATAAAACACAACATTTATAATATAGAATACCATATTTAGAAGATAAATCACGAGACATTACATATAAGACACAAGATATTGAACATAAAGCACAAGGTGAAACAATATTGCAATGCTTTACTACATGCCGTAGGCTTTGGCTTTACATCCGCGATTTCGTCGTTCATTTAGAGAGAGAGAGAGGGAGACAGTAAATCTAGAAGGTATTTTATAGCGAGTTTTCTGGTACAAAAGGAGTCAATAAAGAAGATAGATAATTAGGTGTGAGTTTATTATTTACAGTTTTAGAAAACCCGTATTTTTCCTCTTTATCATGTTTCTGATAGCGGTTCCATACCGCTTCTGCAATACAGCGATTCTCTACAGCTGACACGTGATGGTAAACCAGTGAGTTTTTTCGAGTTAATTCGATTTCAGTTTTTCTACGTCACTGAGAGAACATCTATTACAAACTTCACAACAAATCCTTACGAGGGAAGCTTACTGCTAGATGGTGACCTACAAAGTCTACACTCACTTTATTATAAGTGATCCATGGTCATGTTCATTGTTTGAAATAAGCAAAGCGACCGTTTTCAAGGAGTTAAATTTAACAAACCACCTTTCTCCTAGTTTTGAATTTAAGCTAGATCGTTGTTAATTTCAGAGTCAATGTCCAAAAGGAAAGTTCCGGAACGTATTAATGAAGTATCGTCAGCAAACAGTTAAATGAAACCTCCAGGGTTATCAGCTATGTTATTGATATCTATATACATGTAATAAAAATTAAGAGACCTAATGCCGAGCCTTGTGGATACCTGCATTTGCAGATTTAACGGAAGATGATTTCTATTGCTGACACAATTATTCAACCAGACTAGAAATTTCCAATTTATACCTTAATTTGCTTATTTTTCACCCTGTCCCTTGTGTCACATACGATCGAACACTTTGGAAACATCACACAAAAATAGATAAATAATAAAAATAATTGAATAAAAATGTCGACTTTCTAATAAATTTATGTATAATCTAGTCTGCATAATCACCTTGCTCGATTGTCCAGTCGCTCCGAAACTGGATGATATTTCTTTATGAAAAGAATGGAACGACATTGGTATTGAGAAATAAATTCTGAATTTTTAATTACGAATGTTTAGCGATATATCTAGCATTAAATAAATGTGAAACTATCCTTTTAGTTTTATCAAATCTACTTTCACAATACTCATTCGTGAAATAAATGATTTATTTTCGGATGAAATTCTGAGTTCCATATTTCAGATGAAACAAGAAATTTTGCCTTACATATACATACATATTGTACACGCTTCCAACTGAACATGCCGTATCCAAAATTGATTAATCAATAACTTAAGGCATTTCGTAAAACAACCGAGGAATGTCTATTATTCATTTTATAAATATTGATAGATTTTCTGTCTTTCTTCCCTTTTCTTTTTAAAATATTTTTAGGCCATTTCAGATTACATTTAGAAATATCTGTTTTGAAATATATATTTACAGCTAGCAATTGTAACACAGTAGGCATAAACACACGTACCTGTTGGTAATAGCCATGTTTATTACATGTTGAATAATAATGATGTTACATGTACAAAAGCAACATCTCATCAACGAACAGAGTTCATATACTCATACTAGTATTTCACATTGTGTCTCGTATCAGAACTGCCCATCTGATGGGCTTCCTCAAGGCCGTATGTTCTAACCTAAATATCTCCCCGTCTGTCCATAGAGCTAGTCTATAAGGATCTCTTCCCAGTGCTCTCTCTCTCTCTCTCTCTCTCTCTCTCTCTCTCTCTCTCTCTCTCTCTCTCTCTCTCTCTCTCTCTCTCTCTCTCTCTCTCTAACTCTCTCTCTCTCTCTCCACTTAAGACATAATTTGATATAAATTGCATTTTTTGTATTTTATTCCAAACTGGATACATACCGACTTTCTTCCACTGTTCGAGAAGTCTATTTGTATTAGATGTAAACACAGTACCTGTCATGATCAACTATTTCTCGAGGTTATATCAAACTTGTCTATATAGACCAATCTGAGTTATATAACCTTGGCATTCATACTCAGGGGCCCAAGATCATACATTATATCGACAGGATGCAATTTACAACAAATGATAAAAAGTTAAATAAACGAATTAAAGACACAACTTTTTGTAATCAAGCATTTTCATATAGATAAACTTTTGCACAAAAATTAACAAAATTCATTCATAAATACCATAAAATAAAGACACGGTTAACGTGTGCTCACAAGAAACCCTAACAGTGTTCAAAACCTCAGTATACCGTACTGCACATGGCACGACCGCATTTATAGACGCGATTAGGAATGGGCACAAGCGGATCACTCTTTCAGGGAGCTTTGTTCATGTGACAACCCATGCTTGACAGGAAAATCACACTTGGCTTCTTTTTGAAGACGTGTTTCTCCTTCTTCTTTGACTTTATTCCTCCAGAAATGAAGAGTACATTACAAATTTAAGACAAAGAATCAGAAAATTAATACAAATATATAAGGTACATACAATATTAATGACAATTAGGAATAGTACTTAGACGAAAATAGCCATGGAAAAATATATGAAATGGGAAAATAATTTAGAGACAATAATGCAAAAACTATATATATATATAAGAAGTATTCCATTTGAATGCAAATAAGAACATATACAGATTCACTGAAAAGTGAAATCAACAGCTTTAACCGAAAAGCAACAACACTCGTATGCAAACTTTGTGCAATATTCTTCATCTGGGAGTAGTTCCCGTACATCGTCAGGTATGTGTCCTAACATGATACAAATACAGTCCTGTCTTTCTAGATTATCTAGTGTGACGTACAGTTCAACGGGAAAATTCAAAATCTCACCATATTTCAGTTTTGTTGCGAAAATATTGCTATGTAGTTGGTTATTTTAAACATGAATACCTCCTAACAGTTTGATTTTATTCGTTGCATTGAATTTTAAGTAAAACAGCACCATGTATGCAAATGACTCTAAAACCACATAGTCGACGTCATGACACCAATATAAGAAATGCACCAAAGGGAGAATGGTGGGCGTGTCTTTGCTTTAAAAAAGGGGGCCTTTAAACGTTACTATGTCCAAATTTGACAACATATTTAAATGAGTTATTTAAATATGCAAATTGGATTTTCCTGATATTTTCGATTTGCGCTTGATCAAGATCTACTTATTATGTAAATAATCAACACGGACTAGATGAATTCGATTTTAGTTTGCTGGTGTTTGGAGTATCGGGAAAAGCGGACTTACCTATTACCTTTTCACTTCATCGCAACGCAGTAAAATGTTACAATGAACTTGTATTTTTCATTGACCTATATATACCTAACCAGTAATCATTGTTTGATTCCAAGATGAGCTTTTGTAACAATTATACATTATTCATAGAAAATGTGAAACGAATACTGCAGGCGTCATATTACAGTGTAAAACACGTTATCTGTCTTACAACATTTAACGTACACTTACAGAAAAAAATCGCGAATAGATGATTTGTTTCCTCAATAAAACATCAGACTCTCCTTCTCTCAATACATTTAAATCAATTATCAGTAAGACAGAAATAATACATGACAAATGCTTTTAGGTATGAAATTTACTTCATTTCCGTTTGAGAAATCCTGCCAGATCTCTTGATTACGATTTTTTAGAACAAATGGTAATACAGCTGAATGTAAATGCAGCAACCCATGTGAAGACTTTTATTACTATTTTTATGTTTGTCCCCCTATACATTCATAATCGAAATCTATTAATAAAACAGTTACAACCTCTGTTTGAGAATTTGATTAGATTTACTCATATACGGCGATCAGAAAATAAGCAAAGATGATGGTATCTCTTAATTGCAAAAAAGTAAAATAGGGATATGATTAAATGTGACTCCCTCTCTCTCCTTTTATCTTCCTGTGGACCATCCCCTAATATGGACTTCACTTGTTGCTAGATGATACTATTGTTGAAGTATCTCTCCTTGCTAATTTGTTACTTCCTGTGGACCATCCCCTAATATGGACTTCACTTGTTGCTAGATGATACTATTGTTGAAGTATAGCCACCTGTACTCGAGGTGCAAGGTTGAGATTCCCCTTGCTAATTTGTTACTTGAAATAGACCCTAATAATTACTCTACTACTAGGTGGCCACTGTCCGGACGGGAAATTGTGTAAATTTGATTATAAAGGAAGTGGGGATAGTCTCTAATTAATTAACTGGCCGAAGCTGTACACCCACTGATAAGATTCTCGGGCCCCAGACTTCACCAACCTAAGTGTATATATGCAAGTAATTATCAACACCCCTGTGAACTATCCGTATGTGTTATATTGATATACTATTGAACATTAAACGAACTACTGTTTAAGCTAACTAATTTCAACCAATCCCATATGAAAATCTAGCTGTGTTTCACTAAACCCTATTTTGTTACACAATATATGAATTTCAATGAAATATACATAGTCTCACATGGTCATATTTACACGAGCTAACTCTTTTAACTTCAGTGCAAGATATTATCTCCAACCCTTGGTGAAATATCTTTCTGAAGTGTATGATTCGATTCATCGGTTGTAGGTAATACAACACAAATCGAATCGCTATAGGTCATATCTACTTGCGCTCTGCCAGTGGGGTGTAAACCAAGGGAATACAAATCCGCCTTTACATATCCTGATATATATATATCATGTAAAACCAAATTTTAAAACGGCCTTTCTTAATGTTATTCGCTATTTTATTGAAGAAATATAACCAAATTTAGGAGCACCAACTGGCCTTCGAAATAATTGTCGTTCACAGAGTCTTATTAAGGAGTCATTGTAAGTACAATGTGAAGTGTTGTTGTAATGTTTGAGATGCTACATATTTTGAACACACCGGTATGTCATTTGTAGGGGAAAATATAAACATTTAGATGAGTATCTGCGTCTGAGAAAGCATGAGCTTTGTAAAATCTTCAAAGAGAAAGTAAAAGAACTCAAGCTTCGGCACGATACCGATTTTATGAACATAAACGTTTAAAATACGCGGATGTTTACGGTGTCTATAGAAAGAAAATGTAATAATGAGTGTAATTTAATATAATGAACCTTTTTCATGTGTAGTAACGAGCACTTTTCATCAGCAGTGTACAAAAGTGTATATTTTTACGTACACTATCCTATCAACTTATTACTGAAGTACACCACATTACGTTTAGATTATGTGAGTCGGAACAATTTTACCGAGGTATATTGTTTCACCATCACTAAAACGTGGTCGGATTGAAGTGTCAATTTGGTTTTGCAATCAGCAATCTTTACACTATTGTCAACACACGAAAACCATCATGCCAAAGGAACGTGTATCAAAGAAATCAAGGATGCACCAAGAAGTCCAGAAACAAGGTGAATATTTGTTTAAACATGCATAGAAGTCATACTATATCACAATCAGCTGGCATACTACACATTAAGCAGTACACGTAAGATACCACTCTACACCGATTTCATTACGGTCTGTTGGTTGACCTACAGTGTGTATAGTTACGAATTCGATCTGTATGCAATAGAGAACACACATGAGATGTTTGTTTTCTTTTTGTGGCAATTCATTCGATCTCGCATTTAGGTCGAACACCATTTCAAATTTAACTTGATAATTACACATATCACTGGAGTCGGGAGTGCTGTCTGTGAAAGAAAGCTGTTAAACTACAGCTATATTTTACACATACATTGTCCAATATCTATGCACATACATATATACACATCTACTATATACATGTATATATATATCCTCAATACGCTAGTTTTGTTAGCAGGTTTGTCTAATGGCTGTGGAAGGGCATTTTTATCATTTAATATTTTGATCACTTAAGACATGATCTAAACATAGTCTTTTTGGGGAAAAAAAATATGGTCATGTTTGAAACATCCTTGATACTGCAGGAGTTATGCTCACTATCACCTTCTACACCCCAAGAACAATTTACGGCCCTTGATTTCCTTTCCTCTAATAATGTGTCCTGTTATTTCAGGTGATACCATGCTATCCTTGAGTCAGTAACAGCTGCAATCATCAAAATTAGTGTGACTGTGAAATTAAATAACATCTTTTTGCACATTTGAATTGTATAATATAGTTGAAAGAATACTAGAGTCCAACTGAAAATTAAAGCACTTACGTTTTTTTCCAAAAACTTGGTATGTATATTGTGAAGGGTGATGATCTTAAATTCTATTGGTTAAAGTAGATTGTAAATCAAGATACCACTAAATGCCACAGTACATTTTGCATCATTTTTAATTGTTTGCAAACATCTTACTGATCGAAGCTTCCTGATTATAATAAGTCTGCATCATACACTTGCACAATATACATGTTTTCTTTATCACTTTCTATTTAGTTTCTATAATGTTGTTATAATTCATTGCTATTTTAACACAATTATATACTTAAACTGTGATTACTAAAAGTTTCATTACAGAAAGAGTTGGGGAAATTTGTGTCATTTTCTCGGTGTGTATAGATTCATGCGTTAAGTGTTGAATTTAGTACTTATCATTTCAGTATTTCGAATAAGTGAAAGTGATCAATATGATTAACTTCTCTGACACAATGATTATGACTACGATGTGCTAGTAGTTTTGTGAATAATTATATGTTTATTGTTTTACAATGCAGGTATAAACTTTAACAAAGATTTTGGACAGCACATATTGAAAAATCCATTGATTGTGAACAGTATGGTAGAAAAGGTAAGATATACTTATGTTACCACAAGTTAAGGCTGAATAGCTGAATAGCAACAATAACGAACAGAAAGCTCATTAAATAAATGCCCTAGTAAATAAAATAGATATATTGCATAATTAGATCTAAGGCTCAACATGTTTTCAAACTGCTTCATAAATCTGTGAAATGTAAACTCATGTCAGATCCAATATCCCCTATATATAGATATATAAATTACTTTTGATTCAAGCTTTCAGAAAACTGTCAGTTTGTTTATTAAAATACTGGTTTAAAAGCACTAAAAAACAACCACAATTATGAATAGTACTAGGGTGCTGTCCACCAAGTTTCTGTCAACTGTGGCAGGATGTCTTGTCTGAATAAATAAACCTGAACATTTGTTGGCCTTTTAGATAAACTGCCCTTGAAGTAACAAAGCGGAGACATGGTATTTAGTGGAATGTTCAACAGACAAAATATCATGAATAACAGCAGTAGTTTTCAATTTATTGATTGATGTTGATGTGAAATTGGTTTGATCAATTTCAAGTTTGATATGTCTTTTCGATAGTTTGTCGGGTGATCAACAAATGAAATACAACACTTTTTGTTATCTTTTCTGACATGCTATGACAGAAAGCATGATACAACTAGATTTCTGATCTTCATGGATTTGAATTTTCAGTCAGCACTTCGTCCAACAGATGTGGTATTAGAAGTGGGCCCTGGAACAGGCAATATGACCATGAAATTGCTGGAAAAAACAAAGAAGGTATGTTTCTAAAACTGTAGTTAATGATTATGAATATCTGTTTATGCTTTATATGAGATATGAATTCTTATTGATATGAAAATCAATCGCTCAAAATTATACAGTGAAATGTTCAGTACTGAGGTATTGTATGGAATATTAACCTGAAAATCTCGAATCTACATGTAGGTTGTAGCTTGTGAGATAGATCCCAGAATGGCGGCTGAGTTACAGAAAAGAGTCCAGAGCACGTGAGTATTTCTGCCCTCCACTGGATTATTTACAGATAATTTTACTATTACATGTCTTGCACTGGTGCTGTTAATGGAGTATGATTGCACTCGATCTTGGCAGTCTACACTATATACATCAAACTATGCTTGGTTGTTTTAATTTCAAACTTACGTGAGATCATTGATTGTATAACATAGTTGTCAGTGAGATCAGTGATTGTATAACATAGTTGTCAGTGAGATCAGTGATTGTATAACATAGTTGTCAGTGAGATCAGTGATTGTATAACATATTTGTCAGTGAGATCAGTGATTGTATAACATAGTTGTCAGTGAGATCAGTGATTGTATAACATATTGGTCAGTGAGATCAGTGATTGTATAACATATTGGTCAGTGAGATCAGTGATTGTATAACATAGTTGTCAGTGAGATCAGTGATTGTATAACATAGTTGTCAGTGAGATCAGTGATTGTATAACATAGTTGTCAGTGAGATCAGTGATTGTATAACATAGTTGTCAGTGAGATCAGTGATTGTATAACATAGTTGTCAGTGAGATCAGTGATTGTATAACATAGATTGTCAGTGAGTTGTCAGTGAGATCAGTGATTGTATAACATAGTTGTCAGTGAGATCAGTGATTGTATAACATAGTTGTCAGTGAGATCAGTGATTGTATAACATATTTGTCAGTGAGATCAGTGATTGTATAACATAGTTGTCAGTGAGATCAGTGATTGTATAACATAGTTGTCAGTGATATCAGGGATTGTATAACATAGTTGTCAGTGATATCAGGGATTGTATAACATAGTTGTCAGTGATATCAGTGATTGTATAACATAGTTGTCAGTGAGATCTGTCAGTGAGATCAGTGATTGTATAACAACAGTGAGAGATGTCAGTGAGATCAGTGATTGTATAACATAGTTGTCAGTGAGATCAGTGATTGTATAACATAGTTGTCAGTGAGATCAGTGATTGTATAACATAGTTGTCAGTGAGATCAGTGATTGTATAACATAGTTGTCAGTAAAATCAGTGATTGTATAACATAGTTGTCAGTGAGATCAGTGATTGTATAACATAGTTGTCAGTGAGATCAGTGATTGTATAACATAGTTGTCAGTGAGATCAGTGATTGTATAACATAGTTGTCAGTGAGATCAGTGATTGTATAACATAGTTGTCAGTGAGATCAGTGATTGTATAACATAGTTGTCAGTGAGATCAGTGATTGTATAACATAGTTGTCAGTGAGATCAGTGATTGTATAACATAGTTGTCAGTGAGATCAGTGATTGTATAACATAGTTGTCAGTGAGATCAGTGATTGTATAACATAGTTGTCAGTGAGATCAGTGATTGTATAACATAGTTGTCAGTGAGATCAGTGATTGTATAACATAGTTGTCAGTGAGATCAGTGATTGTATAACATAGTTGTCAGTGAGATCAGTGATTGTATAACATAGTTGTCAGTGAGATCAGTGATTGTATAACATAGTATAACATAGTTGTCAGTGAGATCAGTGATTGTATAACATAGATTGTCAGTGAGATCAGTGATTGTATAACATAGTTGTCAGTGAGAACAGTGATTGTGTAACATCGTTGTCATCGTGATCAGTTTTTGTTTATCATTGTTGTCAGTGAGATCAGTGATTGTATAACATAGTTGTCAGTGAGATCAGTGATTGTATAACATAGTTGTCAGTGAGATGTATAACATAGTTGTCAGTGAGATCAGTGATTGTATAACATAGTTGTCAGTGAGATCAGTGATTGTATAACATAGTTGTCAGTGAGATCAGTGATTGTATAACATAGTTGTCAGTGAGATCAGTGATTGTATAACATAGTTGTCAGTGAGATCAGTGATTGTATAACATAGTTGTCAGTGAGATCAGTGATTGTATAACATAGTTGTCAGTGAGATCAGTGATTGTATAACATAGTTGTCAGTGAGATCAGTGATTGTATAACATAGTTGTCAGTGAGATCAGTGATTGTATAACATAGTTGTCAGTGAGTGATTGTATAACATCAGTGATTGTATAACATAGTTGTCAGTGAGATCAGTGATTGTATAACATAGTTGTCAGTGAGATCAGTGATTGTATAACATAGTTGTCAGTGAGATCAGTGATTGTATAACATAGTTGTCAGTGAGATCAGTGATTGTATAACATAGTTGTCAGTGAGATCAGTGATTGTATAACATAGTTGTCAGTGAGATCAGTGATTGTATAACATATTGGTCAGTGAGATCAGTGATTGTATAACATAGTTGTCAGTGAGATCAGTGATTGATTGTATAACATAGTTGTCAGTGAGATCAGTGATTGTATAACATAGTTGTCAGTGAGATCAGTGATTGTATAACATAGTTGTCAGTGAGATCAGTGATTGTATAACATAGTTGTCAGTGAGATCAGTGATTGTATAACATAGTTGTCAGTGAGATCAGTGATTGTATAACATAGTTGTCAGTGAGATCAGTGATTGTATAACATAGTTGTCAGTGAGATCAGTGATTGTATAACATAGTTGTCAGTGAGATCAGTGATTGTATAACATAGTTGTCAGTGAGATCAGTGATTGTATAACATAGTTGTCAGTGATTGTATAACATAGTTGTCATCAGTGATTGTATAACATAGTTGTCAGTGAGATCAGTGATTGTATAACATAGTTGTCAGTGAGATCAGTGATTGTTGTCAGTGAGATCAGTGATTGTATAACATATTGTCAGTGAGATCAGTGATTGTATAATCATTGTATAACATAGTTGTCAGTGAGATCAGTGATTGTATAACATAGTTGTCAGTGAGATCAGTGATTGTATAACATAGTTGTCAGTGAGATCAGTGATTGTATAACATAGTTGTCAGTGAGATCAGTGATTGTATAACATAGCTGTCAGTGAGATCAGTGATTGTATAACATAGCTGTCAGTGAGATCAGTGATTGTATAACATAGTTGTCAGTGAGATCAGTGATTGTATAACATAGTTGTCAGTGAGATCAGTGATTGTATAACATAGTTGTCAGTAATATTATGGATTCTTATGTATATGAGTTGCAATTAAACCTTAATGATTTTCCTCTTTTTAACAATTTTTTTACAAATATTTACAATTAACATTTCACTTTGAGGCTGCCATGCTAGATCAAAGGAAATTAGGTATTTTGTTTGAAAGGAGTGTCACACTGAAACACCTTGCTTCACTTTTAAATCCAGTCATCAGGTTTTACATGTTTGTATCTCAAATATTAAAGTGGGTCCCATTCTGTAAACTTCCCTGTCTGTCACTTGGACATGCAGTGATTAATATCTTTGTCCTTCATGTATATTGTGTATTGATATCACTATATTTCGATGAATTTTAAATCCACAATTGTCACTTCAGGAACTCGACACTTATTTTGCTATACATGTATACAAACAGGAAATTTTTTATACTAGATATGAAATGTTGACTCATATCAAACAGTTACAGAGTTATTTCAACATTTGTCCTTTATCAGAGCTGTAGACTTGACCCGCTGTAATAAAAAACTGATCATGAAATGGAAAGTGAAGAGAAACTAGAGGTTATGAGTATCAGGGTCAGTGTTTATTCCATTGTAAATCACTTCAATGATTCCTCTCAGCAGATCACAAATTTGTTCTCTAATTCCCATATGGTCCTCTTTGTACAAAATCACTTTGGTACAAGTGGCAAAGTCAGGTCAAGGTCAAGGTCACAATTGTTAATGTCTGTCACCTAGCCAAAGGTCAAGGTCCCTGGGTTAAAGACCCAGTTTCAAGATCAGATAAAAAATCTCCTTTGGATCATTATTTTGCAAGTTGGTCTGATAAAAGGTCAAGAGAACTGGTCAAAGGTCAAGGTCAAATCTGAAAACAAAATGTTTGACAGAAAATTAAGGCGATTAGGATAATACATGTTTAAGATCAACTGCTTGGAGAAGGAGTGTTAGGGAGATATTACATGCTGATATAATGCTCTATGACCTCGAAGCACTTGTTAAACTTTCTGGTCTAAGGTAAAATTGACCATAAGTATTATTATCACACTTCTAAATTCATTCTTCTGTTATAGTGTAACCTTGTGATGAGCATGCCATTTTTTACCCATCTGTATTTTTTGCAGGCCTGTACAGAATAAACTCCATCTGATAGTAGGAGATGTGTTAAAGACTGAGCTGCCTTTCTTTGATATCTGTGTTGCAAACTTGCCCTACCAGGTAAATTATTCTTGTGATCCGCAGTCGTAGAGGTAATGGGTAAAGATTTTACTTAATTCTACAGTGGTAAAACTTACCCTACCAGGTAAATATTTATAGTATCTCTACAGTGATACAATTTACCCTACCATGTAAATTGTTCTGTTGGATCTCCACAGTGGTAAAACTTACCCTTCATGGTAAATATCTGTAGGACCATCTTCACCCTTGGTAAATATGGATCTACATGTAGGTAAAACTTACCCTTCATGGTAAATATCTGTAGGATCTCATCTGTGGTAAAACTTACCCTTCCAGGTAAGTCATTAAGTTGGATCTACATAGTGGTAAAACTTACCCTTCATGGTAAATATCTGTAGGATCTCATCTATGGTAAAACTTACCCTTCCAGGTAAGTCATTAAGTTTGATCAACACAGTGGTAAAACTTCTCCTACCGGGTAAATTATTATGTTTGATCTCTACAGTGGTAAAATGTACACTACCTTTGAATAGCATTTACTAGTGTTTGAAATATCTCATGTACTTCTGATATGCACTAAATCTGTGTTGTCTTTTTCAGATTTCATCTCCATTTGTGTTCAAACTTTTGTTACATCGTCCTTTTTTCAGGTAAAAATATGTCACATTGAAATTGACTGAGATTGTTGTTAAAAATTTTGATCTTTTGAAAATTACAAATTAAAATTTTATTTATAAAGAAATGGTATGTGTCTAAAAAAATTAAATTTTCAAGTAGCTTAAATATGAAAACAATGACTTACCAATCTCATTTTCTCCATGAAGAGATGTATAGAGACAGGACTTGCACTAATAAGTTGTATAATATTGTCCTCCGATGTCAATGTACATTTTAGGTGTTTCGTTATTAACAGGTGTGCTGTGGTGATGTTCCAAAGGGAGTTTGCCCAGAGACTCGTTGCAAAACCTGGAGACAAGCTGTACTGTCGTCTGTCTGTTAACACCCAGCTCCTGGCCAGAGTTGACCACCTTATGAAGGTTTGTTCCCAATGTCCAGTTGTTCTGTATTACCATTGGCAACAGAACTAGAAACAAGTGTGATCATACCACTGTAATGTGTTAAAAGTTGTACTCGGTAATTCATTAGTGTATTGGTACCCCAACTTTGATGTATGTACTTTGAATTCTTAAAAGTATTATAAGACATTTTGAATTAACATTGTACTACTGTGCATATCTGCCTATGGTATAAGTGTTTTTTGTGTCATATCATATTTGCCTTTAATTCACAGGTGGGCAAGAATAACTTCAGACCACCACCTAAAGTAGAGTCTAGTGTTGTCAGGATTGAACCTAGGAATCCACCTCCCCCTATCAATTTTCAGGTAAAATTGTATAATGTGTAAAGGGAGATAATCATGTCAACTACACAAGTCATCTATGTTATAACTGTAAAACAACTGAAGCTTTGAAATATACCAGTTACATTAAAGTATTTTAGATTTAATTGATGGAAGACTCTATGAAATTAATGCCTGTAAATATATTGACTTTTTCTTAGGTAGGAAAAAGTTTTATTGTGATGAACAAGTTTTGATGGATATATTTCTTTATTTTATCAGCAAAACACACAGGTTAACTCTTCATTAGTCTACATTGAGTTGCAGCAGTGTACACTGGAATTAACCTTTTTCCGTTTTTATCTACCTTCTCTGACATTACAATTTATATGTAGTAACTTACTTAAATAGTTGTTGAATGAATGAAATTTTTTTTTCATCTTTGAGGAATGGGATGGCTTAGTGAGAATATGCTTCTCACGGAAAAACAAAACTCTTGGAGCTGCCTTCAAGTGAGTTTTTTATAAATAGAATTATTCTCAACTCACGATGACTTAATCTGACACGAATGAACATTCATGTACATTGTATACTGAATTTATCGATTTTTTGGAATATTTTGATTACACTCATTTTGTGTCATTTTGAATCATTCTACTCATTGAAGTCATTATGATGTGAACACTTATTGATCTTCAGATTTGCCTGTTGTCCCATAGACAGCTCTGGTTAGCATATTGCCCTAGATCAATCTGTTTTCCCAAGACACCTCTGGTTAACCAAATATCAAGACACCAATTATTGTTTCATAGACACTTCTAGTAAGCTTATCCACCTAGAAACATCTGTTGTCTCCAAGACACCACTATTGTTTCGTAGACACTTCTAGTAAGCTGGTTCACCTAGAAACATATGTTGTCTCCAAGACATGTCTATTGTTTCATAGACACTTCTAGTAAGCTTATCCACCTAGAAACATCTGTTGTCTCCAAGACACTTCTAGTAAGCTTATCCACCTACAAGACATCTCTGGCACATCTGTAGTCTCCTATGAACCTCTGATATGCTTGTCCCCTTTGTAACTTGTTGTTACATAGACACTCTTCTGTTTAGCTCCCTGACTTCTCAGCTTTTTTGTCCCGAAACAACTCTGAAAACCGTATTTTGTCATATCTCTGGTTAGCATGTTGTTCCCTCTGACAATAATGTTTGACATGTTGTCTCTCAGACATCTATGCTATTCCTGTTGTCATTTAGGCTCTACATTTTACCAGATGTTAAAAACATGTGAGACATTAATAATTTTATGCGTATAAATATATGTGCAGAGGTTAGAAAACTTTAGAATGTGTTATTGTAAACATCGCATAAAATGCTGATCATATCATAGCGTGTTAAGAATTAAAAGGCCACAAAGATACTAAATGAAATATTGTGTACGAAAAGCACCTTATACAGATGGCAATCTATTCAATCAATTCAGCAAATTGACTAAACAGAAAGATTATCATCAGTTTTACCACTGCTCATGATATTAATTATTAGAGTTTAATGTATCTTAATATGAATATGTGACAAATGATTCTATCTCAATTTCACATTGTCTTATCAGGTACAATACAGTGCTGGAACTTCTAGAGAAGAACTACAGAACTCACTGTTCTCTAAATTCTATTGTAAGTCAATCTCACTAACTACACATCCTTACAGGACTCGAGCTTTTGTGAAGATGCTAAACCCCATAAAACATATCACATACACATACTACCAATCCTCATGGGACACCAGCTTACTATACACACACTACCCTTCCTCATGGGACACAAGCTTACTATACACACACTATGCATCCTCATGGGACACAAACTTACTATACACACACTACCCATCCTCATGGGACACAAGCTTACTGTACACATACTACCCATCCTCATGGGACACCATCATACTATACACACACTATCCGTCATCATGGGACACCAGCTTACTATACACACACTACCCATCATCTTGGGACCCAAGCTTACTATACAAACACCCATCCTCATGGGACACAAGCTTACTATACAAACACTACTTGTCCTCATGGGACACTAGTTTATCATAAACACACTACCCATCCTCATGGGACACAAGCTTACTATACACACTACCAATCATCATTGGACACAAGCTTACTATACACACACTACCCATCCTCATGGGACACCAGCCTACTATACACCCACTATCCATCCTCATGGGACACCAGCTTACTATACACACACTACCCATCATCATGGGACACCAGCTTACTATACACACACTACCCATCATCATGGGACACCAGCCTACTATACACCCACTACCCATCCTCATGGGACACAAGCTTACTATAAACACACTACCAATCCTCATGGGACACCAGCCTACTATAAACCCACTACCCATCATCATGGGACACAAGCTTACTTTACACACACTACCCATCCTCATGGGACACAAGCTTATCATACACACACTACCAATCCTCATGGGACACAAGCTTACTATACACACACTACCCATCATCATGGGACACCAACTTACTATACACACACTACCCATCCTCATGGGACACAAGCTTACTATACACCCACTACCCATCATCATGGGACACAAGCTTACCATTCACTCACTACCTGTCCTCATGGGACACATGGTTATGAACACACTTCTCATCCTCATGAGACACCAGCTTACCATTAACACACTTCCCATTCTCATGGGACACAAGCTTACTATTAACACACTTCCCATTCTCATAGCACGTCAGCTCATCATACACACACTACTTGTCCTTTAGGGACATAAGCTTATCAAACTACCCATCCTCATGGAATGTCAAACCTTCATAAAAAACATCACACACATTTTTACTATAATGCCAAATATGGTACAATAATCACTTTGGATATATGTCTTTTGTGAAATCCTAACTTGAAGCCAAGTAATTCTATTCAACAAATTAAAATTGACACATTATCTGTATGTTCGGAAATAACGGTCTTAATTTTATATCGTAGCCTGTACCTGCAGACTTCGACATTAAATCCAAAGTAAATGAACTCCTAACAGAAAAAGAGTTTGAAAAGAAACGTGCACGGACTATGGACATTGACGATTTCCTTGGGTAAGTTGTGAAATTAATGACAGAAACCTATGGTGATGATGCTGTGTTATGTTTACTATAATTAATATATTTTAAACCATGATTTTGTATGTAAATATCCTCCAAACATTTGAACCCTAAATGTTTGTACATGATATCTTTATTAATGATATGATATAGTACTTGTGATAAGTAAATCCACTCATATCACATGCATTTTTGTAATATTTGATTTATTTTAATATCCCATCAGAAACCTTATCCTGTTATGTATTCTTTTTCAGGTTGTTAAACTGCTTCAATTCAGCTGGATTCCACTTTTCCTAACAAACCACTCAATGAGTCAGGAATCCTGATTAACATGCCATAATTACTGGATCTGTCCTATGATCTGGTTAGAGCTGTCCACATTGTGTTTGATAGTTCTATCAGAAACGACTGCTGGTTTTGTGACCACTTACAAATGTTTCTGTTGATGCAACAGCTGTGTCAGACAGTGGAAATAGCTCATTGAACAAGTGATATTGCTTCTTGACACATTTGTTATGAATTTTCTAGTTTAGGTGAAAAATATTTTGCTTCCACCAAATAATATTGATTGTGACAGAAAAGTGTCCATATTCTAAAAATCATTAAAGGAAAAAAAATCAGGAAACGCTAGTTATGCATTCTGTGAAAATAACATCATCTATCCACGAAAAACACAATGGTTTGCATTTTTTTCAGTATGATGCATATGCAATTTAGTTTGCCTATTCATATAATAAGAGGTATTGTCAGTTTAATACATTGTAGGACACAATGTCTACTACACTTACCCCTAGAAAGAAGATACTACTCTGGGATACAGGGACTTTGCACAAATGCAAAACATCATAATTTGTGTATCTTGACGCTTACAGTACTGTAGGTAAATTTGGAGGGTAAGAATTGTATCTCTCTTAGATTTTATGTTATAATACCTTGTCCCCTTCTTTACTTTTGAATAATATGCAGATTGTCCTCAAGTCCCAGAATATCAGACATGTACATGCTGGTAGATTTTGGGGTACAGAAAAATCTAGTGTTAATTGTATATGTACAGTACAAAAGGACATCTCTATTGATGTGTGCAGGCCAAAATCAATCAAAGAAAATCCTTTTATGCATTATATATTAAATACAGGATAACATTTCTGAATTTAAAGCACACATTCTGTTTTGTATTTTATATTCAGTCTACTGTGCAACTTCAGTAATACATCACTTTGGAAATGCATACAGGAAATTGGTGTTAAAGTGAAATTTAAAACTGGTTATTGTGAGGAAATATTGATGGGATGTAAATTTAAAACTGAATATTGTGAGGAAATATTGATAGGATATATATTATTAGAGGCATTCACAAAATTGATGTAAGTCAGATACATACATGTATGTTGTATATGCGTTTAGGTAACGGCTCTGTGATAGGTAAAACAATTTATTGTTACTATATGTACATGTATTTGAAATGTATGAGTTGATGAGAATGAGTGTGAATGTTTGGGGATGACCGTGATGAAATTTGTTTCATTAATGATTGGTATATAATTGTATATACTATGAATGAATAAATTTTAATTTGTTTTAAAGCTGTTTTGTTCATTTCATCCAATACATTTGATATAACTAGATAGTTTTCATTCCAGCATGCTACTGGCTTTGTAAAGGATATGACTTGGAGCCTCAGAATTTTCTCTTCAAAAAGTCTTTTGAAGATTAAAAAAATTCATCTGTGAAAATTTGAAATGGATCAAGGTCATCACTTTGAACAAATCTGATAGCACTTCCTTGGCAGACAACATGAACTTGCATGGATATATTGTGTATTCATAGGTCAATTGAGAAATTATAACATATTCAACCAAATATCAAGACCAAAAATGTATTTTAAGGAAAAAGGTTGATACCATAATATGGATGAAGGATACTACAGTACAGAATGAGCTTGTTTGTTTCAGGCTGGTGAGCTTGCATACAATCACAATAACATATGAGAAAATGTTAAAATCACTTTATTCATGATGCTGATTTTAAACTTTTGTAAGGTTTAAGAAAGTTGCACTGACATTGTGATCCTTTGATCAGCAAAATAAAACTTGGTGTTCCAAACTGTACTGTATACCTGTGAAAGGAAAAGTACAAACAGGTGTTCAAAACTGGACTGTACATACAAGTATATGAGCAACACAGCAAATTAACTATTTATTGCTAATGTCAGTAATAGGAAGTTTTTTTGCTGTGTTGATCTATTAAATGGATTTATAGTATCTACAGACATTGGCACATGAGAAATAAAAACAAAAAAGAAATACTGATTTGTTAACAGAATCTTGAATTGAACTAAAACTCATTGAAACATAGGGAAAATTCTTTTTGATTATTGATTTCTTGGACAATGCACTTTCCGCAGTGTAAAGTAAAGAGCCTTTCTTTAAGTTTGTGTCTTGAAAATTCTTTGATCACCACAAGTTATTTTGTGCAGTCATTTGATAACCAACATACAGAAACATGAAAGTATTACAACCAATTGAGATAATTACCTTTCATTTGACAATACATGGTGCAAGGTAGAACTGCTGTCAACATCATAAAGTGTCTCTTTTTCTTTATCCTCAAAATATACCTATAATTAAACTTATTCTTATAAGAGAGAAACTTTTGACCCTGAATAATCACTGAACTGGATATGATAGGCTGATGACTAAATAAATGTACCAGTTATTAACGAGACAATGTAGTGAAATAGGAACTGTTTTTCATCAAATTGCAAATTCCTAAATGACATCCTAGTCTAATGCTCCTTATGAACAAATCATGTGAAAACATCAGCAAAAATCACTGTTTTTTTGTATCTTAATATGTAAAGGAATGAGGAGCACTGTCTGTCTGGTTAAGCAAGTAGTTAGCTTTGTATAGAAACATCAGCTGTACACTATGACCTACTTCTGTGTAGCTGATAGGATCTGTAATTTTCAGATCATAATGTGGCCTATGATATGAAGTGCAGGCTCAAATGTTGCTATATTTAGAATTAAAACTAAGTAATGCAGAGTTCCATGAAAATGAACTGACTACAACCTACAACAAACACAAATTAATCAGTTATGGAAACTTTCATCAGGATATATATTTTGATAGTACATGACCAATTTAACATTAATTATTTTAATACATTGCCCCTTTAAACAATTCAAGTAGTATGTGGGCTGACTACAGTCATGTGTTTTGACTATCTGTATGATATGTAAGATAGACCCAACAATTAAAGTAGTATGTGGGCTGACTACAGTCTTGTGCTTTGACTATCTGTATGATATGTAAGAGAGACCCAACATCAGATGAATAACTGATGTTCTGTGCACCGAACTTCTCCACCCACATCGTCCATATCTCACATGAATTAATGATGGACTGTAAACACTCCCAGACGTGCCACTTAGTTTTATGAGAAAACAATACTAAGGAGTCTAACCAAATACACCACAATGGCAGTTTGGTTTATCAATGTTACAGAATTTAGAGTTGCAATACTGAGTTATGGTACCTGTATATTTTCTTGGATGTACTTTCTCTCCGTGTCCCAGGGTGCTGGTTCAACATGAGGTCCAAACATGTTTTGTATATGGTCTATGAATCTATAAAGCAGAAACATCATTAGTATCAACTATCAAAGTATTACAGATATTATATTCATCAAAAAAACTCTGTTAACTCAACTTAATTGTAAAAGTCTATCACATCTGTACAGGTGCCACATCTAGAAAAATTGTGTACTTGCAGCTCTTTGTCTTATATATTACACTTTACAATTAACATTCTAGTCTTTGATGGTAAAGGTATCACAGCAAATGTTCCAATTATAGCTTACTTCTCAACAATTCCTAGGTATTACTGATAAATTAGGTGGAGGTACCTCTCCTGTCAAAGTTTTGATGATGGGCCTTCATAATTCTTTGAAAACACTGGTAAATTGTAGAAATTAAAAGTGATATTTTCTTCTCAAACATTTTTGTTTTGATTCACTCCATGATTCTATGACGTTTTCACAAAAAAAAAACAAAACAAAAAAAAAGCGATTTAATAGGAGACCTGTCATCCTCTTTAAAAGCTTCAATGTAGTCAGTCTGTTGGTGTTCGGGATACATGAAGAGGACTGGCCACACAAGTTTGTTGTCTGTATCAATATGGACTTTGGCATTCCCTGAGTTGGGTAATTCCAGATTGGTAAGGAGACTTGGATGTATTTTACTGTCTGTCAACTTCAAACCTGCCATTTGGATGCCTCGACTCTAAAAAAGTAGTACATCATTATTCAAAAACATGTATACTCCTTTGATTTCCATCTTTAAAGCTAGGAATATTTGCTTCACTGAGAGAAAACTGATAAATTTAAATGTCTCATAAACCAATCAAACAACTGTGATTGCATATATCATAAATAAATGATCTGTAATATTTAATCAAACTATATTTACTTCAATCACAAAGCTTCAAATTCACTATTGATATTTCTGAAGACAGCAATGCAGTCAGTTACATGGTATAAATGGAGAATACAAATATTTTACAACAACATTTATCTGTTCTTTTAGTCGTTTCTATTTCTGTGAATTTTTTCTACTTTGGATTTTATTTTCTGGGAATGAGCAGATATAAATGGGGTATACAATCCACCTGAATTTCTTTGATAAGGTTCATTTCTTCCGCTTGTTCTTTTCTTTCTTTGGCATCTTCCTTCCGTTTGTCTCTTTCTTGTTTTTTCTGTAAGACCAAGGATTGTTTGAATACTGACCCAACTAGACTGTTTCCGTGAATACTATATATTGTAGTATATCATGTACTGAATCTCTGGATAACTAAAATGTTTGTCATATTACTTTCACTATAAATTAAAATATCTGTTGTATTACAAAATCAGTTATCTTCCCTGGACAACTAAAACGTCTATCAAACATCACCATTATCAGTCAGCCTCATTCTCCCTCAAATGTCTTACCAGTAACTTATCTGCTTTTTGCTTCATTTCCAAAAGTTTCTCATTCTTCGGTTCCACCTGGATATAAAAACATTACAAAGAATTAAGAGACTTCACAGAACTGAGGTTAATCTCTAATTAAAGGCTGTGTTGCTATTGATTTATGAAATCTTTATATGTAAATCACAAGGTACTTGGTGACAAGATACCTTATTTATATTCAGCTATCCTTTTTAAGTATTGTAGCGTATGGTAATGACATCAAACTGTTACATATTCCTTGTCTGCCACAGTAATCACAAAGTACATGTATAAGTAGGGAGATGAAGCAAGCTAGGAATTAAGTAAAAACTAGAAAGTGGGTCGAGGTCATTCATTTGAACAAACTTGGTAGCATGTCATCCATGCATCCTACAGGTCCAATATCAGCACTCTTGGACTTTTGCTTATTGAAAAGGAGTCGTTTGTATATTTTAAAATATTTGACCCCTGTGACCTTGAAAGTGGGACAAGGTCATTCATTTGAACAAACTTGATAGCCCTTAATCCCAGCATGCTACAGACCCAATATCAGCATTCATGGACTTTTGCTTATTGAGAAGAAGTTGTTTGTATATTTTAACATATTTGACCCCTGTGACCTTGAAAGTGGGTCAAGGTCATTCATTTGAACAAACTTTGTAGGGCTCCATGCCAGCATGCTATGGGCCAAGTATTAGCCCCCTAGGCCTTCTAGTATTTGAGAAGAAGTTTTTTGAATGAAAAGTTTACGGACGACGCATGGCGGACGGCGACGGACGAAGCACGATGGCTATAGGTCATCTCGACCCAGATGACCTAAAAATGAAATGGGAAATTCAAAGGAACAAACAAGACAATCTTGTATACTAAAGCTGAAATTACTGTCAAACTTTTCCAATTAACATGGAATACAAGTTTAAGCTGAACAGTTTAGAAACCAAATTCATGTTGATAGAATGTGACTATTTTGTCATGACTCACAAATCATTAATGGAAATATATTTGTATTATATCAAGATGTGTTAAACAAAACAGTTGTCATGGAAATATATTTGTATTATATCAAGATGTGTTAAACAAAACAGATGTCAGTCATGTATGATACTCTACCAGCAATCCAGCAAAACACCACCTGCCAACCTCATTGTATCGTTTCATTTCCATACAACACTGAGCACCTGTAGAAAAAGGTCGAGAAGAAACAATTGAGCATTTCATACTATATTATTGTGATTTGATGGACAAGTAAAATTCAAAAGGAAATTCTAGGAAATATTATGTATCTGGGCATAAGATTCCTTCTACTGCAGTGAGTGCTATATATACATGTAATCTGATAATCCTAATAAGCCAATACAAAATCAGGGTCCCTAGCATGTGTGACTGAATGAATTTCTGATTGGTCAAGTGTGCCAAGGCATGATTGTATTGGAGTGTGCAAGTGTGTGTGTGTGTGTGTGTGTGTGTGTGTGTGTGTGTGTGTGTGTGTCCAAGTGTTAGAATATGCATAGGCTAGGGTGTAAGAAAATGAGTGTATGTAACAGCGAATAGATATCACACAAACATTACAGTATTGTATTGTTGATTCTTGTAAGCTGTAAGGCTTCCTGAATAAAGAAACTGAATTGAATGTGTCTGTAATAGTATAGACATGTCTACAGTATTGTATCCTCCTAGTACCCAAGCATCATATATACACAATAGATGAAGTAGTAATGACTGTTTGAACCAGCAAACTGACAATTTTTTAAGGCAATCTGCCCCCTTATCATGACACAAAATATGAAAATTACAACATATACATATTACATAAAACAAAGTACAAACAGAATTAGCAGGAAAATTAGAAAGAACTCATTCTTGTAGAATCAATTAGCACTACAACTTTGTCAGGACATTTAATAATCATACTTGTAAAAGTTTGTATCACTATGAACACTGTAATCTGGATAGACATGGGCTCTGATTAAGATCCTTAACTTTACAGCTGTCAGTGAGTTAATGCTAATCATTATCTTAGTTTACACGCCAGTAACTTTTTGTGAACATTCTGAGATGAATTACATACCTTTTACAATAGCTTTCATATGTGTTGAGTTGAACTTTCTGGCAAATATACAGTCGTGTAACGCAGATTTGTAGTTACCTGTAAGTAATCCAATACATATATTTTATATCGGTTAACTGTCATTAATTGTTGATATCTTAAGAAATATCAATTAACGTATGTCATTTAGTTTTTTCATTAAAAAATTCCACCTCTTTTCTTGTAACTGTTTGTTCTTTTCACAAAAATAATTCAAATCAATTTCAAGAAATTGAAAATGAAAGTGACATGAAAATGGACATATTATGATATGATCTGATTACTTGATCTCATTCAAATTCACTGGAAAAGGCTGATCAGTTCCATAACTTGAATTTTTATGAAAATTAAAAAACCAGTGTATCCAGTGCAGACAAAAATGAAATTATCAGAATTAAGTTTCACCTATATCATTTTAATTAAATTCCTTTTATTTTTGAAAATGTCTTAATGCTTTAAAGGGATATTCTGAATTTTGTGAAATGCTGTTTTATAAAATGTGTACTTCCATTGTAACTATATACTTAATATGTTCTCATGAAAGTCTGAAAGCCCAAAAGCAATTTACGACATTTCATCTGTAGAAATTCTATACAGATCTACAATGTTACCAGTAAATTGATTTACAAATTGTCTTGATTACACACACTGCAAACAAATTATAAAGCAACTTATTGGATTCCGTCCCTATATAGCTACAAGCTATACATTTCATGTATTTCATTTAGTACATGTATCTACGTGTTATGTATATAGTTATATGTGGTTGATCTCACAGGACAATAACACAATAAATGTATTATGGTATGTATTATCAGATCAAGCAATATGTGCTAATTGTCAGACATGTACTTACCTCTGAAGGACTGAGCAGCTGCTCTGTTACTATAAAGTACTGCATTAAGCTGCCGGTCTGGACATTCACATTTTATACCCTCTGTATAATTGTCAATGGCAATGTCATATCGCTTTTTCTTAAATTCTACATTTCCATCTTCTTTGAATGACTCAGCTCTGGCTAAAAGCAAAAAAAAATTTTTTTTAGCTGCACTGTCAACCAGTAATTTTATAATCATGCTATAGCATGACATTATCTTTGGATTAAATTTGACCTGAAGCGTTATTGAATGGAGAGCTTAAACTATTTCCTCTTGGGCAGTGCAAAGTCAACAATATCTCAAACCTATTATGGACAGGAATGATCATGGTGATTCTTATATAATACCTGTTGGGTCTTCATCCTCATACTTCAGCCTCATCAGCCCTTCCATGGCAGGGTGGAGTGGTTGACTGAAATCAACTTCCTTCGCAAATGCTGGATGTCTCATCAGCTTCTGTATTAGAATACAACTGTATGTGTTATTTCAAAGTACAAAATTATGCTTTTTACAAAAAAAAATAATTGCCAACAACATGTGAAAAAAGTTAGTTGTTTAAAAATGTATAATAAATGGATTGGAGATGACAAAATGTATGATTCTTTCCCAGTGTGAGTTTTTTTTACACGTAACAATCAACTTCAAGTTGATCAAGTTGTATAAAAACAGTATAGACGTACATGTGATGAGAAAACACAAATTCTTAATTTATGATATCATATACCACACAAATGATTAGCGACCAGAAAATATTTCATCGGAATCAACGGAACACTGCAAATGACTATCTTGTCTATACAGCCATAAAGAAATCAGAGGAAGAGAAGGGAATCATAATTAACAGAAAGCATGAATTAAGAAATACATTTTTGAAAAAAAAAATACAAAAGAAAATTCCACAATGGCAATGATAAGGAGAACATCTGAAAACTTGGATAAAAAAAATTTTTTTCTTGCAATCATTAGTTACATGTAGATCTTGATTTTGCAAATGCTATTTGGTTTCCATATAAAACAAAGTATACTGAGAAAATTGAGAGCAAAGAAGAGTAGCTAAATTTGTCCCTGAACTAAAAAAACCTTTTATAACTGGATAGACATAAACACCTAAACAAACCAATGCTGTTGTATAGGAGACAGGGAGGAAGTGTGATTGAATTAATAAAATAATTCATGGAAATTAATGACCATGAGATTACTGATTTTTGTTGAAGTTATGGAAAGACGTTTCAAACTGATCCAGAAACATGGAAAAATTTTTGAAAATATATCCTCATCAGTGTGCAGAAGAGTTGTTATGATTAACTTTTGCATTTTGAGCAAATAAAATGTACTATATTTTGAGTCTGGTGTTATGGACACTTAATCATGTGACACAAATCTATCATTAGATATTGTGAAATATCTAAGAAGCATTGGTGTCTAATTTCAATCTAGAGTAGACATAGTACATAATAAACTGTGTACATCTAATCTTTCTTCCCATTCTTCTTCCGTCTCCTCTATTTCTTCAGTAGGATTTTCCTTGTTCTTGGCAATCACATCTGCAATGTATCTCTCAAGATCATCATCAATTTTCTTCTTCAGTTCTTGCATCCTTTGCTCTGCTTCAGCTTTCTTTGCTTCTGCCATTTTGAACCAATGATTCTGTATTGTCCTAAATTTCTATTCCCCTGGAAAAGAATAATTAACAATATACGGAAAGGAATCCTACTGCGTCTCTTATCAGCGAAATATGTATTGTTAATATGTTGGCAGTTACTCCTTTGATTAATGCTTTCAAAGGTTAAGTCATAATGTGATTACATGCAGTTGATTAGCCACGAACAGTACCTCAGTCAATCTTTATATAGATTTTCTACTGGTGTACTGTTGTTTACTATACTCAGAAATGAATATCAGCATATGGCTGATATATCAAAGGATTAACGAACCATGCAGTGTAATGAACAGGTCACGCAGACATACTCAGACTTACGTTATAAAATTGTCGTTCCGAAATACATACCGGTCTGGAACCGATGTCGCGATATCTTAACGTGTATACACCGTAAATAACTCGTTTTATTGGGTAGTACAAAAATAAGTTTTGATGATGTCAACTGTTATTTATATTGAAAACAGCTCACGCATTCTGAATCAAATTATGTATAGTTTACCTTGATATTCAGATAATAGTATGGTCGAGAGCAACACGAGTGTGTTGACTATTCCATGTGTTGTGGGTTTAAGGGTTTTCCGGAAGACAGAAGATCTTAATCAAGGGAAGTAACCATTGAGGCAAAAGGAAATAGGGTGCATGCTAGTACAAATGCACGCAGTAGTTGACATAGATATCCCGACGGATTGTCACCTAGAAACCCAAATGATATCAGCTCCTTTCATATTGATTCTGCTAAAATTACTATATTCCTGATTTGCCTTAAATATTCTGCAATTCATTTAAAGGACAGATCTTAATTCTTTACTTACAAATTCGCGTCTGAAGAATCTGCAGCAGCTAGTGGATCAACACTTTCGACGTTCTACGTCAAATGTTAACTCATACATATTTACTAGAAACTCCGGTTATTTTACTGAAAAACATAGCGTTAAACTCAAACTAATTGCAACATAATATATTTTTGATTGTTTGTGTGTTTCATCAGCATAAATTCAGGGAAAAAGATCACATGAAACCAAACTTCGGGTAAATATTTTTGGCCTTCTACAGGATCAAGAGAAAATGGGAAAGCATATTTCTTACCGTATTTGAAGTGTAATACACTATACCTACCCTTTTTGCAATACAGTAACTGGATAAATGAACTGAACAGTGAAGCAAAACCAACTGAAATATATAACATAAATAACTACCAATAGTTCATTGTCTTGGTTTGTGGCCGAGTTAGCCTGCCGCTGAGAGTGTTGCGGTTAAAAAAAAAATAGACTGTAAAACTTACTTGCTTTTCTCTTTAATGCAAAAATACTATTAGTTAATCTCATTTACCTTAAGAGTTTACTTTAAACTTCTTAAAAACAATTTTTTTTATAATTACAGGTACATTTTACTCAATCATTAATCCATGACAAGTAGTGCATTCATTTTAAAAAGTAGTTATCCAGTGTGGTCAATTCTATCAATTGGTCTTAATGTTTCAGATTTAACTATATCCCTGTTTCTACAAACTATATATAGAAAAAAGAACAAACAAATGTTTACAAACATGTTATATCAATTTGTGTATGTGACATATCATTGGAAGTACTAATTCCGATGTCCAAGGTCTGATGATCAAATCTTTATCTCGTGCAATTTTGTCTCAACACTGAAAAAAATACAAAGTCCATAATTATGAACAACATATTTATTTATTTTTTTTTTTGCACAGGATTGTCCGATTAACCGATGGTTTGCCAGTAAATTAGGCTATCATAAAATGGAAGTTTTCATGAAATAATTTTGAAGTTAAACATCCATTCAACTGTGTCATTTTATCGAAAATTACGTGTAATCCCCATATTCTGTACTACAATGTATTGAAGGAAAATAATATGTTGATTGGTTCTAGTGTAGAAGATAAGTCTGATGTAATAAGTTTCGTAAGCTTGTTTGTTGATTTGTTCATTCACGTTAATATAACCGAACCACACGTTACCAAATCGACACATTGTGACCATTTTACAGGTGCGTGTAGGTGAACATTAATTGTTATTATAAGAGGTTTGTCAACCATGGCCTGTTCTTTCTTGTGACACAGAGACTAATTACATTACTCTGTAGAGTGCATTTTAGATATGAAGAACGATTACACCACCACCTAACTGACGTTAGTATAAAGTATAGTTAATATGAATAACAATACACTTCATGTTCTAATTTAAGTATATATGTGAAGATAAAGACAATTATATACCTATACTGGTGTACGTATTTTTAACATGATGGAATGTACGGGTTATGATTTTAAAACAATCAATGGAACATGTCGTTCATTTATAAAACAAACTGATCAGTCCTTTGCAGGTTAACATATATCTTAGTGATAAGGAACTCATTGGATATACATTACCCTAAAAGACGAAAGACATGAAGAGCTGTGCGGAATGTTTCTAATATACACAATCGGAAAAATAAGACCAATATGTCGATCAATCCACAGGACCAAATCATGCGTGGATCAAAACTCAAACTTCTATTTATAGATCTTTCTCACTTGTCATCTCATAGACAGGTAGCAGTTCTATCTACATCTGTCTTTGGATTTTTCCTCATAGGAGGAATCGTACAGGTAAGTAGTTCAGTTCACGTGTAAAATGTTATGTATGCGCTTACATGAAGTGACGACTGAACCTTATTCAACACCGCATTTACCAATACAAACTGCATATCACAAACTGGAAGCAACGTTCTGGCATTCTACCTATCAACATTTTTCACATTTCAGATTAATACTATTGCCTTTAATCCCAATAGCTTTCGATATCAAAGCACGAGACTTACTCTGTTATATTTTTAGTTGTTTAGTTTTGCTTCTTGTGTGGAGAGAGACTATACTTTAGTGTTCTGTTTAAACACGAACTTACCGTGGTTTAAACATATTTATTTGGAAGAAAGAACGTGTTCAAGTTATAACAACATTATCAACTACCTATCCTCCAAACATATACAATAAAACTTACAAACATAGGCATAACTATATATATATAATACATATATCTGATATACTTGACGTAGATTTGAAATAAAGAATATGATGACGCATAGCAAATCCGTTAGCCAATAACGCCCAACACACGCTCTCACCATCACACACCCTCACTACACACAACCTCACAATTACACACCGTCACCATTACACACCCTCACTACACACAACATCACAATTACACACCCTCACCATTACACACCCTCCCCATCACACACCCTCACCATCACACATCCTCACATTACACACCCTCACCATTACACACCCTCACCATCGCAAACACTCACCATCACATAACCTCACCATCACACTCATCATTACACACCCTCGCCATTACACACCCTCATCATCACACACCCTCACCATTACACATCCTCACCATTATATACCCTCAGCATTACACACCCTCACCGTCACACACCCTCACCATTACACACACTCACCATCACACAACCTCGCCATTACACATCCTCACCATCACAAACCCTCACCATTACACACCCTCACCATCACACATCCTCACCATTATATACACTCAGCATTACACACCCTCACCGTCACACACCCTCACCGTCACACATCCTCACCATTATATACCCTCAGCATTACACACCCTCACCGTCACACACCCTCACCATCACACCCTCACCATTACACACCCTCACCATTACACACCCTCACTACATACACCTTCACCATTACACACCCTCACCGTCACACACCCTCACCATCACACCCTCACCATTACACACCCTCACTACATACACCCTCACCATTACACACCCTCACTACATACACCCTCACCGTCACACACCCTCACCATCACACACCCTCACATTACAAATAAACAGTCGATTAAACGGAAGGTTGCAAAAGTGATTCCACCAAAGAACGGATATGGAAGCATGGAGAGTAAAAATGTAAAAATAATAATGATGAAGAACTTGTAGTTAATCAAAGGAGAGCAAAGTCAGCTGTTAACTAGGAACTCTCCTTGAATTTTTCAGGAGCAATTATCCCGTATCTATAGGAGTGAATTTATGACGTATAACTGGTACCTGACACTGGTTCAGTTGGGATGCTTTTCACTGTTTGGGATGGTGAGGTTGCCATTGGAAGTAACTAAAACCAGCAGGTAAATATACATGTAGAGTTAGATTTGATATCATAGACATTGCAATTCAGTATAAACATTTGCATATGTTAAAATATTTAATGTTTCAGGATTCCATTACATCAGTTTGCCGTTTTGGCCATATTGACAATAACATCGTTCGGATTTGGTAATCTTTCCCTAAGTTTCATCAATTTTCCGACCATGCTACTTTACAAGAGCATGCATTTTGTACTTCAGCTGATTGGACGTATTATAGTATACGGTAAGAACATATGTAGCATAGCTGTTCATTGTTAATAAAAAATAATCGCAAAATTTACTAGACGACACCTTCAGCAACATAAGTATGTATTCATTTAGAAAAACGGTGTTCCAGTATACTAAAATTAATAAAAATAATGACATTGAAGAAATGTGTTTATCTTAAGTCTTATTTTAGAAGAGAAAACTTGTGTTATGACGCCGAAGAGTCTTTCCATCCATGGTAAGTAAAGACATTGCTGGAACCTATGAGGACCTTTCCTTACCATTCCAAGTTCTGCCCACAAATAAGAGACAGACTCCGTTAACAGACAAACTGTAGAACTTAACTATTTACATACACCGAAAAGAAAAAAAAACCAAAATCATCTATATTAGTCTGCAATTCTTTGTAATCTTGTCACATGCTACAGTGTCATAGAAAGTCCATTACGTGTAATCATGTCCTTCCAGCGAAAAGAGTCCATGTTAACGACATGGCATCTGCGATTCTAGTTTCACTCGGTGTAATGGGGTTTACTCTAGCTGATGCCGAGATCTCGTCTACTGATAGAATATACGGTGAGTCTTATCCTACCGGTACATGTAAGGGTTTAGTATTTCTGAGATAAATCTGCTTTATGTAGTGCGTTTATTAGATTAATAACAATATATTAAGTGTATCATATACATGTTGAAACTCAGAAGAAAAGTACACATTTGTAAATTACTAACATTTAAAAGTTTCGTCAACATCAGTTTACAATCAATCACTGCAAAATTGTTTATTTCGACGGTTCATTTTTGTTTATTTACCAAAATTTGGATGCTAAAAGTACTTCACGTGTTCTTAGTCACGAATCAAGCTATGGTTTTCTTTGTAAATTCTATTGTCAAGATATTCTTTTTTAGAATTTTATCCCATACACAAAAATAGCGAAAATAAGGACCTCGCGAAAATAATACCTTTAAATAATCAATCAGTCAATTGTAAATTACAACATTAATTACAGGTGTCCTGACCATGGTTTTGGTATTATGTTCAGATACAGCGATGGCAATTGTAAAACACGCAATGTCTAAAGAACATAAGTATAGCGACTCGGAAATGGTATGTATACATTTTAATACGTACATGTATATGTTAGCAAACTGATACGTGATCATTTTATAAAGCAAAGTTATTCATGTCCTTGACAGTCCCATCACTATGATGTGCTCTTGTTGTACGCATGTCACTTAACACTTTCCACTTTGATTTTTCCCAAAGTGCTCACATGCAATCATATAAAATCACGCTAAACACAGGCTGAATTTTCATGCGTACAGCGTACCGGGAATACTTTTAATTTTCTAAAGATCGATAGATTATTCAGAGAAGGTTTTTGTGTTTTGCAGATGTCTTATTCCAGTTCTATCGGATTTATCTGTCTTTTACTCGCCCTGATACTAACGAAAACCTTCCAACCAGCTTTCAATTTTTGTTATGAGGTGAGTGGTTCACGCCGACTATTTCCGAAATATATCTCGTTCAGTTTCTCAATTCATTTGAATATTGGAGCGGTTCAGAATATGCACATGTACTTAACATTCTTCTAAAATTATCAGACATATTACGAAGCTTACTGAATTATGGGATTAGTGCATCACATCAAAATTTTGTCATTTCTTTCAATCATTTTGAGGTTCCTCATCCGCCCCCTCAACTTCCATATTTAGGCCCTTATCATCTCGAGTCCGACGAGAACGAAACATCTGTATGCTGTATTGTAATCAATTGTCACTAATGTATCTTATCCAAATTTCTTATTCTCTTGTGTCTTTTGTACAATTTTCAAGCCAAAAGGCTAACCCTCCATGTGATCCTCCATTAGATTACATTAAAATTCTGTTTCCAAACAAAGGCTTTGCTAAGTCTTTCTATCGCGAGAATTAACATAAACCCGTCTTGCGTACTATAGAATAATGTTAATATTTTGTTTGTTTTTGACCATTAAAGCAGAAGGCGCTTACTCTTCCGCAACACCATGTCTTTGTAATTTTTCAGGAGTCTCCGTCTAAATTATTCTTTCGTTCTTATTTTGCCCTTATTTAATTGAATCTGAGTTTGGATTATGATTCTTTTCACATGTTGTTTTTCCTTGATGTTGAACCAGTGATGAAATCCAACTCATGTTAGTTACCGAAGGGTTACACGATGAAAATAGCATGAATGTGTTCTGACAAAGAAACACAGTATTACAACAAATTAGACGAGAGGAGACAAAGCTGTAAAACGATCTCAGATTATTTTCAGCATCCTTTAGAGACATATGGATATGTCGCTTTATCTTCCATGTTCGGATTTCTAGGGACAAACATTTCACAGACCCTGATGCAATCTCACGGTCCTTTTATTGATATGACTGGTAAGACTCTTTCATCTATTTTTTTGTCACTTAAAGTAAGATTTAATTTTTGATAATTTAACGTTTGTATCATTATACATCAATTATTGAAGAAATCACTGTTTGCAAAAATTAGTTTAACTTTGTATAAGTACATATATTATCAGAAGGCCGAGTCGTCGTAATATGATTTCCTAATAATCAGACAATTGACAGTTTTCATAAATGTAACCTAGTGTTCATGCATTCTCCATGGGACAAAGGCAATATTCACTGCGCCTTTTTTTTGTTTCGTTTTGAAATGTATGTATATCATCAAGAAATTGTAACTTATGCCAGACGTCCTATATAAACTGAACTATCACATCTTTTAAAACGGAAGTCCGCTCCTTTCAGCCCATGGCATGTTCATTATATACATTGGCATTTTCCATTTCAGTTACATTCATTAGGAAGGTTATTTCCCTATTGGTATCATGGCTACTATTTCCAAAGCCATTCATTCATCAGTAAGTATAACCAACTTTTGCGCTAAAATACAATAAAGTTCTTACATGGCATGTAATGATGACGAAGATCATATCATATTGTTATACATTGTATATTTACAATTACCAAATATTCTGTTTACAAATTTAAAAATAAATTTTGTCATTACTCCCGAAATCACTCTGTGCGATTTTTTCTTTTCTTTTCCAGATACTTTTGGCCTGCATTGCTGTTTTTCATTGGATTTCTGCTCCACATTTACACACGTCATATAAAACAATTTGTTCCATTGCATCAGAGTATTCCAATGTAATTTGGAATAAATTGCATGTATAAAGCAAATCAATTTGATGTTTTATGTTCAGAAATGGAAAATATATACTTGTGCCCATTGACGTGATGCTTTCCTATGAACAAATGTAGCACGTTTGTGATAATGAAGTAAGGACTAGGCGACAGAAATGACTTGCAAAACTCTGATGTTGCAAATTGCCACAGAAACTGTACCAAGTTTATGCACTTTGAAAAATATCTCCAGGTGTGTTAAATATTGGACCAACACAACAAACAGTTATAACCTGCTTTGAAGTTTTCTTCAAATTTAGTTGACATTATACTATTTTTAATAAATTTTGAAAATAATTTTACAAAGTGCATTGACTTGGCCCAATATTTGATTCGATTTTAAAAAAAAAAGGTGTTTTGAGCTTGTCCCAGAATGAACGTCATTTGAAGCAGATTGTAAATGTAAAAATGCTCTCTTGTTCTTAAAATGTATACCCATGTACTCTTACAAAGTGTTCGAATAACATCTGATTAGCAACTCAAGCCAAATTTGAATTGCAGAAATGAAAACGATATTTAAAAAAGCTTATCACTTTTCACACCAACCATTTCATTATTCTGGTGTTTTATTTCATTGCTAGAGTAATTGGTAATATGTAATGCTGAATTAGATTGTTTCGCTATATGTAACTATAATATTCCATTTACGATTAAGGTAAAAATAATTTATTAGGACCACCTCGAGTGGACGAAAGTAAAGTAAAATAGTGGGATGGTCTGAATGACATTGATGACAAAGGAAACATGTTCCTTATCACAACCACTTTTGTCCATATTTTCAGTCATTGAATTAGTATATAGGCTTTACATCATTAAAGACACATTGATTTTATCTTGGAAGTCAGTTTGATCACAGAGTATAATCTTATACCACTGGTAAGTTTGACGTCTGGCAGATGTACAGTGACTGTAGAACACAAACTAGATACTTCTGTCTCTAGGTAGAGATCTGAATCTGGTGCAAAACTGTATTTTCTGAAAATTGGTCTTAATTTTGAAGTAGTCTTAACAGTGAAGCATCAAATACAGAAATAAAGGGGGAATTTTTGGGGACAGAAATAAAGCAGGTGTCCTTGACTTTTAGGTAACTTTGACTTTTAAGTGGCCTTGATTTTTGAGTGGCCTTGAGTTTTAGGAGGCCTTGAGTTTTAGGTGGCCTGGAGTTTTAGGAGGCCTTGAGTTTTAGGAGGCCTTGAGATTTAGGTGGCCTTGACTTTTAGGTGTCCTTGACTTTTGAGTAGCCTTGAGTTTTATGAGGCCTTGAGATTTAGGTGGCCTTGAGATTTAGGTGGCCTGGAGTTTTAGGTGGCCTTGAGTTTTAGGAGGCCTGGAGTTTTGGGTGGCCTTGAGATTTGGGAGGCCTTGAGTTTTAGGTGGCCTTGACTTTTAAGTGGCCTTGAGTTTTAGGTACCCTTGAGTTTTAGGTAGTAACGAGGTTTCACCGTCTTCACATAAGTATATAGGAAACAGATGATAATTAAACTCATCAGTTCATGTGCTGACCTTTGTCTGTTTGTTTAGTATCTTTTACAGACAGTAAACTCTAAAAGCTTGACAATAAATAAGACTAGATGTAGTGGAAGATATAGTTCGTTCATTGATGCTATAACCGAAGAAGTCATATATTAGTTCTGACTGTAAATATCAATTGGCATTGTATATGAAACTCAACACATTTGAAAGCTCTGTAAGGACTACTGTGAAGTTGGCCTCTAAGAATCATCCCAAGGTACTTCATATGTAAAATCTGTCCCAATCTGCACCCTCAAACATAAATGATTCAAGTTTTCATCATATATCCTGTAATATTGGTCTTTTCTTTGAAGTTTAGATATGCACAACTGCAGACATTTTATGTTTTGTTGTATATAGCTGTTCGTTGTAATTACCGACCATCATATAGCATCAACAGATTTGAATAAGCCAAGTCTTACTACTTAAATAAATTTATTTCTGTGTAACTCATTCGAAAATCATTTCACTCAAAGATTTCACTTCAATTTCATACGTAAAGGGAATGTATAAAAATCAGGAGTAAATTCTATATATGTTTCTTTTTTTCATTGCAAATTGAAAATACACAAAAGAAAATGCACGCACCAAATGATGTAATGAAAACAGGAAAGATAATAATATTTTATAACATTTTCTATATACTTATAATAAATACACTAGAATGATATTTAATAACTAACAATGGTTGCCTTTGCCATATGATTTTTGATTTTGAAACTGAGGACCTACCCTTTGTTTTATGTAAATTCAGTTTATATTGATTTAAAGAGACACAAGTAAACCTTTGAGTATTAAATCAATTTTCATATACTCTTCATATAGATAGTGGTATTGCATACTTATAACCCAAAGCAGAATCTGTATCTCAATTAGTTCACAAGATACTTGTATCACAGTATTAGAATGATAATGGCAGAAATGACACGTTAATTAAGGTATAGATGAGCATGTGTTCTTTGAATCAAAAATATGTAATTACAACACTTCATGTTTGCAAAGCACTATTAATTTGTCAAAGAATGAGATATTCAATACAAAAATATCAATGGCACTCTGGGAGACTGGATGTCGTGAATTTAGTACAGGTGGAATATCTTTTATAGGATGACGTAGGTGGCTGCAGTAGCCACCCCACAGTTATTGTCCTTCTGTGACATGAGGACGTAGCCGTCGTTTCCCCAGTATGTGGACCAGGAGTTCTTTACGAGCCAGTAGTCCTGTCCACCGATAGTGCCATAACCCACAGCTAAGACAGCATGGTCCAAGTCATCGTCAGTATTACCTAGAATATAACATAGAACAATTCTGGTTTTCACAATTTAGTATCAAAGTAAGAAAAAGAAAAAAAAAAGTATTGTCATCATGTTTATCTTTATCCAGTTCAAATTACATTTAACCAGAACTACGCCATGTCAAAGGATGGTACAACCAGCACACACTAAGAATATTGTTCCATGAGTGAAGACTCTGCTAAGTTGCAAACTATAGTAATACCAGGTATATACAATAGCCAGTATTGTAAAATCACCCAGGTAAACATTCCATGACAAAATGATATTCTCTTTTATAGAAAAGCACAGCAATAAACAATTCATTAGTGATTTAGACAAGTGAATCCTGAATGTTCTTAATAAAGATGTATTACAGATCTGTTTCACTTACCACATGCAGGCTCGTAGTAGATGCCATTGGCATAGAAGGATAATGATTTGTGTGAGGCATCAATGGCAACTGATACTGGTCCCTGATGGGCGATGGCAAATTTGAGAGCTTGGAGGTCACCTTTTGTGACATTGACATAATTCTTCATTGTCACAACAGGCTTCACACTTTTTGCATGACAGGTACTATCCTGGAAAACATAAAAGGGAGGCTCATTCACTTAAATTTGTGTGTGTGTGTTTTTTTTTTCATTTGAATTGAACAGGAAAATGAATCTAATGTTAGTTTATTGTATGTAAATTTCAAACAATACCATTGTAAAACTGGGTGAATTTTTTATATTCACCTGCATATCAAAAAATTTGGTGTTGCTTAATGCTACACAAACAGTTTTCATCTATTAACACTTCATAACATTTACTTGATTTAGAATTAACTGTATTGAACAAGTCACTCTCAATAAAGATATTATGATGACATAGATAAGAAGGGGTATAAGCAGTATCTATATACTGTACCTGAGCAAGATATGGTCCATACAGCTCTTCACTTGTAATACCATTGTTATTTTTCATGATCCAATTATAAGACCTGAAGTCCTCGCCTCCATCACAAGCATTGTTGCCCTCGCCCCAGGAACAGTCCATCAACTCCTGTTGTGATAGTCGAATGAGCTGCCCAGTCTAATCAACGACAAAAATCAAACATTAAATAGCAACAATATGTTCCATTTTTGAAATCACCAATATTATAAGAATGTATTTTGTAAACTGACATTTTTAATACTGACAACATCATAAACACATGTATAACAATGACTCCTCTTATTACCAGAATAATATCTTACTCTTCAACAGTGACTTTCCATTCAAATGCAAATAGTATTGGGGAAGTTAAGACTTTGAGTTTTGAAACTGTTCCCATTGAAAGTCTGACCATTTGTACAAATTTAGTATCCCTTAACCCAAACATGCATCTGACCAAATAAGACAAATATCCAATCATTCCTACAGGAGGAGTAAGATTTTTATAGAACTTGCTCTATTTCCCCTATTGGACCTGCCCCTCCCGTCCCAGAAGATCGAGACTGACCGCTTATACAAAATCCATCCTTGAAACAAAATTGATTTCCCTTTACCCAAACATCCTTCACACCACATTTTGACAAAATCAAATCATTCCTACAGGAGAAGTAGGATTACAAAAAAACTCTCTCTATTTCCCCTATTGGGCCCTATCCCTTCAACCCAAGGGAATTGAGACTCACCATTTATATAAAATTGATTTCCTTTACCCAAACATGCTTCTGACAAAATTTGGACAAAATACAAACATTCCTAAAGAAGGACTAGGATTTTATAGAACTTGCAAAATTTCACTTTTTGGGCCCCATCCCTCAAGTTTGTCTTTCCCTAAGGAAGCTACTGACCAAATTTGGTCAAAATCCATTCAGTTGTTAATGACAAGTAGCGTTTTGTAGAAAAAGTTAACAGACAATGAACGCTGTGGTATTTAATAGCTTACTTCACCATTCGGCACAATGTGAGCTAATAAAACAGTCAAGTCTTAGGAGACTGATTGTCTTTTATTTTTGCTGATCTAACAAGTTGAAAAGCCTCTATTCAGTAATAACTAAATAACTTACCTTGAGGAAGTTTGCACCCTCAATAGTGCCAACAGTACCGAAGCTCCAGCAAGATCCACAGACAGCCTGGTCCTTAACTGGTGTGACAGCACCTGTACAGTAGAGAGAACATGCACTAAATACATGCTGAAAATATTGCACTGATGTATCATTGTGCTTATTGTACTTTCTCTATATTGTTTATATAACCTATTGTGAATGCGTGAATACATCACTGTTTTTCATGACACCAAATTAAGTGTGTCTACTGTATGTATGTCTTTTAATCTATCAAACACAGTTCCAGTCTATATGGGTGTATGTGCCTACCATATAGTCTCCAGTCCCAGTCTACAGGGGTATAGGTACCTACCATATAGTCTCCAGTCCCAGTCTACAGGAGTATGTACCTACCATATAGTCTCCAGTACAAGTCTACAGGGGTATAGGTACCTACCATATAGTCTCCAGTCCCAGTGTACAGGAGTATGTACCTACCATATAGTCTCCAGTCCCAGTCTACAGTGGTATAGGTACCTACCATATAGTCTCCAGTCCCAGTCTACAGTGGTATAGGTACCTACCATATAGTCTCCAGTCCCAGTCTACAGGAGTATGTACCTACCATATAGTCTCCAGTCCCAGTCTACAGGGGTAAAGGTATCTACCATATAGTCTCCAGTCCCAGTCTACAGTGGTATAGGTACCTACCATATAGTCTCCAGTCCCAGTCTACAGGGGTAAAGGTACCTACCATATAGTCTCCAGTCCCAGTCTACAGGGGTAAAGGTACCTACCATATAGTCTCCAGTCCCAGTCTACAGTGGTATAGGTACCTACCATATAGTCTCCAGTCCCAGTCTACAGGAGTATGTACCTACCATATAGTCTCCAGTCCCAGTCTACAGGGGTATAGGTACCTACCATATAGTCTCCAGTCCCAGTGTACAGGAGTATGTACCTACCACATAGTCTCCAGTCCCAGTCTACAGGAGTACGTACCTACCATATAGTCTCCAGTCCCAGTCTACAGGAGTAAGTACCTACCACATAGTCTCCAGTCCCAGTCTACAGGGGTATAGGTACCTACCATGTAGTCTCCAGTCCCAGTGTACAGGAGTATGTACCTACCATATAGTCTCCAGTCCCAGTCTACAAGGGTATAGGTACCTACCATATAGTCTCCAGTCCCAGTCTACAGTGGTATAGGTACCTACCATGTAGTCTCCAATCCCAGTCTACAGGAGTATGTACCTACCATATAGTCTCCAGTCCCAGTCTACAAGGGTATAGGTACCTACCATATAGTCTCCAGTCCCAGTGTACAGGAGTATGTACCTACCATATAGTCTCCAGTCCCAGTCTACAGTGGTATAGGTACCTACCATATAGTCTCCAGTCCCAGTCTACAGGGGTAAAGGTACCTACCACATAGTCTCCAGTCCCAGTCTACAGGGGTAAAGGTACCTACCATATAGTCTCCAGTCCCAGTCTACAGTGGTATAGGTACCTACCATATAGTCTCCAGTCCCAGTCTACAGGAGTATGTACCTACCATATAGTCTCCAGTCCCAGTCTACAGTGGTATAGGTACCTACCATATAGTCTCCAGTCCCAGTCTACAGGAGTACGTACCTACCATATAGTCTCCAGTCCCAGTCTACAGTGGTATAGGTACCTACCATAAAGTCTCTTGTCCCAGTGTACAGGAGTATGTACCTACCATATAGTCTCCAGTCCCAGTCTACAGGGGTATAGGTACCTACCATATAGTCTCCAGTCCCATCTACAGGGGTATAGGTACCTACCATACAGTCTCCAGTCCCAGTCTACAGGAGTGTCTTTCTCACTGTATTTGGTCTTGTCAAAAGGAAGTCCACCATGATGCCCAGGAGTCCGCCTAAATCCATTCATCATTGACAATTCTTCTACAGATTTATCTGCTAGGTGATTCACAGCTAAAGAGAATGAAAGACCAGCTCTGTTCTTCGAGTGGATGAATCTAGTGATCAGAAGAAAGAGTCAGATTGTAAAAGATAATATACATAATATTTTTAATCAATATTTATTGATGTATATAAAAAAAATACACGCTAGAAAATAATTGTATTATAAACATTGCTTTACCTCAGAAATAATTCACAAAAAAGACACCCAAATGTTAAAAGTTTTCAAAACTGATGGAGGTAATGTTTCCTAAGAATCTCCAGATAGTTGGTGGCAGAGTAAATATAGATATTTAAATATCTCATCGGACAATAACCAGTACCCCATGATCACAACACTTGAAAAATACTATAAGTTTATGGAGAATAATATAACTCACAATCATATATTATTTATAAAGATCTCATAAAGATTATAAATACCAATAAATACCCTTAGGCAACTTAGGATGAATCAAACTGAAAGAATACCTTAGGTTGTTTCTGAAATGATGTTGTCTCTGAGCATGCTCTTTGACTGATTGATATTCACGGCCATGTTTGATTTTGAATTTTCCGAACAAATCCTCCACATGCTGATCATAGTGGTGAATGTATTCTTTCATGGGGTTCATCAGCACCTGATGTTCACTTGCACCTGGACCAGGGAAGTCTCCACAAGTCATCCCTATCAAGAACAAGCACATTTATTTAGAACTGAAAGCACAATGTAGGTCTTGCCAACCAAGATAATTTTAATAAGAAAACTGGTTAAATACTTCAGATACAGTTTGACCAATCAGATGCCAGCAACGATTCAGTAACTGGACAAGCATCAGTAGCCTTTGATAACAGAACACCCAAATGCTCAATGCTAGGGGTTTATCTGATACAACATTTGTAAAATTTCATTGAAATCAGCTGACTAGTCTGATAGTATATGTAGATGTTTTGACAAAGATTTATACTCGTTTTTAATGAAGAACTAAACATACATTGAAAGGATAAGAATAGATAATCAAGACACAAAACCTCATATGTGTTTTGTTGCACTGGCAAAAGAGCCTAAGAGGAATTGCTTAAACAAACATTTATGAACTTGCAGGAAGGGTCAGAATAGAAAAGTAAAAAAGGAAATGCATACCTTAGAGGAAAGTTAAAATTTGTGTACATGTAAAGCTTTATCGAAAATGAAAAAGAGGAGTTGTATAATAAGAAATTATCTGTTTCCCTTGTGTGCTATTTCACAACTAAGGCTCATAACTTTGCAAGAAAGATGTGCATCACCACAGAGAAAATATGATGCATGCTAAGTTTCACTGAAATTGATCCAAGAGTATTGGATGAACTGTGTCTAGATTTTGTTTGCACTGGAAGTTAATTTTTGCAAACCTTACCTATTGCAGATTTACTCATCAAAATGAAAAGGTATTTACCTTTAGGATATGCAAATGTACTGTCATCAAATTTAGAACTGGCTGTGAAATTTGTGTACTTGATGTAGTATTTGTCATAGTGGGAGCCAAGTAGCGTGTCATAGCCCATCATCTCGTAAAACAATGGACTGCCGTCAGAGGCAATCCATATTGTATAAGTGTTCTTCTTGTTCCCGACAACATTCACCAGCTGCCACTGGTCAGCCTTCTGACCCAGAATCATACCTTTCCCAATGTTCTGAAAAAAGAATGGTTAATGAGTTAATACCTTGTTTTGTTAAGTTCAAACAGGAAACATTTACACACCTTTAGATTTCATATCCTACTATATCACTATACAATACATCTGTCACAGGTGAAAAAAAACACCAAGAAAATACCAACATGTCAACATAATCATAATCCAATCTCAAATTCCATAAATCTATGGCAAAATGAACAAAACAGATATTTACACAGAAACTCCTGAAAAAATAGATGAAGAATAAGACCAGGTGTTCCATAAGAGTAAGTATCTTCTGTTTCATCGATGACAATCACCATGTGAACCTGGGTCAATTCAAGTATGTAGAATCACATTCTCAAATGAGAACAAGGTATACAACAATGGAACCAACAGGCAAGCTAACGAGCATCAAACACGCCCACTCCATATCACACAAAGAAATATAATTTTTCTCAATGAGATCACTATGGCAACCATAAGACTTCCCCATAATTTTCATCAACCTGCATGTTTTGAAACCCTTTGTTATGAGTTTGTCCATCAGTTGACGATTTCTTGCATGAAAATTGTGATAATGGGAACAGGATCTTGAATATTTAATAAACTGTGACATGTAAATACCATAGGTATGGGATGTAGGAATATTGCAATCAAGAAATGGAAAATTCACAGTAGGGAAATTGAAATCATCACGTTTATCATACAGCTTGATGTAAAGCTGTCCAAGCTGGTTTTGTTGTAGGAAATGATCAAAATAAGCAGTTGCTGCAGAAAGCCTATTGTGTCTTTGATTTCCAGTTCCAGGTATATACGATAGGTGTGGTCAATAAATTTCTGGTTATTTAAAGACAAGACATCATTAATATATCTGAAAGTGTAATAAAAATTACTTTGCAAGGTCTTTGTGAGGCTTTCAATAAATTCAGCCTCATATGAAAACAAAAACAAGTCAGCCAACAGAGGGGCACAGTTAGTTTCCATAGGTATTGCTAATAGCCATGAAAGATCTTATCACTGAACATGACAAAGATGTTGTCGATCAGAAAATCTATCATTTTTACGGTTTCGTCCTCTATATATTTTCTTGGTTTGGACATTTTTTTTATGAAATATGCTCCAGTATAGTTCACAACCATATACTGATACTGCCGTTTACCTTTCTCGGAGAAGAAAGCTCTCATAACAAGAGACGAAAGGCATACCTTTATTTATGAATGGGGTATGGTGGTTATCATGGTGAAAAATCTAATGTTTTTATGTTTTTTAGAAGAGGTGTTGAAGATTGGTCGAAAGCTCATTGGAGTTCTTCAAAACCCAAATACTACCATACATGGGTGTTGAGAAAATGTTTTCTGAAATTTAAGTTAATATTTTGGCCCCACCCCTCAGGCCTCTGATGGTGAAGGGACACAGTAGTTCATTTTGTTTTTGGTTCATCTTAGGCCAGGGAATCTTTCTGCAAAATTTCATTGAAATTGAAGTAAAAAATATTAAAAGTTTACAGACGTATGATGTCAGATAAATGGCGATTGCAATATGTCCCTCTGAGACTTTGTCTCAGGTGACCTAAGAAAATTCAATCTCATTTACCCATAGAAAGCTGGCAAAAAAAGATACTTAAGTCTGACCGACAAAAAGATTGACATATGGACAGAGAGACAGACTGGTCATATGTCCTGATCACAAAGATACAAAGATAACATGTTCTGTACCTGGAAACCAGTCAGGTCTGGTAACACACTTTGTATGGTAATGGGTCCATCACTGGTGCCATTCATTCCAAAACAGGTCATTTGGTTTGTCACCTTGTATGTAGTGATTGGAGCAATCTTAAACCCAACACCATAGGGTTTGACATCTTGGCGCTGAACAGTTTTCACCATTCCTGAAATTTAATCAAATCTGCAAACGTAAATTCACGCAAGGGCTCGGTGAAACATGTTAACAACTCAATAACCCATGGAATGTTTTTTTATATCTTATAGATTAGACTATGATACCATATTTGCATGAAAAGAATTCTACTTTGATGAATGAATAAACTAACACCTTTAGATTACAAGTCACAATAACTGTATCACTATAGTTGGTCATACTGGCATGTGTTGGCTTTATTTATCTTACAGCTAATTACATGATATGTACAAAACATTGTTAATAATATCACATATGTATGTGACTTTTAGGAAATTTTGACATTTTCATTCAGGGAAAGAATTGGGAGGGGTGGAGGGTTGTTGTTGTTCTCTCCTTCATTCATAATCTTTGTACATAGCTTCTGTTATTTTTAGATTTTACATAAGCATTATTGTTGTGAGATATACAAGTAAACAAAAGCAGCCTGATTGTAGGAAACTTTTTCTAATTGAAAATTGGGTGATCAAGCTATAAACTAAATACAATGCATGTTTATTGAATAGAACATAGATGAAGACTGATTTAAATATTAACATTTCTGATCATCAGTAATTCTCACTGTTTTTCATAGTGTCATTTTTCCAACCGTTTCTGGTAATCAATTAATTTGATACAGTCAGCTGAAAACAGCTAGTTACATGTACATATCTCAAATTTTCATTTTTTTGCCCCCTTCCCCTCACCCCTTATTGCTCTCACGCTATTATTATACCTCCATAATAGTCCACTCGGCTCATGTTGTTGACACCATCATAATAGGCAGTGAATGGCTCTTTGATTTCTGCATATGGTAACTCTAGATCAGCTGTGAGCATATAGCTGGTAGGCCATTGTGGTGGATTATCGCCCCTACACAAGCAGATCACTGGAAAAATATGATATATTTCATAGAATATTAGAGTAAATAATGAATATTACTCTGTGGAGCTAATAAATTTTGATGAAACTGATTAAGTTTATGATACAATACAATTGACAAGTAAATGTAGAAAACAATCATACACTTGTATAATGAACTGTGATTAGGAAAGTTCTTCAACTCAACATTGCAGACTTGTGAAGAATCTTTACCAAAAGGTTGCACAACTTCACCATAAATGTTGATATTTTCAAAGTTAATTGTAAAAAAATAAATGAGTGTTATGAAATAACAAAGTCATCATTTGGTAAAACATCTATTACCCAAAATGAAACATGGGCATCTATTTTTTCTCTTTTTTTTCTGATTTCATTAAAGGTAAAAAAGAGCAAACAACATTCAACAAGAGTTCAACATTTGACAGAAAATAAGCACCATCCAGCAATAAATATCCTCCCTTGCTCAAAATTAAGCCCCCGCCCTTACCCCAACCCTGACCAAAATTTACGTCTGTTGTTTTTTTATCTGAGAGAATCTGTACTGGAACTCCCAATGCACCTTCTTAGTGTGATATGTTTGCATTGTCTGATAATGTGTAAGCCATCATGTGTGTTTTTTTTTTGTTTTTTGATTTTTTATATTTCTTAAAAAATAAGCAGACCTAGACAAAAACAAGGGATTTTTTTCTCAATCAGGTATCTATAACTAAAGGCAAAAGCTATACGCATTTGCAAATAAAAAATTCAACCATTACTATGGTTATCAGTGGCAAGATTGAATTGCGATAGGGTTTACCAATGGACGTAAAGAGTACACAGTAATGTATATTTTTGATAACTTAATGGTTTATCTCACGTACACCAATGCGTCTGAGTTGACAGGAGAAAACTTCTCTGAGTCTCTGTAACGAGTTTACTTTCTTATTGTCTGATTATATCCTCGGACAAAACACCTCTTTCATTGAAAACGTCATTTCTATCTTTTTCTTTCCAAAAAATAGACAACTGGAACACATTTCGTGGAAAAGAGTGTGTAAAAAGTGGAAGTAAAATGGTTAATAGCAGGCATTGTTAAATAGGAAGGATAAATTTGTAATTACCTGCTAAGAGTAAGACAAAACGTCCTGGTCCTCCTGTCGCCATCTTGACTGCGATAGAAATATCACATGACTTTCAATGTACAATCATATCACATGATCATGACACAAAGTACTTTCGGTTTGTCAAGTGACTCGATCACGTGTGACGAATCAGCATGCCTTTCGGAACAGTTACATTAGGCTTTACTGTGACATTTATCCAACTATTTCATAGTTTTATAGATTCACGCATAAAAAATGTTGACCTCACTTTTTATATCACGGTCATATATGTAACTACATTTTGCCAAGCTGGTGACTTAAATCCGGAAGTTTTTATTTCTTTACTTTTCACATCAGTGTATTCAAGTTAGATAACAAATAAAAAAAACTTAATTCCTAATGCACACAAGATTTTTCTTGTATTTCTACAAATATTCCTCGCTCCGACCAAAACCACTTCCAGAACATTACCAGCAATCTTTCCTGTAGCGTGCTGCGCATGCTCCAGCCTGAGTCGATTTTTCACCTGTACTGTTACTATAGATTATATAGAGAGAAAATCTTTAAACTTGAATAAAGCATTTTTTCGTTCAAATGACAGTATTTTCCCCGTATACATTTGGATGATAATTTTATAAGCTTTAATATGATATTTGAAAATTAAAAACAAGTTGTGAGGAATCGGTGCCATCAGACGTTTCTGACGTCAATTTTCCTGGCTTATCAACAACAAGTCGATGGGACGGCTGTAACTTATGCTATCAGTGTTATTTCTTCCGTGCAGAACCATTATTTTTTTTATAACACATATGCGTGTGTTTAATGTACTTTAACTATCATTCTGATTAAGATCTAGGCAGTTTACATACTAAAAGTCAGTGTCTTTTGAGTTGTACAATTTTTCAGTGATGACAGATACAAAGCAAGCGTGACTACTATAGGTCAGATGGATATTCGTCAAACGGGACATTAATTCAATACAGGGGCATATGTTGACTTGATTGAGCATATGGCTGTTTAGCATGACTTAAGTTCACCCAATCGCTATCTCGGAAACCCACGGAGCATGTGCCACAAACATAGATTCACTACCTTTCTCTATCGTATCTTGTTTTCCACCCCCTCCCCCATCTCCCCAAAGAATATGACATCGCAGAATACGCGACCAACTTCATGATAATCAACAGTAAACAAACAATATAGATGAATTGAGAAGAAAGCATTTGCAGTTTGACTTTAAAACGATGTTTTCAGTATATATAGATAAAAACGTTGAAAGATTTCAAGTTTGTGTGAGAGTCCTGGTTTATATGATATGAAAATAGGACTAGATGTGATGTGTGACAGATTGTTCCACGACAGGTACAAGGAAAAAAAGACTGTGAATGGCAATTTATGGTCGAAGGAGTAGTCGGGAAGAAACTGGTAATCCATCTTTTTCAATTGTCCTACCAGACCGTGTGTGATATTGAGGATCAAGTTCTGGAGCGTTTAATAATTTATTTTTAATGTGTTAGAGACGCTGTCTGTATCTTACTGATTATTTAGGTTTGTACCTTGACCGCTCTTCTTTGAATCATTACAGTTTTCAGCCTTAAGTCCCCGAGAGTGCTATGGTACTGCATTTTTGGGCGTACATATATCTAGTCGGGTTGTTCTTTTGTTTCATGATGTTGTTTCATTTCAGTGCTTCTAAGTATAAGCCTTGGTATGACTTTTTCTACTGTGATTGTAATATTGTTTCCTTGGTATTTGATTGGATTGCATTAGCGTGTTTCAATCATTTCACACTTGTCAGGGTTAAGGATATCAGCCATTACTATTCCCAGTTTTCTTAAAGATGAAGATCTTCTTGGAGCACAGGCACAAGACAGAACCTGGAGGGTACCGTGGCGCCTGACAGGACTAAGCAAGTGCTGGACTCTGAAAAAAAACCCCAAAATTACTTTTTTATGTATCAACAATACTTGGATTAATACCGAAACTTGTAAGTTTAAGTAGAAATCCTCGGTTCTCAATTTTATCCGATGCTTTTGAAAAATTCATAATGGCTACATCAGTTTGTTTCTCTTTTGATTTATGTAGCAAAGGAGGGTATCTTTCTCATCATCTATCCATTAGTTTTGTAGAAATGAATGGCACGTCAAATGTTTCAATAAAAAAAAATGAAAAATACAAATATATATCAAATATATTTCTATATTTGTTATTTGTTCAAAACTTAAAAAATCTATATATGATGAGCTGTTCAAATCGACCTGCGTCTCGCATCCGTCGTCCTTTCTTAAACAACATTTATTATCACTATAGATGAAGAGGTGTTCGATGATTCTCAGATTTCATTTGCAGGTTCAGCTTGGGCCCTGGTTGCAGTCTCTTCTGGAACTGATCGATAAAATAGCTGATAAACGGTCGTCGGGAATTTTAACTACGAATATAAATTTGTTCTGGAGAATTATGTGATCGATCACTATTAAATACCATACGCAGGTTCGCCTTGGTCCCTAGTTGTGCATAACCCTTGCTGGCTTGGACTGGTCGAAAAAATATGACTGACAGATGGCCGTCTGGATTTTGACTATGAAAATTGTTATCGCTGTTTCTTGAAAAGTACAAGAGTTACCTCTCTCATATATCATATGCAAGACCCTCTTGGACCCAAGAAATTTCAAATAGTTAAAAGAAAGAGGAAAGATGAGAAAAGAAGCTAAAATATCCAATTTTTGATGAAAAAAGAAAGATAAAACAATATCTATCCACAAACTCTAGTGATGCTCTTTTCATCATCTTTTCTGTTTTTTTTTTCATTTAGAATTTCATACACGTCAGTGTTGGTGGAAACAGAAATTACGATGTTTTCGTCTTTTTCCACAACAGCCGCACATCTCTTTTGTCGGCGATTTTACTACACGCTCAATTGCATATTTTGTATGTTTTTTAATTCTTACATGTTATAAAACTTAAGATAGTACCACTACATGTGTATGACTTCATCTACAAGAAAAGTAGTTATATTCTGTAAAATAGCAAAATTTTCGCGAAAATGTATTTTTTCTTTCTTTCTTTTTTTTTTTAGCTTTCGGAGAGTATTCAGAAAATTGGATCTTTCACCTAACCATGACAGGTTTATTTCTTTTGACTTTCAATTTTGCGGTCCAGTGGTCCATGGTAAATTATATCGCTATTTCTAATCTCTTCACTTTATTGCATTACTCGCTTGACAAACATTATCCTTATTGACCGAGGTGTCGCGCGCTTTAAAAGGAGAGGAAGCATAAATTACCCAATTTCCTGTCTGAATGATATTTTAAAGACATATGTAATGTGGCCTTTCACCCTGTACGCGAGCAGCGATAAGGAGCACGCTTGTCGGACATGCGTACACGTATCATTTAATACTTCCGATAGTTAGATACAACATCGTACACATCGTACAAGCAGAGGCACGAAGGTATGTATTCGTTGTTTATATACGCGAATAGATATTTGTGAAATATGCATGTTGATGCACATCTATCACGTGCACTGGTGTCAGGTCATTTTGTCTCAGAGGATTGGAAAGACAGGTGAAAAATAAGAACATTTGATTAATTGAAGGAATATGAGTGTCTGTACAATATTGCTACATGTGCCGCCTGGGTAAGAGGATACTAGCACACGATGTCTATTTTTAAATGTTTTATACGCCCATCGTATAACAGGCCGTATTATGGTATGATATTGTCCGTTCGTCCGTCCATTCGGACGTCCTTATTAAACTTTTCCGTGCTTGCCCACTTTGGCACTATTGTTCTATTATTATTTTTTCTCCAGTATGCACAAATAAAACATATTATATGTACACACGAAGTGGTATTTGTTGACACGCGCCACCAGGATAAGTTACAAACCTTTTTTTAAAAAATTGCATTCGGTCCAGGCATTGGCCATTATGTCAATTTATATCGTCATTTTACGATAATTGTGAGCAAATCTTACCTGTGATTTAATTTCAAGTATAAAATATGATTGATTTATTGATACCCTCATATATGTTAATGTATTTTTCCTTGATTAATTTTCATAGTTTATGTCAAATATATTTATAGTCACCACACGATCCAAACCGTAGAATCGTTCCACCGTACCGACTTCCTTCATATTAGTCTTATCATTACTTCACGTGACTTTGCTCTTTTTTGCCAATTCAGTGCTTTTTGTTTACATGACATGTTCTGTTTGTTCTTTTAAATGTAGTTCTATAAGTCTGTTTCAAATGCTGGTTTGAACAATATGGTTTATTCATGAAATTCAAGATACCGATCCGTTATTCTACTTCGTACTTGGGTTTCACATTTGAAAATGGGTAATTCTTTAATGTGTTAGAGAATAGCGACCGGTACCTTTTATTGTAAGGTCTACGGAAGATGTTTGATGACGTAATTTATCACTTTTTATTTTGGTGTAAACTCTTCATCGATTTCATAGCTCTTTGTTTTCGTTAATTTATCAGTTTAATACTATGTTTTATTGTTTCCGAAATTTTGAATTTTCAATGATTTTGTTAATGTCAGTCCTTCAGCATATGGATGTCGAGTCCAATCCTGGTCCGAGATTTGGCGAGATTTCCATATTTCATTTAAATGTTGATAGTGTGAGACACAAATTAGACAACATTGAAGACATGGCAAATGAATATGACGTTGTGTGTCTAACCGAAACTCATTTAGGTGATCAGGTTACTACCAATGCTTTATGTATTGAAGGTTTTCATTCTCCTTTTAGACTTTGCCGGGGATGGTATTTTGGTTTATATAAATAGTCTTTTGAAAGTTGATCGTTTGTCTGAATAAGGATATCCTGGTGATTAGGTAATATGGACCAAAATTAGCCTTCCTCACTCTATTTACATTATTGGAAAGGCTTATAGACCAAAAAACTCTAACTTATCGTTTTGGGAAACTTTCAGGTTGTCTGTAAATAATGCTCTCGATATATCTCCTAGTGTTAAAGTAACTAGGGATTTAAATGCTGACTTCCTCACTGCTTCAAATAATCATGTGCTGTTTGATATCATTAACTCCTTGTCACTAACTAATGTTATAAAATATCCTACTCGTGCTGGACGTACTAGATCTAGCTTACTAGATCCTATACTATTATCTGATTCTATTTCCTGTATTGACTCTTCTGTATTTTCTATTGGTAGATCTATTAGTGACCATGAATGTTGTACGGCTTCAATTAATATTCCTTGTCTTTTTAAACCGATCTATAAACCTAAAATTTGGCAGTAAAAAAGGGCAAATTTTGAAAAATTCAATGAACTTATATCTAATCGTAATTGGATAGATATTGTTTTATAATTGTGATTAAGTTAATGCTGCCTGTGATTGTTTTACGGACATACTTCTGTCGTTTGCTAATGAGCGTACTCCCAGTAAAGAAGTAAATATACACCCTAATGATAAGCAGTGGATGACCTCTGAACTTAGAAAAACTTAAAAATAAGGGATAGGCTTCATGAAATAGCAAGGTCAACCAAACGTTTGGTAGATATTGATAAATTGAAATAACAGTGAAACAAAGTTAATAACATGAAAAAGCATGCACGTGCTACTTTTTATGAAAATGTCTTTGATATCATTGACGGATAGTCGTCTTCGGATACAAGTCTTATTGGAAATTAATCAAAAGGTTAATTAAAACGTCCGATACTTCTCAACCTATATCTTCCCTTATAGATCCTGTTACCTATGACATAATTACCAGAGATGAAGATAAAGCTGTATTATTAGATAGTAGAATCACTAGATTAGAGAACATGTTCTACAGATATTGAAGCTCGACATGGCCTCGGGTTTGGATGGAACTAGCTACCACATGCTAAAAAATGCTGCACATACTGTTCGTACTCAACTCGAAATTTTATTTAATATGTCTTTATCAGCAGGGATTTATCCAAACAAATGGAAATAAGCTAATATCATGCCATTTTTTAAACAGACATTCTCCTTCGAATTATAGACCTATTTCCTTGCTGTCAACTGTTGGTAAAGATTTTGAAAGAGTGATTTTTAAACATTTGTACAACTATGTTATAAAAAATTCTTTGTTTTACAAATATCAGTGTGGTTTTATGCATGGCCATTCAACAGCGTATCAACTCATTAATATTTACCACAAATTTGTATTGCACTTGAAGAAAAAGACATACATGTAATGTATTCTGCGACATTTCCAGAGCCTTTGACAGGGTCTGGCATAGAGGTCTTTTGGCGAAATTGAAAGCATACGGAATTTCAGGAGAATTGCTTACTTGGATGGAAAAGTATTTATCTCACAGATATCAAAAGGTGTTTTTAAACAGTTCATATTATTGTGAAGGGCTCATTGAGACAGGAGGCTCTATTCTGGGACCACTTTTATTTCTTATTTTTATCAATCACATAGCAGATGTTTTTGAATCGACGTCTCGTCTCTTTGCAGACGATATGTCATTTCTTAAGTCATCTTCATCTTGTCTAGAATTTCAAGAAACGTTGATTAGAGACCTGGCCCCACTTGTATAAAACATCTCAACTTGAGATTTCCTCAAGTCGAGATTTTCCTCAGCTAATATCTCCTTGAAAATATCTTGTATGAAAATTCCTCAAGGAATTTCAGGACATCCTAGCCGATGCCTTCCTCCTGTTCCTTGAGAATATTTTGTACAAGCCGTTTTTGAGGAGATATCAGCTGAGGAAAATCTCGACTTGAGGAAATCTCAAGTTGAGATGTTTTATACAATTGGGGCATGAAGACTTTAAATACTTGGTCAAAAACTTAGTTGGTTAATTTTAATCCTGAAAAAAACCCAAATGTATTATTTATATTAAATTCAACTGATATCGAAGAAGATTTAGACTTTGAGATGGAAAGTTTTAAATTTTACAGACTATCATAAACATTTAGGTGTAACCTTTAATTCGAATGCAAAGTGGGGGGATAATGTAAATGAAATTGACACTTCGGTTTTGAAAAATTAATGTCTGAAGGAAATTGAAACGCTTATTACGTAGGGGTGCTCTTTTAAAATAATTATAAGACGTTTATTTTACCTGTTTTAGAATATACTTGTGAGTTGTGGGACGGTTGCAGTATGTTTGAATCAGAAAAGTTAGAAAAAGCCCAACGTGAAGCGGCTCGCATTATCTTAGGACTGCCTTCATATTCCCCTATTAATACTTTATACTACGAAACGGGTCTTGAAACCCTATCTAATCGCAGAAAAATAGGAAATTTCAACTAAGGTAGAAGATGCGTAATAAATTAACTCCTGAATACCTTGATCATCTTTTGCCGCCTTTCTCTGGCGAAAATAATCGTTACGACTTACGTAACAATAATAACTATAGGATTCCTCCTTTCAGAATGTCTCTAACTAATTCTTCTTTTCTTCCTTCTAAAATTTACTGTTGGAATAACTAAGAAAATTTGGTTCGATCCCAACCCACTATTAATTCATTCAAATCTTGTTTAACACAAAATAATCAGTTAAACCCACCAATTCACTATAAAATTGGAAATCGCAAACTTAATACATTGCAAACTAAGCTCTGACACCATTGCAGTTCCCTTAATTATGGCCTTTTTAGAGTTGATATCGTTGAGAATGCCTCTTGTGAATGTGGTCATCCTTGTGAGAATGTCTTTCACTATTTTATTTAATGTCAACGTTTCTCGAACGAAAGACGTGTTTTAGTTAAAAATCAAATAATTGGAACGTTGCGTTAGATATAGAAATTCTATTGTTTGGCAATTCTCAATTTTCCGTGGACCTTAATGCAAACATTTTTAGATCTGTGCAAAACTGTATTTAATCCAACAAGAGATTTTTATGCCAGTGTGTAACAATAATTGTCATGATTGTAATATCATTTGAAATGTATATTGGGAGAAGGCTTTGATAAGTTGCAATAACTAATCCTAACTTTAAACGGAAGTGTGGCTGGAACTTTCTTATCCACATTTGTTTTTGTTTTTGTTTTTTTTTCAGCAAAAAAAAACGCAGTTGATGTGATATTGGTCAAATTCTTTTAAATATATGTCTTTATATTGATTTTCTGGGTCTCAGCAGTGTTTACAACTTTACCCTCCTTTTTCTACCAAGATTAAGTAAATATTGCTTAAAAAACTGAAGGCTCTAAAGAATTTTTGATTTGTTAAACAAAACGAAAACACAATAGCAGAGAGAAGAGAAAACGGTGGGTGAGAGCAATCTGGTTTTAGTTATGAAAACTGGTTAAACGTAAGCACCACCTTTACAAATCCGACTAAAACTATATTGTCTTTAACCATATTTTGATTACATTTCATTACATTACTCACTTCTTATCTCTGTGTAACTCTGAAAGGGAAACTTTTGTATATTTATTTTGAAGACTTTTTTTTATCATTTTTTTATAATCTAAATATGTTGTCAAAGACTTTATTCATACATTTTCTATTGTCATGGAAACACATAACCCTCATCACAAATTTAAGGTGTTTTGGTCCAACGCTCTGAAACCTTTCAAGATAATTGCTAAAAACATCTTACACTTATTAAGCTAGTAGTATATTTTGCTATGGGGAAGTTCTCCATTAAATGCTTTATCTGTTATGATGGATAGCCCAGATCACAAAGTTCAGTTTTTTTCAGATCAGTTCTCTTAAACCTTTCAAGGTAATTACCCGGTACTCAGAACTTTGTACATGCATCAAGCTAGTACTCTAGTAGAACTTCTCAATTTCATTACTTTGTATGGAACAATTAAAGATAAGAAACAGAAATTAAACTTGTTGTAATATTAACACACACACTCTCACATACACACACCACACACACGCCCACCCTCACACACACCACTGCCGGTTTATGTAACAAACCGAGGTAAATTTGAAACAATTACAGGAAGAAGCAAAGTGAGGTCTACCGAAATTAACGATGGGAATGGAATACATTTCTGATTAACATGTTTAAAACTATCGCCAAAGCTTGAGCGGTACATAGATTAACAGTTATTCTGATATTTGAAAATTTGAATTTTCACATACATTGTGAGACACAATTGTGTCATGTCATGTCGTGGTATAGACAAACTGAGGTAAACACACTCAAATCCAATTTAACCCAATCCAGCGTAGTAAGGTACATAAAACTTATCTCACTTTAACGAACTACTGTTAACAAACACAATGTAGTAATTCCAGCCAACCTAGCCATGTACCTCAATTTAACGAAATTCTGTTAGCCCCTTAACTCCCAGCTACGCATTTCTACGCATTGTGACGTCGATGTTGGAAAAATTGTCATATCTCCCTTATTGGTGGAGGTATTGACCTACTGATTATATCTCGTGAATTTGTAGAAAATGCTTAACATGTTTTATTAGTAGTAAATTTTGATTTGGTAAATATTTCTTGCGCTTTTTGCGTGTTGAAAATATAAGGCATTTTTCCCGAACATTGATGACGTCGTGTGCACGTTGTACGTAAATGTCTATTCGCGGGTCCAGTTTGTATTCCACGTATATGTTAATAAAGACTGAGATATTTCTCTCGAATGTTAATACATGGATACCTTATATCCAAAATCGTATGCACGTACATTGCGCGTCTGTATTGATAAAGAAGCGATTGAAATTCTCTTTTTTGAACATGCCTCCATTTACGATCGTTGCCGAATCAAAGTCGGAAAATCCTTTAGACGTTTCCGTGAGATGATACCTTTACAATACAATGTATGTCCTATTAAGACTATACGGCGATCCCTCGAATGATTATACACATGCATTTTTCCTGTGATATGACTTCAGAAAACGCGATAAATTTGAAAATCAGGTTTTTATGCATATAAAACAATGACTGCACTCAACTTACACAACTGATAAATATGAATTCATTAATATAGGTGTTCCATGCTTGTTCAATAAAAAAGTACAAACTTGTAGGATACGCTTACGAATAGATTTGTAAACGAACGGAAGAAATTGGAAAAAAATCAATAAAAAATAACAGAATAACCCATCCTATTCATGTAAATAGTTATATATTTTACATACAATATGCAATGATAAAATCCGACTAAATTCATTACATCAGTTTCATCAGTCTCTGACACGATCGGTGTGCATAAGATGGCGATGACACGGAGATAGATCGAAGTCTGTGGTAACACATTCGTATATGTGGATATGTCGGCATGTGTTAGTGAAGCCATGAATGTTGATCATCTTGCGTTCACTTTTTGGAAGTGTCGATTTTCTGGTAATTAAACTTTGTTTCGATATCCACACAAATTTTATTTTAGCTGATATACCACCCAGCTTAGTATGTTGATATCGTCGTGTTTTTCTCACATGAAAGCTTTTGCTGGAAGCAACCGGCGACAAAACTACGACAATCATTGTGTTAAATGACCTCTATCACTATCGTCATGGTTTATATAATGGCTTCGGCGGTGTACTTCAGTGTAGTAGCACTTTCAGTTCCGTACTATCACAAGGGGGCTTACACGATTAAGCCTCCAACTACTTGCACTCGGCTCACTTACAGAATTAAGTCGTGTTTAAGATGAGTATAGCAATAAATAGGACGTTAGACAGTATAAAACCATAAATCTTAAATCAAGTTTTTTTTTCTGGACAGATAACGAAAAAATAAATAACTGCCATTACAAAAACGTTTTTGACTCGATTTCTACCTGGGTTGTCTTTATCTTTTTAATTTTAATTTTCTACTTTATTTCTTGGTTTGATATTCAGGTATTCCTTATATTTATATTCTGACCCTCGTTTCTATTAATTTAAGCTTTGTATGCCTGTTTGTGTTCTAATGTATAGATGAATATAATTCAGGAGTTATATTCCATATCAGAAGAGAAAAATAGGTGTTTACTTGTTAATTGTATAAACGATGTAACGTATAAAACGGGCATGCAACCAGGCAACTATACACTGGGGTTTAATGTAAAGCCTTTAGCGCAGTTTAGCTGTTAAACAACACCTTTGTCACTACCATTCGTAGAACTAGGAAATCTGGGTTACAACCGTATTGTGATAATGTTACTCAAGAAGTAAAATTAATTGGTAGATTTGAAATAACTCCAAACAGCTTTTGACCAATCTTAAACATTTTTTCTAAACGCATTTCTTCAAGAAAGTTTGATATTTCAACTCTGTACACTATCATACCCAACCATTATAGGAAAGAACGCCTTCGTTCCGTTGCTGCGAGCGTTTTCTATTCCACGAAAGTTGGACGATGGTATCAGTGTACGGTTGTAAACTATACTAAGCGAAGAAGTACACGAAGAACAAAATAATAAAAGTGACCGAGTTTCTAGATAACTTCTTTATCGAGTTTGGTGGTAAGATCTCCTAACAGGCTATTGACATACCTGTAGGAACTAACTTTGCCCCTGGGTTGGTTGACTTGTTTTTGTTTTCATATGAGGTTGAATTTATATAAATTAAAGACGTCTTGTCGTTAAATAACACGAAATTTATTGACCACGTCTATTGCACATTTTTGTCTAAAAATATTAGAATTGAAAGTCAATAGGTTCTTCTACATCAGCCGCTCGATATCTTCCTAAAACGAAGCCACCATGACAGTTTTCCACCAAGTTGTATGATAAGTGTGGTGATTTCAATTTCCTCTTGTGAATTTCGCATTTCTGGATAGCAACCTTCCTGCATCCCTAACCTATTGTGTTTGCATGTCGCAGTTGATTCAATATTCAAGGGGTTCTTCTTTTAATCACTATTTTCCTGCAAGAAGTCTTAAAATGACAGACAAATTGGTAACACAGCGTTTCGAATGATGCAAGTTGATGAAAGGTAAGACTAGGTATTCATGATAGAGTAGATTTCCTTCCAGAATAAACGATATAATATTTTGGTTATTCAGATTAATTTCTAATTTTAAACATTTGCCCTTGATTATATAATGCTATACATTAAGTATTCTCGAGGTTTTTAAATCAAAATAAGTATATATTTACCACAACTGAATTCTTGTTGATCAAATCATAGCACCAGGGTTTTAGCCATAATCTTCTGATTTAAAAAAAAAATATTATATACATTTTCACAGTCCAATTATTATTTTTGGGTCGATTTTGTAGATATTGTTTGATTAATCAATTTTGAATAAAACTGAATTATAGTGAGAGACTGTGGTTTATTGTCTCTTAATTCCCTCGGTGTTAAATGGTCTGTATAATGTAATCCTGCCGACTGACTTCTTCTGCTAACGGCTATACTGTAGCGTTGACGTCGTTACTGTGTTGGTCGATGGGTTTACTATGATAAGGGTTCTGATTACGAATGAAGTCATACATGTTACAAGCTATTACGCTCTATCTTATAATATTTAATGCAATCTAACTCTGCTCTATTTAAATACGTGGCATACATCAAAATTTAGTCACCATTCCAGGTATGTTTCAGTGTCCGGGTGAATTTCGTTATGCAAGAGATAGTTTGTTGCTATGTTATCATTCCTTTACTGGTTATTACTGTTCCTGTAAGATATAAGGCCGCTGATCGTTCGATTGTTTATCTGATGTTATTGTATCGACTGCAACCTCCTATATCTGTATTTATAGTTGAAAATTTGATGACGCCTATGTGTAGTCGCACTTAAGGTATCACTTATCCCATTTAGATATTCCACTCACTGTCATGTAGCATACTTCTCTTCTAGTTCTTTGCTGTCCAGATATGGCAAGATAGTAACGTATGCTTTGTACGAAACGCATGAACCAGTGACAAGAGTAGTTAGTCCGTTTTATTTACCATGTGCATAGTTGTATTTCATTTTTGTTAATGACATGACATTTTAAACTCATTAGTGTAGGTGTTGATGTTTTGTCAACGTTATGTTGAAAAATGGATAAATAATTATTTATCCAGTTTTGCAGGAATGGGTTAGGGATTTTGTCATTGATTTTCAGAAAGAACATTAAGGTTTATTAAAAATGCTATATGTTGGCAAAATGTGAACTTTGAAAACGTGACAGTCAGGATCGGGTTAATCGCCTTTGAAAAGTTAGAGGTTACAAGGGACGTGTCCGAATTTATCATCGTGTAAATATTTAACACTGTTGGAGTATTTTATCACCCACGTGTGTTGTGTACATTTTCAACTGTTTTCAGATGCGTCGCCGTGTGTGTGTACTGGGTGCCGGAGTGATAGGACTGTCATCAGCTGTGTTTATCCAGGACTTGATCCCAGACGTTGACGTCACAGTAGTGGCAGATACATGTACGCCATTCACACTGTCGGACGATTGTGCTGGCTTATGGATGCCATACCTTGTAGATTTAACGGACAAAGACGTCATGTAAATAAAAATTTATATGAGAATCTCTGTCAAATGTCGTGCTATAACTATGATCACTTATATATATATGTATGGCTGAAACTTTAGTACTATTTCCCAATTATTACAATCTATGTTTAACTTTAGCCATATGGCCAATCATTATACAAATATACAACACCATGTACTTAGTTGTACAATATAGAATATGTGAAATTCTTGCTGAAAAAGGATACATGTTTCATTAAGAAAAAATACCATAAACCGCCACCATGTGTTAGTGATTTAGCTGCCTTCCACTTGACACATATTACATGCTATAATCAAACGAAACCAGAACTTCTCTTGATATAGGATGAAATTATTGCCATTTCGGCCGTTCGAATATGTTCAGTCCTTAGAACAAACATAACGTCTACAGTACGTTAATGATAGGGAAGATATGTCAGTAAAAGGTCGTAATCGTTGTAACCAACCAAATGTTTACAATAATGCTAAGAAGATACATGAAAAACGTCGTAGTCCTAATTAAGGCTTATTTGTTATCATACAATGATAGCACTCTCTAACAAAACAGAGATAAAAAGGTAAAACCCCAAGAAAACGCAGTTCATCTTGTTCTAGCAAAATCAGAATGGTACATTACGTTTCTGTTGTTCTCTTGACAAGTTTATAAAAATCAACACAGTATATAATTCTTCCCTCCATGTGTTATTTATATATAGATGTAGACTTCTTGATAGAATTTTGGAGAATGTTTCGCGTTTTATATTTTAAGGCGATGGTCAAGTGACACGTTTGACTACCTTAAAAGTCTTGGTCATTCAGAAGAAGCCGGTGACGCTGGAATACAGTTTGTGTCTGGGTACTACTTTGTGAGGGAATCAGCATATACAGGCCAGGTATCTAGGACAATAGTGTAATAAAAAATGATAATCATTTATAGTTATAACAAGTTGTATTCAGTATTTATATGTAACATAAGAGGGTAATGTAAAGGTCATAGGGGATTTCGAATTAAAAATATCTGCACACTCTCTCTACACGGGCACGTTAACCAATGTTACATTTCATAAGGTAGTACATGTCTGTTATCGGTGATCACTTATCATTTCCCTGGCACATAACTCCTGCAAGATTGTACAAAAGACACACAAGTTATTAGTACCTTTTACAGTTGTTACATGTTGTGGAGCTATAAACAATTAACTTTACTGCATCATACTGCTATTTCGTCCTTCTAGGACTCGTCATTGACGTTAACCGCGACTGAGGAAAATCCAATGTGATGAAAAGAAAAGTCAAAATCTAGATGCGGAGGCGCACAAGTCCCGTAATCAATAAATTTCGTAATTTTCATAAATGTCATGAACAAGTGTTTATTGAAACGATGTTTGTTTATTTATGTAATACACAAGCATTATTTGATACCCGTATATAGATACAAGTGTAAAAATACAACTAAGGTAAACGACACAGCTTACCTATATAATATACAGGCGAGGTAACTACTTCATCAAGTATAAATGCAATACAGGTACGCACATTGCGCAGGTATGGTACATATTTTACCTAGATATGAATTTATTTCAGATAATATGCATATTTTATGAATGTAGGGATACAACATACAGACAATAATCTCTACATACTGTTTATCATACTCATTTATGTATCCGATGCATTGCTTATGATTTGAAGAAAGAAACATAAAAGTTTTGTTAACTAATAATTATACATAATGCCTTAATATTCAAGTGTACTATTACCAGGAACCTCCATGGAAGGACCTTGTTGTAGGGTTCCGTAAACTGACGCCAGAGGAACTTCAAATAAGCCCTAAGGCACGGTCAGTTTCCCTTTATTTTTATCAAATTTATAAGTCGAATTAGGGTATGAATGTATAAATGATAATTATTATTAATCTTTTGAGCCCTGAATATGCGCGTAATTAGAAGTCATTACGTTGAACATACATGTATGTAACATATTGTGCGATTGTGATTGTGTAAGAAATAGGAGTAAAGGAGGAATTTTGAAGTATTTATTTAAAACCCTCATGATAACATGAACTATTCTTACACTATTTTTAATCAGGATATCAGGATAATCATATATGTTGGACACACTCTCGAAATGTTTCTATTATACTTTTGTTTCATCATTTCAGCGATGGCTATTTCTTAACGACAGTGATAATGGATGTAAAGCGTTATCTTCCTTGGCTCACGAAAAGGTAAATCTATTAACATAGATTCCAAAATGATTTTGAGCTAGTTATCTGTATTTATACATTTGATTGTTTTATGTTATTAATAGATGCTATGGGCCAAGATTACTATTTATCTGATAATCTGTATTCGATTTAACGTTCCGTTGCAGGATATTAGATAGACGTGGGAGGATTCAGAATAGAAAGATCCAAAACTTGGATGAGGTAGGGACATTCTGCATTGAAATGTAACTAAATGTATGAACATTATTACTATCAAAATTGTTTCTATTGTAATGTTTTGTGCTGTATATAATTAAAATATATATTATACAATTTTAAAGTTTATTCCCTCTTCCGTTATCATTGCCTTCGAAATATCTCTTAAGTTCATATGTTTATTACTGATTGTGGCAATATCGAATGCCAATCAGATTATTATAGGGCGAGACAATACCTGTAAGTACATTCAATAACTGGAATAAATGGAATTTTATATTATGTTACCGAACGATGTGTGATGACGTCGTGATACTGTCGACTGTAACGTCAACTTCCTTGGTTTTTTAGGTAGAATTAAATTACTTCATATTTGTGCCGTGAAAGGTCGATGGGAAATGCAAAACGTCGTCAAATTCTAATACTTTAAGACGGCAATACTGTGGTTAGTTGAGATAATGCCGTATTCCAGATGAAGATCGTTATTTGTTTCTTTCATCGCAATCCGCTCAACTGTGTTGTTGCTGACGTTCTTCAGCTGACAGAAGAATATGACGTTGTGGTGAACTGCTCTGGGATGGGTGCTAACCAGTTGTGTAATGATTCACTTCTTCGTCCGCTCAGAGGGCAAGTGATAAAGGTTCGTATATCAAGAATTGTACAAAAGACATCTGTAGGTTCAGCTCTGATTCTTTGTTGGCGATGACTTTACAATATTGTCAACGTTATTGAGTTAGATGTCAGACAGTCTTGCAGACAATGGGAGCACACTTCTTGATTGCAGCTGACACTGGCGATGTCCCCGAAGTTTTAATTTACTCGAATAGTGCCACGGTTCAGAACATACATATGGTCACATGTCATTGACGTTGTTCTGGAATTTAAGTGTCAGGATAAGTGGAAATTAAGAAGTTAATTGAACTATTGGGCTAAAGCGCCTCCCAAGCTGTATTTTGTTCGTATTTACTTTTGAAAGGTGATAGTGAATTGTGTGTCTTTTACACAACCTTAGCACCCCTCTCAACTCCAAAGACATTTCGGTACTCTACCGTCATAGGTTTAATTCAATCATCATATAGTTTAACATTACCACATTATTATCATTTACTAGTAGGCTTCAGTTAAGCTTGGCGATGTTGCATTTTCTTTTGCGATACTTTCCTCTCTCTGTATCGCTCCGGAGTACTGTGTCGTAGTTGATTTGTTACCAAATACCTTTCTCATCATACCATGAGGTCTGATCTTATATAGATGCTAACGAAGAGGGTTTTTGAAAGTGTCATATTGCCTGTTAACGAAGAAATGGGTTAGAAAGTTACAGATTATTTTGTTTTCGCAGACTAATAACATATATCTTCATTTTTTGCACGGAATGGGGGTTGGTTTTTGGTTTGACGATGCGTTACTCCGATTCTCTATTTGAGGTAACCTAGACGCCTGGCGGATGTCTTCGCTTAAGCAGAAGGCCATCTCATCCACATCTTTTCATTCGTGTTCACATTTTTCTGTACGCTATTTCAAATGATAAAGGGACATAATTTCTGTTATATACATACCTAATACAAGAAATAGCTTGTGGTAAAAAACCAAAAAAGTAATTGGCTAAAATTGATGATGTTATTTTGAAAATATTGTGTATTTGAAATGCTTCCTCTTTGTCAAATGTATTATGCGCTATAGACCCATTTCGTTTGGCTCCTCGAATATGATGTAAATTATAAATTTATTTCGATGATGTGTGATAATCAATGATAATTAACAAAAAATAACTGAAGACAGCGAAACCTTACTTTAACATTGGTACAATTTTGCAGAATGAAGCATAGTAAAAAAACAAATTAACACCATTAAATATTTCATTTGCAGGTATCTGCTCCCTGGGTTAAACACTTTTACATAAATCCAGATCCTACAGATGAACATAAAGAAGTATACATACTTCCAGGGTAAGCTGTAAATGGTTTATAATGCAAACAACATATTCCCAGTTCTTTAAATATTTAAAAAAAAAAACCCGTAGTTCTTTAAGCCGCAAATGTCCTTCTTATCTTAGAAAAGCAAAACATGTACATAAGAACTGTTGTACTGGAAGTCGTAGATGTCATTGAAATTTCAGCTATAAAGAACTTGTCAGCAGTCCTTACCATTGATAATTATTTTCAAAGTATAAAACTACTGATGCATGTAAGTTTACGCTTTTTTCATAAAATAATTGTGTGAAATGAATGCTGAACATTTACTTAACATTTAAGACAATGTGCAGAAAAAATGTTGAATTCATTGTTCGGAAAGAGATTCATTGTTTGGCATAGGTATATTCCAGATTTCTATGTTTATCACAAACAGCGATTGAAAACTATATTTTGCAGTTTTTATAGCTTTCTGTGGCTATTTGTACTAAAGATAAACAAATTTCTTGAATTCAATTATGGCAATGGCAAATATTTCTTTTGTGAAGGATCAGGCTTAACAAGGTTGTTTTAAAAAGTTTTTTACGTCATGATTTTAAACAGTTTTTATATCACGATTTGAATTATAAGATAGATATGACCATTAGGTTTAAACAAGAACATTTATTATATTGCCAGGCCATATGATGTAACTCTAGGGGGTACTGGTCAACTCAACGACTGGAATATTGATATGGATGAGAAAGATAAGCAGAGAATATTAAAGGATGTGTGCAAACTTGTGCCAAGCCTCCGGGTACGTTTTAAGGGGCATTATTATATTAAATGCGACATCTCGAAATTCAGTGCATCATCATGCTATATGAAGTGTCACATAATATAGTTAACTATTGACTGTGCAACGTCTCATAAAACAGTACATTATAGTGCTAAATGTGACGTCATTTAATACGATACATTATAGTACTAAATGTGCCAGACGTCACATCTAGCATTATAATTTACTGCATTATGGGCCGTCTCACGATACAGTATATAATAATGCTAAATGTGACATTTCATAATAAAGCACATTAAAATGCTATTATATAGTATTTAATAGTGCTAAATTTGGCTTCTGATAATACTTTATGTAGTAGTGCTAAATGTGAATTATCATAACAAACAACATTATAGTGTTAGATTTAGCTTTTCGTAATACAGTATATCACAGGACCAAATCTGACGTCTCATAATACAGTACACTGTAGTGCTAAATGTGACTTCTCATAATACAGTACATTATAGTGCTGAATTTGACGTCTCATAACTGCTCATCATAGTGATAAGTGTGATTTTTATAGCACAGTGTATTTAAGTTTTAAGCGATGTGTCAGGATACAGTGCATTGTAGTTAAACGCGACGTCTAATACTACAGTATATTATAAAGCAACGTTTTTTGGTATAGTAGTTTTCAACTTTACTTTCTCGATAATCAGATTTTGATGTATAGAATGCAAATTATTATTGCTTGCGGATTGTGTCAGCTATTGGGACTGGACTCTGTAACTTCGATGTTTTATTTTGTGGCAAAGTCAGAATGATAATCCTTGCCAAGAGGGGTACATCAACTAGTCATGCTATTCATTCAACTGCAGAATTGACAGTTTTTGAGATTCATGTATTAGTAAACGCAAATGGGATTTCTGTGTAATTGAATAATATACTAGATAATTCTTTTACCAAATATCAAGAAATTTCGAAGGTTATTTCATAAATTTAATTCCACAATTGGGATATATGAAAATACTTGATTTTTTATACCTACATTTACGAAACATTTTGATTGGACATTAATGTACTTTGTTTCCAATTTGTTTTATTTCCACTTTTTTTGTTTGAATATAGATCGTCACACCTAAAAATGTTTAAATGTGGGAGACGTCAGTATTTCTCTAAACTCTTGTGTCAATGGAATATGTGGAACACTTATGTTAGATAAGACATTGATAGGTACGTCTGTTAATGTTGAATTTTCTTTTTCTGGTACTCGTCTTCTTTATGTTTACAGACCGCAAGACAGTTACGTGACTGGGTCGGTTTACGACCGCTGAGGTCTCCTGTACGTTTGGAAGCCCAAAAATTGCCAGGAAAGAAAACGGTATTGTCACGCACTCCTAAAATTCTATTTTTATATTTCATACTATCCTTAATGTCTCCTACCCCACATTCCCCGCTGACTAAATGTTGGGGTAATTTGAAATCTGAGATGGCCACCATGCCCGCCATCTTGAAAAAAACATATTCTTAACATCGTCTCCAGTTCTACTGGTCCCATTGAGTTAAAAATTGGTCGGAATGATTAGGAAAGGTAGCAAACCAAGTTTTGTTGTTTTTCGACCTTGTCAAAAGTCCACGTTTCTATATGAAGTACCATTAGATGGATGGTGGTTTCGTTTTTCCGAATATTGTTGAGAGAATCAATAACATTTCTTGAAAGGAGAGTGCTATTATAATGCAATCCATGTAAGCATAAACATAAATGAATTGCGGATAGAAATGATGAGGTAACGCAACCAATTGATATCCAACCAAGATTATTACAATTTGATAAAGTCTCCTGTCTTTCAGGCAAATATAGTGTTCCTTATCAATATTAGTTACGCTAATCATGTACTGTCATTTTGATTAAGAATACTATATATCAAGATCAATACTAGTACAGAAAAACACCACAAACCTGGTATTAAAGGGCAATTGTAAATTTAAATAAATGTTTTAACTGTATGTTATTAAATATATGACAGTGACAAAAGAAAATGATACATAGACGAACAATGAGGATTCGAAAACAAGTGCATAAGTACTCATATCGATTCGTCCCAAATGGATTGTAACTAGTTGGAATGCAATCGCTGAAGAAGTAACATTAATGAGCTCAGTATCAGAATGGTTTAAGTACATTATATTGATTTAAAACACGAAGTATTCTGATATTTTGTATTCATACGTTAAATCTGTATTGTACATTTACACGTGTTACAAGCTTTCTCCAATAATACAGATTTCAAAGTTATTATAGATTGTTTTAACCAACACAATAATTACACAAAAATAATCTTGCACTCAAATAGTTTAGACTCACAAATAAATCAGGATTTCCATATTACAGCTGATCGTCATTATACCCATTATACATCATTATATTTCACATTGTAGTCTTAACTGATGGAAGTTTGGAGAGTGGAAGAGAAAGTATACAGTAGTTTCGACAGAATGGTTAAAAGAACAAATGGGACTTTCAACTAGATTTCGTAAAAAAGGATTATCAAGAGAAATATATTTCATCTTTTACAGTTATAGTAATAGGATGGAGCAAGATCATTGAGAGAGTTGACCTTCATGGACTTCTTAATGTTAGTGAGTGGTGGCTTATGCTTAACGTTGAAAAGAAGAGCATTCCGTTAGTCAACAGAAGACGGTGAAAAAGAGTCTTTATTTTAATTTCATCTGACAGTAATTATTCGCGTTTTTAGTATAATGAGAATGAATGTCAGAATGACGAGCGGGGAGTATGTTAGGTTAGTAGGAGGGACACTGATTATGATTAATCTGATGAAACTGTGTTGTTTTGTGTTTACATCTTCTCTCAATATGATCGTCCCAACCAGTGAAAATTGATGTCAATGCTAGCATTTTCTGACAATAAGCTCTTTTATGTTAATTGATCATATCTATGTCGGTAAGAACGTGTACCTTTACATGTATGCAAGAATGAAACAAAATCTAAACAAGCACGTAATAAAGAGAAAAACTAAATTAACTTTATAGCAGAGTTTGTTTCAAGGCCACCAGACTCTTCAACTAATTCTGATGACAAAAGCAGGATGAAATTGTCATAATTAAACCAAACAGTTTAAGATTACTTGTGCGTGTTTTATTAAGTGTATGTTACCAATCGCTAGACATAAGACATTAAAGACGTAAAAGTCTACACAGAATTATATTGTTATGGCATTGGTCGTTGTCATAGTTCGTCGGCATAACTGCATTTAAAAAAAACGCTATCAACATTTGATAAACGACAAAAACATACACTAAATACACAGTTACATGCTTCTATTTATTGATTAAATGATTGATTATTGATAGGAAAATAAAATAAAACATGCAACAGTTAGTACAATTTTAATTTCATTGATTACAGATTCGCAATGTTATAACTTACTTAAAAAAAAAAAAAAAAAACAGGAATGAAAAATAGAAACGATGGACCTACAAGTTCCATTAAAAAAATTGAATAATAATTAAATTAAAGTCATCTAGTACGTCATTAACTATTTCACTTACTCTCAGTGTTGTTTAAATACCTCAAGTTGAACCTCGTGCTAAATTTATATGGTAGATATGTTTTTTTCTTATATAAACAAAGTATTGATGTTAATGTACTACAAACTCAGAAAACATATATCCATGTGACATAAATTATGTAGCCGTTCGGATTTCTAAAATTGAGATGTCATTTATGAAAGATGTCTTAGAGTGTGATTTTAAAGCGCGCTAAAATGCAGAACTTGTGATGAAATTCAAAATGCACATATAAAAAAGAAATGCATTTAAAATCCTTTTAATCGTATGATCGTATATTCAGATACATATAAGAAAATGACATTTCTATGTCAAACTTGATATCATTTTAGGTTAATATATATGCAATATACAAAACACATCACCTGGGTATGTTCACTGAATAACCAGGAAATCATGAAGTCAATTTCAAATATATATATTATAGGTCATTCACAACTACGGACACAGCGGTTCTGGTGTGACCTTCCACTGGGGATGTGCCAAAGACACTGCTCACCTAGTGCAGCTGACATTGGAGACACATCAATTGACCTCAAGGATGTAGAGGTCCTGTTTACAAAGACGGCAAATATATTTTCTTGGTAATTCCCGCGTCCGATGTATCAGTAATTTCATACAATCTGTAAAGGAACTCTAATGCATACAATATACACAAAATGAATGTTCATGCATAATTTTGATTTGAAGAAAAAATATTAGTAATTATTTAAATTTCAAATATACAATGAAGATATATATATGTCAATTAATATATTCTATATGAATATATAATTACCGAGAAGTGAATTTAAAATCTGATAAAGGTCAAGCATGACCAAAGCAAGACAAATCAATATAATGGAGATGCAAAGCGTTACACTTTCCTCGGATACTGCTGTTTATTGTTACAATAATAGGTATTACTTACATTTCACCACTGTTACTGGTATTTGGATGTAGATCTTCTTTAATGCTGATGGTTTCAATATGGTTTGGCGATACTCAAATTTTAATGATTACATAAGCAATAACTTTTACTACACAATTTGTGATCAATATGAATATGAGAGTTGCTAGCATCATGATAATGAATGTCGGAATGAAGAGCTGGGAGTATGTTAGATTGGTAGGAGGGATACTGCTCATGATCAGTCTTCAATATGATGGTCCAAACCAGTGAAAATGTATGTCAATTCTAGTATATTATGACAATAAGCGCTTCTATATATTGAAATAAAAATAAAGGTAATTGGTTCATATCTAGTATGTATAACAATTAAATAAATATCTATCATATCTATGTACATGATAACGTGTAATTTCACATGTATGCAGAAATATAGATGGAAAGAAATTAATATAAATATGTAATTACAGAAATATCTGGCTATAAATCAATTGATCTTTTACAAAAGCAGGATTAAATTGCTAAAATGAAACCAACAAGTTCAAGTACACATGTACGCGTTTCCATAAGTATATATTACGAATCACCAGACTTAGGACATTAAAGTCTACATAGAATTATTTAACAAAATTTTGCATCACCACAAAGTATAGTCTTTCAGGACCCGATTTTGGAAAAAATGGCTATTTGAGTGAACCTTTCCTTTTAAGATTATGAAAAACATCCCTAGTTATTTCTTTATCAAAACACAGTAGAAAAGACAGAATTCAGAAGATGTTCAAATAGAAATTGAAGTCATTTTTCAAAATGTATTTGGGCTGCTTTGCAGTTTTAAGCTTGTTAAATGTTTTTGTTTTTCTCATAATCCAAATGTCATTATGCATTTTAGTGAATTCAATTTAAATGAAAGAGAAAAGGTCACCATGAAAATATCAATGAATATATGGTTTTCAGAACAAATGAAGAATGATATGCGAAAATGGATATTTCGTGTTGATCATATTCTGACACTTGTGTCAAAAGAAGCACCATTGCATATTGATTTTCGCTTTGGATTAACTTTGTAAAATCTAACATTTAAAATATCATCACTAGAACGAAATATGAATATTTCGGCCATCAGACAAGCATCCTCAAAGAAGATCAGAATTTTAAATTTTACAAAGAACTTCCATTTCACGATGTGACGGGTATCTAGTAATGTATGTGCTGTATGACGTAATGGTAAAATCTGAAATTCATCGTTAGTTTAATTTGAAATAGCGAAACATTATATAACATGGTTTTGCAGCAATCAGAAGATAATAAAGTATATTATTTAGCGTCATATACTACCTATAAATGATCCTAAGCAAAATTAACGATTACAAACATAAGGCTTTTCGTTAGAAAAAACTCTATGTGAATATTCCGATATTACAATTGAAGACCAATCCAGTATTTTCCCTTTATTTAGGCAATACTCAATATGTAGTTTATTGCAGAGATTTGCGTAATCCCTGTATGGATATTCTCTTCGTTATGTAATAGATACGATTTGATATTTTCTTTAGGTGAAGTAAAATATACACGTATTACATCTTATTACGAATTTCATTTCATATTTGTGACATCATCCTGATATATTTAGCAAATAGCACGGCCAGTGATATGAAACATTTCTCGTTTACATTATGATTCAACTTCTGGATATAAAATATAGTCTACAAACGAAGAAAAGTTAGTCAAAAAAGAAATTTTAAACAAAGCCTGATGTAGCTGTATTTACCAAACGAGCTTTAAATTACAAAAAATGAATTGATAAGATAAACAATTTTTACGAGAAGTTTTACATTAAATATTGAGTATAAACTGTAGATCAATTACTCATTGTAGTGTTATTCTTAGAATAGAAAAATATGTTATCATAAATCCATAGAGACATTATCGCCAATCCACTGATCCCCAATTAGTTAATGTGCTGCGACAGACAAGGTATCAATAGCAGTAATATATTCACTGACGAAATTCAACAACAGCTTGTCAATTTTCCCTTTTCCCTGGTGTTACCACCACATAATCAAAATGGTCTACTTCGGGGACAGAAGTGTCACTTGCCGGACGCATGCTCATATCAACTTGACCACTTGATGTCGTGTCGGAAGACATTCTTCGAGGAGCATCAGTATGATTGATGGGAGTGATGTAGTTGTTATCCAATTGCTCACTCGTTGGATTTAAGTAATCCTGTTCGTTTCGTCGAATTGGTTGTTCATAATCGTAATCTTTATCACCATTGTGACCAGCTGATGGAGTAATGTCAGGTTCATTGTACGGATTATTGGCCTCCCCATTCGGAACATTTAGGGAATCCTGTCTTACCATTTTAGTCTCGTCAAGATAATCATATTCTTCTACCGTCGTATCATTGACTGTGTCGTATGGGTCATGTGGGAATACATCGTATCTATTACGGACTTCCGGCGGCACTATCATTGGATCTGGACGCTTTGTCCTGTAATCGTAAGAGAATCTGACAAGTCAAAGGCTTAATGTCGATTAATACTTTTTATTTGTAATATGAATTCAAACACAGTTATATGCACATATTTAAATAGCTGATACTTCACTTTTATGTGCTTTTTCAGTTACGTTTTAATTCATTCAATTAGTGATGCGGTTCAGAATATACCCGTGTACTTGACTTTCTTCTGAAATGATCAGGTTAATGAAAATTACGAATTTATTGAATAACGGAGATAGTGCATCTTTCAATTTACAAACTTTTGAGCTTCTTGTCCTCGTTTCACTGATTTTTTGTTTGAATAAATATTTCAGTTTGGATTCAGACCCTGTGATTTAATGTAGATTTTGTTGATGATGTTGTAGCAAGATGCTTGGAAAAAAGTTTAGTTGGACGAGTAGACAACGTTTTCCTTGTAATGATTTTAACAAAAGATTTTCATGGTATCGTGTACTTACAACTTTTTATTCCTCAGACAAACGATGAGAATAATTGCTCCTACAACCAATATTGCTGCAGGTACACCGATTATGTATGGTATGTACTCTGAAAGCATATATTGAAATCCAGATACATTTCTTTTGTATGTAAATTGTGATGAAAAAATAGTTCCGTGTGTAAACAGCAAATGTCCATAACCTTTCAAGCAATACAAGTCACATGAATGAAGGTTTCTTCATTATTCCATATCGATATGTGGAACGGATTGCTCCTTTTCGGTTGTATACCATTGAAAATCTAAGCGGCCTATGTGGCTTAATTGTAAAATAATTTTCAAGTCATGAATGGAGACCCATCATTTCAAAATACAAGTTGGGTCTTTTTTTCGTTTTAATATAAGGACGAAATGAGTTTTACGAAAATAAAATATATAATTAAAGGAAGTGATCAAAGATATCATAAGTAAAATAAATGAATTAATAAAAAAGACAAATACCGTTCAGGTCTATTTTTGTTGTGGCTGTAGTGGCGCTGACAACAGATTGTCCCGATGTGGTTGGCAACGTTGTTGATAGGGATGTATACTTAGGCACTTCGGTCGTTGATAAGTGAAGGTTCTCACAATCTGTCACCAGAAAAATGGCAAATGTATTGTCCTTCTATATAGTGTGGAAGTCCTTCATAAGTTCACGTATCATTCGCAAAAAAAAAGGTTTCAAACACTCTCATTTCAAATGTGCTCAGAGAGAGATAGTTTAAAATAAATGCATTAAATTTTTTATCAGAAAGTGTAATATACTCGGTGATGTATCCGTTGAAATAATAAATATTACATTTATAATTACATCTATCTAGCTAAAGTTCAAGATCTCGAAACAAATATCATTAGTATACTTTAAGATAAATAAAATTTTGTCATCGTCATATGCAAATTAAGTATAGGCTTTAATAAGAGTTAAGCAAAGAACTTGAATCGGTTGAGCAATTGCACGTGTCTGGAAAAGTCAGCGGTGATCAGTTAAAAATTCTTTTTAAAATGGTTTCGACTGCCTGTCCATGGCTACACTGATATAAACTTTACTTAACAACAATTACAAAACAAGCTTTAAGCTTTATTCATCACTCTTGTAAGCCGAAATTGAAGCGTACGAGTATTCTTTCTTTAGGCGGAAAAGAGTACCCCGTGAATTTCCATATGGCCGGGCAGGTGAAACCCGTACCATTTCACGTCCGTTCCGGGTATCGAGCTCAGGCCGGTTAGGTGAAAGGCAAGTGCATAACCACTGAGCCACCCGACCACAAACCCAACCAATTGTTACACTTGCATAATGAATTGAGGGAAAGAATTAAAGACTGTTATATGTATCCTGTCTCGACTTGATGTATAAGTTAAATCATATAAACTAAAATGACGGGTGCGATATTAGTACCGATACATTTGATTATACTAGAGGTACAGACACTGGAGTCTTCATTATTAAGTATGTCACACACTAACACTCATCCACTAAATAGCCTAACCTATGATATACGGTACAAGCAACAATGCCGAAAGTAGCCGCAGAATAGAAACGTCGTAAAATGTCAAAACATGAAATTAAGAAAAAATCATATTAATCCTATTTTTACATATGTTTTTTACACATTGAAACAAAATTGATAATGATACCGATCTTAAACATTTTAAAATGAAATTTTATGTACATAATTCTTTTAACATAATCTTACTTTCTTGCAAGCATTCTGTATGCAGGACTTGGATATTGTCCAGGGCAATTATGCTGTATATGTCATATCCCATGACGGCTTCAAACGATATCTGTAACAAGGAAAAATAAAACTTATCACCAATTAGCATTATACACACATATCGATAAATATTATATATATGCCATTTTTTTGGATGATAAAAGAAACTGTTTGTCAATTTTAGGTTTACCTTGAATCGAAGTGATGTTATATCGACTGCAGCACAATGCCATACATCACTTTGATTTCCACTTTTTTTCCACACAACATTATTGTCTACAAGAACATTCAGATCTCCCATCGTTTCTCCGAACATGTGATACCAGAAGCGTAGACATAGGCTATTGGTCGAAGCAGGTACTGTTATGTTACCAGTGTCGAGGGTTGCAGTATAATCATCCCCGACCCCTTTTGACGAGGTATCCAGGTAAACATAGAAATCTGTGATGTGATAAATATCAAAACAGAAACTGATCCATAAATATATGTCAAAGTCGGCAACACATTTCCCATCAATTTCATATCACATGTACAAATTTTATATAATCCATATTTGAAATGAAATCGGCAACACATTTTCCATCAATTTCATATCATATGTTGTACAAATCTGATATAATTTATATCTGAAATGAAATCGGCAACACATTTTCCATCAATTTCATATCATATGTTGTACACATTTTATATAATTCATATTTGAAATGAAATCGGCAACACATTTTCCATCAATTTCATATCATATGTTGTACACATTTTATATAATTCATATTTGAAATGAAATCGGCAACCCATTTTCCATCAATTTCATATCATATGTTGTACAAATCTGATATAATTTAAATTTGAAATGAAATCGGCAACACATTTTCCATCAATTTCATATCATATGTTGTACAAATTTTATATAATTCATATTTGAAATGAAATCGGCAACCCATTTTCCATCAATTTCATATCATATGTTGTACAAATCTGATATAATTTAAATTTGAAATGAAATCGACAACACATTTTCCATCAATTTCATATCATATGTTGTACAAATCTGATATAATTTAAATTTGAATATGAAATCGACAACACATTTTCCATCAATTTCATATCATATATTGTACAAATCTGATATAATTTAAATTTGAAATGAAATCGACAACACATTTTCCATCAATTTCATATCATATGTTGTACAATATGTATAAAAACTTTTGATGAGCTTGATAACCTGTAGCATAAAATGGTCACACTAAATACGAGTTTAAGCAGAGCACCTTGTTTTTGTATCCATTACTTTTTTTGCGTTAGTTACTATTGTTTAATCTTTGCCGTACTCACTGCCGCTTTGAGCATGTCTGGGTCCACTTCTGTCACTGAGAATACTAGGAAACTCAGTACGTGATAAGTTCTCATGAGTCCAACCACATAGATTTGTCTCGAAATCACACGCAATATCTGAAAATATATCCAATATCAGTATACACATTAAACATTATAGGTACATGTACATTGTGTCGAAAGTGAACAAAGTTGATTTGCAAATGTAGCCTCAAAGACAATTAAACCCGGTCAGTATATAATATCATAGTATGTACAATGTTAGACCAGCAGTCTGTACACAAACGCCTATTTTCCTTAAGAATTTCAGTTATCTGGGGTCGTATGTTACAGGAAGAAATATACTGTCTGGTAGAACAAGGAAGTGTATTAATAACTTCACAAAAACTACATATAAATTGCGAACATGTCGACATAAAGCTCGCACTTGTTATGAATGTGACTTAAATTGTATAAAATTACTTACTGCTGTAAGAAGTATTTAAACACTTATACTCATCACACCCTGAATATACAATGTAACTAAATCTGACAAACCAGGATATAAGTGGTTAAAATATCTACACACACGAATCGTCGGAGAAGCCCATATTAACACGTATTATCTCATCGTGTACCTACCAAACACCGAAGTCTGTGTTCTGACTACAATACACTGTAGTATTGTAATGGTCACAGGTATTATCAAACATCCATGCCATCCCATGCTGATATCCGGCTTTCTATTTCATACACTTCACATCGTTCTTAACCATTTAGAAATAACACATATGTACCAGGATATTGTTGCTATACCTGTATTGGTTACAGGTAATTTCGTTCTTCACGACTCGGTAAGCACGTCTGTATGTAGGTGTGTGTATTTAAATAACAAGACGTGCTATTACTTCCGGGTTGTGTTTGTGGAGAAATAGCCCAAGTTTGTCTGTGTAAGCGGAGGGGGTCAAAGTTGATTAAGTTAATTGAAGTACGAGGTCTTTTCTTCATGGTAACTCCCCCGCAATGTTCTTTGTATCGGCTTAGTAGAACAAAGTGGAGTTTAAATATTTATATATATATGTTGTTTTTTCAAAACTGAAATTATTAAAATGTGTACATACAGCTTCAATGCCTAAATATTTATATAGAAGTAAAAATGAATGTCAGTAAAGATATGACGCCAGCATTAATTTCTGACCGGCACAGGCAATGGAAAACGATACAGTGTATATAAAAAGAACTAGATATGGGTGAACTCCCTAAACAACAAGCGATTAAAAGGTAAAAATGTTTCTGTATCTGTCTCAAGAGTGTGTTCCCGCATATGGTAGTCTCTATACCATGCGATGTTATAACAATGTTTGAATTTAATCATCTGAAAATAAAATTCAAATATTTTTCGATCAGTCAATCACCAAAAATGCGTATGTAGTCTTCTTGAATATGTACATGTGTTATTATTTTATCATAACAATTAACCATTTCAAGTTACGTGCACCAGTAAACGTTTCGCTTAAGATACATGTATCATACCGTTTTTTTCTGATTTTTTGAAATAAGGACAATGGTGTGAATGTTTTTTTGCCGGTCATATTGCTCTTAACATTCACTATACTTGAATTGCTTCCCTTTAAGCTGATAGGGTAGGGATTCAACTGTACCGCAAAATTTGGTTTTTACTAGGCTAACTGAACTCTTTAATATATTAGAAGTAAAATACAGACATAGAGACATGTAGTAAAAATCAAATACAGACGTGTAGTAGAGCTGAAATTCAGATATACAGACGTGTTGAAACAATCCGAGACGTAAAAATGTTTGCTTAAATTGTCGGATATTATCTTGTCCTAGCAGTTTATTCTCAACCATTCCAAATAAAATTTAAATGTTGAGATCATATTTGTTCGGGGTCAACATTATCTTTACTTATCGACCTATTGACTTTTTTAATTCGATATCGCGTTCTGAATCTCTGACATCAAGACATACACCCATCGATATCATAATTTGGCCTTATATTGATAGAATTGATTAATCGCTCACAGGAAAATGTAATCTTCTTAACAGATAAAGTTACTCGGCATTTCTATCCAAGTCTTCACTAAAAAAAATGAAGTCTAATATAACCAAGTCATGTTTACTTGTACATAACTTCGTCATGGAAACTAGATAGTAGAGGCATATAACATGTTACGTATGTTACCTAAGTTATACTTCATTAGATATAAACGCTTTTTTTCATTTTCTATTTGTTTGTCAGAGTTATTCCTATATAAAAACGATATATCAGAGAAAAGGATTTTGCTAAAAGACTCCAAGTTGTTAAGTATTTTACTGATCAAATCCGCAATGCTAAAAAGAATTTTGCATTAACATTTTGAACTTCACATTTATGTATATAAAAAGTACATGACATCGAATTTGATTGAAATGATTGCTTAAGAGATTAACATACTTCTATACAAATTTAGAACATGATAAAGCAGAGCTGAATAAGGAATCAAACTGCACCAAACAACTGTTCTGGGATGATTTCAAAAGAACGTCCAGTGCATGCATTTTATCGTGCACTATATCACTGTGTGTGTCCCATGCATATATTACGGCGCGCAGTCTACGTACTGGAATCCCAAAAGATTGTACTTAAGACATTGGAAACGGCGGAGGAAAATAAAACTTCGTTGTAAGAAATGTCAACATGAGTAGCCGAGGAAGTAACTGTGCAAAACATTAAATACACTAGCTCATTGTGATATCGTTAATTTGATCAAAAAAACTGACCAGTGTTATGTTTTTCGACTAATTCTCTTTTCGATGAGGTATTGACACTGTGGAGAACAGTTTACTTACGTCGTAGGTTAAGACAGATTGATCCTACTTAAGACTCACTTTGACCTGTAATGATTAAAAACAGAGTTATTCTATCGTATTTGATGTGGTATGTAACTCCATTCACAACGGAAATTAATCTATCTTAGAGAGGTTTCACAACTTGACACGTGTGTGGTGCAATGTCTATAAAGCAAGACTCGATATGGTATTTACGGTCCGTTAAATGACAGAATGAGTGTAACCAAAACAATATTATGAGGTCCAACATACGTATATATCGAGTATCTTCTGTATTTTGCATTTATATATATATTGAATACGTCATAATGTCGTTACCATGCTATTAAAACAATAGCCTGAATATGGTCTTTAGGCCTTAAAACAGTTTTGCAGTTCCTGAAAAATATGAAATTCTTAGCTTTATGAAATAATATACTTGCTGGCAGTGATGTTTTAAACACAATGTTAAATCAGAAAGACACTACCTGTAGTCGATACAGGTCTGACAGTGTGAGGGAGAGTATTTTTTTTTCTCACATTTCGCTGATCACGGGTATATCACTCACAATTACTTAGATATGTTGTTATATATTCAATAACTTTCTTTTGTCAATATACTCCACACAGACCTAGATAGTTTCATTATACATTCAATCTTATACTTTTCCCTAATGAGGTAACTCTCTCTGTTGAACGCCAATGTACTTGGTGTACATCGGTTATTCTATCACTTCAACGGCAATACCTTAAGACAACTCGACAACACTTTTGAAATGTGTGGCAAAGTATGTATGTAACACTCCCTGTTGAACTTAAATGTACTTAATGTACATCGGTTATTCTATCACTTTAACAGCAATACGTTAGGACAACTCGACAACACTTTTGAAATGTGTGTCAAAGTATGTATCAGAGGACAAAGGTAATTTTAAAATACCAGCTTACACCAGCTTATCTTGTGTATACTTATTACCATAGGATCACTGAAACATATTTGTGGAAAAAAGGAAATGTTTGATCTACATCTTAAACACGACACACTGTAACCTCTTATAAATGTTTGTAATTGTGTATGTACAATCAATACTGGCTTCCCATTTAAGTAATAGTGAAATTTGTTTGGTCAAAGTATTTCAGCCAACAGCTATTGTAATGTCATTCCAGAAGAGGAATGAGATTTTCGAAGACATATTAAATTGTTGCGACTGACTACTAATCTATATGATCAATAAAATACGAATCTACCCTTGGTGGTATTAATCTTAGTGTAGTTAGTGCTTTCTATTAGTTATTTACTAACCTGGACTCAGGGTTCTCTTAAAACAGAGAGATGGACATATCTTTATGAAGGGAACGTGGTAAGTTTGGAAATAAACTTTTTCTTGAAACCAAATTAATAACGGGATGAATTAAAAAAAACTTAAATGTGAGCAAGTAGGTTCTAATAACGACTTCGGATACGTAAAGGCACGATAATAGTAACTCTGATATAGGAAATGGTACCAAGTTAACTAGATACTTAGTTATATTTTTTTCTTTATAGAAATTTGAGATTTAAAGGAATGTTAAAGATGAAGCTATTTAAACTGCTTACCAAAACGGATAATAATGTCATACATACTATGTTTTTGTCTTTGCTTGATTTGTAAATATGGTATTGTAATACTTTATGTCATAAATGGATCGATAGTTTTTCAAATATAAGGAATATCTGAAGCAAACTAGGTATTTAAAAAAGGATATTGTATCTTATGAAGACAATTAGATTCAACGATACGTTTGTATAATCGTTTGATTTAACATAGTTTTTTTTTTTTAAATTTAAATTGCCAGAAAGTTTGTGAAAAATTACATTGTATCTATTTATTTATTTGAACTTACTTTCTCTTATGTTCACGGTAAAAGATAAGTGTTTGTAAGATCAGATAAAATATGCTCTTTTAAAAGGATATTAAAATTTTATCATGTCCATTTTTTCAGAACTCGTTTTTTATTCCATAGTCTAAATCTTATGATAATTATGCACTAAATTTGAATTTCTAGTCACCCGATAAGGAAATGCTACCTGTTTTCGTCGAAGGAGAGTCAGTTGAAAAGTCTTGGACTGTAATGCACTTTGGTGCTCTACTGTTTCTGGCTTCTATAACCTTATCATGTGGTGAGTTATAGATTAAGTAAATATAAGGATCAAATACCGAGCATTAATTTCAAAGATAAATGAAATTAAAAAGACATTTTAGTGTCTTTAGGTATGAACTGTCTTATCAATGTCAAAGTCATAAACGGTGAAGTTTAACTCAGTGATTATGTATTGTACGGAAAGCTTTGAGACAGTAAGATGAAATATATTTGATGGTTAGAATGATTTTTACGTGAACATTTTCATACCATCACCGTTTTATGTGATATCTGTCTTTGTCTAGTTTGATCAATTACAGGGTGGATTTCAAAACTGTTCAAATCACGTTGTTGATTAAAAGGTTCCATAACCTAATGCTTGAATAAATTATTTAAAAGTTAAATACATGATTTTTGAGTTACCGAATTCCGAACGGAATTAGTCGTTTTCGCAAAGTTCTAGCTTTAATCATGCATTTAGTACGGCATGAAATCATTTCATTTAACGAAAACCAACTCCAGAAAACTATTGCTAATTTTGCAAATGCATTAGGACCGCATGCATTTATATCGACGAACGATTTTTGACGAGACCTTTGGGAGCCCGTTCTGTTGGCATGGACGCTGAATATATCTTTTATCGGACGTTACGGTCATAAAGCATGTGCCGACGAACCTACCAACACAATTAGATATTAATCTTACCTACACAATTAGATATTAATCTTAATGTTTTCCGTTCCATATTTCTTATCTGATTCTATATATAGACACATGAAAACACGTATTTGCTATCGAACGTGCCTTGATTTTTTCTTCAATTAATAAGGAAGCAGTCGATGCTGATATATCCAGTTTCTTTTAAAATCGAAAATTTACAAGATTGTTTTTCCCGTGATAGATATTTATGTATCAAATTTCGTTAGGCTTCGAATTAAAATACAACAGTGGATACATGCTTATCAACATGGGCTACTGTTTTATCATGTGGAAAAATAAAGCAACATTTAATGATAAATGAAAAGAAATCATTAAATTGCACCGAACCCAAGCGCCTGTGATAGTTTTTAAAAGCTAAAATGGTCTGCATATACATATCTTATGTCCATTTTCAAGTTATGATAAGGATATTTATACACGTGCGATTTTAGGGTATTAATTAAAGATTGTTAGTGTAATTTAATAGTTTCAAACTATGTTATTGACATGTGAACGATGTATAACAAAGAACATAGACATCAAACAGAAACTATTTAAGTCCTTTTCTACACATAACGTTATAGTAGTACAAGACAAAAAATTAAACATACACTTTAGTCATTAGATGATAATAATATTGCAATGTAATACAAGGGTATAACTTCCTTTCTACCTGTATTTTGATATTGTGTAATAAGAAATATGAACTGCCTAAAAGCGAGCGCAAATTGGTGAACAAGATGCACATTTTGAACTGCCTAATACATGTCTGCACTGAAGCATGTTTTAAAGATTTCTTTTATATTTTGCAAGATTTTAACCAAACGTCGGCACATCCACACGTACCGATGTATTATTATCATCATCATCATCATCTAAAAAAACAGCACCAGCATGATCAGGCTTCGATTTCAGGGTTCGATTCCTGAATAGAAATGGGTTTCCTCCCACAGTAAGACCCCTCGCATGCGTTCAACAAGAGTGATTTTTAGGAGTTGAAATAAGTTTCCATATGTAAATAATTCATGCACATACAATCATACAACATGAAGACATACAATGAAGAATAAAACAAATGACGACAAGATAACGCAAAGCTTGACATTACCTACGCGCCCGCTTACCCCCGCGCCCCGCTGTATAAAAGAATGACGAACAATCATATGTATATGTTAATATTACAACAAGTTTAATTTCTATTTGTTATCTTTCATTGTAATTTGGCCAAGTATTAAAATGGTGTATTTTCCCATATCAAAAGATACTACTAGCTTAATAAGAGTAAAAAGTTTTAAGCTTTGCTCTAGAATGGTTTCAGAGCATTGTGTCAAAAACCTGAAATTTGTGATGAGGATTATCTGTCTCCATGGTAACAGAAAATGTATGAATAAAGTCTTTGACGACATATCTACATTATAAAAATTGATCACAAAATTTTCAAAACAAATGTGAAAGAGTTTCCTTTACAAAGTTTGTAGATTGCAGAGAGTACTACCTATCACCTTATATATATATATATATATATATATAACAATAAATGGGAAATAACACTTCACTTTTGTCAGGTCACGTGCAAGTTGAACCTGATGGCCGAGTTCTCATCACTAGCAACTCTTTGTCCATTTTCGGCACAATTTGTGGAGATGGATGGAGCGACGAGTCAGCAAGCGTGGTTTGTCGTAATGCGGGTTTGTCCAATACAGGTACAGCTATCATGTTACCGCCTTCCTCTGTCTATAGGACGATGTCTGTGTTGCATTTAGCTTGCACAGGAAAAGAGGCAGACTGTAATCAGTGCCACAAGGAGGATTTCATTATCGGTATCTCGGTATGTCCCTCCAACATGGAAGCTGGCGTGGACTGTTTCGGTGGCATGGTGACACCGTCACCGACACCTGGTAATTTGGCTTCCTCTACAAAGATGCCTATTACAAGTTAGTAAACTATTCATTCTTTTATCTATATTAATATAGTGAATAATTCTTACTTGCTTAATGTCCTTACGCTATCAACACTTTAAAGATCTGCTCACATACAAAGTGCAGAATAATATTGTTTCCTGATGAGAAGTAACGGGCTACTTAATCAGCGACTGAACGGTAATGTGATGTATTCGGTTATTCAAGTATATATTGATGAAGTCTCCGTAATATATTACATGCATATATCTTTTTTATACCTTTCCAACAATTCCAAACAATGTGTATGGTTATCGTGCGTAACGGAACGGAAAATGCTAAGATTTCATAATATCTGATTGTTACCTGAGCCTATACAAGTGAGTGTAAATTTCAAGTGTTTGAAACCGATCTTTGACACTGACGATGCAAATCTAATTCTTGTTCGTATATACTGGCTATGTGACCATGTAAATTTCAATACTAAAAGTACTCATTAATGCATTTTCTTTACCATGGTTTAATTATCGTCGATGATTTAGAGAAAATGATGGCATCCGTTTGATCGATTCTAAAAATTCGAGATATGTAAGGCGAAATCATTTAGAAACAAGCAGATTGTTGATAAAACATGATAGATATTTTCATTTAACTGAAATATTGAATAATCGTAGATTTTTGCATCTTGACGATGCTGTTTTCAATTGGTTTTGTAATTGGAATATCTAATATATCATTATATCATTAACCTGTTAATAAATATATGCAACGATAACTGGGAAATAACACTTGACTATTTTCAGGTCACGTGCAAGTTGAACCTGATGGCCGAGTTCTCATCACTGGCAACTCTTTGTCCATTTTCGGCACAATTTGTGGAGATGGATGGAGCGACGAGTCAGCAAGCGTGGTTTGTCGTAATGCGGGTTTGTCCAATACAGGTACAGCTATCATGTTACCGCCTTCCTCTGTCTATAGGACGATGTCTGTGTTGCATTTAGCTTGCACAGGAAAAGAGGCAGACTGTAATCAGTGCCACAAGGAGGATTTCATTATCGGTATCTCGGTATGTCCCTCCAACATGGAAGCTGGCGTGGACTGTTTCGGTGGCATGCTGACACCGTCACCGACACCTGGTAATTTGGCTCCTCTACAAAGATGCCTATTACAAGTTAGTAAACTATTCATTCTTTTATCTATATTAATATAGTGAATAATTCTTACTTGCTTAATGTCCTTACGCTATCAACACTTTAAAGATCTGCTCACATACAAAGTGCAGAATAATATTGTTTCCTGATGAGAAGTAACGGGCTACTTAATCAGCGACTGAACGGTAATGTGATGTATTCGGTTATTCAAGTATATATTGATGAAGTCTCCGTAATATATTACATGCATATATCTTTTTTATACCTTTCCAACAATTCCAAACAATGTGTATGGTTATCGTGCGTAACGGAACGGAAAATGCTAAGATTTCATAATATCTGATTGTTACCTGAGCCTATACAAGTGAGTGTAAATTTCAAGTGTCTGAAACCGATCTTTGACACTGACGATGCAAATCTAATTCTTGTTCGTATATACTGGCTATGTGACCATGTAAATTTCAATACTAAAAGTACTCATTAATGCATTTTCTTTACCATGGTTTAATTATCGTCGATGATTTAGAGAAAATGATGGCATCCGTTTGATCGATTCTAAAAATTCGAGATATGTAAGGCGAAATCATTTAGAAACAAGCAGATTGTTGATAAAACATGATAGATATTTTCATTTAACTGAAATATTGAATAATCGTAGATTTTTGCATCTTGACGATGCTGTTTTCAATTGGTTTTGTAATTGGAATATCTAATATATCATTATATCATTAACCTGTTAATAAATATATGCAACGATAACTGGGAAATAACACTTGACTATTTTCAGGTCACGTGCAAGTTGAACCTGATGGCCGAGTTCTCATCACTGGCAACTCTTTGTCCATTTTCGGCACAATTTGTGGAGATGGATGGAGCGACGAGTCAGCAAGCGTGGTTTGTCGTAATGCGGGTTTGTCCAATACAGGTACAGCTATCATGTTACCGCCTTCCTCTGTCTATAGGACGATGTCTGTGTTGCATTTAGCTTGCACAGGAAAAGAGGCAGACTGTAATCAGTGCCACAAGGAGGATTTCATTATCGGTATCTCGGTATGTCCCTCCAACATGGAAGCTGGCGTGGACTGTTTCGGTGGCATGGTGACACCGTCACCGACACCTGGTAATTTGGCTTCCTCTACAAAGATGCCTATTACAAGTTAGTAAACTATTCATTCTTTTATCTATATTAATATAGTGAATAATTCTTACTTGCTTAATGTCCTTACGCTATCAACACTTTAAAGATCTGCTCACATACAAAGTGCAGAATAATATTGTTTCCTGATGAGAAGTAACCGGCTACTTAATCAGCGACTGAACGGTAATGTGATGTATTCGGTTATTCAAGTATATATTGATGAAGTCTCCGTAATATATTACATGCATATATCTTTTTTTATACCTTTCCAACAATTCCAAACAATGTGTATGGTTATCGTGCGTAACGGAACGGAAAATGCTAAGATTTCATAATATCTGATTGTTACCTGAGCCTATACAAGTGAGTGTAAATTTCAAGTGTCTGAAACCGATCTTTGACACTGACGATGCAAATCTAATTCTTGTTCGTATATACTGGCTATGTGACCATGTAAATTTCAATACTAAAAGTACTCATTAATGCATTTTCTTTACCATGGTTTAATTATCGTCGATGATTTAGAGAAAATGATGGCATCCGTTTGATCGATTCTAAAAATTCGAGATATGTAAGGCGAAATCATTTAGAAACAAGCAGATTGTTGATAAAACATGATAGATATTTTCATTTAACTGAAATATTGAATAATCGTAGATTTTTGCATCTTGACGATGCTGTTTTCAATTGGTTTTGTAATTGGAATATCTAATATATCATTATATCATTAACCTGTTAATAAATATATGCAACGATAACTGGGAAATAACACTTGACTATTTTCAGGTCACGTGCAAGTTGAACCTGATGGCCGAGTTCTCATCACTGGCAACTCTTTGTCCATTTTCGGCACAATTTGTGGAGATGGATGGAGCGACGAGTCAGCAAGCGTGGTTTGTCGTAATGCGGGTTTGTCCAATACAGGTACAGCTATCATGTTACCGCCTTCCTCTGTCTATAGGACGATGTCTGTGTTGCATTTAGCTTGCACAGGAAAAGAGGCAGACTGTAATCAGTGCCACAAGGAGGATTTCATTATCGGTATCTCGGTATGTCCCTCCAACATGGAAGCTGGCGTGGACTGTTTCGGTGGCATGGTGACACCGTCACCGACACCTGGTAATTTGGCTTCCTCTACAAAGATGCCTATTACAAGTTAGTAAACTATTCATTCTTTTATCTATATTAATATAGTGAATAATTCTTACTTGCTTAATGTCCTTACGCTATCAACACTTTAAAGATCTGCTCACATACAAAGTGCAGAATAATATTGTTTCCTGATGAGAAGTAACGGGCTACTTAATCAGCGACTGAACGGTAATGTGATGTATTCGGTTATTCAAGTATATATTGATGAAGTCTCCGTAATATATTACATGCATATATCTTTTTTTATACCTTTCCAACAATTCCAAACAATGTGTATGGTTATCGTGCGTAACGGAACGGAAAATGCTAAGATTTCATAATATCTGATTGTTACCTGAGCCTATACAAGTGAGTGTAAATTTCAAGTGTCTGAAACCGATCTTTGACACTGACGATGCAAATCTAATTCTTGTTCGTATATACTGGCTATGTGACCATGTAAATTTCAATACTAAAAGTACTCATTAATGCATTTTCTTTACCATGGTTTAATTATCGTCGATGATTTAGAGAAAATGATGGCATCCGTTTGATCGATTCTAAAAATTCGAGATATGTAAGGCGAAATCATTTAGAAACAAGCAGATTGTTGATAAAACATGATAGATATTTTCATTTAACTGAAATATTGAATAATCGTAGATTTTTGCATCTTGACGATGCTGTTTTCAATTGGTTTTGTAATTGGAATATCTAATATATCATTATATCATTAACCTGTTAATAAATATATGCAACGATAACTGGGAAATAACACTTGACTATTTTCAGGTCACGTGCAAGTTGAACCTGATGGCCGAGTTCTCATCACTGGCAACTCTTTGTCCATTTTCGGCACAATTTGTGGAGATGGATGGAGCGACGAGTCAGCAAGCGTGGTTTGTCGTAATGCGGGTTTGTCCAATACAGGTACAGCTATCATGTTACCGCCTTCCTCTGTCTATAGGACGATGTCTGTGTTGCATTTAGCTTGCACAGGAAAAGAGGCAGACTGTAATCAGTGCCACAAGGAGGATTTCATTATCGGTATCTCGGTATGTCCCTCCAACATGGAAGCTGGCGTGGACTGTTTCGGTGGCATGGTGACACCGTCACCGACACCTGGTAATTTGGCTTCCTCTACAAAGATGCCTATTACAAGTTAGTAAACTATTCATTCTTTTATCTATATTAATATAGTGAATAATTCTTACTTGCTTAATGTCCTTACGCTATCAACACTTTAAAGATCTGCTCACATACAAAGTGCAGAATAATATTGTTTCCTGATGAGAAGTAACGGGCTACTTAATCAGCGACTGAACGGTAATGTGATGTATTCGGTTATTCAAGTATATATTGATGAAGTCTCCGTAATATATTACATGCATATATCTTTTTTTATACCTTTCCAACAATTCCAAACAATGTGTATGGTTATCGTGCGTAACGGAACGGAAAATGCTAAGATTTCATAATATCTGATTGTTACCTGAGCCTATACAAGTGAGTGTAAATTTCAAGTGTCTGAAACCGATCTTTGACACTGACGATGCAAATCTAATTCTTGTTCGTATATACTGGCTATGTGACCATGTAAATTTCAATACTAAAAGTACTCATTAATGCATTTTCTTTACCATGGTTTAATTATCGTCGATGATTTAGAGAAAATGATGGCATCCGTTTGATCGATTCTAAAAATTCGAGATATGTAAGGCGAAATCATTTAGAAACAAGCAGATTGTTGATAAAACATGATAGATATTTTCATTTAACTGAAATATTGAATAATCGTAGATTTTTGCATCTTGACGATGCTGTTTTCAATTGGTTTTGTAATTGGAATATCTAATATATCATTATATCATTAACCTGTTAATAAATATATGCAACGATAACTGGGAAATAACACTTGACTATTTTCAGGTCACGTGCAAGTTGAACCTGATGGCCGAGTTCTCATCACTGGCAACTCTTTGTCCATTTTCGGCACAATTTGTGGAGATGGATGGAGCGACGAGTCAGCAAGCGTGGTTTGTCGTAATGCGGGTTTGTCCAATACAGGTACAGCTATCATGTTACCGCCTTCCTCTGTCTATAGGACGATGTCTGTGTTGCATTTAGCTTGCACAGGAAAAGAGGCAGACTGTAATCAGTGCCACAAGGAGGATTTCATTATCGGTATCTCGGTATGTCCCTCCAACATGGAAGCTGGCGTGGACTGTTTCGGTGGCATGGTGACACCGTCACCGACACCTGGTAATTTGGCTTCCTCTACAAAGATGCCTATTACAAGTTAGTAAACTATTCATTCTTTTATCTATATTAATATAGTGAATAATTCTTACTTGCTTAATGTCCTTACGCTATCAACACTTTAAAGATCTGCTCACATACAAAGTGCAGAATAATATTGTTTCCTGATGAGAAGTAACCGGCTACTTAATCAGCGACTGAACGGTAATGTGATGTATTCGGTTATTCAAGTATATATTGATGAAGTCTCCGTAATATATTACATGCATATATCTTTTTTATACCTTTCCAACAATTCCAAACAATGTGTATGGTTATCGTGCGTAACGGAACGGAAAATGCTAAGATTTCATAATATCTGATTGTTACCTGAGCCTATACAAGTGAGTGTAAATTTCAAGTGTCTGAAACCGATCTTTGACACTGACGATGCAAATCTAATTCTTGTTCGTATATACTGGCTATGTGACCATGTAAATTTCAATACTAAAAGTACTCATTAATGCATTTTCTTTACCATGGTTTAATTATCGTCGATGATTTAGAGAAAATGATGGCATCCGTTTGATCGATTCTAAAAATTCGAGATATGTAAGGCGAAATCATTTAGAAACAAGCAGATTGTTGATAAAACATGATAGATATTTTCATTTAACTGAAATATTGAATAATCGTAGATTTTTGCATCTTGACGATGCTGTTTTCAATTGGTTTTGTAATTGGAATATCTAATATATCATTATATCATTAACCTGTTAATAAATATATGCAACGATAACTGGGAAATAACACTTGACTATTTTCAGGTCACGTGCAAGTTGAACCTGATGGCCGAGTTCTCATCACTGGCAACTCTTTGTCCATTTTCGGCACAATTTGTGGAGATGGATGGAGCGACGAGTCAGCAAGCGTGGTTTGTCGTAATGCGGGTTTGTCCAATACAGGTACAGCTATCATGTTACCGCCTTCCTCTGTCTATAGGACGATGTCTGTGTTGCATTTAGCTTGCACAGGAAAAGAGGCAGACTGTAATCAGTGCCACAAGGAGGATTTCATTATCGGTATCTCGGTATGTCCCTCCAACATGGAAGCTGGCGTGGACTGTTTCGGTGGCATGCTGACACCGTCACCGACACCTGGTAATTTGGCTTCCTCTACAAAGATGCCTATTACAAGTTAGTAAACTATTCATTCTTTTATCTATATTAATATAGTGAATAATTCTTACTTGCTTAATGTCCTTACGCTATCAACACTTTAAAGATCTGCTCACATACAAAGTGCAGAATAATATTGTTTCCTGATGAGAAGTAACGGGCTACTTAATCAGCGACTGAACGGTAATGTGATGTATTCGGTTATTCAAGTATATATTGATGAAGTCTCCGTAATATATTACATGCATATATCTTTTTTATACCTTTCCAACAATTCCAAACAATGTGTATGGTTATCGTGCGTAACGGAACGGAAAATGCTAAGATTTCATAATATCTGATTGTTACCTGAGCCTATACAAGTGAGTGTAAATTTCAAGTGTTTGAAACCGATCTTTGACACTGACGATGCAAATCTAATTCTTGTTCGTATATACTGGCTATGTGACCATGTAAATTTCAATACTAAAAGTACTCATTAATGCATTTTCTTTACCATGGTTTAATTATCGTCGATGATTTAGAGAAAATGATGGCATCCGTTTGATCGATTCTAAAAATTCGAGATATGTAAGGCGAAATCATTTAGAAACAAGCAGATTGTTGATAAAACATGATAGATATTTTCATTTAACTGAAATATTGAATAATCGTAGATTTTTGCATCTTGACGATGCTGTTTTCAATTGGTTTTGTAATTGGAATATCTAATATATCATTATATCATTAACCTGTTAATAAATATATGCAACGATAACTGGGAAATAACACTTGACTATTTTCAGGTCACGTGCAAGTTGAACCTGATGGCCGAGTTCTCATCACTGGCAACTCTTTGTCCATTTTCGGCACAATTTGTGGAGATGGATGGAGCGACGAGTCAGCAAGCGTGGTTTGTCGTAATGCGGGTTTGTCCAATACAGGTACAGCTATCATGTTACCGCCTTCCTCTGTCTATAGGACGATGTCTGTGTTGCATTTAGCTTGCACAGGAAAAGAGGCAGACTGTAATCAGTGCCACAAGGAGGATTTCATTATCGGTATCTCGATATGTCCCTCCAACATGGAAGCTGGCGTGGACTGTTTCGGTGGCATGCTGACACCGTCACCGACACCTGGTAATTTGGCTTCCTCTACAAAGATGCCTATTACAAGTTAGTAAACTATTCATTCTTTTATCTATATTAATATAGTGAATAATTCTTACTTGCTTAATGTCCTTACGCTATCAACACTTTAAAGATCTGCTCACATACAAAGTGCAGAATAATATTGTTTCCTGATGAGAAGTAACGGGCTACTTAATCAGCGACTGAACGGTAATGTGATGTATTCGGTTATTCAAGTATATATTGATGAAGTCTCCGTAATATATTACATGCATATATCTTTTTTATACCTTTCCAACAATTCCAAACAATGTGTATGGTTATCGTGCGTAACGGAACGGAAAATGCTAAGATTTCATAATATCTGATTGTTACCTGAGCCTATACAAGTGAGTGTAAATATCAAGTGTTTGAAACCGATCTTTGACACTGACGATGCAAATCTAATTCTTGTTCGTATATACTGGCTATGTGACCATGTAAATTTCAATACTAAAAGTACTCATTAATGCATTTTCTTTACCATGGTTTAATTATCGTCGATGATTTAGAGAAAATGATGGCATCCGTTTGATCGATTCTAAAAATTCGAGATATGTAAGGCGAAATCATTTAGAAACAAGCAGATTGTTGATAAAACATGATAGATATTTTCATTTAACTGAAATATTGAATAATCGTAGATTTTTGCATCTTGACGATGCTGTTTTCAATTGGTTTTGTAATTGGAATATCTAATATATCATTATATCATTAACCTGTTAATAAATATATGCAACGATAACTGGGAAATAACACTTGACTATTTTCAGGTCACGTGCAAGTTGAACCTGATGGCCGAGTTCTCATCACTGGCAACTCTTTGTCCATTTTCGGCACAATTTGTGGAGATGGATGGAGCGACGAGTCAGCAAGCGTGGTTTGTCGTAATGCGGGTTTGTCCAATACAGGTACAGCTATCATGTTACCGCCTTCCTCTGTCTATAGGACGATGTCTGTGTTGCATTTAGCTTGCACAGGAAAAGAGGCAGACTGTAATCAGTGCCACAAGGAGGATTTCATTATCGGTATCTCGGTATGTCCCTCCAACATGGAAGCTGGCGTGGACTGTTTCGGTGGCATGCTGACACCGTCACCGACACCTGGTAATTTGGCTTCCTCTACAAAGATGCCTATTACAAGTTAGTAAACTATTCATTCTTTTATCTATATTAATATAGTGAATAATTCTTACTTGCTTAATGTCCTTACGCTATCAACACTTTAAAGATCTGCTCACATACAAAGTGCAGAATAATATTGTTTCCTGATGAGAAGTAACGGGCTACTTAATCAGCGACTGAACGGTAATGTGATGTATTCGGTTATTCAAGTATATATTGATGAAGTCTCCGTAATATATTACATGCATATATCTTTTTTATACCTTTCCAACAATTCCAAACAATGTGTATGGTTATCGTGCGTAACGGAACGGAAAATGCTAAGATTTCATAATATCTGATTGTTACCTGAGCCTATACAAGTGAGTGTAAATTTCAAGTGTTTGAAACCGATCTTTGACACTGACGATGCAAATCTAATTCTTGTTCGTATATACTGGCTATGTGACCATGTAAATTTCAATACTAAAAGTACTCATTAATGCATTTTCTTTACCATGGTTTAATTATCGTCGATGATTTAGAGAAAATGATGGCATCCGTTTGATCGATTCTAAAAATTCGAGATATGTAAGGCGAAATCATTTAGAAACAAGCAGATTGTTGATAAAACATGATAGATATTTTCATTTAACTGAAATATTGAATAATCGTAGATTTTTGCATCTTGACGATGCTGTTTTCAATTGGTTTTGTAATTGGAATATCTAATATATCATTATATCATTAACCTGTTAATAAATATATGCAACGATAACTGGGAAATAACACTTGACTATTTTCAGGTCACGTGCAAGTTGAACCTGATGGCCGAGTTCTCATCACTGGCAACTCTTTGTCCATTTTCGGCACAATTTGTGGAGATGGATGGAGCGACGAGTCAGCAAGCGTGGTTTGTCGTAATGCGGGTTTGTCCAATACAGGTACAGCTATCATGTTACCGCCTTCCTCTGTCTATAGGACGATGTCTGTGTTGCATTTAGCTTGCACAGGAAAAGAGGCAGACTGTAATCAGTGCCACAAGGAGGATTTCATTATCGGTATCTCGGTATGTCCCTCCAACATGGAAGCTGGCGTGGACTGTTTCGGTGGCATGGTGACACCGTCACCGACACCTGGTAATTTGGCTTCCTCTACAAAGATGCCTATTACAAGTTAGTAAACTATTCATTCTTTTATCTATATTAATATAGTGAATAATTCTTACTTGCTTAATGCTCACATACAAAGTGCAGAATAATAATTTTTCCTGATGAGAAGGAGAAGGCTATTTCAACAATGACTGAACGGTTATAAGATCTGATGCATTGGTTTATGGGTATGTGTATCGTATCTAACGGACCGGAAGTGCATTCGTTCATCTTTTGGTTCTTGTAAGAATGTGTTTAAGACATAAATATTTGCGATTCATATGTTTAAAAAATTAGATCTGATTCCATGTGTTTTCATTGCTGGCCTGCACTGAACGTTCTTTTCATCATCATAACTCGCCGATACATGTAGAAATTGCTATCGCTTTGATAATACACGTTGACTGATGTGGATATTATAAATGTGGCGTTAATGAAAACCCAATTCGTCCATTACAGATAACAGGACGGAAGAAGTATATATCGGTCCGAATGGTCGTGTCATGGTGTTTGACAAAGTTAAGGGAATAGAAGGTACAGTGTGCAGTAACGCTTGGGATGATCGAGATGCCGAAGTTGTTTGTCGGTATCTTGGTCTAGGTAGTCCAGCTGTGGCGGAAACTCTGCCAAGGGACTTTGGCTTCAACAGGACAGCGTTTGGTATACATTGTCTTGGCAACGAGACTGATATTTCGCAATGTAGTGCCGATACATATGATGTAACTATGGGAGCATGTGACCAAATGGGCGATGCTGTGGCGAGATGTGCAATGATGCCAGTGACAAGTACGTCTTGTTTTCTTTCGTTCTTTTAAATGAAAGGTGTTGTACTTTCCGAGAAATTCGTATGTGTTCATACCGATTTCAACAGTTACATGAGTATCTATTTTCGAACGTAACATGGATTCCATATCAGAAAAAATTCCAAAAGATTGTTAAAGTGGAAATATCCCTTTTATCGGGATTTTGCATATGTATATTCGCATCTTGCTCTACAAGAATAGTTTCATTCATAGTTGTTACTATCAACGTTTACATTGATATTAACTAGAGAATAGATTTTGTTGGAGTTGATATTGAAGTTGAGGATCAAGTCTAGGATGAATAGACATTGCCCTTCTGGTGTGTCAACGAAATCGTTTAAAACCATGTGTGATATTGTGTATAAGTAGTTGTTCCTTTCGATAGCTCGAAAGTAACTGAAATGCTTTGATCATTAGAAGAATTGTTAATGTGACTGATATAAATATTTGAACGTCGTGTTTATTGCAGACAACATAACACACGACGTATACATTGATCCAAGTGGTCGAGTTATGATGTTTGATAAAGCAAAGAGAACTGAGGGCACTGTGTGCAGTAACGCTTGGGATGACCGAGACGCCGAAGTGCTTTGTCGATATCTTGGTCTAGGTGGTCCGGCTTCAGCAGAAACTTTGCCAAGGGACTTTCGCTTTAACAGAACAGCGTTTGGTATACATTGTCTTGGAAATGAGACTGATCTTTGGCAATGCAAGGGTGACAACTACGACGTAACTATGGGAGCTTGCAACTATATGGATGATGCCGTGGCGAGATGTGGAATCACGCCCAAGACAAGTATGATTCATTAGCAAATTATTTAAACTTTGATACGTATCAGTGTTCTGATTTATCTTCGATAATGCAATACTATGTTTTATTTGTGGGAATGTTACATCTATCACAGAAAATATTCATTCAATTGGGGAAATAGAGGAAATAGGCGAAATCGTCATTTGATCAATATTTCGGAAAGAAGTAAAACGCGTGGATGTTAACTTTCAGATAGACGAAGAAAAACTCCGCTTCGCATATTCTCTATTATTTGCAATTCTTTCCTCTTTGCTTCTTCCAAGCATATGTTTACCAAGGAGAGACATAAGCATTTGCGATTCATATGTTTAAAAAATTAGATCTGATTCCATGTGTTTTCATTGCTGGCCTGCACTGAACGTTCTTTTCATCATCATAACTCGCCGATACATGTAGAAATTGCTATCGCTTTGATAATACACGTTGACTGATGTGGATATTATAAATGTGGCGTTAATGAAAACCCAATTCGTCCATTACAGATAACAGGACGGAAGAAGTATATATCGGTCCGAATGGTCGTGTCATGGTGTTTGACAAAGTTAAGGGAATAGAAGGTACAGTGTGCAGTAACGCTTGGGATGATCGAGATGCCGAAGTTGTTTGTCGGTATCTTGGTCTAGGTAGTCCAGCTGTGGCGGAAACTCTGCCAAGGGACTTTGGCTTCAACAGGACAGCGTTTGGTATACATTGTCTTGGCAACGAGACTGATATTTCGCAATGTAGTGCCGATACATATGATGTAACTATGGGAGCATGTGACCAAATGGGCGATGCTGTGGCGAGATGTGCAATGATGCCAGTGACAAGTACGTCTTGTTTTCTTTCGTTCTTTTAAATGAAAGGTGTTGTACTTTCCGAGAAATTCGTATGTGTTCATACCGATTTCAACAGTTACATGAGTATCTATTTTCGAACGTAACATGGATTCCATATCAGAAAAAATTCCAAAAGATTGTTAAAGTGGAAATATCCCTTTTATCGGGATTTTGCATATGTATATTCGCATCTTGCTCTACAAGAATAGTTTCATTCATAGTTGTTACTATCAACGTTTACATTGATATTAACTAGAGAATAGATTTTGTTGGAGTTGATATTGAAGTTGAGGATCAAGTCTAGGATGAATAGACATTGCCCTTCTGGTGTGTCAACGAAATCGTTTAAAACCATGTGTGATATTGTGTATAAGTAGTTGTTCCTTTCGATAGCTCGAAAGTAACTGAAATGCTTTGATCATTAGAAGAATTGTTAATGTGACTGATATAAATATTTGAACGTCGTGTTTATTGCAGACAACATAACACACGACGTATACATTGATCCAAGTGGTCGAGTTATGATGTTTGATAAAGCAAAGAGAACTGAGGGCACTGTGTGCAGTAACGCTTGGGATGACCGAGACGCCGAAGTGCTTTGTCGATATCTTGGTCTAGGTGGTCCGGCTTCAGCAGAAACTTTGCCAAGGGACTTTCGCTTTAACAGAACAGCGTTTGGTATACATTGTCTTGGAAATGAGACTGATCTTTGGCAATGCAAGGGTGACAACTACGACGTAACTATGGGAGCTTGCAACTATATGGATGATGCCGTGGCGAGATGTGGAATCACGCCCAAGACAAGTATGATTCATTAGCAAATTATTTAAACTTTGATACGTATCAGTGTTCTGATTTATCTTCGATAATGCAATACTATGTTTTATTTGTGGGAATGTTACATCTATCACAGAAAATATTCATTCAATTGGGGAAATAGAGGAAATAGGCGAAATCGTCATTTGATCAATATTTCGGAAAGAAGTAAAACGCGTGGATGTTAACTTTCAGATAGACGAAGAAAAACTCCGCTTCGCATATTCTCTATTATTTGCAATTCTTTCCTCTTTGCTTCTTCCAAGCATATGTTTACCAAGGAGAGACATAAGCATTTGCGATTCATATGTTTAAAAAATTAGATCTGATTCCATGTGTTTTCATTGCTGGCCTGCACTGAACGTTCTTTTCATCATCATAACTCGCCGATACATGTAGAAATTGCTATCGCTTTGATAATACACGTTGACTGATGTGGATATTATAAATGTGGCGTTAATGAAAACCCAATTCGTCCATTACAGATAACAGGACGGAAGAAGTATATATCGGTCCGAATGGTCGTGTCATGGTGTTTGACAAAGTTAAGGGAATAGAAGGTACAGTGTGCAGTAACGCTTGGGATGATCGAGATGCCGAAGTTGTTTGTCGGTATCTTGGTCTAGGTAGTCCAGCTGTGGCGGAAACTCTGCCAAGGGACTTTGGCTTCAACAGGACAGCGTTTGGTATACATTGTCTTGGCAACGAGACTGATATTTCGCAATGTAGTGCCGATACATATGATGTAACTATGGGAGCATGTGACCAAATGGGCGATGCTGTGGCGAGATGTGCAATGATGCCAGTGACAAGTACGTCTTGTTTTCTTTCGTTCTTTTAAATGAAAGGTGTTGTACTTTCCGAGAAATTCGTATGTGTTCATACCGATTTCAACAGTTACATGAGTATCTATTTTCGAACGTAACATGGATTCCATATCAGAAAAAATTCCAAAAGATTGTTAAAGTGGAAATATCCCTTTTATCGGGATTTTGCATATGTATATTCGCATCTTGCTCTACAAGAATAGTTTCATTCATAGTTGTTACTATCAACGTTTACATTGATATTAACTAGAGAATAGATTTTGTTGGAGTTGATATTGAAGTTGAGGATCAAGTCTAGGATGAATAGACATTGCCCTTCTGGTGTGTCAACATCGTTTAAAACCATGTGTGATATTGTGTATAAGTAGTTGTTCCTTTCGATAGCTCGAAAGTAACTGAAATGCTTTGATCATTAGAAGAATTGTTAATGTGACTGATATAAATATTTGAACGTCGTGTTTATTGCAGACAACATAACACACGACGTATACATTGATCCAAGTGGTCGAGTTATGATGTTTGATAAAGCAAAGAGAACTGAGGGCACTGTGTGCAGTAACGCTTGGGATGACCGAGACGCCGAAGTGCTTTGTCGATATCTTGGTCTAGGTGGTCCGGCTTCAGCAGAAACTTTGCCAAGGGACTTTCGCTTTAACAGAACAGCGTTTGGTATACATTGTCTTGGAAATGAGACTGATCTTTGGCAATGCAAGGGTGACAACTACGACGTAACTATGGGAGCTTGCAACTATATGGATGATGCCGTGGCGAGATGTGGAATCACGCCCAAGACAAGTATGATTCATTAGCAAATTATTTAAACTTTGATACGTATCAGTGTTCTGATTTATCTTCGATAATGCAATACTATGTTTTATTTGTGGGAATGTTACATCTATCACAGAAAATATTCATTCAATTGGGGAAATAGAGGAAATAGGCGAAATCGTCATTTGATCAATATTTCGGAAAGAAGTAAAACGCGTGGATGTTAACTTTCAGATAGACGAAGAAAAACTCCGCTTCGCATATTCTCTATTATTTGCAATTCTTTCCTCTTTGCTTCTTCCAAGCATATGTTTACCAAGGAGAGACATAAGCATTTGCGATTCATATGTTTAAAAAATTAGATCTGATTCCATGTGTTTTCATTGCTGGCCTGCACTGAACGTTCTTTTCATCATCATAACTCGCCGATACATGTAGAAATTGCTATCGCTTTGATAATACACGTTGACTGATGTGGATATTATAAATGTGGCGTTAATGAAAACCCAATTCGTCCATTACAGATAACAGGACGGAAGAAGTATATATCGGTCCGAATGGTCGTGTCATGGTGTTTGACAAAGTTAAGGGAATAGAAGGTACAGTGTGCAGTAACGCTTGGGATGATCGAGATGCCGAAGTTGTTTGTCGGTATCTTGGTCTAGGTAGTCCAGCTGTGGCGGAAACTCTGCCAAGGGACTTTGGCTTCAACAGGACAGCGTTTGGTATACATTGTCTTGGCAACGAGACTGATATTTCGCAATGTAGTGCCGATACATATGATGTAACTATGGGAGCATGTGACCAAATGGGCGATGCTGTGGCGAGATGTGCAATGATGCCAGTGACAAGTACGTCTTGTTTTCTTTCGTTCTTTTAAATGAAAGGTGTTGTACTTTCCGAGAAATTCGTATGTGTTCATACCGATTTCAACAGTTACATGAGTATCTATTTTCGAACGTAACATGGATTCCATATCAGAAAAAATTCCAAAAGATTGTTAAAGTGGAAATATCCCTTTTATCGGGATTTTGCATATGTATATTCGCATCTTGCTCTACAAGAATAGTTTCATTCATAGTTGTTACTATCAACGTTTACATTGATATTAACTAGAGAATAGATTTTGTTGGAGTTGATATTGAAGTTGAGGATCAAGTCTAGGATGAATAGACATTGCCCTTCTGGTGTGTCAACGAAATCGTTTAAAACCATGTGTGATATTGTGTATAAGTAGTTGTTCCTTTCGATAGCTCGAAAGTAACTGAAATGCTTTGATCATTAGAAGAATTGTTAATGTGACTGATATAAATATTTGAACGTCGTGTTTATTGCAGACAACATAACACACGACGTATACATTGATCCAAGTGGTCGAGTTATGATGTTTGATAAAGCAAAGAGAACTGAGGGCACTGTGTGCAGTAACGCTTGGGATGACCGAGACGCCGAAGTGCTTTGTCGATATCTTGGTCTAGGTGGTCCGGCTTCAGCAGAAACTTTGCCAAGGGACTTTCGCTTTAACAGAACAGCGTTTGGTATACATTGTCTTGGAAATGAGACTGATCTTTGGCAATGCAAGGGTGACAACTACGACGTAACTATGGGAGCTTGCAACTATATGGATGATGCCGTGGCGAGATGTGGAATCACGCCCAAGACAAGTATGATTCATTAGCAAATTATTTAAACTTTGATACGTATCAGTGTTCTGATTTATCTTCGATAATGCAATACTATGTTTTATTTGTGGGAATGTTACATCTATCACAGAAAATATTCATTCAATTGGGGAAATAGAGGAAATAGGCGAAATCGTCATTTGATCAATATTTCGGAAAGAAGTAAAACGCGTGGATGTTAACTTTCAGATAGACGAAGAAAAACTCCGCTTCGCATATTCTCTATTATTTGCAATTCTTTCCTCTTTGCTTCTTCCAAGCATATGTTTACCAAGGAGAGACATAAGCATTTGCGATTCATATGTTTAAAAAATTAGATCTGATTCCATGTGTTTTCATTGCTGGCCTGCACTGAACGTTCTTTTCATCATCATAACTCGCCGATACATGTAGAAATTGCTATCGCTTTGATAATACACGTTGACTGATGTGGATATTATAAATGTGGCGTTAATGAAAACCCAATTCGTCCATTACAGATAACAGGACGGAAGAAGTATATATCGGTCCGAATGGTCGTGTCATGGTGTTTGACAAAGTTAAGGGAATAGAAGGTACAGTGTGCAGTAACGCTTGGGATGATCGAGATGCCGAAGTTGTTTGTCGGTATCTTGGTCTAGGTAGTCCAGCTGTGGCGGAAACTCTGCCAAGGGACTTTGGCTTCAACAGGACAGCGTTTGGTATACATTGTCTTGGCAACGAGACTGATATTTCGCAATGTAGTGCCGATACATATGATGTAACTATGGGAGCATGTGACCAAATGGGCGATGCTGTGGCGAGATGTGCAATGATGCCAGTGACAAGTACGTCTTGTTTTCTTTCGTTCTTTTAAATGAAAGGTGTTGTACTTTCCGAGAAATTCGTATGTGTTCATACCGATTTCAACAGTTACATGAGTATCTATTTTCGAACGTAACATGGATTCCATATCAGAAAAAATTCCAAAAGATTGTTAAAGTGGAAATATCCCTTTTATCGGGATTTTGCATATGTATATTCGCATCTTGCTCTACAAGAATAGTTTCATTCATAGTTGTTACTATCAACGTTTACATTGATATTAACTAGAGAATAGATTTTGTTGGAGTTGATATTGAAGTTGAGGATCAAGTCTAGGATGAATAGACATTGCCCTTCTGGTGTGTCAACGAAATCGTTTAAAACCATGTGTGATATTGTGTATAAGTAGTTGTTCCTTTCGATAGCTCGAAAGTAACTGAAATGCTTTGATCATTAGAAGAATTGTTAATGTGACTGATATAAATATTTGAACGTCGTGTTTATTGCAGACAACATAACACACGACGTATACATTGATCCAAGTGGTCGAGTTATGATGTTTGATAAAGCAAAGAGAACTGAGGGCACTGTGTGCAGTAACGCTTGGGATGACCGAGACGCCGAAGTGCTTTGTCGATATCTTGGTCTAGGTGGTCCGGCTTCAGCAGAAACTTTGCCAAGGGACTTTCGCTTTAACAGAACAGCGTTTGGTATACATTGTCTTGGAAATGAGACTGATCTTTGGCAATGCAAGGGTGACAACTACGACGTAACTATGGGAGCTTGCAACTATATGGATGATGCCGTGGCGAGATGTGGAATCACGCCCAAGACAAGTATGATTCATTAGCAAATTATTTAAACTTTGATACGTATCAGTGTTCTGATTTATCTTCGATAATGCAATACTATGTTTTATTTGTGGGAATGTTACATCTATCACAGAAAATATTCATTCAATTGGGGAAATAGAGGAAATAGGCGAAATCGTCATTTGATCAATATTTCGGAAAGAAGTAAAACGCGTGGATGTTAACTTTCAGATAGACGAAGAAAAACTCCGCTTCGCATATTCTCTATTATTTGCAATTCTTTCCTCTTTGCTTCTTCCAAGCATATGTTTACCAAGGAGAGACATAAGCATTTGCGATTCATATGTTTAAAAAATTAGATCTGATTCCATGTGTTTTCATTGCTGGCCTGCACTGAACGTTCTTTTCATCATCATAACTCGCCGATACATGTAGAAATTGCTATCGCTTTGATAATACACGTTGACTGATGTGGATATTATAAATGTGGCGTTAATGAAAACCCAATTCGTCCATTACAGATAACAGGACGGAAGAAGTATATATCGGTCCGAATGGTCGTGTCATGGTGTTTGACAAAGTTAAGGGAATAGAAGGTACAGTGTGCAGTAACGCTTGGGATGATCGAGATGCCGAAGTTGTTTGTCGGTATCTTGGTCTAGGTAGTCCAGCTGTGGCGGAAACTCTGCCAAGGGACTTTGGCTTCAACAGGACAGCGTTTGGTATACATTGTCTTGGCAACGAGACTGATATTTCGCAATGTAGTGCCGATACATATGATGTAACTATGGGAGCATGTGACCAAATGGGCGATGCTGTGGCGAGATGTGCAATGATGCCAGTGACAAGTACGTCTTGTTTTCTTTCGTTCTTTTAAATGAAAGGTGTTGTACTTTCCGAGAAATTCGTATGTGTTCATACCGATTTCAACAGTTACATGAGTATCTATTTTCGAACGTAACATGGATTCCATATCAGAAAAAATTCCAAAAGATTGTTAAAGTGGAAATATCCCTTTTATCGGGATTTTGCATATGTATATTCGCATCTTGCTCTACAAGAATAGTTTCATTCATAGTTGTTACTATCAACGTTTACATTGATATTAACTAGAGAATAGATTTTGTTGGAGTTGATATTGAAGTTGAGGATCAAGTCTAGGATGAATAGACATTGCCCTTCTGGTGTGTCAACGAAATCGTTTAAAACCATGTGTGATATTGTGTATAAGTAGTTGTTCCTTTCGATAGCTCGAAAGTAACTGAAATGCTTTGATCATTAGAAGAATTGTTAATGTGACTGATATAAATATTTGAACGTCGTGTTTATTGCAGACAACATAACACACGACGTATACATTGATCCAAGTGGTCGAGTTATGATGTTTGATAAAGCAAAGAGAACTGAGGGCACTGTGTGCAGTAACGCTTGGGATGACCGAGACGCCGAAGTGCTTTGTCGATATCTTGGTCTAGGTGGTCCGGCTTCAGCAGAAACTTTGCCAAGGGACTTTCGCTTTAACAGAACAGCGTTTGGTATACATTGTCTTGGAAATGAGACTGATCTTTGGCAATGCAAGGGTGACAACTACGACGTAACTATGGGAGCTTGCAACTATATGGATGATGCCGTGGCGAGATGTGGAATCACGCCCAAGACAAGTATGATTCATTAGCAAATTATTTAAACTTTGATACGTATCAGTGTTCTGATTTATCTTCGATAATGCAATACTATGTTTTATTTGTGGGAATGTTACATCTATCACAGAAAATATTCATTCAATTGGGGAAATAGAGGAAATAGGCGAAATCGTCATTTGATCAATATTTCGGAAAGAAGTAAAACGCGTGGATGTTAACTTTCAGATAGACGAAGAAAAACTCCGCTTCGCATATTCTCTATTATTTGCAATTCTTTCCTCTTTGCTTCTTCCAAGCATATGTTTACCAAGGAGAGACATAAGCATTTGCGATTCATATGTTTAAAAAATTAGATCTGATTCCATGTGTTTTCATTGCTGGCCTGCACTGAACGTTCTTTTCATCATCATAACTCGCCGATACATGTAGAAATTGCTATCGCTTTGATAATACACGTTGACTGATGTGGATATTATAAATGTGGCGTTAATGAAAACCCAATTCGTCCATTACAGATAACAGGACGGAAGAAGTATATATCGGTCCGAATGGTCGTGTCATGGTGTTTGACAAAGTTAAGGGAATAGAAGGTACAGTGTGCAGTAACGCTTGGGATGATCGAGATGCCGAAGTTGTTTGTCGGTATCTTGGTCTAGGTAGTCCAGCTGTGGCGGAAACTCTGCCAAGGGACTTTGGCTTCAACAGGACAGCGTTTGGTATACATTGTCTTGGCAACGAGACTGATATTTCGCAATGTAGTGCCGATACATATGATGTAACTATGGGAGCATGTGACCAAATGGGCGATGCTGTGGCGAGATGTGCAATGATGCCAGTGACAAGTACGTCTTGTTTTCTTTCGTTCTTTTAAATGAAAGGTGTTGTACTTTCCGAGAAATTCGTATGTGTTCATACCGATTTCAACAGTTACATGAGTATCTATTTTCGAACGTAACATGGATTCCATATCAGAAAAAATTCCAAAAGATTGTTAAAGTGGAAATATCCCTTTTATCGGGATTTTGCATATGTATATTCGCATCTTGCTCTACAAGAATAGTTTCATTCATAGTTGTTACTATCAACGTTTACATTGATATTAACTAGAGAATAGATTTTGTTGGAGTTGATATTGAAGTTGAGGATCAAGTCTAGGATGAATAGACATTGCCCTTCTGGTGTGTCAACGAAATCGTTTAAAACCATGTGTGATATTGTGTATAAGTAGTTGTTCCTTTCGATAGCTCGAAAGTAACTGAAATGCTTTGATCATTAGAAGAATTGTTAATGTGACTGATATAAATATTTGAACGTCGTGTTTATTGCAGACAACATAACACACGACGTATACATTGATCCAAGTGGTCGAGTTATGATGTTTGATAAAGCAAAGAGAACTGAGGGCACTGTGTGCAGTAACGCTTGGGATGACCGAGACGCCGAAGTGCTTTGTCGATATCTTGGTCTAGGTGGTCCGGCTTCAGCAGAAACTTTGCCAAGGGACTTTCGCTTTAACAGAACAGCGTTTGGTATACATTGTCTTGGAAATGAGACTGATCTTTGGCAATGCAAGGGTGACAACTACGACGTAACTATGGGAGCTTGCAACTATATGGATGATGCCGTGGCGAGATGTGGAATCACGCCCAAGACAAGTATGATTCATTAGCAAATTATTTAAACTTTGATACGTATCAGTGTTCTGATTTATCTTCGATAATGCAATACTATGTTTTATTTGTGGGAATGTTACATCTATCACAGAAAATATTCATTCAATTGGGGAAATAGAGGAAATAGGCGAAATCGTCATTTGATCAATATTTCGGAAAGAAGTAAAACGCGTGGATGTTAACTTTCAGATAGACGAAGAAAAACTCCGCTTCGCATATTCTCTATTATTTGCAATTCTTTCCTCTTTGCTTCTTCCAAGCATATGTTTACCAAGGAGAGACATAAGCATTTGCGATTCATATGTTTAAAAAATTAGATCTGATTCCATGTGTTTTCATTGCTGGCCTGCACTGAACGTTCTTTTCATCATCATAACTCGCCGATACATGTAGAAATTGCTATCGCTTTGATAATACACGTTGACTGATGTGGATATTATAAATGTGGCGTTAATGAAAACCCAATTCGTCCATTACAGATAACAGGACGGAAGAAGTATATATCGGTCCGAATGGTCGTGTCATGGTGTTTGACAAAGTTAAGGGAATAGAAGGTACAGTGTGCAGTAACGCTTGGGATGATCGAGATGCCGAAGTTGTTTGTCGGTATCTTGGTCTAGGTAGTCCAGCTGTGGCGGAAACTCTGCCAAGGGACTTTGGCTTCAACAGGACAGCGTTTGGTATACATTGTCTTGGCAACGAGACTGATATTTCGCAATGTAGTGCCGATACATATGATGTAACTATGGGAGCATGTGACCAAATGGGCGATGCTGTGGCGAGATGTGCAATGATGCCAGTGACAAGTACGTCTTGTTTTCTTTCGTTCTTTTAAATGAAAGGTGTTGTACTTTCCGAGAAATTCGTATGTGTTCATACCGATTTCAACAGTTACATGAGTATCTATTTTCGAACGTAACATGGATTCCATATCAGAAAAAATTCCAAAAGATTGTTAAAGTGGAAATATCCCTTTTATCGGGATTTTGCATATGTATATTCGCATCTTGCTCTACAAGAATAGTTTCATTCATAGTTGTTACTATCAACGTTTACATTGATATTAACTAGAGAATAGATTTTGTTGGAGTTGATATTGAAGTTGAGGATCAAGTCTAGGATGAATAGACATTGCCCTTCTGGTGTGTCAACGAAATCGTTTAAAACCATGTGTGATATTGTGTATAAGTAGTTGTTCCTTTCGATAGCTCGAAAGTAACTGAAATGCTTTGATCATTAGAAGAATTGTTAATGTGACTGATATAAATATTTGAACGTCGTGTTTATTGCAGACAACATAACACACGACGTATACATTGATCCAAGTGGTCGAGTTATGATGTTTGATAAAGCAAAGAGAACTGAGGGCACTGTGTGCAGTAACGCTTGGGATGACCGAGACGCCGAAGTGCTTTGTCGATATCTTGGTCTAGGTGGTCCGGCTTCAGCAGAAACTTTGCCAAGGGACTTTCGCTTTAACAGAACAGCGTTTGGTATACATTGTCTTGGAAATGAGACTGATCTTTGGCAATGCAAGGGTGACAACTACGACGTAACTATGGGAGCTTGCAACTATATGGATGATGCCGTGGCGAGATGTGGAATCACGCCCAAGACAAGTATGATTCATTAGCAAATTATTTAAACTTTGATACGTATCAGTGTTCTGATTTATCTTCGATAATGCAATACTATGTTTTATTTGTGGGAATGTTACATCTATCACAGAAAATATTCATTCAATTGGGGAAATAGAGGAAATAGGCGAAATCGTCATTTGATCAATATTTCGGAAAGAAGTAAAACGCGTGGATGTTAACTTTCAGATAGACGAAGAAAAACTCCGCTTCGCATATTCTCTATTATTTGCAATTCTTTCCTCTTTGCTTCTTCCAAGCATATGTTTACCAAGGAGAGACATAAGCATTTGCGATTCATATGTTTAAAAAATTAGATCTGATTCCATGTGTTTTCATTGCTGGCCTGCACTGAACGTTCTTTTCATCATCATAACTCGCCGATACATGTAGAAATTGATGTATTTTGCTATCGCTTTGATGACACGTTGACTGATGTAGATATTACAAATGTGGCGTTAATGAAAACCCAATTCGTCCATTACAGATAACAGGACGGAAGAAGTATATATCGGTCCGAATGGTCGTGTTATGGTGTTTGACAAAGTTAAGGGAATAGAAGGTACAGTGTGCAGTAACGCTTGGGATGATCGAGATGCCGAAGTTGTTTGTCGGTATCTTGGTCTAGGTAGTCCAGCTGTGGCGGAAACTCTGCCAAGGGACTTTGGCTTCAACAGGACAGCGTTTGGTATACATTGTCTTGGCAACGAGACTGATATTTCGCAATGTATTGCCGATACGTACGATGTAACTATGGGAGCATGTGACCAAATGGACGATGCCGTTGTCAAATGTGGAACGATTCGAAACGGATCAATATTTTCGCCTTCTGTTAGTACTGCAAGCGTCGTTTCATCTACACCTAAATCGATTTCTTCTATTAGTACTAGTTCTACTCAACATCCAAGCACATCGTTGTCGTCTTTAAGTTCTACAATATCACCGAAGGTGATAGCGTCCTCTTCTTATTCTATTACCCCTGTTTCTACTTCGTCAACAAGTGAAATAACTTCATCGTCTCCTGCTAAAGCCACTGGTTCTATTACACCACCGAGTGGATTGTCTTCCTCGTCTTCTCTAAATACTACTACTCTGTCACCGAATGGAGCAACATCTTTGCCTTCTGCTATAACTGCCAGTTCAACTTCATTATCACATGGAATAACGTCTACACCTGCTAGTTCAAGTAATATTACCCTATCACCTAGTCGGACAAGTTCCTCGCCTTCTGGAAGTACTGCCAGTTCTACTCCATCTATTTCATCACCGAGTGGAGTTACTTCCCTTCCGTCTGGAAATACTGCTGGTTCTACTTCATCACAGAGTGGAGTACGTTCCTCGCCTTCTGCTATTACTGCCAATTCCACTTCATCGCAAGGTGGAATTACTTCCCTTCCGTCTGGAAGTACTACTGGTTCTGCTTCATCACCGAGCGGAATAACTACCTCCCCCTCCGCTAGTTCAAGCGGTTCTTCTCCATCCCCAAGTGGAATACGTTCCTCGCCTTCTGCTATTACTTCCAATTCCAATTCATCGCAAGGTGGAATTACTTCCCTTTCGTCTGGAAGTACTGCTGGTTCTACTTCATCACAGAATGGAATAACGTCTACACCTGCTAGTTCAAGCAGTTCTACTGCATCACCTAGTCGGGCAAGTTCCTCGCCTTCTGGAAGAACTGTCAGTTCTTCTCCATCTCAGACTGGACTGATGTCTTCGCCTTCTTCTAGAACTGTCGGTTCTACACCATCGCCGAACGGAATAACGTCTACACCTGCTAGTTCAAGTAATATTACCCTATCACCTAGTGGTGTGAGCTCCTCGCCTTCTGGAAGTACTGCCAGTTCTTCGCCATCTCAGAGTAGATTGCCGTCTTCACCTTCTTCTAGAACTCTCGGTTCTACTTCATCACCGAGCGGAATAATTACCTCCCCCTCCGCTAGTTCAAGCGGTTCTTCTCCATCCCCAAGTGGAATACATTCCTCGCCTTCTGCTATTACTTCCAATTCCACTTCATCGCAAGGTGGAATTACTTCCCTTAAGTCTGGAAGTACTACTGGTTCTGCTTCATCACAGAGTGGAATAACGTCTACACCTGTTAGTTCAAGCAATTTTACTTCATCACCTAGTCGGACAAGTTCCTCGCTTTCTGGAAGTACTGTCAGTTCTTCTACATCTCAGAGTGGACTACATTCTTCGCCTTCTTCTAGAATTGTCGGTTCTACACCATCGCCGAACGGAATAACGTCTACACCTGTTAGTTCAAGCAGTTTTACCTCATCACCTAGTCGGGTGAATTCCTCGCCTTCTGGAAGTACTGCCAGTTCTTCTCCATCTCAGAGTGGATTAACGTCTTCGCCTTCTTCTAGAACTGTAGGTTCTACTTCATCACCGAGTGGAGTACGTTCCTCGCCTTCTGCTATTAATTCCAATTCCACTTCATCACAAGGTGGAATTACTTCCCTTCCGTCTGGAAGTACAATTGGTCCTGCTTCATCACAGAGTGGAATAACGTCTACACCTGCTAGTTCAAGCAGTTCTACTTTATCACCTAGTCGGGTGAGTTCCTCGCCTTCTGGAAGTATTGTCAGTTCTTCTACATCTCAGAGTGGCCTAACTTCTTCGCCTTCGTCTAGAACTGTCGGTTCTACACCATCGCCGAACGGAATAACTTCTACACCTGCTAGTTCAAGCAGTTTTACTTCATTACCTAGTCGGGTGAGTTCCTCGCCTTCTGGAAGTACTGCCAGTTCTTCTCCATCTCAGAATGGCCTAACTTCTTCGCCTTCTTCTAGAACTGTCGGTTCTACACCATCGCCGAACGGAATAACTTCTACAACTGCTAGTTCAAGCAATATTACACCATCACCTAGTCAGGTGAGTTACTCGCCTTTTGGAAATACTGCCAGTTCTTCTCCATCTCAGAGTGGATTAACGTCTTCACCTTCTTCTAGAACTGTAGTTTCTACTTCATCACCGAGTGGAATAACTCCCTCCCCTTCTGGTATTACTGCCAATTCCACTTCATCGCAAGGTGGAATTACTTCCCTTCCGTCTGGAAATACTGCTGGTTCTACTTCATCACCGAGTGGAATACGTTCCTCGTCTTCTGCTATTACTTCCAATTCCACTTCATCGCAAGGTGGAATTACTTCCCTTTCGTCTGGAAGTACTGCTGGTTCTACTTCATCACAGAATGGAATAACGTCTACACCTGCTAGTTCAAGCAGTTCTACTGCATCACCTAGTCGGGCAAGTTCCTCGCCTTCTGGAAGAACTGTCAGTTCTTCTCCATCTCGGACTGGACTAATGTCTTCGCCTTCTTCTAGAACTGTCGGGTCTACACCATCGCCGAACGGAATAACGTCTACACCTGCTAGTTCAAGCAATATTACCCTATCACCTAGTGGTGTGAGTTCCTCGCCTTCTGGAAGTACTGCCAGTTCTTCGCCATCTCAGAGTAGATTGCCGTCTTCACCTTCTTCTAGAACTCTCGGTTCTACTTCATCACCGAGCGGAATAACTACCCCCCTTTCCGCTAGTTCAAGCGGTTCCTCTCCATCCCCAAGTGGAATACATTCCTCGCCTTCTGCTATTACTTCCAATTCCACTTCATCGCAAGGTGGAATTACTTCCCTTAAGTCTGGAAGTACTACTGGTTCTGCTTCATCACAGAGTGGAATAACGTCTACACCTGTTAGTTCAAGCAATTTTACTTCATCACCTAGTCGGACAAGTTCCTCGCTTTCTGGAAGTACTGTCAGTTCTTTTACATCTCAGAGTGGACTACATTCTTCGCCTTCTTCTAGAATTGTCGGTTCTACACCACCGCCGAACGGAATAACGTCTACACCTGCTAGTTCAAGCAGTTTTACCTCATCACCTAGTCGGGTGAATTCCTCGCCTTCTGGAAGTACTGCCAGTTCTTCTCCATCTCAGAGTGGATTAACGTCTTCGCCTTCTTCTAGAACTGTAGGTTCTACTTCGTCCCCGAGTGGAGTACGTTCCTCGCCTTCTGCTATTAATTCCAATTCCACTTCATCACAAGGTGGAATTACTTCCCTTCCGTCTGGAAGTACAATTGGTCCTGCTTCATCACAGAGTGGAATAACGTCTACACCCGCTAGTTCAAGCAGTTCTACTTTATCACCTAGTCGGGTGAGTTCCTCGCCTTCTGGAAGTACTGCCAGTTCTTCTCCATCTCAGAGTGGCCTAACGTCTTCGCCTTCTTCTAGAACTGTCGGTTCTACACCATCGCCGAACGGAATAACTTCTACACCTGCTAGTTCAAGCAATATTACTCCATCACCTAGTCAGGTGAGTTACTCGCCTTCTGGAAGTACTGCCAGTTCTTCTCCATCTCAGAGTGGATTACCGTCTTCGCCTTCTTCTAGAACTGTCGGTTCTACACCATTGCCGAACAGAATAACTTCTACACCTGCTAGTTCAAGCAGTTTTACTTCATTACCTAGTCAGGTGAGTTACTCGCCTTCTGGAAGTACTGCCAGTTCTTCTCCATCTCAGAGTGGATTACCGTCTTCGCCTTCTTCTAGAACTGTAGGTTCTACTTCATCACCGAGTGGAGTACGTTCCTCGCCTTCTGCTATTAATTCCAATTCCACTTCATCACAAGGTGGAATTACTTCCCTTCCGTCTGGAAGTACTATTGGTCCTGCTTCATCACAGAGTGGAATAACGTCTACACCTGCTAGTTCAAGCAGTTCTACTTTATCACCTAGTCGGGTGAGTTCCTCGCCTTCTGGAAGTACTACCAGTTCTTCTCCATCTCAGAATGGCCTAACTTCTTCGCCTTCTTCTAGAACTGTCGGTTCTACACCATTGCCGAACGGAATAACTTCTACACCTGCTAGTTCAAGCAGTTTTACTTCATTACCTAGTCAGGTGAGTTACTCGCCTTCTGGAAGTACTGCCAGTTCTTCTCCATCTCAGAGTGGATTACCGTCTTCGCCTTCTTCTAGAACTGTAGGTTCTACTTCATCACCGAGTGGAGTACGTTCCTCGCCTTCTGCTATTAATTCCAATTCCACTTCATCACAAGGTGGAATTACTTCCCTTCCGTCTGGAAGTACTACTGGTTCTGCTTCATCACAGAGTGGACTAATTTCTTCACCTACTTCTAGAACTGTCGGTTCTACTCCATCGCCGAATGGAATAACTTCTACACCTACTAGTTCAGGCAGTTTTACTTCATCATCTAGTCGGATAAGTTCCTCGCCTGCTGGAAGTACTGCCAGTTCTTCTCCATCGTCGAATGCAATAAGTTCGTCACATTCCTCCCCATCTGCTAGTACTTATGTTTCTACTTCATTTCAAAATGGAATGACTTCCTCGTCCTCTGCTAATACTGCCAGTGTTTCCTTGACGACCAGCAGAACGACAAGAATTTCTCAAACCACAATGAGTAAGTAGAGCAATTTATATAGTGATCTTTGTTATTTAGCGTTTATATTTACTCTGCTAACTTGTAACTAAAATAACTTAGTTATTACCATGGACAAATTCAAACAATCAAGGAATTAGAATGCAGAACGGGAAAATCTGTGTAATCTGTCTTTCCTCTAATGATAGCTTTTCACAGAAATGATATCAATGGTCATACCTCAGTAACGTCTGTTTTATGTTTCAGACTATTCCATGCTCTTTTCTCTCAATACCGATAACAGAGTCATGGTTCATGATTTAAGAAATGGGCATGTAGGAACATTATGTAGTTTTACTTGGGACGACAAAGAAGCCGCAGTTATGTGCCAACACCTTGGCTTACCTACCCCTGCCGTGGCTTTTGTACTGCCACAAGATCAGAATTTCAGTAGAAGTTTGTGGGCAGTCAACTGTTCGGGGAATGAGCTTGATGTCTTTGACTGCGAATTAGCCACATCTGATATCTCAAACGGAATGTGTGGCAACCTCGGCGATGCAGCTTTATATTGTGGACTCAAGGGTAGGTTGACAAGTCATGGAAAAGACATTTCAAGGGCAATAAGTGCAAGTAGAGCGTTTCTAATATCTTTCAAGTGTTAACATACTTAAGCGACTTAACACAAGGAATTTAATTTATGTTTCATTATATATACTATGGACATATAGTAAAATAACGCAGTTTGATTTACATATCTAACACGGTAATGTAAAACCATGTAATCGTTGTCATACATTTCAAAGCTAATTGGAAGGAGTAATGAAAATTAGTAAAATGCTTTATCATTCATGTTCATCGTAGTCTGTCATTATGAATATATACTCATGGAATAAAAAAAAAGGCAGGGTGACATTATTTGCAATATCTTGCCAAAGCATTGTTCAAAAAAAAAAAAAAAAAAATGAAAATCGCTCAAGGAACTCTCAAGGTTACAATGCAAGTGGTCCTGTATCGAATATGGCATTATTGTCTTCCGAAGAAAGCTTGTTAAAATCTCGTGTACAGCAGTGTTGTGACATTGAGTAACACTGCTCGTCAAACCTTTAGGTTGTCTTCATAGAGACATCACTTTTCGATATTTTGAATAATTTCTGATAGCATTAAACAGTGGCACGGCTGACGGAAATTCAGAGGGGTCAGGTCATTGCAATGATTATGGAAGGTCAAAGGCAAATACAAGTAGCAAGACATTTCGGTGACCATATTTTCACTAAAGAACGTCTTGTTAGACGTCTAAGAGATACTGGGCCGGTTGCTGACAGGCCTTGGACTGGATGTCCGCGCGTGACGTCACAACGTCACATACCATAGATACTCATAACCGTCCTATCCATTTAAAATACTGTACAGAAAACGAGTGCGAGAAGTTGGTCTGCGTCACCCGTTTGTAGGTTTGCCCTTTAACGCTGCTCGTTGCCAGCGTAATATGGCTCGGGTGGCGGCACATCCTCCCACACTATTCCCATTTAGGCAGTGGAGGCGGGTCTTGTTTACTGATGAGACCCGGTTCACCCTATTTCGAGCAGACGTTCGACGTCGTGGAAAACATTTTGCCGACTGCTACCGACACTAGGTGTGGTTGCCGGCAATTCAACTGCCGCTAGGTATAGGGATGAGATCCTTCGACCCCATGTTGTTACATTATTTCTGCAAAACTACCTCACATTCTAGCAGGATAATGCTCGGCCCCATGTAGCGAGGGTCTGTCGCGAATTCCTCACTAATATTAATATCAACCCACTGGACTGGCCGCCATACAGTCCCGACCTGTTCCCTATTCAGCACTTGTGGGACTAGCTGGATAAACAGGTTCAACGACGCCAGCCTCCCCTATTTAGATTTCAGTTATCTTTCAGTTCCTTTCAATTGCTCCTAAATCACTTACCAGATACAAATCGCTGATTTTGCAGTTTGTTCTGTATGGATTAATCTGCATTCTTACTTAAAAATATTGAACATTATACTCGACGTCTTGTCTTCTATCATCTCCAAAGTTTACTCTCCGTTTCGTTATCCCTCGAGTATAAAATCAATTACGCGTGGCATGCTACCAACATATTTGCTTGTTTTGTAGAGAAAGTGTTATAAGAGAAACTTTTAACCTTAACTTGTGATCAACGTTACAGGTAACACTTCGATTGAAGTATCCCTTGATGTCAGCGGTCGTGTGATGATTCATGATAACGCTACTGGTGAGACGGGAACACTGTGCAGCAAAACTTGGGACCAAAGGGACGCTGAAGTAATTTGCTCACACCTCGGATATGTCGGCTCATCTGTCGTGAAAACTTTACCAAGGGACAACATTTACAACAGGACCGTATTTGGTATACATTGCGCTGGAAATGAAACAAACATCAATCATTGTTTACTCGAACTAAGTGGCGTAGGCACGTGTGACTCTATGGCAGATGCTGCTTTACAATGCGGAAACGGAACAAGTGAGTATATTCTCTATTCGCATATTCTAATATAACAAATGTCGTCTTTGGCAAATGGCAAATGGAAACCAATTAAGCACCTTAACCAGCATCAAGTGACCGTCAGCTAAATCATTAATGTGTTTTCAAACGAGACACCGATTATCATATCTTAGCTGTTCAATGCTAAAATAACCGTTTCGTATATGTTCAATGTACAGCTATTATTCTTTTGACTACACACAATAGTATACATTCCTTTGAAATATATGGAAATGTTAAAGATTTGTGTTTTATGACATCATTTACATATTGACTTGATCAGAGTTCCTTCAAACAGAGTCCAAGTATCATTTAATTAAACAACACACATCGGATATCTGTATGCAATTACAAGAAATGTGAAACATTGTCAATACCAAACATACACGTAGCTAACTTTCGCTGATTTAAGGAGATACAAATACCAGTGAACTTCCCTGAGGTATCTGTCGTACACAGTTTATCGAATGAGCAGTAAACACTAAACACATTTTTGCTGTGAATTTCAGATAACGTGACACCAAACTCAAGTCTTACTTCTACAAGTAAGACTTCAAGTGTTTCTCAGACGTCCACTATCACCGCTATACCCCTAGTGACTTCATCAGGTCCTGCCGGTCCGTCTTCTAGCACACCAACAACAACTGGGACGCCGTCAACTTCAATACAGCATACCATGTCATCGATAAGAAACACATCACCACAAACAGTGGCAATGACAACGGTAACGACTGGATCCAGACAGACAAGTGGTACGACGAGGACCGCAACTTCATCGGCTATTAGGCAAGGTACAGCTACTTCAAGAACGACAACAGGGAAATCAGCTACTGCTTCAGCAATAACCATACGGCAGACAGCTTCAACTTCAAGCATATCATCAAGCCAGACGGCGACAAATACTTCAACGGCAATTACAAATCAGGCAACGTCTAGTTCAACAGCAACGACACAACCTACTGTGATCACATCGACGTCACTTCCGCCCTCTCAGACGACAGCAGGGACTCAGACCAGCACTACCACAGACACAAATTGTGTTTCTGGTTCCGGGTTTTGTATGTTTAATGCCGATTCCCTGGGATCCGGAGGTATGTTTAATAGTATTTTTTTCAATCTTCTGTGTAAAAAACCTTATAAATCTCGAACACCTTTCGATGAGATTAAATTTGTGATTTCAAAATGATCGCCTTGAAATCAAGTTACTTAATTTTGCATTGTAACATGTATTAGTATTAACTCGAATGTAAACAAGTATAATTATTTCGTTATCTAAATTCAACATTTTCGGAATATTATGCTATTGTCCTTAGAAGAAATATAAAACAATGTATGCTCAGTCTTATGATAAACTCGGTTTTCGGTGCTCTATATTAAAACCGGTATTTCTGTTGTATTTTAGTGGCGTCCTTGCATACTCCATGGGCCTCAGTGATCCTGTCTGTCCTGTTTGTCTTCATAAGCCTGTTCCTGAGTAAATAATTGTGCAACCAAGGATGGTTTCAAATGCCACTGTTACATAGCATTCTGTTATCTTTAGACTGTAGCAGGCCTCAACAAAATAGTAGCACATTACCAACGATAAAAGCAAATACACAAGCAAATGTAGAAAAATAATATTTACATTGTAATAAATAAATATACTCATAAACAGTAGTCGCTAAGAATCATGATAGTGTTTTACGTATCGAGATCGGCGGTCTTGACAACAAGATGGAAATTAGCAATAACGATAGATTACTCTCTAATCTGAAAGCTCACTATATTTATCACAATATATAAAACATTGTAACTTTTACTTTTCATAGTTTATGTTGGTGCGTTCGTTTTATAACTTTTTTTGTTTGTTTTTATTAAACATCTTCATATTCCTCTCTATATTTTTTATTTATGATATCTTAGTAAATTGGCGGTGTTACTAGCGTATCTCTTGTTAAGCGACAAAGAGGCTTAAGTCTGACAACAAGCATGCATCAGCGTACGTACAGAAAAAGGTGGGCGCGGGTTTCAGAAAGAAAAGTGTGCTTAAAGGCTTATAGGAGGGCCATAGTGTTCTGCTTCAATCTGTAATGATTGAAAATAATCTACTCTCTCAACGATTGTACAAAAGACACTCAAGTAAATCGTGCCTTTTGATACAAATTGAAAAAAGATACAGTGCCAAATTTTGCAATACGTAGCAGTTTTGTCTACGGATCAATCGACTAGCGAACTCGAAAGATTAACAAATCCAGTAACTTTTCGTCAGTGTTATACAATGTAGTCCTGCAAAATCAACTAGATAAATGTAATATAAGTGATGTACAAACTGAAAGATGACATAAAAATTATAGGAGTAATATTACAACAAGATCTTCTGAACATCACATAAATTAATATTATTTATTACCAGTGACGGTAAACTTTGTACCTAACCGGCTCTCGTGGATATTTTTATGTGTTAGGTATCTTAGTAAAACATACATTGTAACAAAATGGGTAGTAGAAATACAATTTAGAGAATATAATTTAAAACAGAAATTTAAAGTACAACAGGTTCTCTGGAAACAATAACAACAGGTGTCAAAAGTCAGGCACTGGACCAGGGTTAACGTCCTGTGATGGACAGGCAGTTTGGTAGCCCTTAGATATCAAGGGTGTGCCTCACGCACCTAGCCACTGTAGCGAAATAGCTGGGGAGGGATCGTCGATCAGAGTAGATAGCCTACTGGACGGTAAAGTACATCGGGATCCCTGAGATAAGGTTACATGAGCTTGCACGTGCCTTGATAATTATATGCCTCGCGGGGTGGGGTATTGTCATCCAATCGGGGCTTAGTTGGAATTGAAGTGTTTTGGTATTATTAATACTAAGACAATAGACAGTAGCAGGAGAGTAGCGGGAGAAGAGCAGGAGAGTGGTTGGAGGCTAGAGCTCGGGAGCTAGACAAGTCAGTGTGGGCCTGTAGCGGGAAGTAGGAACTTAAGCGGGAGATAGGGGTGGACTTGAACAGGATCTTGTGTAACCACGGCAAGAAATAAAATTTAACTCAAATACCACGTGTCGGAATAATTATTGTGTAACAACATATCATCACCGCAGCGATGATCAGCGATAAAATTGCAAATCGTCATTTTGTGATTCTTATGGTTTTTTCCATTTGTTTTGTTTTTGTATTTTCTTTATCTAAACAATTTATTAGTTACGCTTTTAACACAGCGAATAAAAATCATATACTTGAAAATGTTAATAGACATAGGTAATAATACTACATTACAAACCCGTATACCAACCCGATTTTCTCGCACCAACGCTAAAGTCATACAAAACAGTACATATTATTGTGCTTTTTACATGGAATGTATTGTATTCAATTGTGTCTACACTGGTATTAACCAAATGACAGATACACACAGAAAATATTTGAATTGCTTTGGGAGTGAAAATGCCTCGTGTGTGAATGTACATCATAAACTCTTTCACTTGTACAACTTATTGTTGTTTTCCCCACTTTTTTTCTTACACCATTAAATCTTTCTCTGACACGGATGCTTAAGTTATTCAATTAACCAATCATTTTGTTCAAATTTTCCTTACCTTTTCGGAAAAGTTTGTGTTATAAAATCAATACTATCCGTAATATATTTAGCTGCTTTACAAGCCAAAAGTCGCCTCCATAGTTCTCTTGTCTGTTACATGCGTAATGAATAATAAATCCGCAATTAAGTGTTCCCTGTTATCGACTAATACTCACACAGGTAAATCATTCAATCCTTCAGAAAACAATGAAGAGATAGGTTATAGAGGTAGGAATTGTGCAGGAAGTCAGTTATTTCATGATATCCCGTCACTCGGGACTATCGGTCGGACGTATTAAATCTTTGTCACTCGAAAATCATCCTATAACCTATACAATATTACTGTCCCGCGATGGTGTGTTAATCATTTGTAAATACTCATTGTTGTAATGTCTGACCTATTGAACTCAATTTTTTTCAGTCCATACAATGGACAAATACACGCTGTGCGCTTTAACTATACATGTGTTCTGAACTGTCATAAAGGTATCCATTGTTTTAATTGATAGGTAATGGTTAATTGATATACACACGTAGCGTCAGTAAACAAAGTTAATGTTACGATAAACAAAATGGGTCTTACTTACACGAGGTGGATTCTATATATATCGTTGTTTTGTATCTATCTACTTGCAGTAGGATGGCTTTTGTACGCAATCACAGGTAAGTGAATGGTTTGTTACCTCGACTAAGCATGGTACGGTATTTGTTTTTTGTTTCGGTGTAATGATAAGTCAAAAGCTCGAGATATCGGATGCATAGTAAATAGCATACCCTCTCCCCATATAATCACTCGATGTTTTTTTCTCTTTTTTTGATTTTGTCACATTTTGTTGATGAAATAGTCAAATAGATTTAATATCATACAAAGCATATATAAATTATTTTAATGGATGACTAGAGAAGTAGAAAAGTATAACAGAAATGCATAACAGAAACAAAGAAACAGTCGAAGGGAGGTAACTCCTGACTAAATACATCTTCACACACACAAAGCACATTTTAACTCTTTCGCATACAGGCTTACACACAAACGTAGAAAACACATATGCTATAAGAACTAATTACCATAACATCACACTTTACCTGACTACACGCACAATGAATCATAACACGTGACACATTTAGATTGTAAAAATACTCAAATCACAACTGTAACTGTTGATTGTTTTAATCAGCATAGCTGATAAATATTATGTACCTTGTATAAACAATATGCACCCTTTATCAAATAGTGTAACTTAATAGATGTGAGAGGATAGAAAGAATAGAAAGGAAATTAAAGGATGAAAAGTCTAAAATGAAATAATAAAAAAGAGAAAAAAATAAGTCACATCAATGTTCAACTGGATTCATATATCATTACGTTGAAAGAATTAACAAAAGGATGCATATGCTCGGGCATTACTGTAATGGTTGCCTTTCGAGTTAGCCATTTTCCACGTCGGTTTCGTGAAAAGTTTCAACCTTCGGAAATTTTGTTATCTCTACCTATTTCTGGTCAATGGTAAACGCGTGTTTAGTCCATGGAAATTGAAAGTATTACTACATCTATATTGTAGTTTCAGCTTATTCTCTATAGCTATCTTAAAACATTCTTTACATTATAGATGGATATCAAAGTTTTATATAAATGAATGAGGTAACGAACGATCCGGTAGTACTCTCAAAAGATATGAGATTTATTTTCAACCTTGGAGTATTGGGAGCATCTTTTCTATTCATTTCCATTGTGACAAAAGAATTATGTATTGCACATAACGGAAATGCCAAGAGCTTATCAAGTGGCAGGAGTGACTGAAGTTTTAGAATTTTTTTTTATCTAACTCGAAAGGCATCTTATAATAAACAAAATCATTTTGCTAGAAATAACTGTAAATAGCTTTAATCTCTTACAAAACGCGCCTAAAAAGATAAACAAAAAATGTTAGCAAGAAAAAAATAATTTCATGAATAACTTAAAGTTTACAATCTTGAATAACTAAAACAAGTTTTGGCTTTGTTGTAAGGATAGCGACATCGCACCAGAGAGAAGGAATATAACATGCCTGTTGATCCCCAACCTCCCCTCTCCCCTACCCCTCATCCCATTCCTAGCGGGCTCGCTTGCCGAAGGATAATCATGGTAACATGAACATGAGAGGGACTGTGCACATTGGACTGTAGTGACATTATCCTGTAAAAAAGGGGAGATAATCAAAACGACCTACTAATGCATTGGAAATTCAGCATTTCCTGCAAGAGTACACTCTAGGAGCTGTTTTCGTGTTCATCAATCTACATAATTAATGTTTCCTTCCTTTTAAGATACAAACACAAGAAGACTTAGGTAGTGTAAATTCCTTATGTTTGAAAAGCGATTAAGCATCTCATGTCTTTTTTCGCATATTGAATTGCACTTCTACGCTGGAAATGTGTTGTTTTTTCTACGTTTACATCTAGTCTCTTAACGTACTTCCGGTTTCTTTCTTGTATTCTGTCATCATGGTTGAACAGAGACGCTAAGGACATCATTTGACACTGGAGCTTGAATTATCCAATGAAAACTTGCTTCATAATTTTAAACTTTCCTAAACCTGTCAAAACATGTTTTGAAAAAAGTATCCATAATATTCAGATCCATGTTAATGAACTGATTTTTAAACAAAAAATACAAAGAAATCACTTTCGAAGGAAACATAACCTTTTTGCTCATTGTATGGAAGAATGACAGACAGATAGATCAGGTAAGTATATATTAAGCAGAGTTCCCTGGTACCGAGACCAACACACTCACACCTATAAAGGTAAATTGTACAGAAAACAATGAAGAGGCAGGTATGTTAGGTTGGAGTGTGGGTACAGCCGCTATTTCTTTCTTCCCGAGTAGTGATACATGCATTTAGTCAATTACTACATGATATCTCGTCACTCGGGACCTATTACATCGTCGCTATCTCCTGAGTGTAACATATTGTATCATTTGTTTTGTAATTGTTGTAAAATAAATTAAATTTTATCCAATACCCTTGTTACTACAAACCAAACAATAAGATAAATTATTAAAAGTTCGCTGACATACGTGGTCTTCTTAATAGTTTAGTAAGCAAGTAATTGACCTACAACGACTGCAGTCCTTTGGACCAGCAGTGTCTTTACAATCGTTTACATACCCGTACATTTAAAAGACAGTTTTTTGTGTTTTAATATATCACATTATTCATCATTATAAATGTATTTTCTTCAGTAACACATGAAAAAAGAACACATGACCTTCAGTCCCTTCTGCCGATAATTTCACAGCTGAAAATAACATCCAATAACCAACAGGTAAGCTTAAAAACGTGTACAATGCTATTATTATCTTTTACGCCGTGAAGCAAATCATTTGCAATTGCTGCAAGGTTTTAATCAATTACCTTCATCATCATTATAAGGGTTAATTCACGTTGTTTACTTGTCATCTTTTATCTTGAAGAAACTTTTTTTCTATATGTATCTATTAAAACGTTTTTCTCAAAGATTTAGTCTGTATTTCACTTAGAATCTGTCATTATTTTTTTTTTTGGCTTGCATTTAAGACCAACTGTATGTACAATATAACAAGACGAAGCTTTCTAAATGTAATGTTCTACTAAATGTAATGTTCTACTAAATGTTATGTTCTACTAAATGTAATGTTCTTCTAAATGTTATGTTCTACTAAATGTGATGTTCTACTAAATGCTATGTTCTACTAAATGTTATGTTCTTCTAAATGTTATGTTCTACTAAATGTTATGTTCTGCTAAATGTAATGTTCTACTAAATGTAATGTTCTTCTAAATGTTATGTTCTACTAAATGTTATGTTCTTCTAAATGTTATGTTCTACTAAATGTAATGTTCTACTAAATGTTATGTTCTACTAAATGTTATGTTCTACTAAATGTAATGTTCTACTAAATGTAATGTTCTACTAAATGTTATGTTCTACTAAATGTAATGTCTACTAAATGTTATGTTGTACTAAATGTAATGTTCTACTAAATGTAATGTTCTACTAAATGTGATGTTCTACTAAATGTTATGTTGTACTAAATGTAATGTTCTACTAAATGTAATGTCTACTAAATGTAATGTTCTACTAAATGTAATGTTCTACTAAATGTTATGTTCTACTAAATGTAATGTTCTACTAAATGTAATGTTCTACTAAATGTAATGTTCTACTAAATGTTATGTTCTACTAAGTGTTATGTTCTAATAAGTGTTATGTTCTACTAAATGTAATGTTCTACTAAATGTAATGTTCTACTAAATGTTATGTTCTACTAAGTGTTATGTTCTAATAAGTGTTATGTTCTACTAAATGTAATGTTCTACTAAATGTAATGTCTACTAAATGTAATGTTCTACTAAATGTAATGTTCTACTAAATGTTATGTTCTACTAAATGTAATGTTCTACTAAATGTAATGTTCTACTAAATGTAATGTTCTACTAAATGTAATGTTCTACTAAATGTAATGTTCTACTAAGTGTTATGTTCTAATAAGTGTAATGTTCTACTAAATGTAATGTTCTACTAAATGTTATGTTCTACTAAGTGTTATGTTCTAATAAGTGTTATGTTCTACTAAATGTAATGTTCTACTAAATGTAATGTCTACTAAATGTAATGTTCTACTAAATGTGATGTTCTACTAAATGTTATGTTGTACTAAATGTAATGTTCTACTAAATGTAATGTCTACTAAATGTAATGTTCTACTAAATGTAATGTTCTACTAAATGTTATGTTCTACTAAGTGTTATGTTCTAATAAGTGTAATGTTCTACTAAATGTAATGTTCTACTAAATGTAATGTTCTACTAAATGTTATGTTGTACTAAATGTAATGTTCTACTAAATGTAATGTCTACTAAATGTAATGTTCTACTAAATGTGATGTTCTACTAAATGTTATGTTGTACTAAATGTAATGTTCTACTAAATGTAATGTCTACTAAATGTAATGTTCTACTAAATGTAATGTTCTACTAAATGTAATGTTCTACTAAATGTAATGTTGTACTAAATGTAATGTTCTACTAAATGTAATGTCTACTAAATGTAATGTTCTACTAAATGTAATGTTCTACTAAATGTTATGTTCTACTAAATGTTATGTTCTACTAAATGTTATGTTCTAATAAGTGTAATGTTCTACTAAATGTAATGTTCTACTAAATGTAATGTTCTACTAAATGTAATGTTCTAGTAGATGTTATGTTCTACTAAGTGTTATGTTCTACTAAATGTTATGTTCTACTAAATGTTATGTTCTACTAAATGTTATGTTCTAATAAGTGTAATGTTCTACTAAATGTAATGTTCTACTAAATGTAACGTTCTAGTAGATGTTATGTTCTACTAAATGTTATGTTCTACTAAATGTTATGTTCTAATAAGTGTAATGTTCTACTAAATGTAATGTTCTACTAAATGTAATGTTCTACTAAATGTAATGTTCTAGTAGATGTTATGTTCTACTAAATGTTATGTTCTACTAAATGTTATGTTCTACTAAATGTTATGTTCTACTAAATGTAATGTTCTAGTAGATGTTATGTTCTAATAAGTGTAATGTTCTACTAAATGTAATGTTCTAGTAGATGTAATGTTCTACTAAATGTTATGTTCTACTAAATGTTATGTTCTACTAAATGTAATGTTCTACTAAATGTAATGTTCTAGTAGATGTTATGTTCTACTAAGTGTTATGTTCTACTAAATGTTATGTTCTACTAAATGTTATGTTCTACTAAATGTTATGTTCTACTAAATGTAATGTTCTACTAAATGTAATGTTCTACTAAATGTTATGTTCTACTACATGTAATGTTCTAGTAGATGTTATGTTCTACTAAATGTTATGTTCTACTAAATGTAATGTTCTACTAAATGTTATGTTCTACTAAATGTAATGTTCTAGTAGATGTTATGTTCTACTAAATGTTATGTTCTACTAAATGTTATGTTCTACTAAATGTTATGTTCTACTAAATGTAATGTTCTAGTAGATGTTATGTTCTAATAAGTGTAATGTTCTACTAAATGTAATGTTCTAGTAGATGTAATGTTCTACTAAATGTTATGTTCTACTAAATGTAATGTTCTACTAAATGTTATGTTCTACTAAATGTAATGTTCTACTAAATGTAATGTTCTGCTAAATGTTATGTTGTACTAAATGTTATGTTCTACTAAATGTAATGTTCTACTAAATGTTATGTTCTACTAAATGGTATGTTCTATTAAATGTAATGTTCTACTAAATGTTATGTTCTTCTAAATGTTATGTTCTACTAAATGTAATGTTCTAGTAGATGTTATGTTCTACTAAGTGTTATGTTCTACTAAATGTTATGTTCTACTAAATGTAATGTTCTAGTAGATGTTATGTTCTTCTAAATGTTACGATCGTAAAGAGATAATGAGATGACTGTTCTGAATTTTTTCATATATGTCTTGTTAGATTCGAAGTTTTCTTAAATTTCAGAATATAAACTTTGTGATGAGCAAAAGGAAAATATTTAATATTTGTCCTGTTAGATTCAAAGTGTTTTTAAATTTCAGAATGTAAGCTTTATGATGAACAAAAGGAAAGCGGATTTATTAATGATGTGTCCGAAAAACTCCACTTACAACCTTCCAAATCGGCATCACCTCATCTATAATAAGGAAAAACAAATATTGTATTGCAAAGCTACGAAAGCAGGATCAACATTTTGGGGAAGACTTTTCCTTCAAATAGACAAACAACGGATAGCAAGTCCTTTTGAAATCAAGCCCCAAATTGGAGTTTCCAACGTGCTCCCCTCTCATGATGAATGGAGACATTTTGATTTGATTTTAAAGAAATCCCAAAAGTTTATAATTGTTCGTCATCCTTTAGAACGGTTATATTCCGGATATGTCGATAAGGTGTTTTCGCCAAATCGATTTTACTGGGATGTTATAGGTAAACATGTAGTGAAGACATTTAGGAAAAAATCAAAAACTAAATGTGGACATGACGTGACATTCCACGAATTCCTCCAATATGCAGCGCATGCCGAAACCACAGGTGCAAACCGTGACGTTCATGTGCTCTCTTTATGGAAGTCATGCTCTCCGTGTCATGTCAAATATGACATAATAGGAAAGATGGAGACTTTTAAGGACGACATATTTTATATATTGGACAAACTCAACTTAAAGCCGTACAAAGATGCCTTGCGTAATATCTCCACTGATGTAGTTAATGATGCTTTGTATGATACCGCCCAAGGTTACGCATCAATGCGTTCTTTAGCTACTCATTGTATTACGAAACAAAACACCGCAGAGAGGATATGGATAAAGCTAAAAGCTAGGGGATTCATCGCCGCTGATTTACCTGTCCCGGAGGACATGTTTTACAAAAATGAAAACAGATTGTTTGAAATATTTAAAGACGCATATTCTAAATCTGTTCGTAAACTGGGACGCCAGGGATTAAAACGTCAACAGCATGCAATATTTCTCGAAACAATTAAACGGATACCACAACAAACGATTAAAAAAATAGCAGATGCATATTATATGGATTTTCAAATGTTTGGATATGACGTAAAATTCGACGAATTATGGCAAAGGTCGAGAAACACGGATTTTTCTCATAGTGCTATATTTTTCTAAATCGAGAAGAAATATATAACATAGTCGTTGCATTCACTTTATATTGTGTAAACACATGATAAACTGATTCTTAGTTTTGCAATGGTAAAGGCATTTCGGTATATATATATACATATTGTTTTGTTTTGTTTTTGAGTGGGAAATGTTGAATCAGTTGAATAAATGTTTAAAATGAACGTCGATGTGGCACGTGTGTTCCTTTCCCAGGAAATTCGAGAATACCGAGAGCTTAAAGTATTATTGAAGCAATTTGAAACACGAGAGCCTTCCAGCTGCCCCCTCCCAGCCTAAGGAAGCAATTGACTGCTTGAAATCAGACAGATGATACTCGGTTCTGATGAAAAAGTACGTCGTTTGGTGACTCTGATGTATTCTGGCGTGGACATTCGGCTACAAGCCCACCTGGCTGCAGTCCTTTCTCAAGGAGCGCAATGCATCTCAGTTATAGGCGTGTACAGAAAAAACCCTGATGGGATGGATCTTTGACGAAACTAAAATGAGCCTAGATTTTGTCGTGTGAGACTACTCCACATATTAAGACCCGGGCTCAAAATGGTTTTGCATACATATTCTGCTTCTAATGTAATTCTCACTTTACAGTAGTACAGTGTGATGTAATTCTCACTTTACAGTAGTACAGTGTGATGTAATTCTCACTTTACAGTGTACAGTGTGATGTAATTCTCACTTTACAGTAGCACAGTGTGATGTAATTATCACTTTACAGTAGTACAGTGTGATGTAATTCTCACTTTACAGTAGCACAGTGTGCTGTAATTCTCACTTTACAGTGTACAGTTTGATGTAATTCTCACTTTACAGCATTACAGTTTGATGTAATTCTCACTTTACAGTAGCACAGTGTGATGTAATTCTCCCTTTACAGTAGCACAGTTTGATGTAATTCTCACTTTATAGTAGCACAGTGTGATGTAATTCTCCCTTTACAGTAGCACAGTTTGATGTAATTCTCACTTTACAGTAGCACAGTGTGATGTAATTCTCACTTTACAGTAGCACAGTTTGATGTAATTCTCACTTTACAGCATTACAGTTTGATGTAATTCTCACTTTACAGTAGCACAGTGTGATGTAATTCTCCCTTTACAGTAGCACAGTTTGATGTAATTCTCACTTTACAGCATTACAGTTTGATGTAATTCTCACTTTACAGTAGCACAGTGTGATGTAATTCTCCCTTTACAGTAGCACAGTTTGATGTAATTCTCACTTTACAGCATTACAGTTTGATGTAATTCTCACTTTACAGTAGCACAGTGTGATGTAATTCTCCCTTTACAGTAGCACAGTTTGATGTAATTCTCACTTTACAGTAGCACAGTGTGATGTAATTCTCCCTTTACAGTAGCACAGTTTGATGTAATTCTCACTTTACAGTAGTACAGTGTGATGTAATTCTCACTTTACAGTAGCACAGTGTGATGTAATTCTCACTTTACAGTAGCACAGTTTGATGTAATTCTCACTTTACAGTAGCACAGTTTGATGTAATTCTCACTTTACAGCATTACAGTGTGCTGTAATTCCCACTTTACAGTAGTCTACAGTGGTAGAAATCTCGTTTGATGTAATCGGCATTTAATGGAAGTACAGAATGATATGCTCGGTACTTTACGTAAGCACAGTGTGACGTGATCGGCACTTTACGGATGTATAAGTGTGGTGTAATTTGCACTTTTCGGAAGCATACTTTACAGTGTATACTTTACTGTGTATACTTTACAGTGTATACTTTACAGTGTATACTTTACAGTGTATACTTTACTGTGTATACTTTACAGTGTATACTTTACTGTGTATACTTTACACATTTACTGTGTATACTTTACTGTGTATACTTTACAGTGTATACTTTACTGTGTTACTGTGTATACTTTACTTTACTGTGTATACTTTACAGTGTATACTTTACTGTGTATACTTTACAGTGTATACTTTACTGTGTATACTTTACAGTGTATACTTTACAGTGTATACTTTACAGTGTATACTTTACTGTGTATACTTTACAGTGTATACTTTACTGTGTATACTTTACAGTGTATACTTTACAGTGTATGTAAGTCAGTTTTTTTGTTGGTATATCTATATAGATACGCCGGCCCCTACAACAACTCAGTCGAACTCATTAGTCAATACAAAACACGTGTTTATTTTTACACTGAGCATCCCTTTGTGATATACTGATATGAGGCAAGAAAGAGGTATGTCGCATTAACACAGCCTCGAAACTCCTGAGGTTACTTTTGCTCTCTGTCCCTGGAGTATCGGTGATTGAGCACCTATTTCATTTCATAATTAATGACGACAGGTAAACATGGGTTCAGAGTCACCTTGTCTAAATAGGGAAATGTAGTGGAATGTTTACCGTGTATTGCGATTGCGATATCACGATTACTAAAGGAATCGCCAGGTTATTACTTGATATGCGACCTTTTAAAATCCCAAAAATACATTGAATGTATCCGTTATTACAATATACGAGAAGATACCCTCTACCTGTATCAAAATACAAGATAAAATTCTCGCTTTCTGTATCTTGATACAACAAACTCACTTAATTTATCAGGAGACTTGGTTTCGTTGATTTTTCCCACGAATTCAAATGCTCATGAACAGTTAAAATAAATTTATTTAATGTAAAATTGAGTGATATTTATCATTTATATCAGATGTACACAAAATAGATTAAAACAAAAATTTGACTTCACAAAAACCATTATTTTACGGTAAACGATTTCACAGACACCGGATATCTGTATTAAAATGCTAGAAGTGATATTCTCTTTCTGTAGCAAGATAAAGAAGAAATGCCCGTTAGCTTCATCAAAATATCAGTAAATTCACCCGGAATTCGTATCGAGATATGAAATGAGGTACCCACTATCTGTAACAAATGATAAAAGGGGTCTAGTTTTGTGTGTGTATAAAACTAAACCTTTAAATTATAACTTGAAAGATGATTTCAATCCACGTGTAACGCTCTGAAACAACAACTTGCCATCGTCATTTTTCCTAATATGTTCGAAAGGAGTACATCAAAAGGTTTCATATCCGCTTCAGTTATTCGAGAATTACTCCTTATGATGGGAGAAAACAGATTAAAACCAAATTCTGTATTTCTCTTACATTTTTGTGACATGTATAATGTATTCAAAGAAGTGATTTATTCACAATTAAGTTATCAAACTTCAACGTCCAACTGCACGTGATTTGTTATCGTTGAACTGAAACACGTGACAGGCAACCGTACGAAACCTATTACTACAATCACGTTTTCTAAACCCGATAGATATTTAAAAATTTAAGTATGTAATGTACAGTTCAATCGTGTCGTTCAGAGAGCCTCGAACCCAATGTTGTATTGATCATTGATGTATGTAGATGGGTATATTTCCTGTCTTTGTATGAAAACAGCTTGACGAGTAAAACAATGGATTTGTATCTCTCATCTTGATCAAATGGCTTAGAATGTGGTCGTACTGCCTGTGACGACATTGTCCCTATTGTATTGTGAGTCAGTCGCCATGTAAACAATATACAAATGAGAATCGTGTATATTAGCTACACGTGTGTACTCCACTACGGTAAACTATCCAACGGTTTAGATAAACAATATACAAATGAGAATCGTGTATATTAATTACACGTGTGTACTCCACTACGGTAAACTATCCAACGGTTTAGATAAACAATAAACAAATAAGAATCGTGTATATTAGCTACACGTGTGTACTCCACTACGGTAAACTATCCAACGGTTTAGATAAACAATAAACAAATAAGAATCGTGTATATTAGCTACACGTGTGTACTCCACTACGGTAAACTATCCAACGGTTTAGATAAACAATAAACAAATAAGAATCGTGTATATTAGCTACACGTGTGTACTCCACTACGGTAAACTATCCAACGGTTTAGATAAACAATAAACAAATAAGAATCGTGTATATTAGCTACACGTGTGTACTCCACTACGGTAAACTATCCAACGGTTTAGATAAACAATATACAAATGAGAATCGTGTATATTAATTACACGTGTGTACTCCACTACGGAGGGGGGGGGGGGGGGGTGTGTGTGTGTGTATATTAGCTACACGTGTGGGGTAAACTATCCAACGGTTTAGATAAACAATATACAAATGAGAATCGTGTATATTAATTACACGTGTGTACCCCCCCCCCCAATAATTTTGTCAAAATAAAAATAAAAATTGTAAATTTTACAGATGGTATTTAATATTCAATGATAGTTAAGTTTTAGCGGGTCGATTTTCCTCATACCATATGCACTGTACTGACAAAACACAATTCTGTGACAATATAGTATATATTTATTTCTTTGAATCATATCGTTGAAATATTTCAATCTTTATAATATGAAAAGTTTTACTTGATCTAATCTAATAAAGAAGCTATGCGAAATCAGTCATTTGATGTGAACTTTCCAAATACCCTCTAGTTTACAAATTCATTTACAACATCCACTAAATTAATAGATGTAGTCGCCTCTTTGTGGACATGAAGTAGCATGCAGTTGTTCAGACGTTGTTGTGTCATTGTTGATCGCAGATAGGTTTTGATTCTTCGCAATGCTGATGATGACCGTTCACTCACAGCATTGGTTGCTGGTATCAAAAGTACCAATTTCAGAAGTTTTACAACTTCGCAAACAATCTCTCGTTGACGCCCTGTTATGTTGCGGTTACATTTACATTGTGGTATAAACAGCAGACGAATTCAAAACATGGTTCTGTAACTGCAGCAAAATTAGGTAAGCTCCTTATTTTTAAAACACAACAGAAAATTTCTTTCGGGCCTGTTTACTGGAAATAACGCGTGCTGTATTATAAGCGTCCTTGGTCAGCACAATGATTATTTTGATAATTTCAATGTGAAATAAAAGCCTTATTATTTATAATTCTCAAATGTATGCCTGTGACTATAAAGTATAGTAACTTTCCTACACATTG